AAAGGCTGTGCAAAATGTTATGGAAATGTAATCCTAAGACCATCTCTGTAAAAAAGAATTTCTCCGACGTACCATTTTCACTCATTGCTAATGCAATAGTGATAATCATGATGGAGGTGACAAACCAACCCCAAACATACGAAGCAGGACCTCCAGCAAGACCAATACCAGCTGTGGAAGCAATACCGGGAACAATACCCATGACACTGTACGCGATACCAAAGATTTCGTAGGTTTTAAACTTCCGTGTAAGTTCCTGCTTGTAACCAATCTCTTTCAACAGATCTTCGTCTCCAGCAGCCTGAGTGGCGTCGATTTCTCTCACTCGGGACTGCTGGGACATTATCACCGATATCCGGGAGTGAACGGGAGCTATATGAGACATGTTGTGGGTTGAGAATGGCCTCACACAGCGATCAAATGCCGTTAAATAAAAACTTGGCTTCTGCTTAATCATGCATGAGTACCTTATCAGTTTTTCTTAGCGGCTTCGATCCCGATTAGGCTAGCGAATTACATGTCACCAGACACCCGTACACCAAACACGCCAGGAACTTTTTTGCAAGAACGACGACCCAACCGGCGTGCATGGCACAATTGGGCGAAATTGCAGCACTGCAGAAAATTGTGTGTCAGTTGTAATTGAAGTTTACAGACGACTGCTAAAGCTTCAAGTTTGACCAAAAAAGCATGTCTGGGGAGCCCGAAGCCATTTTCCGTAAGTATCAGCACCACACAATTGAGTTCTAACATCAGGCTCTGCGGAAATGTCTCTTGTACAACTCTACATTCCGGCAGAAATTGGAAGAACAGCCATTTACTCGTTAGGCAAGCTGGGGCTTGTTGAATTTCGTGACCTGAACAAGAAGGTGAACGGGTTCCAGCGCTCGTTTGTCAATGAGATCAGACGGCTGGACAACACTGAGAGACAGTACCGGTATCTACAGAAGGAAATGGAATCCAGAGACATCACCCTTGTGGAGACAGACCTGGAAAGTGATTCCCAAGTTCTGGCTACAAGTCAATTGGATGAGATTGTTGTTGATGCTCAGTTGCTTGAAGACAGAGTGAGTCAATTGACCACGGCCTCAGAGGATCTTTTGAAACAGCAAATGGACTTGAAGCAGTATCAACAGGTTTTAGCAGCCACTGACGAATTTTTCAGCCATGTGCAGACGGCCGATTCTTCTGATATCAACGAGCCTGAATTCTTAGAGAACGGGGGTCTTCATGATGCGAACTTCATTACCGGAGTGATTCCAAGAGCCAAGATCGATGTTTTGGAGAAGATTTTATGGCGTGTTCTGCGTGGTAACCTGTTTATCACCAGCACCGAAATTGAACAGAAAATGTACGATGTCAAGTCAAAGGAATTTGTGGACAAGAACAGTTTCATCATTTTTGCTCACGGAGAAGTGATTTTGTCCAGAGTGCGCAAAATTTGCGAGTCGTTGGATGCAAATATGTACTTTGTGGACCAAGATATTAAGCAAAGAACCAAACAGAAGCGCGAGGTGAACGACAAACTTTCAGATGTCACTAACGTTTTGGAATCGACTGAAAGAACACTGGGAACTGAGCTTAGAGCCGTTGCTACTGAGTTGGATGTCTGGTGGAAAGCTGTCAAGCTTGAGAAATCCGTTTTTTCAGTCATGAACCTCTGTCATTACGATTTGACAAGAAAGTGTTTGATTGGTGAAGGATGGGTGCCTACAGATGACTTCGATAAGGTGAAGGCCGTTTTGGAAGGAATCAGCGGTAAGTTTTCAGCCAATCCTGAAGAATCCTTCCCAATTGTGGTCAACACCGTGCAAACCACAAGAACTCCTCCAACTTACCATAAAACAAACAAATTCACTGCGGCATACCAAGCTATGTGCGATGCTTACGGAGTCGCAACCTATAGAGAAGTCAACCCTGCTCTTCCAACGGTGGCCACGTTCCCATTCATGTTTGCGATCATGTTTGGTGATCTGGGACACGGATTCATAATGTTTCTGGCAGCTTCAGCACTTGTGCTGAACGAGAAGAAGATTGCAAAGATGAAGAGAGACGAGATATTCGACATGGCATATTCCGGAAGATACATCTTGCTGATGATGGGCTTCTTCTCGATGTACACTGGATTTCTTTACAACGATGTGTTCTCCATCTCTATGAGTTTCTTCAAGTCGGGGTGGAAATGGCCTGAGTCTTGGAAAGAAGGTGACAGTATCTCCGGAACACAAACGGGAGTGTATCCTATTGGGTTGGATCCAGCATGGCACGGAACCGAAAACAATTTGTTGTTCACCAACTCATACAAGATGAAATTGTCGATCTTGATGGGATTCATTCACATGTCGTACTCCTACGTGTTTTCGTTGGTGAATGCCCTTTACTTCAAATCGAAGATAGACATTATTGGAAACTTCATTCCTGGTCTTCTGTTCATGCAGGGAATCTTTGGTTACTTGTCGTTGTGCATAGTTTACAAATGGTGTGTTGATTGGATCAAGATCGGAAAGCCAGCTCCAAGTTTGCTGAACATGCTGATCAATATGTTCTTGGCACCAGGAAAAGTCGAGGAAGAGCTTTACAGCGGTCAATCGACAGTTCAGGTTGTTCTGTTGTTGATTGCATTGGTTGCTGTTCCATGTCTTTTGCTCATCAAACCATTGCACTTCAAGTACTCACACTCGCATCATTATGAAGGAGTCCCGACCGAATCCAATGACAACAACCTTCTCAGCAACCTCGATTTGGACGATGACGAAGAGCATGAGGAACACACTTTTGGCGACGTGATGATCCACCAGGTTATTCACACGATCGAGTTCTGTCTTAACTGTGTTTCTCACACTGCCTCGTACCTGCGTCTGTGGGCTTTGTCGCTTGCGCACGCACAGTTGTCGTCTGTTCTGTGGTCCATGACTATTGCACGCAGTTTTGCAGTCACTGGACTTGGTGGCACTATTTTCGTGTTCCTGATGTTTGGCATGTGGTTTGTGCTAACAGTCGCCATTTTGGTGGTCATGGAAGGTACCTCTGCCATGTTGCACTCTTTGAGATTGCACTGGGTCGAGTCCATGTCCAAGTTCTTCGAAGGTGAAGGTGTTCCGTATGATCCTTTCTCTTTCAAGATGGTGCTTGGTCTTATTTAGAGGTGTAAAGATGTGTAAGCAGAGGTAGATAAAAAGCATTTTTCTACGCTTAAAAAAGACTATCTACATTTATTAGTAATGGCTAATAAGAGCCGACCCAAGAAAACTCGGGGTCAGTTGTACAAGAAGTATGTTTACGGCGTGAAGGAGACGGTTGAGGAGGAAAATCTCGAGGCAGAAGAGTATTCCGAGCCACAAGTAGCCGTAAAGGACTCGTACAATTACATTTGGCCACTTTCTCAATTTCAGAAGATCGATGTCCTAAAGATGTCGATCGCTTTGCAAAGAGGAACCATGTTCTATGGCCAAGACCAGATGAAGTTACCCTTTGAGCTGATCCTTCTCATTCTAGAGCATTCGCAGACCCCATACTGTTTAAGTCATTTATTACTTAGCCGTGCATTCTACATCACGCTTCTTCCAAAACTCTACCGGTATCCAAAACTGAAGTCGTCGAACTTCTCGCTTTTTGTGGACACTGTGTCGCAATATCAAACCAAAAAAAGATTCAACGGATTCGTCAAGATTCTCGACCTTTCCCAGATCACGCAATCGGGTAAAAACTCGTACGTTTCAAAACTGCTACGACGGTTCAGCAACTCGTTGGAGATATTCATCTCTTCGCAGTCCAGCTTTGGTCTCTCTCCGCTTATTAGTTTGAGACTTTGTCACAACTTGAAAATCCTCGATCTCCGCTTAGTCTCCGAAACTGTCAATTTGAAAGAGCTATTTAATTCCATCAAATCAACTCCGCTACTTGAACAATTGTCATTCCCGCGCTCATCTATCTCATGCGAGGATTATGATATGGAGTGGCCGGCCAATCTGTGGTATTTGAGACTCCAAGGTGGAATATCTCCAAAATTCCTAACCGAGTCGAGATTCCCTTGTTCCATCACTTGCTTGGAATTTTCACACTGTCCCTTTATCACTGGAGAATCCCTCGACGACATGCTGGTGCGCATCGGCTACAATCTTCGGAGACTGGCAATCTACTATCCAATGCCAAAATTAAAGCCAAACTCTCTGGACACGGTCTTTCTTGACTGTCCAAACTTGGTGTATTTATACATAAACATCGAATACTTTTCGAAGGAGCTGTTCCAAGACGATCTACTTCCTCCTTTGAAAGAGTATCCGCGTCCATTGCGAACTCTGTGCATCGACTCCTCGGGACTTCTTGGTCAAGGATCTAAAATCCATCCGGACGACCTGACCATTGCTTTATGGGAGGAAAGACTACCGTGCCTTACAAGTCTGAAAATCAGCATGATGCTGGGTTGGAACTCGCAAAGCGACTCTGTTCAAGATCTTGTGAACGAATTAGAAGATAGAGGTGGGTCGCTGTACAAGATGTAACAAAGACACTTACATATCCAAAAATTAACTTAACGTCGCATTCTTACAAACTCTTATTCATAAATTTGCGTCTGGTGAAGGCGAGCCAGTACTTGCTTGGCAATGCGTCTGTGTAGATTCTAGCAATCAGTCTGTTGGCTAGCTCTTGTCTGAATTGAGCCAGGTATTGTCTTAGGAATAACGCCTCGTTCTTGTCTCTTGGTGGTTGGTACAGGGAGTTCAATGGGAACCCGATCTCACCGGGAATCGAAAAGTTGTCAAGGGACAGGTTGGTCAGAATACGCACCGCCTCATTTTGCGACGTGGAGGCGTTCAAAGCGTTGAGACATTGCGAAACAAACAGGATCCCGTAGATGAGCGTTCTGTCGGAAGGACCTCTGATTTCAAAGTTCTTAAAGAAAGAATTGGCTCTAAACAAGTCCAACACTTCGTCGATGATGTCGTAGTCTGACGTGGCCGGGAAGGCAGGTCCTTTAAACTTTGTGTTCAATGGCAAAACGGCGAAATTGCCCACCAAGCGTGAATCTTGCGACTCCTCAGCAAGAAAGGTGGAATGATAAGCCTAATTGGTTAGATTACAACTTGTTGGTACTTACTGGCATGTTTCAACTAACAAGATTAAATTTAAATGGTGCAAGGTGTTTTTTTCTGGGGACAAATGATTTTGCCGGAATGACCGGAGTGGCTGGTGCTCCCGCTAAAATTTGGCCGCAGTCCAGGCTGAAATTTAGCTCAAGCCCGCGAGCACTGGCCTTTTTTTCTCTCTCGTTCCCGCCCGCACGAGCAACTAGCCAAAAACAAGGAACAGCCAAAAGTTATTATTTTCCTTGAATGAACGGATTATAATTATATAATCCCTGCATTGCTGAAACACAGCCAACCTTTGATCTCTAAGTTCCATAAGATTGCCAATCGGACGTACTGCTGTTCACAAGTGGCGCGCAGCGACTTAGATCAGTATATTAATCATCCACCATGTATCGTCCGCAGCAAAACAACAACCAAAACCCTCATGTCAAGAGGCCTCCGCAACTGAACATTCCTTCCCAGCAGAACTTGTCGGTTGGGGACATCCCATCGTTACCACCGTCAAGATTCCAACATTTGAATCAGATGCCAAGTCCTCAAAATTATCAACATCAACAAAACTATCCACCTCCTCCACAAGGTGGACCCCAAAGACGGTACCTTGATCCTTCTCAGCCTCAACAACATCCACATCCTTACAGGCAGAATATTGCGTTCCAGCCACCAAGTCATCAGGATCATCATCTTCTTCCGATCCCCCAACCGCAGGCAAGAGAACAATATTATCCAGAGCAACCTCAGAACCAGCATCCTAATCCTCAACAAATGCGATCGTTCTCCGACTCATTACCTCGTCAAAGACAACCTCCACCGCATATGCCGGCTCTACCCCAAATGCATCAACACAGAGGCCCCCAACTAGCGAAAATTAACAGTCAGGCTCCTGTTCCTCAGCGATCGTATCTTCCATCGCCATCGCAACAGACACCTCCATCGTCTTCGGGACTTCATGAGCCAACCCAGAAAAGTCCGGTTATGCGTCAGTCCATTAATTTCTTGAGAGGTACCAGAAACATATCATCGCCTAGTCTTTCGTCGGATCATTACGAAAGATACAACGATCCCCAGCAGAATGGCGAGGGCTTGAAAAAGTATCATACTACGACCAGTAGACACCAGATGTCTTCTTCCGGAAGATTGATCCCCCAAAAAACAGACATTAATGCAGGTCCTCAAGAGGCCCCTAAAAAATCTCGAAGTTTTACATCTCTCACCAAGAGAGTTGCTTCTTCAAGCTCTTTGAGAAGTTCTACAGACAAAGACAAGCTATTGTCAGGGGGATCAATTAGTTCCAAAACGATTGTCACTTCCTCATCTACGAAAGTCCCATACGTCTACCCTGCTGTATTATCTAAAGTTGCCAAGGCTTTCAAAGAAAGAGTGCAGTTGGACTCCAAATTTAAAAATGGCCTTGAATACAGGGACTCATTCACGGGTTCCGAAGCCGTTGATGCAATTGCTCGGATCATTCGAACCTCCGACAGAAATCTTGCCCTATTGTTGGGCAGATCGCTGGACGCACAAAAGTTTTTCCACGATGTGACATATGAACATCGACTTCGCGACTCTAATAACGAGGTGTATCAGTTCTCAGAAGAGGTTTTCGATGTCTATACAAACGAGACCTCTGGTTTACAAAGACATGAATCTGTTAACTCAGATATTCATGAAATCGACAACTCCATTTCTCCACCAATGACATCTTCCCCAACCGCCCCATCGCATTCAAAGTCAAACTCTATCGGGGCTCCAGTTGTTGGAGTGTTCACTTTGTTGACCGAATGCTATTCTCCAACATGTTCACGTGATAATCTCTGCTACAGCATTGTTTGCCCACGCAGACTTGAGCAACAAGCTAGATTAGGTTCAAAGGCCTCATCATTAGCAAGATCTGACTCACGCCTCTCACTTACTCAAAAGGAAGAGCAGAAGGCTTTCTGGTCTCTGACAGTTCCTAAGAGTGTTCTTGACAGTCTGGATAAAAGAGAGGTTAAAAGACAGGAATGTATCTTTGAACTCATTTACTCAGAACGTGATTTCGTCAAGGATCTGGAGTATTTGAGAGAGTTCTGGATCAGGCCTTTGTCAGAAACCAAGATTATCAAAGAAAATGAGCGTGAGCATTTTGTCAACACTGTGTTTTTCAACATTAACGAAATTTGGGAAATCAATTCAAAGTTTGCCGAAGCATTGACTAAAAGACAGCAAGAAAAACCAATCGTTGATCAAATTGGAGATTTGTTCCTAGAATTTATTCCAAGGTTTGAGCCTTTTGTGAAATATGGTGCAGGTCAAGTGAAGGGAAAGTATGAATTCGACAGACAGAAGAGACACAATCCGTTTTTCGTGAGATTTATCGAGGATACAAGTAATAGAGCGGAATCACGCAGATTAGATGTTTCATCATATCTTTCCAAGTCAACCACTCGTCCTGCAAGGTATCCCCTTCTTTTGAAGAGTGTCAGAGATCATACAGATCCAGAATCAAAAGATTACGAGAATCTTAATAAAGCAATTGAACTTCTGCAAAAAATGTTGACAAGAATCAATTATGAAACAGGTAAGGCTTCGGACAGGCTCAATCTCTTCCTGTTGAAACAGAAGCTTGTTTTCCGTCCTGGTGAGTATATTGATCTTAGATTGACTTCTGAGCACCGGAAGCTGTTGTATCAATGCGTTCTGAAGAAACGGAATTACCAGGATAGGGAAAAGCAAGGAGAAGTTCAAGTGTATTTGTTTGACCATGCATTGTTGTTCATCAGAATAAAGATTGTCAACAAGCGTGAGGTTTACAGAGTCTACCAAAGACCAATCCCATTGCCTTTATTGTTTGTTTCTTTATCAGAGGAAAGTCCCTCAATTAAGCAAATAAAGAAGTCCGCTTCAACGGGTTCGCTCACGGGATCTAGTTCATCATTGTTGTTCAAGGATGCTCAAGCACCTGGGGGTCTCAATCTAGCCACCAACTCTGCCAGATTCCCAATATCTTTCACATATCTTGGTAGAAGTGGCTACGATTTGACTCTATATGCCACTCCACCAATCCAAAGAATGTTGATTGACAAATTAGAGACGCAGACACGCAAGCTGATTGAAGATAACGATGTTTACACTCTTACCCCACTAACGTCTAATTTCTTCGACAGCAACAACAAGATCAACTGTGTCGTTCCATTTGATGGTGGAAGAAAACTTCTTTACGGGACGGATGCCGGTATCTATGTTAGTGATGTCCGGGTGAGCGACAACGGAGCCAGAATAGTTTCGAAACCGTTGAAAATCATCAGCAAAATTAATATCATTCAGGTGGAGATTCTAGGAGAATATCAGACGCTTCTTGCACTGAGTGACAAGAAACTGTTTTACTGGCCTAGCGATGTGCTTAATGGAGGCGATCCTGCCAAGAATGCCAAGCTAGGCAAAGAATTAATGACGCATGTTTCATTTTACAAGACTGGAGTTTGCGCGGGACGAATGCTTGTTTGCGCTGCAAAATCGTCGTCTAATTTGATCAGAATTTTCGAGCCTATTGATCCTGTGAACCAGAAAAGACAGAAAAGAAAGTTTTCAAGCGAGACCAAGGATGTTTCATTTAACTCTGAGCCCGTTTCTATCAACTTCCTCAAGACGAAGTTGTGCGTTGGATGTTCCAAAGGATTTGAGATTGTTTCGTTGGAAACCAACGAGATCAAACAACTTTTGGATGCCGCAGATACTTCTCTTGACTTTGTGATAGGAAAGGAGGGGTTGAAACCGCTCGAGATTGACCGGATCAATTCTGATTTCCTGTTGAGTTACTCTAACTTTTCCTTCTTCATTAATCACAGTGGATGGAGATCGAGATCCAAGTGGATTATTTACTGGGAGGGAGTTCCACATGCGTTTGCCTTGTGGTATCCGTACCTCTTAGCCTTTGAGAATGGTTTCATTGAAATCCGTCATGTTGAGAGCGGAGAGCTTCTTCGTGTGATTATAGCTGAGAACATCCGTTTCTTGCACTCGAGCTCGCAAGAGATTCTTTACGCTTATGAGGACGAGAGAGGCTACGATGTGGTTGCATCTCTTGACTTTTGGGATAAGAGCAAGAAAAATAGATCTCGTGGAAACACTCTACAGACAGCGACGAACACCAGCGAAAGCACTCTGACTACAGCGGTGGAGAGGTGATCCAAAACGATTACGAATGTATTTTATAGTTGAAAACATAGCACTGCCTTGAATTACATATAATTATTTCTGACAAAAAAACAGAGAGATAATTACGGTGCGGTCATGAGCGACCTTCGACATGGGTTATTAAATGACCAATCACAGCTGAATCTTCTTCAGTCGCACTATTATTCTCACTATGATCTGAAACGTAATACCATGAGTGCCAATCCGTCTTCTGAGGACGAGAGTTACAAGATTCCGGATTGGAAGTCTCAGTCTAACAAGAGGAAAACCACGACGGCAGCTCTTGTTCTATGTTTAAATTTGGGTATTCCTCCTCCAGATATTCAAAAACCGAGCGATTGTCCAGTGTTGGAGTCGTTTGTCGATCCTACAACCTATTCAGACTCCAAAAAAGCTTTACAGGCAATTGGTAAGAATCTACAAGTTAACTACGAATCTTGCGAGGGAGTCAGCTCGCGGATCAAGTACAAGCAATCGTTGGACCCATCGGTAGAGGACTTGAAGCGACTTTGCACGACGTTGCGAAGAAGTTCAAAAGACGAGCGCATTTTGTTCCATTATAATGGACATGGTGTTCCTCAGCCAACACAGAGCGGTGAAATCTGGGTTTTCAACAGAGGTTACACCCAATATATTCCTGTCAGCTTGTATGATTTGCAAAGTTGGCTTGGAGCTCCGTGTATTTTTGTTATAGACACTTGTGGAGCCGGCAATGTGATTGAAAATAATAAGAAGTTCATACAAAAGCGCATAGAAGACGAGGCTAATCAACGTGCGGAATCAAATGCGCCTTCTCCTGTCAGCGCGTACTTAGAATCCATCCAGCTTGGTGCTTGTCGGTCCGACGAGATTCTCCCGCTGAATCCAGACCTTCCGGCAGATTTGTTCACTTGCTGTTTGACCAGTCCGATCGAGATGAGTGTTAAATGGTTTGTGCTTTCGTCGCCGTTGAGCAGACATGGATACTACGAGGTGTTGAAAAACAAGGAAGGAGAAATCATTATCCCTGGAAAACTCACAGATAGAAGAACACCATTGGGCGAACTGAACTGGATCTTCACTGCAATCACAGATACTATAGCATGGACTTCTCTTTCGAGACCATTATTCAAAAGGCTTTTCCGCCAGGACTTGATGGTCGCTGTATTGTTCCGCAATTTCCTGCTGGCCAAGAAAATTATGCCTCTGGTTGGATGCCATCCAATCTCAGATCCACCGTTGCCGGACATCAACAATCACCCAATGTGGGAATCCTGGGAGCTGGCGATCGACGAACTGTTGTCTCAACTGGTGAAGAACAAGGAGAACGATAAAAATTCACACCCAGAACAGTTGGACATACCCCAGCTACAAGTTCCTGAAACTCAAACACAGCAAAATGGAGCTCCTCCAAACTCATCCATCATGAACTATCAGCATTCTTCATTTTTTGAACAGCATCTTACTGCTTTTGAGATTTGGTTGCAATACGGGTCATCCACCAAAGAACCACCTCAGCAATTACCAGTGGTGTTGCAAGTGCTGTTGTCCCAAGCACATCGTCTTAGAGCTCTGATTTTGCTATCTAAGTTCCTAGACCTTGGACCATGGGCAGTGTATCTTGCTCTAAGCATTGGTATCTTCCCATACATCGTTAGGCTATTGCAAAGTCCGGCACCAGAACTAAAGCCAGTGCTGACTTTCATCTGGGCCAGAATCATGTCTGTCGATTACAAGAACACTCAGCAGGAACTCTGCAAAGATAGAGGCTACAACTATTTCGTCTCCATTTTGACCATGCAAACGAGACCACATTTTGGCGAGTTATCCAACGGCAACGGCCAGATGGAGGTGAACGATTCTAATTACGATGAACAAAAGGCCATGAGCGCATTTATTCTTGCAATGTTTGTGAGAGACTATGAGCCTGGCCAAAAACTATGTTTCTCCATTGATTTGGTCAAGACATGCATTTTTTACGTTGAGACGTCAGAAAGTCCTTTGCTCCGTCAATGGAGTGCTCTTCTAATTTGCGAGCTTTTGAAGAACAACATGGAAGTGATCATTGTGTTCTTGAGAAGCGGTTTCACTGACAAATTATTGCAGATTATCAATGATCCTATCCCTGAAATTCGGGCCTCGATTATCAACTGTTTCTATAACTTTATTTTGTTAGACCATGATGAAGATCTTGACCAGAATCCAATGCGAGATGACCTCAACAAACAGGAGATCAAGATCGCGATTGACATTTTGGATTTGATCAACGACGGATCACCATTAATCCGCAGAGAAGTGACATGTTTCTTTAGCAGATTTGTGTTGAAGTATCTCCAGTTTTTTCTGGTTAGTGCTTTTGGCCAATTGGAAGAGGAGATCACATTGGTGGATAATCCAAGCATGATCGACGAAGTCCGACGCAAGTCGCCTGCTTATGGTTCGGTGTTCTCTTCTGTTTGGAAGGCTCTGCTGATTCTAAGTGAGGATCCCCAGGATGAGGTGAAGGACTATGCTGAGCAAGTTGTTGACTACATCCTCTGGAAACTGAATGAGAGCGCCCTCGGTGAGGTGGTTGGCAAGATGGAGGATTACTTGCTACAGAAAAGAACAACAAGCAGCAACATATTCTCGTCAGAGCCTCCTCTTCGTCCGTTGTCCACAAACGGCATGGGTCCAAAGCTTTGGAACAGCAACGGTACAGCCAACGGCAGAAGAGTCCAATCTTTGGATGTGAACAACACCCGCAAGTCGGCACCATCTCAAACTACTCGACAGACCTCAACGTCTTCAACCCAGTCGCTCTCCGACAAGTTTTTCTCCAAGTTGAGTTTAAATCATATTCTTAAAAATCTGGGCATTCCAGAGTCAGAGGAAACGGACACTTCCAGCATCCATAAATTCAATTTGTTGCTTCAACAGCCAGCATCACTTGCATACGGAGTCGAGCCTCGGCCAACTTCACCGCGGTTCCATCCTCGTCCAAAAACAAATAGCTGGCCTGTTCTGCCTTTGACTAGTGGATTCTTCCAATACAGTTGCGAGTATTTCCAGGAGCCACAGATCGGAAGCAGCGAATCTGATGAGCCAGGAAGTGAAGACTACACGAAAGGTATCTGGCGTCGGAATAGAAACGAAGCTATCATTGCGGAAACACAACCACAGAAAGAGCTCTCATTGACTGGTAACTGGAAAAATCTGGTTACTACATTGGACAACAAAACCCAACCTAAACTACTGAAATTTGCACAGTTTGAGAACTGGTTAATCACTGGAGATGAAAAGGATAATGTGACCGTCTTCGACTGGGAAAAGGAAACGCAACTGTCGCGGTTCTGTAATGGCAATCCGTTTGGAACTAAAATCACAGACCTCAAGCTACTGAATGAGGACGACATCCCATTGCTTCTCACTGGATCTAGTGACGGTGTGGTCAAGATCTACAAGAATTTCCAGGACCCTAGCTCGTTCCAGATGATTACCGGTTGGAGAGCGCTTACAGATACGCTTTTAACTCCCCGTTCGATCGGATTGATCTCAGAATGGCAGCAGAGTCGAGGATCGTTGCTGGTGACAGGAGATGTCAAGATCATCAAGATCTGGGATGCGCCAAGAGAGAAGTGTGTGAGCGATGTTCCAATGCGCTCTACGTCGCTGATCACGTCGCTCACGTCTGATCAGGTGGCAGGAGATATCTTCGTGGGAGGTTTCCAAGACGGCAGCATGAGAGTTTACGATAGAAGACTGGATGCGCGCGACTCTATGGTGAAACTCTGGAAACCAAAAGATATGCAGAGCCGCAGCTTGATCAAGAACGTGCACATGCAACGTGGAGGGTTAAGAGAACTAGTGTCTGGATGCTCCAACGGATTGGTGCAACTATGGGATATTCGACTCAATGATCCAATTGTTCGGTTCAAGGCGTTTGACAAAACCATGACGACGGCCATGATCCACGAGCATGCTCCGTTCATAGCGTGTGCTTCCAAAGAGGTTGACATTTACTCCACAACGGGTAATTTGGTGGCTAATATCTCCAACAATAGATTCATGAACACACTCAACGGAACGGCCCGCACAAACTTCTATGTGAACGCATTGATGCTGCATCCGCATCGTCTCATGACTGCAGCCAACTACCACCAAAGCTCTGTTGTGAATATCTACCAGTGTGAAGAGCAATCCGAACACTAGAACGTTCTGCTTAGCTAATGCAAATTATTAAGTGCTTATTTTTTATTACTAGCCCATTAGTCAATTATTTCCAGGCTGTGCTATTACTAAACCGTTACTAAGTACTGGTGAGTAGTATAAAAAGGGTGTAAAATTGATCAAGGTTGAGTATCATTCTGAAAATGGTTTCTTTCCGTACAATTCTAAAGTCACTCTACTGTGTCGAACAAGCTGAAGGTGTTGGTGCCAAAGTGAGACGCTCAATTGGTACCATGGGCATGAGAAACTTCTCTCCTTTCCTTATGTTGGATCATTTCAATGTGAGTCCAGACGCAGGGTTCCCTGATCACCCCCACAGAGGACAAGAGACAATCACTCTTGTGATGAAAGGTCAGTTTTTCCATGAGGACTTCACTGGATCTGCTGGTGTTCTGAATGCTGGTGATTTGCAATTCATGACTGCAGGTAAAGGTATCTGCCACTCTGAGATGCCATACTCCGAGGATGGTACCAATGTGGAGGGAATGCAACTTTGGGTTGACCTTCCAAAAGATTTGAAGCATACTAATCCTCGTTACCGTGACCTGAGAGACGCTGAGATCCCTGTTGCTGAGCCTAACGATAAGGTTAAAGTCAAGGTTATCAGTGGTAAGTCTTATGGAGTCGAGTCTGTCAAGGATCTTGCATACACCCCTATTGACTACTACAACTACACTGTTCAACCAGGTGGAGAAGTTGTCCAGGAAATTCCTGCTGATTACAACGCTTTCCTCTACATTCTTAAAGGATCGTTGAACATTGAAGATACGATCATCCCGCAATTCAACGCTGTTTTCTTCAAGAGAGACGGTGACGCTATCAAGGTCTCTGTTCCCGAGGACTCGGAGGAGACCAACTTCGTGATAATCGGTGGACAGGTTCTGGACCAACCAATCATTCAGCACGGTCCGTTCGTCGAGACCACGAAGGAAGGAATATATGAGGCCTTCATGGACTACCAATACGGTCGTAACGGTTTCGAGCGTGCCCGTGGATGGCACAGCAAAATAGGTAAGGGCGTTGATGAAAAACTCTACCGTGTGCTCACCGGCGAGTCTGAGAAAAATTCGCAACCGCTCAAAGACGAGTTGTAATGATTAGTATTTATTTAATATAGGCACCTGAGTTTAATTTTTATATCATTTAATTTTTTCCATCTTTTCGGAGATAAAACATACAGCAAGGCTTCCTTGACCATGTCACAGATAGATGTCCTGGAAGACGCCACGCTCTCCAGCATGGAGTCTAGAAGTGAAAGCTTGTCGGGATCAGATATCACAATCACTCAGCGGATGTTGAGCGCTTGCACGGGGTCGCTGCTCACTTCGCTTGTAGTTACCCCCTTCGACGTGGTACGGATTAGACTTCAGCAGCAACAGTTACTGTTCCCTGCTCAGCTTCGCCAGTCTGCTATCTGCTGTCAGAAGGTGTTTTGGGAAGATCCTACGAAACCAAAAGTGGATCATTTCTGCTCCCATCATTCATGTGCTCAAGAATTGAAAATTAACGGAACCATCTCGGGGTTAGCCAAAATCGCCTCCAAAGAAGGTGTCTTCACGCTTTATCGAGGATTGTCTTTGATGCTGGTGATGGCAGTGCCTTCCAATATGGTGTATTTCAGCGGGTACGAGTACCTAAGAGACAGATCGCCCTTCAAAGACGACCATCCTGTTCTAAACCCGTTATTGTGTGGTTCGGTGGCACGTATTCTGGCAGCAACTGCTGTCGCACCGTTGGAACTCATAAAGACAAGACTTCAAGCCGTGCCTACTTCCCAGCACACCTCGTCGCAGATCATGAAGATGGTGGTGGCAAACTCGCTGAATGAGGTCAAATCAAACGGACTTGTTTCACTATTTAAAGGTCTCCAGCTTACACTGTGGAGAGATGTGCCCTTTAGTGGGATCTACTGGGCCTCGTACGAGTTTCTGAGTGATCATCTTCAATCGGTTTCTTTCTATGAATCTCCAGAGTACCAAAACGCAGAGATTTTTACCAAATCGTTCATCGGAGGATCTCTTTCGGGAGTTTTGGCCGCAATCTTTACTAATCCCTTTGATGTTGGCAAAACAAGACTCCAAGTCTCGATCGAAGAGTCTGCTCCAGCAGGAACTTTGAGCAAACTTGCTAAAAAGCCAAAAGACTCCATGTTTAAATCGCTGCACACAATTTATAAAAACGAAGGTTTCAATTCACTGTTCGTTGGACTTGTTCCACGGTGTTTGAAAATCGCCCCCTCTTGTGCCATAATGATCTCCACTTATGAGATCACCAAAAAACTGTTTGCTGAGATGTCCTAGGTCTTGGACGTTGTTAAGCAAATTACCATCCTTCACCGGCGCGGGATTTCAAAACGCTAGGTATGCGGATTCCTAGTCTTCCCGGCATCGCCAGGCTTTGAGATGAGCCTGGTGGATCGTTCAAATTCTGTTTCACAAAGGAGCACGTGCTGGAGTGATGGGTATGTTCACTCTTTAGCTGACAGCCGCAGTCAGGGCATTTTAAAGGCTGAGTTTGAAGATTGTTAATCTCTTCTTTCAACTCAGATCCAGTCAAGTGCTCTGTACTGGCGCCAACCGCAGCCAACCCAGCTCCGTTCATAAGAGTTGAGTATTTCTTCTTCTTGCTTCCAACAGGTTTAATCTCCTCATTGCGACCTTTGAAGTGATTTTCCTTGTTTTCGGAAGTTTCTCTGGATCCGATGTACTGGATCTTGTCAGAAGAGTCGTCTAGTAAATAGCTTTTGCGACAGTTGTAAATAGAATCAGCATTTAGGTATTCGAAAAACTCATTGCATCCTTCCTTGATATCGGATGATGCGCTTTGCATGCTGAGAACATAATCAACTAAAGAGCCCTGTAATGAAGTGTTGATTGACTTGACTAGTTGTTCATCCACCACTTCGATCGAAATGCTCAATTCCTCAAGTGCTTCTCTTGATAAACATGTATTGTGATTATCACCAATTTTGCGCTCCTGGTCCCGTAGCTGCTTGAAAGTGCGTGCTCGTTTTAGTTTGAGCTCGGCAGATTTAGACTCTCTTTGGGAAACATGGTACAGTTGCAAATTGATATTCTCCTTCTTTCTAATGAGCTCTTCGTCTAATCTACCTTGCAATTCCCCAATTCTGCTAAACTCAACAAGCAATCTCTTGTTCTCACCATTGTTGAGAACATTGATCCAATGAGAAACGCCAGTCAGAAACTCATGTCTTCTCTTGAGTGTTTTCTTCTCCGCGTTGATTAGTTTTCTTAATTTATACATAACAGAAGCGGCGCTTGGGGTATCTGGACTTTTGGCACCAATGAATTCAAGAGTTTTCATCAATGGGTTCATCAAATTGCCTGAATGACTGGTATTTTGGTATTGAAGGAAACTTGAGCTGGAGTCCAAAGAGGTGCCCAAGTTTCCTGGCTGGTGATAAATCGAAGAACTGTGCAGCGGACTAGAAGGAAGAGATCCCGATTGGGTACTCTTTTCTCCCAATCTGGCATTGGAAATCAACGAGTTGAAGTATCCTTCCTGATTCATCTAGAGTTGGAAAAGAATAAAGGGTATAATTAATTAAGGATCTTTTTCCCCTTAATTTGACGCCGAGACGTGCTAGTACAGATCTGGATGAAAAATAAATAGTTGAATAAATTTATTGTTCTATAAAATGGGTTCTTTCGAGCTAGTCTCTTCGTTCGAAGTGGATTATGCGCCCGTTTCGGTCAAAAAGTGGAAGTCTTCCAGGACTGGGCTTGAGTTATGTTTGATCGACCAAGAGTGCCCGATAGTCAACGGATGGTTTGCCGTTGCGACTGAAATATTTAACGACAGCGGATGTCCACATACCCTGGAGCACCTTGTGTTCATGGGATCAAAGAAATACCCATACAAAGGACTGCTAGATGTGTTAGGTAACTTGTCTTTTAGTTCGACGAACGCATGGACTAGTACAGACCAGACTGTTTACACATTAACCACTGCTGGTTGGGAAGGTTTCAAAATGCTTCTGCCAGCATACTTGGATCATGTGTTGCACCCCACTTTGACTGATGAAGCATGTTACACAGAAGTCTATCATGTTGATAGTGAGGGAAAAGAAAAAGGTGTGGTTTACTCCGAAATGGAGGCCATTGAGAGTCAATCTTATTTTGTCACAGAATTGGAGAAGCAAAGAACGCTGTACCCGAAATCTGGATATAAATCCGAAACAGGTGGACTTCTGAAAAATCTACGTGTTCTGACAAACGATGAAATCAGAAAGTTCCATGCTGACAACTACCGTCCGGATAATCTGTGTGTGATTCTTGCTGGTACTGTTGATGAAAACGAGTTGCTTGAGTGTCTTGAAAATTTTGATGCTGAGCTACCGGAAAGATCAGCAGGCAACAAGAGACCGTTTGTTGACTCGGAGCAAGACGAACCATTGAAATCAAGCATTGTGAAGACCGTTTATTTCCCAGACGAAGACGAGTCTTCAGGATCCTTATCCTTAGCATATTGCGGTCCAAAAGGTGTTGATTTGGTCTCGTGCCTGGCTGTTGAGGTTCTTGGAAAATACCTGACTTTTTCCTCCGTCTCGCTCTTTAACAAATACTTTATTGAAGTTCAAGACCCGCTCGCCACATACACATCCTTTTACACCGACGACTATATTCAAACGACCATGAATATTGAATTTTCCAACGTCCCGGTCGACAAATTAGACGATTTCCCTTCAAAAATTACAAAGCTGCTTCAGGATCATGCAAAAGAGCTAGATCTCGAACGTATCAAAGATATCATTGATCAAACAAAATGGGACCTTATTTACGAAGCTGAAAGCAGCTCTGAAATGTTTTCGACATCGTTAATTTTCCAGTTTTTGTACGGTGACAAATCTAGCAAAGACTTACCTGCCTACTTGAAGAATCTTGATGATTACGAAGAATTACTGTCGTGGGATCTGGAGAAGTGGACAGAATTATTCAAGAAGTATTTTGCGGAAAACCCTTCATTGACCATTCTTACCAAACCATCGGCTGAGCTTTACAGGTCTACCAAGAAAGAGAACAAGCACATGATTAAAGATAGAAAAGCCGAATTGGGTAAAGACGGATTAGCCAAACTTGGTGAAAAGTTAGAGGCAGCCAAGAAGAAGAACGATGCACCTATTCCAGACCAAATTTTAGAGTCCTTTGGACAGCCCGACCCTGCAAAGATCAATTTCATCTCGACTGAATCTATTGCAACCGGTACAAACAAAGATGTTGTGAACGACCTTACTTTGGATTCCACAAAGAAGATTTTGGCAGATACTGCACCAGAGTTCCCATTATACGTTCATTTCGAGAACATCAAGTCAAACTTTGTGACAATCGACTTGCTGTGTTCCACTTTCGAGATCGATAAAGATCTCTTGAAGTACATCCACATATTTGATACGCTATTCAGTTTACCAATCGAGGAAGACGGTAAGGTTATTCCCTACGAAGACGTTGTGAAGCAGCTTCAAAGAGATACAGTGCTAGCTACCGTCTCAACTTCGTTTGAGTACAATTTCGACGAACTCCTTACTTTCCGTATTATTGCGAGATCTGAGAATTATGAGAAGTCAATCAACTGGTTCACCAGACTGCTTTTCAATACCAAGTTTACCAAAGACAGAGTCAAGGTTGCTGTTGAAAGAGTTGTGAACGCTTTACCGGAACAGAACCGTTCTGGATCGTTTATGTTGAAGACTATATTTAGCAAACACATGCTGAGTGAAAGGTCTATCGCGAGAGCTGGGCGTCCGTTCATTGAAGAGGACTTTTTGAGAGGCTTGTTGGAGAAAATTGATACAGATTTCGACTCTGTGGTTGGACCATTAGAGAAATTCCGTCAACAATTGCTGAAGCTGAACAATTTCCGTGTGCTTGTTGTTGGAGATGTTTCTAAGCTTGAGCATCCTGTTTCGCAATGGGAGAAGTTCATATCCGTTCAAAAGAGCACAAATGAAGATATCACCATGATCCCATATACATCCAAGGTTCTCTCCAAGGATGGACAAGAAAAGTCTGACAAATGCTACATGGTGACTACTCCTGGATCGTCATCCAGTTTCATGAGCTTGATCACAAAGATTCCATTAGATGTCAACTCTCCAGATGCTGCGAAAATCATCCTTGCAGCAGAATTCCTCGAGTGTGTTGAAGGACCTTTCTGGAGAGGTATTCGTGGTACTGGATTGGCTTATGGTGCCAACATTTACAAGTCAGACGAGTTTGGTTTCTTGTCGTACGCTATTTATCGTGGCGCCGACTTGGAGAAGTGTTTCGAAGTTGGAAAGGAAATCATCGAATCTTATGCTACCGGAAAGACTCCTATCGACGAGAAGATGCTACGAGGGGCTGTTTCTTCTGTCGTTAATAGTCTTACCGATAGACAGTCTAACTATGCTAAGGCTGCATGGAGGAAGTACTATGATGATGTCTTAATCAAGCGTGGGCCAAACTACAACCAAAAGCTGATGAAAGCTTTGGCAGCTGTTACTGCTGAAGACGTGCTTGACATTTTGAACAGATATTTTGTTCAATTGTTTGATCCTGCTACATCTATGTGTTTCATCAGTTGCAACCCTACAAAGTCAGAAAATATCGAGAAGTTCTTCTTGGGCAAAGGTTACAAGGTTACTGTGGAGCACGTCACAGCAGGAAATGACGAAGGGGATAATGACGACAGCGAAGACGACGAGGATGAGGAGGATGAGTCCGACGACGATTCTGACGAATCCGACTCCGAGGAAGAATCTGATAGTGAATAATTCGATGATTAAATCTAGATAGTCATAAATCCCATACTATTTCTTCTTTTCTGACACCTTTTGCTCAACATTGAGTCCTGCGTAGGTACCCACCTTCTTTTTGAGGTCTTCAAGGTAGTTGGTAACCACGGCTTCTGTTTCCGTGGTTGCCTTGTCGGTATCTTCGATAAGTTTACCTGCCTTGTTGTAAAGTTCTTGCTTTTTGGTCCATAGGTCAGGTTGAGTTTTCTTTTGGTACAAATCAAACCAAGAAGAAACATTGGCAAAGGTGGAAGGCAGGAACACTCTGAATGCTGTCACTCCGCAAACCAACGGCACCGTAGCTCTGACCAGGATGTTGCTTCTACGTGTGAACACCACACCGGTTAGAAAGCCCGTTAGCACATAGAGCGAGTTAGGGAACAATTCTTCCCTTTTATCATGGAGAGAAGACAAGGTATCTGTGACTTGTCTCTCAACTTTGTAGTATTGTTCTGATTGCTCGACGTATTTTTCTTTTGCAAGATCCAGATACTCAATCAGCTGTAGTCTTGCGTTCTTAATGTTTTCTTGTAGAAAGTCGACTTTTGGCTTTTCGAGGCCTTGTGCAGCGGTTTGCTCGGTTGGCAGAGCTTGTGTGGGAAGTCCTGGAACGGTATTTTCTGTAGTGGACTCGTAGAACTTTCTTTTCGATTCAGCCTTGATGGAAGAGCCCTTGGCATACACAATGGCAGCTCCAAGAGGAAACCCGATCTAAGATGTTAGTTAGCCATTCCAATTATCACTTACTTTCAGAGATCTGTACATGTTGTTGATTAAATATCACGTTGGATTTAATTTGTCTGGGCCGATCGACGGGAGGAAGACGGCGACGGAAAAAATTTTCAAAAAGGGTACTATAAGGTTTCTTTGTATATTACACAAGATGACCGAACAAACAACGCAACAGCCGAAGCTTACGGCGGAGCAGATCGAGATTGCTCAGAAATATGATCTGACTCCCAAGTTTATCCAGTTTTTGGACAGACACTTAATCTATCCATTGGTTGAGAACTTGGATTCGATCTACACCTCCAAAGAGGTCGAGTCTATGGAGTATGACCTTTTGAAAGAGACCTATATGACCAAATTCATCAAAGAGAAATTCGACCATCTTTACCCTGGCAAAGAGCTGCCAGCCGAGTTCATCGAGAAGGAGAAGGCCATTGAACAAGAATTCAATGAATTGGACAAGGCAACCAGCAAGACCTTGGAAATCCTTGCATCCAAGGACGTCCAGGAGTCTCTTAAACAGGACAAAACTTACAACAGAGAATACCTTTCGAAAAATCACCAAATCGATGATGCTAAGATCTTGGAGCTGTACAAGTTTGGTAAATTCCAATACAACAGAGGAGATTATGTCGTTGCATCCGACCTTCTTAACAATTTCAGACTCCTTTCTGTCAACCAAGATTTGAATTTGAGCGCAACCTGGGGTAAGATTTCTTCTGAGATCATTACCGAGTCTTGGTCCGATGCTTTGGAGGAACTTAACAAATTGAGAGAAATCATAGACAACAGACATTTCAAAGGTACCACTCTTGACCAGTTGAACAAGAGAACGTGGTTGATCCATTTCTCTCTGTTCATCTTCTTCAACTCCGAGAACGGTCTTGAGAGTTTGGTGGATCTGTTCTTCTCTTCCTCGTACCTCTCCACGATCCAGGCTTCCTGTCCTTGGATCTTGAGATACTTGATTGTTGCCGTCATCAGCTCCAAGCCTCAACTGAGACAAAAGAGACTCAGAGATCTCATCAGAGCTGTGCAGATCGAAGACTACGAGTACCAGGACCCATTCACCAACCTTATTCAAATCTTATATGTTAACTACGAGTTGGACAGACTTCCAGCCGTCATGAAGCAGGTTAAGGTGGTTTCTGACGTTGACTTCTTCATCAGCCACCTCAACACCGCAGAACTTTATAAGAACGCCCAAGGTCTGGTGTTGGAAACCGTTGGAAAATTGTACAAGGTTGTTTCCACAGAGCAACTGAAAGAGTTCATCAACGACGAAAGCCTCGAGCTCACCTCTACTAAGGAGAACTTCGACGTGCAAGGTGACAAGGTGCTGATCAGCAGCGCAGAGTCCGGCTCTGTTTACCAACAGGTGTACGAGAAGACCAAAGCATTCAACTTCAAGACCAACCAATTGCTCAACAACGCTTTTGGAATCAATTCCCACAACCATAAACAGCCTACTCAGGAGGCCTGAATAAATATGTGTGATACGTTAATTCTATTTACATTAGCTCCATGTCCTATTTACTTTCTCTCGGAACCACTTTGTAGTTCTTGAACTCTTTATGGAATCCGTTGGTATCCGATTTCATTCTTGGAGTGGTTTCTTCGGACACGTCTTGGTACCATCTTTCTTTGCAAACGTCCACTGCTTTTCTGAATGTCTCTTCGGCATCATTTCTGTGTAGAAGTAATGAGTTCACGTTTTTCCGTGTCAGCTTGTCAAGAGGCAGACCCTGCTGCTCTAGTCTGGCGACGACTCTGGCTAAGTACCAGAACTTGAGTTCTCTGGTGGATGAATCCACTAGTTCCAACACGGCCTGTGGTGCGTTGTCTCCCAATCTAGGCTCCAATTTGATTATTCTGGTGAAACCGCTGTCTCTGTTTGCGTATCTGGTGGTGAGTTCGTTGATCATCTTTGGAACAACAACTTGGGGCTTATAAAGCTCGGCGCCCAGCTTTGAGCGTAGTTTCTCAAGTTCTCCTGAAGCTTTGTATTTTTTGGACTTGGTGATGAGATTTTCCACAAGCGCTTGAGTTCTCTTGGCTTTGGCGAGCGTCGTGGTCACACTCTCATACTCTATGAGAGATGCTCCCAGGTTTCTGAGCATATGCCGCAGCTGCTTGGCGTTTCTTCCGAGAGGCATACTGATCAAAATTCGATATTGAAAAAAGCTTTCTTTCAGTGAAAATTCTTGCGGGCTCGGAACCACTTGGGCCAGGGTTATTTTTTATTTGGGTGTGAAGTAAATATTAAAATATTCATTAAATGGCCGGTCGTATCCATGGATTCTTGGGCGGAGTATTGCTCACGGGTTCTCTCGCATACTTGACATCTCGTGAGTTTCGCATAAACCAAGGAATTGTCTCGCAATCTTTGAGAGAATCATCAAGAATCATCGAAGAAAGAAACCTGCCGGTTCCTCACCAATCAAACGTGTTGCAATACCAGGACAAAACCGTGTCCGAAAGCATCAAAGACATCTGGAACCACGAGGTTATCAAGAGTGTTAATTATTTGTATTCCCTTGATTTTGCTTCTGTTGGGGAATCCATTACCAAAAGTATAGACAAACTTATAAATAAGGACTGAACGAGACTTCATTTTTGCTTTTTGGCGGAGTTGAACTGCTTTCTCACAAGACTCTCGTGGTAGAGATCGATCAGCCTGCCGAAAAGGGCGCCGATCAAGCTCAAAAAGATCTGAGCAAACCACCATTCACGAGGATTGAATCCAAGACTAAAGGAAGCAATCACCCAACCAATGAGATCCGTAAAGATATAGAGTTTTCCTTTCTCCAGAGACTTGAGCACGATACTAGCGCACTCGTCGGCCGGGATTGCAGGGGATGGCCCTTCTATTTGGGCTGTAAGGGCAGGTTTGGTCAGCATTTCCTCAGCGTATCCTTCGGACTGGAAATTTCCAGGGAAAACAGTATGGACCTTGACTCCGTATGGTAGAAGCTCTTGTCTCAAACTGTCTGACAAAGCCTTGACAGCTGCTTTCAAAGGCGTGTACTGAGAGTATCCGTAATACGAGTAGAACGCAACCACCGACGAACAGAACACCAGGTGCTGTTCGCGAACCGGTTCTGTAATCAAGGGCAACATAGCGTGAACCAAATAGACTGCGGTTTTGTAGTTCACGTCAATACCTTGGTCGATCTTGGCAACAGGCATTTTGATGAATTCCTCAGGATAGGCATCACCCGCACAACAAATAAGATGGTCTGGATACAGCTGTTTAGCAACGAAGTACTCGCGGACCTTCTCGCATTCTGCGTACTTGGACAGATCAGCAGCAATGTAATCAACAAACTGGTTCTCCTTCTCCACCCGTTTTTTCAGTTCAGCGACACATTTGGTCAATTTGGATTCTGTACGGGAAATGATCACGACATTGGCACCTTTTGAAACCAATTTTTTAGCCAGTGCAAATCCCAGTCCTTGAGATCCACCTGTGATAACGGCCAATTTACCTTCCACAACAAACTTGTTAGAGAACATCAGTGAAGTTTGTAATTATCAAGAAACGATAAGATCTTAAAAAATTATGTGTGATTCTTACTTAATATAATAAAAGAATTTCCTTGGCGCAATAGCACGCTATTGGATTCCCGATGGCAGGGTTCAGGTACAGTTAGTCGAAAATGATTCACTGTTTGGGCTTATCAGGAGGACGCAGCTGCTTTGCTCTTTTTTCCATTTTGGTCTTGAGATCTTTTTCAAAACCGAATGCGAAAACGAGCTCCCACAGGACAAAATAAGGTGCAAGAACCAAAGGCTGTGCGAGATTGTCGATCAATGCTGGGCGTTTCTTTTCATAGTAGTAGTGTCCCCAGAATTGGAAAGCCCAGCCCGTGATATGAAGAACCAGGGCCGGATAAAGGATTTGGGAGCGTGAAAAGTTGTCGTAGAAATAATGAACAGTTGCGATTATGGAAACGAGGATCGCATCTGCGGTCAACCCAACCTTCGCATGAAGAAGAGTGTAATAAATACCGTACCCGAAGGATCCGATGTCAGCAGCCGTGAAGGAGCCTACCTGAACGGCTCCCAGCATGACCGCAGCCGTGTAAAAGATCATTGGGATAAAGAACAAATGAATCACCACATTCTTTGGATGGAGATGATAGGCTTTGTAGATTGCCAACTGATACTCCAAATCCAAAAGCTCCGACATTAGTGTATTTCGGCAAAGTAGACAAACAAGGACTAATAAATAAAAACCGGAGTTTTTCTGGAATAATTATCACAAATATGGCGAGTCCCAGTAGATTAGTGAACGGTCTGACCGATTGTTTCGATTTCCTAGCGAGTTCAGAAGCTGTTGGAAAGCGGATAGTTAGTTTTCTTTCTAAAGAAAGTAAGCACAGCCCACACTATATGTAGGAAACCCCGCGCATATGTACGCACTAAGAAAAATATTGATCGCCATACTAACGGCATGATGGTTGCTACGGTGATGATAGCACCAATTTAGTTAGCGTGGCGGGTTTCTTCTCAAGGTCGTGATCTATGTGTATTCCAGATATCCTATGTCATTTTTCAACTTTGGTGCTAGCTCCGGGGTACACACCAGTCAATCTCGCCAAGCCATAACATTTCCAGTAATCTGTCAACATAATAAAAACTCTAGCATCTCAGAAACTTGTTTATTATCAAAATAATCCGCGTTTCGTTTAAATGTCCCTTGAAAAGTTGCAAAAGGAAGTTGACGAGCTGAAGGAGCTTGTTGGCAAGCAAAGTAAGCTTATCAGCCGTACTGGCGAGCAAGTTCTCCGATTCCAGTTGAAGCAAACAGACAAACAACTTAGCGAGATTGAAGTGCCTAAGATCGGAGCGGATGGTTCTGTTACGAAACAAGACTCAATTGACACGTCAGAGTTCGCAACTAATGACGACATTGTCCAGCTTGTTGGAGAACTCCAGGGCCAGCTGAATATACTTGAACAGAGATCACTAAGAAGAACAATCAACTCTGGTCTGACCAAAGATACTGATTTGGTGGCTCCTGTTCTGAATTCTGATGGTCTCGAGGCCCCAGAGGCTCTATACCCAACTACGCTTAAAGACTTCAAGGAGTTGACAGGCGATGCTGTTCTTTCTTTATGTCATTTCTACGAACTCTTGCCGCCAACCATGGAGGAAGAAGCAATGTTGCGTGCATTTATGGAAGGTAAAATCAAGTCGCCTAACATTGATCCTTCTGAGTTCAAGCCTTCTGCAGATGACTACAGCAAGCCAGTTCTCGATGGATTGTACGACGAGCTTGCAAGATTCTTGGGCATCAGGGTCAGAAGAACCGAAAATGCCTGGTAATATCAACTAATTCAACCATCATTCATCATGATATCTTCATTCATTCGTATAAACCTTATTTTTTGCCAAACGTTTTCAAGAACGATTGTCCAATGTACTTGTGCACATCGGATGTTTGCATTGATCTGTAGTGCTCCTCAAAAGCCAACTTGGAGGCCTGTTTTGTAATGATACTGCCTCCAAAACATGCCAACATCTTCACCTCCTGCTCGCTCAAGATTGGCTCTTCTTTAGCTTCATCCCAGATTTGGTTGCGGTAGGCAGATGTTCCCCACGCCATGAAGGTGGCGATCATTCCGCTAAGTGAGTCTCCTAGCCCTCCGACTCTTCTTAGGCCTCCTTCTTCCTCGGCAATGATCAGTTGGTCTCCGTCAACAATGACATCGACTGGTCCTTTACGCAAAATGGTAACTTTCAAGGCCTTTGACACCTCCTTGGCCTCCTGTCGCGGATCTTCCTCCTGAATATGAAGGGCATCGGCAATTCGTTTGAATTCGACAGGATTTGGAGTTATCACCGCCTTGGAGTAGCCTTTGATGATATCCGGATCCTGAGAAACTAGATAAAGACTGTCTGCATCCAAGATAACAGGCAAATCTCTCTTCTTGATCTCTTGAATCACCAACTTCATTGTCTCGAGCATGACCTTGTCGCGGCCGAATCCGGGACCAAGCACGACAACGTGAATTCTGTCGAGAAGCGATTGGATTTTGGGAAGCACCTTTGATTTGATATAATCGGTGATAAGTTCTGGGGATGGTGATTTGGACTGGATCCGGAAATACTCGTCGAGCTTCGAGGAATCTTGCATGTAAGGGTGGACCATGAGATCCGGCGAGTATGATTTAATCACAGTGGCCGCCGAGTATTCACAGATCACATGGGCCAAATCGCAACCAAGCAAACTAGCTGCGTGAGCTGAAAAAAATGGAGCACCTGTGTAATCCTCACAGCCGCCGATCACAACAATTCGACCGCATTGACCTTTGTGGAACGTTGGAAGCAACGGAGGAACAATTTTGCGGGTCAAATGCACTAGCTCGTTTTTGGACTTAAGAGTTTTAAACATAATAATCGTATGGTATTTTCTATCACCTGGTTATCAAAAGTTATAGAGTCGATCGACGACGCCTCGAAGCAGTGTTGCGGTCGATCTCCGGCCGTGATTGCTCTCAAGCCCGATATTAATTAGAGACACACCCAAACACTAGGCAAAAGCTCAATTGAGTGCCAAGCACAATTGTGGCTCGCAACCGTTATTGTACATCCCCTCTAATCGTTAGTCAGGATAAAAAAATATGGCTATCCGCCAATCACATTTCTTCATCGCTAGCTAACCTAACAGAAGTCTCAACCGAAAATTCGCTCCACACTATATTTGCTTATTGACCCAATTTCCAAGTATGTCATTTATTCTACCTCGTCTTCCTCGCTTCAGAGCTAGACACGCCCTCCCTATTGCTGCAATTGCCGCCAGCTCTTTCTTGTGCTACAATTCCATGTCTTCCATTGCCAATGAGTCTCCTGTTGCCCTGAAGGGTGATGGCGAGTGGGTTGACCTGAAAGTCAAAAACATCAAGCAATTGTCTCCCGACACCAAGCTGTTCACTTTTGAATTCGCTAACCCAGACGCCAAGTCCGGTTTGACCATCGCTTCTTGTGTGCTCACCAAATTCGTTACCGAAAAGGGTAGCAACGTCATTAGACCATACACCCCAATCACCGATGTTGAACAACAAGGCTCCCTTGACCTTCTGGTTAAGCACTACGATGGTGGTAAGATGTCTTCCCACATCTTTGGTTTGAAGCCAGACGACACCTTGGCATTCAAAGGTCCGATTTTGAAGTGGAAGTGGGCTCCAAACTCTTACAAGGAGATCTACTTGCTTGGCGGAGGTACTGGTATCACCCCATTGTACCAGATCATCCACGAGGTTTTGAAGAACAAGGAAGACAAGACCAAGATCAAGTTGCTCTACGGTTCCAAAAGTCTTGATGACATTCTCCTCAAGAAGGAGTTGGATGAGTTGGCCAAGAAGCACCCAGATCAATTGAAGGTTTCTTACTTTGTTGACAAGGCTCCAAGTGCTGCTGATCCAAAGATCACTGAGGGATACATCACCAAGGAGCTCTTGCAAAAGGAACTTTCTGGTCCTTCTGATGACACTCATGTTTTTGTTTGTGGTCCTCCTCCTCTTTACAATGCTCTCTCTGGTAACAAGGTGTCTCCATCTGACCAAGGTGAGGTCACCGGAGCTCTCGGCGAGTTGGGTTACACCAAAGACCATGTCTTCAAGTTTTAGACTTGTACTCTTATAGTCGCGTCTATCGACGGGATCAAATTTTATAAGACTTATCAAGTAAAAAAAAATTCATTCAAATCATGGCAAAGAAGATATCGAAGCACTCACGTGCTGCCCGCCGTGGAGAAGTCGACGTTTCCACAGGCGAAGCAAGAGATTTGGAGAAAGTCCCTCGTCTCGAAAAGACAGATACTATTGGTCCGATGATCCGTGCCTCTGCTTCTAAAAACGAATCTTTATTACGTCAAAAGATGGAGAAGAAAGCCGCAAAATCGAGTGGTGCCAAAGCCAAAGCGTCTGCTATTTCCAAAGCCGTTAAGACAAGAAGAAAAAAGGCCTTAATTATCGATGGAAGGTTGGGCTCCAAGATTGAAGCCAGTATTAATAGAGCCAAAGAGATCAAGTCTACTAGAAAGTCGGGTTGGGACGCAATTAATAAGGACGCAAGAGCATCTGTTAAAGGACAATCTACTCCTGACAACAAGAAAAATGGTGCCGACCATTATGAGTCGGATCAAAGTGATTGGGAGGATATGGATGAAGAGGAAGATGAGCCTAAGGCTCCTCTTGCTACCAACGCATTTAGTGTGCTTGAAGAGGTGGAAGCATGAATGTTTTGCATCGTTATGTACACTATATACAGTTAATGGGTTTTAATGGTATCGCGAAATGTTTCAGCAAATTTGTCGTCTATAAGCGAAAGAACCGACATAGCTTGTTCTCTGACCAAATAATCGTTATCGTTGTCAGATGTATATTTGAGGACCACGTCTAATTTCTGTCCGTACTTGCCCAAAGTATGAAGGCTATCCTTAGTTGACACTATGTCACTCACAAGAACAATTGCAGATCTTCTCATAACTGCTTCTTCATTGCTGGTTTCTAGTTGTAAAATTCCAAACACACAATCCATAATATCATCTAAATATTTCAGAATCGAAAGCGGAGCTCTATGGCATAAGGACCCTAGCAGAGACATTGCAGACATTCTCATACTAATCTCCTCCTTGGAGTCTGTGCGCACAATTGACATGATTTTCGTTGTTATTTCTTCAGCGTATTTTAGGGCTTCGCTTGAGAAGTTGATAAAGCGTAAGATGACCTCACCCAGTTTCAACCGATCGTCAAGATTCTTTTTGTTGTCTCCGTATATTTTGACGTATTTGGTGATCAGCTGTGAGTCAAATTGCAGAAGTTCTTCGAGTCCTCTGATAGCATTTAAATAGACAAATGGCTCTGGATCTTTGAATTGCATGAGATGCTGGTTAACTGCAAAATCAAGTGAAACAACTGGGCTATTGAGCTCAACTAACTTCCGTAAGAGTTGCAGACCATGAACACGGATAGGAGGAGAATTGTCCAGTAAACTCTTCATAGCCTTCTGTCTGGTTTCCAATTCTTGGTTGGCTTCAGCGACCGGAGCGGGATTGTTCTTCGATTCGCGTAGAATAGTTTCAACTCTTTTCGCAAGAGGAACATTGATAGGTTTTAAAACGTTTTCGATCTGCTTTAATATCGAAAGCGACTTGCTGGAAAGTTTTGTGTCGGTAATAATGGTGGAGAGCAGCTCAAACAAAATTTTGAAGTTCTCACTGTTTTCCTCTGGTTCATCGTCAGAATCTTCTTCCTTGATAATGTTCAGATCAGTCTCCTTCACCTTTGTCTCGTCTTTGAGAACAGTGTAAAGAAACTCCAAGGTGTCATCAACAGATTTGAGTAAACTCTCTTTGAAAGTTTCGCTCAGCATTTCAAGAACCTTCAAGTTAATAAGTCCTGTAAACGGATTCTCATCCTCCTTGACTAGGTACTTTTCATCGGAATTCAGCCATCCTTTAAGACATTTCAGAAACACATATTGTACCTGCGACTCGTCGATCTCTGCCACAGTCTGCAAAATGGCTCTAAACTCTTGAGTGGAGAAATCCATGCTGTCTAGAAGATCAACTTTCCCAGATGACCCGAGTCTTTCTTTAATGTAAGTCAACTCGTTGTCTCCAAGATCAAACTCCCAGGTTCTTCCATGAGTCACCATAAGATTGTCAACCAGTATGTTCAGAATTGTGTGTTTATCGTCTGGTCTTGAGAGAACCAGGACAAAAACTTTCTCAATCAACTTGCAATCTTTGTCCTTTCTCTTCTGATGTAATAAGTATGCCCATAACGGGACAGTGATAGGTTCAAACAACTCCCGGGTGAATGCTTCATTTCCAGATGTTCGAGTAATGGAAATAACCACGTTGAACGCATTGTTGACCTCGACTTCGCTGGAAAGCATGATGTCTTCATCATCTGCCTCACCACGAAGATCAGGATTGAAGATATTCCAGACCTTTTTGAATATGAAGTCGCGAACAATCAACGGGTTCTTTGAATAAAGGAGTTCAAGCAACTGCGTCACGACAGAGATCAAGATCGGTCTATTCACATAAACCAGTATATTGTACAGTTGGTCTCCAACAATCTGGAGATATTCTGCCTTGGAAAGCTGGGAAGGCCGACTTGACAAAAGGACCTTTAGTACCTCATCGATTTTCGTCACATCCACAGACTCGCTTTCCCGCAAACCCATCACAACCTCAATCAAAGACTGGACACCGTTGTGAGTTCTTTCCACTATCAAATCAGAAAGTCTAGTCATGATGAATTGTTTGAACCATGGTTGTAGCTGTTGGGTGACTACCACGCTGTAAAGTGAAAACAGCTGATATGCAGAGGAGATGGACTCCAAGAACTTGAAAACTTCTCGGTAATGGGGATCATCTTTGGCTAGTAAAATGCAACAAGTTAGTGAGTCGGTGTATCCTGTTCCAACGAGCACCAAGTTTTTCAAATCACTATCTCCCTTGTAGATTGTCTCAAAAGTATCCACCACATGTTTGAGGATAGTCTGGCCTTTGGGGTATGGGATCTTGCTGATTCGTAACGGAATCTTGAAATTTTTCAACCTGCGTTTGGCTAATGGAAACCCAATTCCCGGAGGTATAGAGGCATATACACCTTGCACAACAATGATATTCACTATCTGGCTCACTATCTTCATGTCATACAAAGGAATTGCGATCAGATCGGTCTGGTTATTCCTGGGAACAAGATTATGTATTTTCAACAGGTAGGATAGTAACTGATCAATTACCTTTTCTCGTTGTTTCACTGGATCATCGTTAGAATCCTTATTGTCTAGCTTCGAATACAGCTGCTTGATCGGGTCTTCTTCGGATACATCCTCGATAAAATTGGATATTTCCTCAAATAGCTTGCCTAGGGGAGTTGTTCTCTTCCTAACATACGTTGGATCAGGCTTGAATCCTTTCAGACTTTGTTTCACCTGTTCAAGATCTATTGATTTCACATTCCTATTCTCTTGTTGTTGATCCGTAATCGTGTCATTTGGATTCGTATCCGAGGAAGACATGTGCACTATTTGCCTTTAAATAATATTTGACAGAAAAATGAGTGTCACTAAAAAAAATTCGAAAAAAATATATAGCATTCACTGTATCTTAACCATGACGCAGTTGCAATCGACCCTCAGCCAGGAGGACATGGATGATATCATCTACGAGGCGAGATCCGGAGATTTGGATTCTGTGAAAGAGATTTTTGAAAAACACGTGGACCCAAAGACATTACCTAGCATTAAAGACGAGTTCACCCTTGCTACTCCAATACATATGGCCGCTGCCAATGGACATCATGAGGTCTGCAAGTACCTTCTTTCTTTGATCCCTAAAGAGGAGGCTAAAACCCTCGTGAATCAGCAAAACGAATCAGGAAACACTGCTTTGCATTGGGCAGCTTATAATGGACATATAGAAACTATCAAACTGTTGTGCGACGTTGGAGCAGACCCTTTCTTACAGAACAAGTTTGGACATGACGCCATCTTTGAGGCAGAGAACAACAACAAGCCGGAAGCGGAGAAGTACTTTCTGGAGAAGTTTGATGTTCACGAATCTGACGGGGAATCTGAGGAAAAAATCCAGTACAAAGAGGGAACCGAAATCGAAAAGGCTACAGATGAGTCTCGGGAGGTCGAGAAGGTGCGTAAGGGCCTTGAATCGAACCAGCTGTGAAGGTTTTCGCACTATATAAATTTGTATGCTACCATCATGTCGCGCTTACCCGGCTTTATTTTGGGGATTCTGAAGGCTAGTTGAAAAATTTTGTATCAGTACAACACGACCAATTCACGCCATGTCGGAAGATCTTGGATTTGATCCATCGTTGAAGAAGAAGAAGAAGGTCAAGGCTAAGACCGAAGCGGAGGATGTGTCCTCCGGAGAGGAGAACCTTGACGACATGTTTACTTCTCTCAAGAAAAAGAAGAAGAAGGCAAAGGGAACAGAGACTGCCAACCCGGTGGACGAGCTAGCGGACGGACTTGAAGGCCTGAAGCTGAAAAAGAAGAAGAAGAAGAGCACCAAGGTGAGCGAAGCTGACGATTTCGACAAGCAGTTGGAAGAGGCTGGAATTACGGCGGAAGATCAAACACTTGGCACCGGTGAACAATCACAGCAAACACAATCACAAGAGCCTTTCAGCAATACGGTGTTGGCATATGAGAACCTTTTATCGAGATTCTTCACCATTCTGAAAGAAAAGAACCCAGAGTTGGCTGGAGGACAGCAAACAAAGCTCAAGATTCCGCCACCTGAAGTGGCAAGAGAAGGTAATAAAAAGACTATGTTCGCCAACGTGCAAACGATCGCCTCAGTTTTGCAGAGAAACCCAGAACACTTAATCCAATATTTGTTTGCCGAATTGGGTACCTCTGGTTCCATCGATGGAGAAAAGAGACTTATCATCAAGGGAAGATTCCAAGCTAAGAACATTGAGAGTGTGCTCAGAAGATATATCCAAGAATACGTTATTTGCAAGACTTGTAAGTCTATGAATACCGAGCTCAAGAGAGAGAGTACAAACAGACTGCATTTCATTGTCTGCCAAGCTTGTGGATCCACCAAGTCTGTTTCGTCCATTAAGACTGGTTTCCAAGCTCACGTTGGAAGGAGAAAGAGGGTGTAGATTACAATCAATATATGTTAATCCGTGTCATTTACTCGTTAGAACTATTTAAGTGTTTAGTGGTTCGCCTTGGTTGTATTTCTCGCTGATGTACCTCAGGAAGTCTTCGTTGGAGCCGCTTACAACATCCACTTCTTTTAGCTGTTTGAACTTCTTGTAGTTGAAGTACAAGTTAATGAGATCTTTGGCAAGCACGACAACCACACAGCCAATCAGATTCCTGAGGAATTCGGACTCGTCAGGGGTATTAATGTATTTCTGGAGGAAACTGTTGATGTTCGGGATCTTGGCCAGAAGTGTCCGACTAATTAATTCTCCAAAATAGGGCCATGACATAGTTGTAGCAAGGAATAAGAAGAATTGGGAGTTTTGGAACACTCTGGCGTAGTCAAACTTGAAGCAGTTGATCAACTCTCGTCTCAGTCTTGAGAACCTGATACTTCTCAATCCTGAATGAGAAAACACCAGGTTCAAGTATCTGCGAATTATTCCCAACAAGCCTGTGTGTGATGGCTCCAGTTTGTGGGACTCCTTTTCAGCCTCGTGGTATTCGTCTTCCTCTCTGTTTTCCTCCTCAATACGCTCCAATTCTTTGAGAGAAAGTCTGTCAGCAATGAAACATGGTTGAACTTGTTTGCACCACTTGTAGTATATTCTGTTGAAAGTGAGACTGTAGAACGCTCTGTAGATGTATTGGAGGGGAAGCGTGAGCAAAAGCAACTTCTTGGCTGGGTTGTCGATCAGGTCCTGCTGGTTCTTGAAAAGAAGCAATGGAAACACTCTTCCAACCATATTGAAAGGACCTGTCCCCAGGACGCTCATTCTCATGTAAATCAAATAAAGCGGAATTGAGCCTGTGATCATGAGAAACTTTGGGATTGGAATCGATCCATCATCCAACGCACTAATTAACGTGCGCGTATTCAACCGGTTGACATCGAATAAAGAAAGTTGGACACTTTGCGGTGTAATCATTTGCATGACCCTAAATCCTGTTGCACTCAAACACACCAAAAACCCCATACTGACAGAGGCCAGAGACGAGGAAATCACCGTTGAAGAGATTCCAACACGCATTATGTTTGAGATACCTGAGCTTATGGTCTGGCGCAGGTTCAGTATCCTGGAGTTTGGGGTTTGGAAGCAAATCTGGCGTTTGCACTGGGGACAATCAATAAAAACGGTAATAGTCTCTGACTTTTTGATAAGAGGAAACCCAAATAGAAGACTTTGAATGTTGTAATTGTACATCAGCGTTGCTGAACGCACACCACTGGGCAGTGTTTCCGGATTCTCTTGCTGTTTACGCTTCTGAAGGTCCAAGCTGGAAACCCACGATAGGAAACACTTGCGGTGTGCCACCAAGGAGCACTGGCACGGTTTGACCCAATCTTTGGATTCTTCGCTATTGCAAAATGGAGCAAGCTCGCCTCTTCCAGCAAGACAAATATAGCAAGAATATTCCGAATCGTCGGGCAACGACGTGAGAGACTGCATTTCGACTAGACTCAACAAATATTTACACTGGTGTTTTTTTTATTCGGGGTAGCCGGGGTAAAATGACACAGCCCGATCATTATACAATTAGCGTCCAAACAATCCAAAGAAACCGGCCTTCTTCTGGTCAGACTCTCCGGCATTGCCTGACGTGGTCGAGTTGTAGTCTATGTAGTTGAAAGCAACATCGAATAAGACAGGCTTGACACCAACAGGTTTGAGACCTGCGCTGAGATCGGCTATTTTTGTGAGGATGTGCTCGTTGGACAACTCTGGGAACTGATCCACGTTGTCGATCAGGTAATCGCTCGAAACAGAATTCTTGGTCTGTTTGGAGGAGTAAACTCCCAACACATGGACCTGAGTTAAAGCAGTCTTAGATTCGGCCTTGAAAGCGTCCAAATCAGAGTTGCTTGGGATGCCTCCTTCAAACTCTTCTTCCAGGGGCTTGATTTCCTGTGTCACCTCAACCACGTTGTTCAACAACGCAAGACTCTCGGTGTACTTGTTGGAAATCAAGTATGCCTTGGCGATCTTGTAGGTCTTCAAGGCAATAAAGTAGTCTTGAAGAGATGTCAGAGACGAGTAAAGACTCTCGTTGTGCGCAACACCAGACAGCTCCTTCAGTTCCTTGAAAGACGAAATCACGTCGTCATATAGCTTGAGAGACTCCTTTGCATTTTCAAGGAAACTAGTCTTGGAAGAACTCTTGGATTTCTCCAACTTGACATCAACTTTCTTCAACAACGAAATGTTTCTTCTAATTCTCAACAGAAGTTGGTGGTAGTCGATGTATGTCATGATCACATACTTGTCTTGATTATCTTCGTCGTAAGAGTCAATTCCTGTCTTCAGGGAGCTTTTGTGGGAATTGGAAGCATCTGTCCAAAGCAAGAACGATTTGTCAAACGAAGCTGGATCGGACTCCACAACGCTCTTCTCTTCCTGTTGAGCTTTGGTTATGGCCCTTGCCAAATCTAAGTCACCAACAGGTGCACTGAACTCATACCATTGGACAGAATCGACCAGAGTTGTTTTGGAAATTGGGTTCAAAAAGTCCTCGTCTTTGGACTTGACAATATCAATTGCTTTCGAGAGGTACGGAACGGTGTTTTTCGAAGCATAGGTCTTGGAAAATTGCAAAAGATCAGGGTTCCTGTCGTCTTCCAGTTTCAAGGCGCAAATCTTCAACTCAGAATCGATGTATCCTTCGATGATTTGAGTGTAAAGGTCCGACGATTGTAACGAAGCCAAATATTGCAAGGCGCATCTTCCAACTGACAACGAATAAGAAGCTTCGGTCCACTTGCTACGGTTGAAAGCCAAACGGCCCTCGATGTAGCATGCAAGGATGTAGACCTCAAGAAGCTTTAAGTCGTCTTTCTCGTTCTCAAGAAGCGAAAGTAGGTGTTTTATGCTTTGGCGAGCTTTTTTCAGTTTGGAAATAACAAGTTTCTTAGTGCTTCTAGAGAACTCCACCTGGCCATAGGTCAGCTCTTCCAAATACACCAAGTCTCTTTCCGTGAGGTAAAGCAGTACGTCTCCAAATCTGGTGTCCATCTCATAATTCTCGGCACTAATGGTGGAGATTTTTTCCTTGTCTTTGTAGTTTTTGGTATCCTTGGTTTGGATTTTGAGCGCCTTACGCAACTTTGCCAGACGGTTGGTCACTCTGTGTCTTATTCTCCCATAGTCCTCCGTGGAGCTTGGAAACTGCTCCAGGCGAGCCCCGAATGTCGAAATAAGTGGAGCCTCCATGATGAATAAATACAATACTAATTTTTCGTCCATCAGTTTGTAAATCACACTACCCGCTCTTAGATGTCAAATCCATGGACAAATCTATTGGGGACCAAATTGAGTGCCGAATCTCTCAGCAGCCGCGGACTCGATCTTCAATGGGCAACCAGAGTTGACCTCAAGGATTGTACCATTTATAACTTTTACAAAGATGGATTTAGCATTGTCTTAATTGACGATCAAATCGATAGCATTGACTTCTTTTTGAGAAATCGTTCGTTCACACCGTGCAAGTTGCCTCTTCCAGGAGGAATCTCTCCAGAAGACACAGGGTCACAGCTTGTGGAAAAGCTCGGGGAGCCAATGGAAAAGGGAGGCGGAAACTCTACGGGAATAGATATCTGGCTACGCTGGAAAGGTATCCAGGTGGAACTCGGAGATAGAAGTTGGGATACAGCTAAAGATGCACCTATAAAATCGATCACCATATTCAAGTGATCAATCCTGATTAATCACTATTTCATGAGCCTCGGAATGTCCGTTCTCTTGAGCTTTTCCACTCTCAAAGCTCCTCCGAACGGACAGATAATGATCAAGCTCCTCTGCTGAAACAGACGGAATAAGCTCCTGTCGCGCTTTGGTGAAGTCCTGGGTCGTCACATGAACCTTGATGTCTTCTGGAGTTGCAATGTTGTCAAACCAGTACCGGATGTTGATCTTCTGTCCTTCCGGACGCTGATCGTTGTACTGGATAATCTTATTCTCCACAACTCCGGCAGTTCTAGTCATGGCATTCAACATCGCATCCGAACACAAGGCATAGAAATCGGCTCCTGTATAAGTGAAAGGACAAGAGTCTGCGATCTCTTGAAGGTCCACAGACGACTCCAGCTCGAATTTCCGTGTCAATGCTTGGATGATCTTGGCCTGCTTTTCGTGCGTATCTGAGATGCCCAGATACAGCATCTTGTCAAATCTTCCTGGACGCAAAAGAGCCTCGTCTAAAAGATCTGGTCTGTTGGTAGCACCAACCACAAACACGCCGTCTCCGCCTTCTGCTCCACTCATACCATCGAGCTCTGCCAAAAGCTGAGAAACAATTCTGTCCATCACTCCGCCAGAATCACCTTGGTTACCTCTCTTAGGCGCAACAGAATCCAGCTCATCGAAGAAAATCACACAAGGTTTGGCATCGCGTGCTTTTTGGAACACCCTTCTCACGTTGGCTTCAGATTCTCCAATATACATATTCAAAAGTTCGGGACCCTTGACAGAGAAAAAGTTCAATGCGAAATTGGTTGCAATTGCCTTGGCAAGAAGCGTCTTTCCAGTTCCAGGAGGGCCATAGAACAGAATACCGCTTCTTTTCTTCATTCCTTTGCTGAAAAGCTCTGGGTGTTTCAATGGAAGCTCAATGGTATCCAGGATTTCGTCTTTGACAACGTCCAGTCCTCCAACATCTTCCCATTTAACGTCTGGAATTCTTGGAGCTCCGATCAGATCACTGAACTTGTTTCTTGCACTGTTGATGGCTTTCTCGAAATCTTCTGACCCAAGCTTCACCTTCCCTCCGTCAAATGCGAGGACTTGCTCCCACGGAATGGAAAGATCCACTGACAAATCTTCAAGTCTATCGATGGCTGTTTTCTTCGCATTTTCAACTATCGACATCAGATCGTTGGCTGTCAGTCCTGCACTCTGGAGAGACAATGTGTCTAAAGAAACGTCTTGACGTGTAGTAACGTCACTTGACCCTTCAAGTAAATATTCCAAGATAAGTTTCCGTTCAGGCTCTGTAGGGACATTGAGGTTAATTTCAAATTTTAGTTTTGATCTCAGGGATTCAGACATGTTGTCAGCATCATTCGTGGTGGCAATGACAATTGCTCCTTTCGCCGTATACTCATCAATCAGTTCGACTAATTTGAGTGCCAGCGTATCTTTCTGTTGTTGATTTGGATCTGGTTTCTTTGCTAATGCATCGATATGACGAATGAGAATAATCAACGAATTGCAACTATCAACTACTCTGTCTGCCTTTCCCCTGATGGTTCCGATTGTCTTGCTGGCGGATGACTGATTGAAAAGCTCGAAACTGTCCAACTCAAGGAGATTGGCACCAAATTCTGTCGCAATGCTGCGGACAAGCATGGACTTACCGACGCATCTAACCATACTATTAAGAAGGATTGTCGTTTGTAGTGTCATTCGTGAAGAAAACTTGTTTCTAATTCTGAAAGCGGTATCAACGATTTTCCGTAACTGTTGTGCATACGGGAACGTTATACTGTTGGACAAGTTGAAGTTTGGGAATGAAAACATCTTCGGTAAGCCATAAAAGTCTCGAATCTGTTGATACGAAATTCCGTCTGCTAGTCCGATTTTTTCTGTGCAAACTCCTGATTGGATCATCCTAGTCTTTGATGGATCAATAACGTACTGTTGGCCATTGACCAATTCTCCTCCACTTTCGTCTTCAAGAGAACCACCGGTTATTTTGAACCATGCAATTTCTGTTGGTAATCCGGTTGGAATGATCTTGGGGAAAAACTCGTCTCCTGATGCTTCATATGTGCTGAATAAGGCCCTGGCGAGGAGGGCATCGATTGGTATAGGGACTAATTGATCTTTCATGATAACTCGATATCTCTCTTCAAAATATGACTTCAAGTTGGAAAGAAACAAGTGCTGCATGGTTCTATCCAAAGTGACTGGGGAGGCTACTCTAGCAATCACGATCTCCTTGGCCAGGGGAACAAACTTGTCGATTTTGTTGCGAGGCAAATCTGCTCTCTGTTCTTGGTCTTTGATTCGATTGATTGTCACTGTGCGAGGGTTTCCAATGGTGTTGAGTAGCATTGGAGATATGTGGATTGTCTCGTATTCAAAGGTATTCGGATCAATGAAAGGAAACACTCGAACATATATCGTTCGGTCAGTTCTGTTTGCGCAAGCGCATAAAAGTCCACTAGCACAGTCGCATTGACGAGACGTTAATTGAACCACATCACCACTAAAACATCCCAGTTTTTCCAACTCGTTTGATCTGACACAGACAAACAGCTGGTTGTCTTCGTGGTCAAATTCTGAACTGGAGTTGTAGACTTGTGTATAGTTGGCGAGTGTATTGTGTTCTAGTAGAGCCGTTTTTAGCTCCAAAGGCTGGAAGATTGTGCTGTCAAAGATCGACGAAGAGTCAATGCCAAACTTTTCTAGCTCAAAATCAGAAACAGAAGGTAACTCCTCTGATGCCAATGGTGTCTGTACTGGTATGGTTTCGATTGATGGTTTGTCTGGTGAGCTTGTAAGATTGCTTTGTTTCGAAATGATTAAATGTGTGCTTGGAGTTATGTATCCTTGATCAACTGGCTCGCAATGGATGATAGTGCCATGAAGAGTATTGAAAACGTCGTTTTGGTGCACCAAAAATTGATGGACGTTTCCCCCGATCTCGTCCGCCAGTATCTCCAGTAGTTTTTGCTTTGGGTACTGCTCAAGTAAATTGTAGACCTCTGGTGGGAAGCTCAAAATTGCCCTCGTAAGTGGGACTACCGTGCTAACTGGAAGAATTAGACATTTATCCAACGTGAAGTCTGCCCCATATCTAGCAAGTAGTCTTGCACTATGGAGCTCGACGTAGTTCTCAGCCAGTTCCGTATCATAGACAACCGGATACAGCTTACTAGTATGGAAAATGTTCGAACCCAGAAGCTTCAATGAGACAATCCTTTCACTGTCGTCTAATTGATCGCCAAAAATGAATTGATAAAGTTGTCTGTTCAGAGCAAGGAATTCGTATGGACTTTGTTCATCAATGCAAATCTGGATCTGTGCTTTGATTGGTCCAGTTCTCCCTGCCGGGATCGATTCTGAAAGCGCTGGCATACCGAAATTTTGATACTTTTCTCCCCCCTCAATTACGTTCAAAGTCAAATAGCCTGAGTTTTTTGATAAGTCGGCACAGCCTGAAAAGATTTGTAGATTACAATTATGGTACATATCTAATTATCAACATCTTGACGGTTAACCACCGCAGCAGCTGCCGCCGCAACAGCCGCAAATTCCTCTTCGCCAAGGACGTTTTTCACGTCTTGACTGCTGTCTGAATCAGACGAGTCGTCGTAGTTTTGGGAATCCATGCTCTCAGATTTTGTGCTCTGCATAATCTCCAGCTTCTTATCGTTGGTAAGTTTCTGAGCCCACTTCTCTCTCACGGCAAAGTCAAAAAGCGTCAGTTTCCCGAGGGTGTCCTGAGCACACAAGCGCTGTTCTCTCACCCACATTTTCTTCTTTGCCTCGTTGGAAAGCGTCATCCAGTTATCATAAGCGGTCTTTAATTTCTCCTTATAGGAACCAATCCCTAATCCCGGGGTTAAAATGACCAATTTGGATCCCAGATCAATATTTGTCTCGAGCTTCGCGCTCAGCGTCTCATATGTTTGGATCGTTGGAGGATCGTGCGGCCATTCTGACGGCGGGAGGAAAAATAAAACCATTCGGGGAAACGACGGATGGGGAGCCAAAGTTGGTGTACTCAGACCCTTGTAAAACTGTAATTGGGTGTTTTCCTTGACACGATATATCTTGCTCTGTGTTCTTCTGCGCTCTCGATTTCTGAGCTTCACATATTCGCGTCTGTTGTATATTCTAGCTCGCTCTGCGCGCCTTGCTTTCACTTCCTCTGGATTGCCTCGTCTGGCAACATTTGACCGAATTTTCTCGATCTGGTCCGCGGGATGCATAGGAGACCCTTTGCGGTTGTCAAGGTGTCTTCCCAACGATCCCGGATGAGCAAATGTCTTCCCGCAAAACCGACACATTTTCTTTGGGTCCACGTTATCAGGGACTTCCATGAGTCTCAGACTCTTTATTTCTCCAGATTTAGCATTTTGGGACTGTTGATTATTCTGACGGTTCTGGTACGCAGCCATCGCAGCTGCCGCAGTATTCATATTCTCCTGTGCATTTTGTTTGGTTTCTTGGTTGGTAATGGAGGGGTCTATTTGGAAATCATCGTTGTTCAAAGAAGTAAGATCCACTCCAAATCCATGGAGTCGGACCTCATTCTGGACATCGTCGACGTAGTTCATATCGTGGAGGTACTCATTGACCTGTGTATCCAACGCCTGGTGGTCGTTTTTCTCGCTGGAAGGTATCCTTCGTCTCTTAGAGACGTCATTTCCAGACGACATAATATTCAAACAATATTTTGGGCTGAATTTGTTAACAAGCTCGAACACACCCGCCACTTGATATATATTTTTTTAGATGTGTGGCTGAAGAATAACTAAAGATCTTGGAACCACCCTAGAACGCCTTAAATTGGAGAATCTGCGTTCAAGGGAGACACTTTGTCGCTCATTTTCATCATGGATTCCTCTATATCTCTTGATCCGCTTATAAAGGTGGTATATTCGAGTTACAGAATTGACCCCCGCTTCTCAAGCCGAAACGTCTCGGACATTGTGGGGAGCTCTCCAACTCTAATTCGCACCATCTCAAACAACTCTGTGAACTCTGGAGGTTCTAGAGAATCACGGGGATCACGGGGTAGTATTTTATCTTTACGGAGATCCAGCCACTCACAGCCTAAAACGATATACCAGGAATTGTCTTCCAAACTCCAACAGATCGAGGTGGACGATCTTGTCGAAGATAGTCAACAGCGAAAAACCTTCAAAATCATGTTGACCGACTTTGCCTCCAAATTGGACCCAGACACATCATCGGACTTGAGTCGTCTTGTTGTATCCTTCCAGATGGTGGCAGCAAAAACGCTTAATTTGATGGACCCCTTGAATACTCCTTTCCATCTGCTGTACCTTGCATATTTTATTGATTATTTATTGACCCTAGGGTGTTCTCTCCAGCAGCGCAATTTTTTGCTAAGCTATCGCCATGATCTCTGCTCCAAGAAGATCCGGCCAATGATGAAGATTGAGGAGCTTCCAAAATTCCAGCTGATTTCCAGAATTTACAACGTTTCGTTCTCTTATTTGAACAATAGAGTTTTTGCATTGAAGGGGGAGTGCCGAAAGGCGGACATTTTGAGCGAGATTGAACACAAAAAGGAAAGTTATAGGTACAGCAAGACTGAGTTTGCGTCTCGTGAGCATTACATATTTTGGTTGCAAGGTAGAACCAGATTTATCCAAAAAGCTATTGATCGATTTGGCAAAGAACGTGATGAGAACACACGACCAGGTACTCGCAAGGTTGGGCCCAAGGAACCTCTAATGTATTTCCAGCAAGTTCTGGGAAGTTTCCTTGAGTCTGAAGAGAGTTCTGATGATTACATGGAAATAATAAAAGATTGCATGTTGATTTGGCAAATCGATGGCTACGATGCATATTTTGCCGTTCTATATGCGTGTTTGAAAAATAACACAATCACAGAAGAACGGCTACAACTGGCACGCACAGTTCTCGAGTTCGGTGAGTTTGAGTTCAATCCTCACGCATGGCCAAAGCCTATACAATTGGGCCTTGAACCATTAAATGGATTTGCTCTGTCCAGCTTGAAAAATGTCACTGCTGAGTTTGACCATTTGTTTGATGATTTGGTCAAAGACATCGTGATACAACTTGACAAGATTGAAAACTCCAGTCTTTTGGGCATAACTGATCAAATGCAGGACACAGTGACCAAAAAACTGAGACAGGTGACCAAGGATAAATACATTTCTCTGTCGTCATGTCTCGGTAGAAAATCATCAATGAAGGAAGCTATAGTATCTCTCGAGAATGTTGAAAAGCATCTGAACCACATCATTCAAAACGTGTCGGACAAATATGATGCCAAATGGAACTTCAAGATTCTAAAACAAACTCTCGCGACGGATATCTTAGCAGATGTGAGGAACATGGTCGAGTCTTCTTCAAAGGTTGTCGAATTCAATGGAATACCGATCCGAATGTATGAATCGGGGAAACAGGATGCAGATATGATGATCATTCTACAATCATTTATTAGGATCAAAAACCTAGCTCGACTCTCTGACGATGAATTCACATCTCTAATCGAACCTGTGTTCTACCCTGAATGCTACGTCTTGTGCCAGCAGACTTGCCACAGGCTTCTTGAAAACCAAGCAGAAATTTTCAATCACAAAGATGCTATTCAGGTGCTGGACTATTTCGAAAAATGTCTTTTAACCGACCAAAGTTTACAGTGGAAGAACAAACAACAAAAAGCAGTGTTACTGACCCTTTTCTACAAGACCATTTCCACTATATTAATCAATCACACCAATGAATTGACCGAGGATGTTCTGATGCAATTGTCCACTTCTCATTTGCAGGACCTTTTCGTCAAAATCAACAAACTGTATCTGTTACACCAGGAGGTAGAACTCCGATTCCGTGATGATGTATTGGAAGAGATCTCAGAGCTCACTCGATCCCTGAACTTGGCGAACTTTTCAAAGGTATTGATGATACGTTTGGTCAAGGCAGAAAATATGGATCCAGCTTTGGAAGACTCGTCAGACTTGATGGTGAAGGTATCGGGTCATTCAGAGTTTCAAACCTCGGTCGGCGAACCATACTGGGATGAGGAGTTTGAAATTGTAGCTGATGACAATATGGTGGCTTTGGATCTCATATTGCTGGATTGTTCTGAAAAAGCAGACCCAATTGCGTCGTTCTCGACCACAATAAATCTAGACTCGATCAAGGAGTCAACCCAGCAAAAGTTGAAACTAACCAGCTCAAATGGAATCCATTTGTACATAACCTATGCTTTTGAGCGAGCATTGAAGGATCCTGTGTTTTTCGTGGGACAGATTAACCTCAATTTCAAGCGTGCTTGCAACAAGATCATGAAAAAAACGGTTGCAACCATTTTCCCTGCCATCAAGGATGTCTTCACCCGTCATGGTCTGAATGAGATGAAACAGGTTAGTCCTCGGTTCTACAAAATCAATAACTTCCTACAAGCTGAAGAGGACCCGGAAAACGTTCGGGATCCTCTGATTGTCGGCCTTGCTTCGCATATCGAGAACGAACTTGAAATCATCAAATCCAGTCTGAGACATAATGCATTTGAAGACTTCATGGCTGAGGTGTGGTCCTCAATATTGAGCAGAGCTACAAATATGCTCTTGCCATCATTGACATTCATTGAAGCTTTGGCCATGGATAGCAGTATAGATGCACAATTGGCTAGTCCACTCAACGGACTCAAGCTCGAGCAAGAGGCCAACAAAAGCGATCTTCTATCGATCGACGACTACGAACGCATCTTTTCGTGGGTGTACAAGCTATTTGCTCTTGTATGCACAAACGTTTCTTCTCGAAGACACTTTGAACTGTTTAGACTGGAGCTTTATCAGTTCATACAAGCCAGAGGTCTTTACCATCAAACTCTGGCTGATCTACAAAACGAGTATCGACTCCAAGTTGAGCGATGCGAAAGTCAATTGAGATACAGACGGCTTGCAAGAAGAGACCTTACTCGATGCCCCAAGATCATAAGAAGTCATGGCACTTGTGAAGGGCTCGAGAAGCTTATGAAGCATGAGTACGACCGACAGTATGAAGACCGAAATCTTCTCACCAGAGAACTGATGCTGCGTGTGATATTTGCCAAGGATGGTGTGCGGTCGATCGAGTACATCAGCCAAAAGGTTGAAGAGTTTGAGCGGATGTCTTTTGATATTTCCACCAACCAGTCACCAAAATCGGGCGGCTCAAAAAGATCTAGCAGATTAAGTAGTCCACTCCGAGAATAATTTATTTATTTATTATGAGTACTCAAGACATTCACGCTAAATTTGCCCAATGGCGCCAGAGTAAGTACTTCTTGAAAGTCCACTGACATTAAGCAATTGAAAAGCAAATAAGTAATGCCAACGAGAACGCAGATTGGCTTGCCATAAGAGGAGAAATCAATAATCTCAAGAACTGGGTGTCTGGTCTGGTGGAGACGTCAGCGATCTCCATGTACGACCTGAAAATCCACACCAAATCGATTGACGACCTTGTGTTTGAGCTTGATAGTAAGAAACGCACCTACAATCAAAGACGATTCAAGTTCAGCTTCAAACCAGAAAAGGCTACACGACCCTCGATCAAATCAAATACGGTGTCGACTCTGGGCGCACCAACGTTGCAAGACGTGTCCCGTATAAACCAGAAGGTGGGAAAATCGCACGAAAACGTTTATGTCGACTCTATCAGCAACTCGGTTGTCGTGATCCCAGCAGACGGCTCTGCAGGAGCCATTACACTGAAAAATTGCACCAACTGCGTGTTTTTCGTGGATTCCAGCTCGTTCGTTTACTTGGAAGGGATCTCATCCTGTGTAGTTGTTGGTAAAGCCCATCAACTGCGTATCCATAAGACTGTGGCGTCGTACATTGACACTCAAATTCAGAGCGAGCTGAATAAAATAATCATTGAAGAGTCAAACCAACTGATCTTTGTTGACCACAATTCCGTGAAAGTTGAGGATTTCAGTCATCCCGCACTGCCAAGTCCTAATTACAGATTTGCCAGCGAACATCTAGCACTGGACGCCGACAGTGTTCAAGTGGAAACTCTTCCTGAGCTACTCGCGTCCAAACTCAAGGCAGTGCCAGATTCAGAAAAATAATTTACATTTGATTCTCTCGCCATGGCGTCTTCAGATCCAGCATCTGTGGTATCTGCGAAGAAGAAACTCGAAGAGTTGCAGAAGAAACGCGCGCAGCAGCTTTCTAGTTTCCCTGCTCCGCAAAGAAGTTACCTTAGTCCGAACGGCCCCGTGAATCCAGGCCATACTGCCATGGTTAGTCCAATGGACAGTATTATGTCCACCAGCCAGCGTCGCAAAGTTCAACTCCAGCCAGGACACTCGCCTCTGGACTGGGAGTCGCGAAAGCAAACCACAAACATGAAGGGACCGATTGATCCTCGAGATTTTCCTCTAAGAGTTACCAAAGACGAGCTCTCCAAGCACAAATCCAAATACGACTTCTGGATATCGCTCAACAACAAAGTTTACAATCTGACTCCGTATCTAGACTTCCATCCGGGAGGAGTTGAGGTTTTGATGAAGTGCGCAGGAAAAGATGGAACCTTTTTATTTAACAAATATCACCGATGGGTCAACTACGAAAGGATCCTAGACGCCTGTTTCATTGGCTTCATGGTTTAAACCAGTCCGATGTCATTAGCATTAATCGCATTATTGTACAATAACATATATCATTCGCCAATCTCAGCACATATATCCGCAACTGTCTTAGCAAGCCGACTGTCGTACCGGTCGCCGTGCTCCAACAGCTCTGAATAATGCCGCTTGAACGCAAAGTAGTACGCGTCCTTTTCCCGTGATGGGAGTTCGTCCCATGTGGCACCATCTGTCCCAGAGAAGCGCTCGTAGAGCTTCCAAGGAGTGATGATCTGATATTTGAATTCTGCTGTTCCAGAGAGCTCTTTGAACCGACTGTCCAGGAAAAGACCAAATCTCTGTCTGACACTCAGGTTCTTCGACTCCCGAAAATCTGAGTCGGAAGACTTGCGTTTCACATTGAGCTCTTTCAGTGTGTTGTGCAGTATTTGATCCTTTTCAATGTCTGGCTCCGAAAGTTTCATTTTTTGCAACCGCACAGTTTCAGAAAGAAGGGCGTCTTCCTCTTCCCTGGACTCATCGTATTCTGGTCTATCCCAGTTGAGAATGGCTCGTGAAACACCCCCTCCCATCTTCTCAAACTTGTCCACCTTGTCAGGGAACGTCAGGTTTTCAGCACGATCAGCTGCCTCGTGCGATTTTGGAGCTGGAGTCGATGTGAGATCGAAGTGCATGGATGTTTCCTGCTTGTTCGTCGAATCGTCGTAATCCATCAACGATCCCTCGGTGGTGTTGTCGGTATCCACGTGGTGCGACCGGTCAATGCTTGGAGAAATATCAGATTCTGAAACGGGGGCGCTCTCCGATGTCTGGAAACTATATTCGTCCATTGACTGGTCAATTGAACGTTCATACAGAGCTGGAAGCTCTACTGACGCATCTAGCACAGTGTGGTCTTCGCTTGCGTCGATCCGATCGGGCTCCTCGTGCAGCTCGGGCATGGTGTCTTGTTCAACGAGTTCTTGTTGTTCGTGTTGTTCAACTAGGTCAATTGATTCAATTACTTCAACTGGCTCAACAGGTTTTATTTTTTCGTACTGCTCTTGCTCCTGTTTAACAACGATGGAGTTCTCCACCATGCTTTGCTCGATGTCGAAGCGACTGATTTGCTGAACGTTCTCCTGTACCTGGGGCATGATCTGCACGAAGCTCTCGGTCTTGTCGATTGTGGTGTCGAGCTCGCTGTCGGTAGCTGGGGCAAGAGTCTTTTCAGGAGACTTTTGGATAAATCTTCGTAACTCCATATCATCTGCGAACGAGTACTCCACGGCAGGAGCGGCCCAATCTTTCTTGCTCTGTAGGGTAGAGTATTCTCTTAGTGAAGTGGTCCAGAACTCCACAAGACTGGATCTGGTGGCTGGGAAGTTTGAGAAAACGTAGTTTCGAGTTTCAAGACAGTGTCTTGCAAAATTCGTTAGCGGCTTGGAAACTTCAAAGAAGATCCCTGGATTGTTGTTGAGACACATCAGTCTGTCTTTGAACACGTCGAAATATTGCTTAGTTTTCTCCTTGGGGATGGTCATGCCGGATTTGATGATCTCTGAGGACAATTTTTCAATCAGGTGGCCCATTTCGCACGAAATTATGAATACAGATGCTAAAAAGTCCATGTTTTTCGATATATGGATGTTGGAGTGGTCCTTGCGTAGCGATTTCAATGAAAGTGTCTTTCTGAGTTTTCCAAATTTGAACAGTTTGTTTTGAGACTTGTGATGTTCTTTGATCGTGGAGCGCAAGAACTCGATGTAGTCAATTGCTGGTTCAATAAGGTATTGGTTAGGAATGTTGAAATGTCTGACAACGTCGTTGAATGTGGAGAGGGCCAGTTCGTAGTCGGCTTGCGAGTAGCTGTCGGCAAAATTGATCGGTCCGTTGACCTTCACGCGTTCCACCGACAGTATCTCGGCATCTTCCATGCTCGAGGCGTACGGACTCTCAGGGGCCGGAAGTATCTGTGTTTGTGGAATAAACGGCAGCTTCAAAGATACAACAGTGAGTTTTCTGGATCTCAATGGTAATCTTCTAATAAGTCTTCGTCCAAGCTTACCCATAATGTAATCTCCTTGTAGATTGAGTGACGATAGATGTCGTAGAGGTTCTGTGCTGTTGATTGATTCGAAATAGGCCTCGTTGAAAATGTGGAACGAACCGTGACATTTGTAAAATCGCAACGTCAGGCGAAATATCAATCGAAGCGGATCAAGCATCGATTCAAACAAAACCATCATGAAACATACCACGCTCAAACAGAAAATTGCGAGCCGTGTTTGAGATGGATGTGATATATCAAATAACAAAATGTTTACAGATTTCCACTTGAGGACGAAAATAAATAAATAAACTCGGAACAATCTGAAAATGATTAGCTAATCGATTTTTTATGGTAGCAGAGATATTATCGGAAAACATTCAGTATATATATTATCATTAAGATTATAAGCTAGACTTGCAACAAGAGTCCTTAGAAGAGGACTCAGGGAAGTACTGGGATTTGTTGAAACTTTGGGAAGATTGAGGAACGTCCAAAGCTGGGTTCTTGTCGAAGAATCCAAATGGAACCAGAGAGATCTCGTGAGCTTCCACAGGCATAACTGGGAAGTCCTCCACTCTAGGAACGTGTGTGAATCCAAGAGTGGCCCAAACAACAGGGTCGTCGTTTCTAACGTTTTCTCTGCGCTTAGCCCAGACTCCCAGACCAGTGTCTGTTTGCGATTGGTTGGTGAATTCACCAGCAGCGTAAAGTTCATTGTCTTGGTATTTGGTAACCCACAGCTGCTGGGTAGCGAACTGGGCTCTCTTATTATTGTAAGACTCTTCTCCAGCGAGAAGCATTTGTCTAGCAGGCATCATGATCTTGTAAGCAACTGGCTTCTTGGAGATAGGGTTGATCTTGTTCTCGTTGATGATCTTGTAAGATCTGTTAGTGAATGGAGATTGCTCAACGTAACCTGGCTTGTCAACAACGGTTCTCTCAGTGACGAAACCAACGTTGTATGGGTTGAGCTTTGGATCCTTCTTCATTCTCACCACATCGTCAAAGACAACGGTATTCTCGTATCCGTCCACAGCAGGGTCGATTCTGAACGAAAGCATGTGTTGATGGTAAGAAGCCAAAACTCTTGGTCCCACGTTGGTACCCCATGGAACAGTGACGTCCCTGTCCAAAGGCATGGTGGACAGAATACCAGTGGCTCTAACGTGGATTCTGATCTCTCCAGCTTGGTCGAAAATGATGTTCACCATGTACTCGTAGTTAGCAACGGTAGCAATGGTCTGAACAACAAACTCTCTTCTTCTGGCGATGACAGGGACTCCAGTTCTGTAGTTGGTGTGCTTGTACAGCAGTCCACCGTCTTGCTCGTGCAAACACACAGTGTTTGGAATCAAGACGGACTCACCAGCAGTGTTAACTCTTCTGCAGTCCATGTATTTGATGACACCCAAACAGTCGCAACCAAGCGCCAGACTGTTACCAGTGGCACCAAATCCAGCATCACCCAAGTCGAATGCTTGTTTTCTGTGGAATGGAGCTCTTGGGTCTCCGTAAGGGACAGTCATTTCACACAAGGACAGTCTGTAAATGACAGATCTTCCCTTGAAGTGGATGTCGTAGATAGCAAATCCCTCTCTGCAGTTAGGAACGACTCTGAACTCCCATCCTTGCCACTCGATCTTTTGGCCGTCCACCTCGAAAGATGGGCCTTCTGGCTGTTGGACGATAAGAGGCTTGAGAGGCTTGATGGTCTCACCGTTCAAGTCTGGGTGGTACTCGACAAATGGGAACTCGGTCCATGGCTCAGTATCGTTGATACATGCCTCATCAACACCAGATGGCAGGTAGTCCATTCTGACAAACTCTTTAGTCAAGCACTCGAAAACAGGAGAGAATTTCAGTGGCAGAGAATAATGGTTAGATTCGGAGTGGTGAGCGTTGGCCAAGTACATGTAACACTGGATCAACAGTCTATCTTCCACACCATCAGTTCCGTTCATCCAAGGGTCGCAAACAACCTTGACGTAGGAAGGAAGCTTCAATTTTGCAATTTCAGCCTTGACAATAGGGTGCGAGGTTGCGAGCTTCTCGATCTCTTCAATGTCCTCAGCAATCAAAGGACCTTGAACGCCCTTTGGTTGCTTTTGGTTGGTGATGATGTGGCCGTAGGTCACGTTGACCAAAGCCTTGTAAAACTGGAGTCCGAGGTAGTAGTACACATAAGTGACTCTTGGAATACGAGGCAAAGATTTTCCGGACTTTTCAGCTTCAAGGTACTTGAGCATGTCCTTCTTTGGAGGGTCCAGTCTGTCGATCTGGATGAAGTGAGGCTTCTCAGGGCCCTTTGCGGCATCCTTGATGAGCTGGGATGTCAGCTGGATCTCTTTGTCAGAAACTGGGTCGAAAGGATGAACCATTTTGGAATATTCAAACACTTTTGCTGGGACTGTAGGGATTTATATATGCACCCCGGATAAATAATTTTTTGGTCGATATCTGCTACGAGCTTCCATATCGGGAAGGAGGAAGCATAGGGACCGAGTTGACTAGTTGGAACTGAAAATCGCACGATATCGGAAAACGAATATACTGATGGTTATATAACGCCTTACAAAGCCGTCTTGCAGCATGAGTCAGACTTGGACGAGTCTGGGTAGTAGGCGGACTTGTTGAAGCTCTGTGTGGATTGCGGAACGTCCAGAGCCGGGTTCTTCTCAAAGAAGTCGTGAGGCACAATACCAATCTCGTGTGTCTCAACAGGCATCACAGGGAAGTCCTCTGCTCTTGGAATATGGGTGAATCCAAGAGTAGCCCAGACGACAGGGTTGGAATTTCTCACGTTTTCCTTTCTGTAGGCCCATTCTTTCAAACCGGTGTCGACGTGCGACTGGTTGGTGAACTCTCCAGCTGCGTACAACTCGTTGTCCTGGTACTTGGTGACCCAGAGCTGCTGGGTAGCAAAGTGTGCTCTCTTGGCGTTGAACGAGTCGTCATCAGCAAGAAGCATCTGTCTGGCAGGCATCAGAATCTTGTAGCCAACAGGTCTCTTGGTGGTTTGATTGATAACGTTCTCGTTGATGATCTTGTAGGATCTGTTGGTGAATGGAGATTGCTCGACGTAACCTGGCTTGTCAACAACGGTTCTCTTGGTGAAGAATCCAACGTTGTATGGGTTAAAGTCCGTACCGGTAGGCATTCTTTCAACATCGTCGTAAACAACGGTGTTGTTGTAGCCGTCGACGGCAGGGTCGATTCTGAACGACAGCAAGTGCTGGTGGTAGGCGGCCATGACAAGCGGACCAACATTTGTACCCCAATTCACAGTCTTGTCTTTCTCGATTGGCATGGTGGACAAAATACCGGTAGCTCTCACGTGAATTCTGACCTCACCGGCCTGGTCAAAGATAATGTTGAGCAGATACTCGTAGTTAGCGACGGTAGCAATGGTCTGAACAACAAACTCTCTTCTTCTAGCAGTCACGGCACTTCCGGTTCTGTAGTTCATGTGCTTGTACAGCAAGCCACCGTCTTGCTCGTGCAAGCAGACAGTGCTTGGGATCAAGCGAGGCTCACCTTTAGAGTCGGTGATAGTACAGTCAAAGTACTTGATGACTCCCAAACAGTCGCAACCGAGCTTCAAGGAGTTTCCGGTGGCACCGAATCCAGCGTCACCAAGATCGAAAGCCTGCTTTCTGTGGTACGGAGCTCTTGGGTCTCCGTAAGGAACAGTCATCTCAGACAGGGACAGTCTGTAGATAACGGATCTTCCCTTGAAGTGGATGTCGTAGATAGCAAATCCCTCTCTGCTGTTTGGAACCACGGTGAATTCCCATCCTTGCCAGGTGATCTTGTGACCATCAACGTTGAACGAAGGACCTTCTGGCTGCTGGACAACCAAAGGCTTCAAAGGTCTCAAGGGCTCGCCGTTCAGGTCTGGGTGATACTCGACCAGAGAAAAGTCGGTCCATGGCTCGGTGTCCTGCAAAGATGTGGCATCGGTTCCAGCTGGAAGATAGTCCATTCTGACAAACTCGTTAGTGAGCGATTCAAACACAGGCGAGAACTTAAGCGGCAGCGAGTAGTGGTTGGACTCTGGGTGGTTGGCGTTGGCCAAGTACATGTAGCACTGAACCAGCAGTCTGTCCTCATTGTCGTCGTCGGTTCCGTAAATCCAAGGGTCGCAAACAACCTTGATGTGTGGGGGCAGGTTTAATTTCTTCACCTCGGCCTGGACAATTGGATGGATGGTAAGCAAGTGCTCCAAGGCAGCGACGTCGTCACCGATCATTGGGCCGACAACACCCTTTCCTTGCTTCTGGGTAGTAATCAGGTGGCCATAGGTAGCATTAACCAAGGCTTTGTAGAAATCCTTACCCACATAGTAAAAAGCGTAGGTGATTCTAGAGATTTGTGGAAGAGTCTTTCCAGCTTTTTCGGCTTCTAGGTATCTAAGCATGTCTTGTTTTGGAGGATCTTGTCTGTCGATTTGAGAGAACCGGATCCTCTGGTCCTTGCCGTAAGAGTTCTTGATAAGCTTGGAAGTCAAGCGAATCTCCGCATCGGAGATCGGGTCAAAAGGGTGAGCTGCCATAATGATAAAAGCGATTTACGAGATTAACTGCATTTGCGGCTTTTGGTCCTTTTATACCCTGCTGTTCCTTGAGGTTATCGCGAATCTATTATCCATTCTTAGATGCTGCATAATTTGAATTGCGGGTCAAACCCGGAAACCGAATTCCCCATGTCGATCCGGATGTGGAATATGGCGAAGAGACGCTAACAGGAGCATTCCAGCCGCCCAAATGCACACCAGCATTGTCTCCTCTCGATTTCAAGCTGTCGTGAATTTAGACAATCTTATCAATAATCCAAATTAGGCAATTTGCTATATAAATACCGACCCTCTTGCCAAATTTAGACCGATCTTTTAAGAGTAGATTTTGTGAAGCGGGTATCTAATCGAAAAAGTCGTCGTCGTCGTCGTCCGCTTCGTCCTCGTAGTGAGTTTCTCGACGATCAAACACAATCTTGGTCTCCTTACCCTTTCTTTCCTCTTTGGACACTTTTTCTAGAATCTCCACAATGTCGCTTTCGGAAACCTTGGTTCTGATAGCGCCAGATTGGAAAAGCCGTAGCAAATAGCTTTCCACAGATGTAACACGCTCCGGTTTCACCATTCTGACCCTCGAAAGGCGCTCTTTCGCCTGTGGTTCCAGAATTTGCGACAAAATCGTTTGTGTAGGATCATTCTGAGCACTAACGGTTAGAGTCCCACTTTATTAGTCAAACTTACCTCTTGTTGTCAGTGTTCTTTGGAGCGCCTCCTTGAGAGTTGCGCTGTAGCTCCTGGAGACGGGCCGCTCTGATCGCCGCTAGTTCTGAATCGTCCATAATGTTACAAATTTGTGTTTTGAAAAACTTTTAGCGTCGATCGGCCTGCGCTCCAAATAGATAACGATAAAACATCTTCTGGTGATTGTTATCATTTACTTTAAAGCTCAATGGTTTTCGAGGAGGAATCGTCAAAAGCGTTGCTGGTAAACTCCGGTGACCTGATATCTCCGGTAAGCACCCATCTCGACTCAAATAACATCAAACATATACATGGCTCCAAACAGCCAGAGATAATCACCTTCCAGGAATTGGAAGGGTCTGTGGACGAAAACTCACTCCGCAAAGTTCCTGGATCGATTCCACCGACCGCATACCTTATATGTCTTGTCGAGCTCGCAGAAAGAGCATCCTACTATGGACTGTCCGGATGTATCGCCAATTTCATTCAACGGCCACTACCGGCAGGATCCACCACTGGAGCGGTGCCGAATCCTAACTCGGACGAGAGCGCGGGCGCTCTTGGTCTTGGACTCGGGATGGCAACGTTTCTGACTCAAATGCTGAGTTTTTCCGCATTCCTTACACCGCTATATGGAGGCTACGTTGCAGACACCAAGTACGGGAAGTTTAAAAGTGTTTGGATAGGAGTGGTGATTGGGTTTTTCGCCCATATGCTTCTTGTCGTTGCAGCATTACCATTTGTGATTCAGACTGTCTGGCTATCGCTTTTGATCACAGCGGTCAGTCTCATTGGAATCGGTTTCAGCTCCGGTTTCATCAAGCCCAATTTGTTCCCGTTACTTGTTGACCAGTACACTGTTGAAGGGAACTACATCAGAGAATTGCCATCTGGTGAGTCTGTTCTTGTTGACAGAGATGCCACCTTGGAAAGAATGAGCTTGATTTACTACTTTTTCATCAACTTTGGGTGTTTCGTTGCAATTTCGTCGTCTCTAATTGAACGGGCCTTTGGATTCTGGCTCACTTATGCCTCCACTGCGCTGGTTTATTGCATGCTATTTCCAATGTTGATCTACCTGCGTCCACGTTTGCAACTAGGCGAGCCAACAGGATCATCGATCTTTGATGAGATCTTTGTTCTGGTGAAAGCATTGTTCCAGGCCGGGTGGATCTCCAGAATTAAAGGAGGCAGATTCTGGGACATTGATCTCTCACCCTCCGCAAAAAACCTTACTCCTTCCATTTCAATGGAAGATTTCAGGTCCACCATGAAATCCTGTGTGATCTTCCTCTACTTCATCGTCTTCAACCTCAACGACGGATCTATCGCGTCAATTCAAATTAATCAAGCAGGTTCGATGCAAACTAGTGGTATTCCTAACGATCTATTCCAGTCTTTTAACCCGCTCGCTATCCTGATAGTCATTCCTTTCCAGGACTACCTGATATATCCACTGCTTAGAAAGCATCGCATAGTGTTCCAACCAGTTCATCGCATAACACTCGGGTTTTGCATATCTGCAACCGGAACACTGATCGGAACATATTTGCAGTACCGCATCTATACCATAAGCAAGTGTGGCTGGGAAGGGGCTTCAAACTGTGACGAGGTGGCCCCAATCTCCGCCTGGTGGTGTGCATGCATGTTTGGATTACAGGCTGTCGGTGAATGCTTTGCAACCGTCACGGCATACGAACTGGCATACACAATGTCTTCGCCAGCTATGAAAAGTTTCGTGGTTGCATTGTTCTTGTGCTCCAACGCCATTTCGAGTGTCTTGGGAGAAATCATCAGCTTCTGGGCACACGATCCAAATCTGTTTGCCATTTTCTTGTGGTGTGCGCTGTTGGGATTTGGATTCGCAGCACTCTTCTTGCTACAGTTCAGAAATTTGCATAAGCAAATAAATTGACCTAACCTCCCTACATTTCTATAATCGTATATACATTATTAGACCTGTGTAAGTCCCTGTTGTTTGACCTCGTTGATCTTGTCGAAGTCAATGGCATCCAAAATGACCTTGGCTCCTCCATTTATTAACATTGATGCCAACTCTTTTCCAAGGGCAGTAGCATCGTCGTATCCCTTGACGGTCTTCGACAAGCTCTTTTCCACATGTTGAGTTCCTTCTGGGTTCAACACAACGGCTTTCATATTGAGGGTTTCGGTTTCCTTGATATATTCGGTCCAAACTCCAACGGGAACGGAGCATCCTCCTTCCAGAGTGCGCAGCAACTCTCTTTCTGCGCGACATCTGATGGCAGTGATCTTACAGTCGAGTTTCTCGCACACCTTCTTCATCTTTGCATCTCCTTTACGAATCTCAATACCAAGAGCACCTTGACCAACAGCGTAGAGCATCTCGTCGGCTTCCAAGTACTTGGTGATTCTGTGTCCCAAATCAATTCTGATCAAACCTGCAGCGGCAAGAATGATACAGGAGTATTCGGAGTCCGGTGCGTCTAGCTTGCTGATTCTGGTGTTCAAGCTGCCTCTGATACTCTTGAAGACAAGATTTGGGTGGTTCTTCAATAACTGTGCAGATCTTCTGACCGAAGAAGTTCCAACAATGGAGCCATCTGGGAGCTCTGACAGGGAACTGTATGGAGAATCTTTCTTCATGACAAGCGCGTCTCTTGGGTCTAAAAAAGTTAGTAAATGATGATAAAACCATCTTCAGTAAAAAGATTTATCCTCAACAGAAATTAGGAAGTCTAACGTCTAATGAAAATCTTTGAGTTCATCACGATGGTTGTAAAAAGTGGTACTTACCTTCTCTTTGAAGGATGCATCCCAATTCAAATTCCTCGGGAAGTGCGGTTGGCATATCTTTCAATGAATGGACAATCATATCGATTTGGTCAAACTCGCCGTGGCCTTCGAGCAAAAGGGTTTCGAGCTCTTTAGTCCACACGGCTTTACCGCCGAAAGAGTATAATGGTCTGTTTTGCATTTGATCTCCCAAAGTGCTGACTTTCACGATCGGAGTTTGCAAGTTCGGGTAATGCTTCTGAATACTCGCACCAACAATTTCCGACTGAACGACAGCGAGCTGAGATCTTCTGGAGCCGATGCGGACGGTATTATTGGCCAAGTTCAATTCCTTCTCTGCTGGCGTGAGAGTTGGGACTGATTTGGAAGACTGTTTTGGCAAAGCAGATGTCGACGACTCGTAAACAACTTTTTCCGAGCTGGTTGTAGACAGGCCAGCGGAAGGCGATAGCTGTGACATTTTCTGTGGAGGTTGCGAGATGGTAGCCGCTCCAAGTGAGTGGATATTATGCAAACTATTTAATGATGATTGGTGTAGCGGTGACGACAACATTGGATGTGGATTAGATAGACTTAATGGCCCGGTGATCTCAAAAGAGATTGTTTTCAACAAAAAGAATTTCGGCTATGACTGGACAAAAGAGCGGATTTTGATGTCAGGATCCTCTCTCGTTTATATTCTAGTTCCAGTTTGACAATTCTTTTAGTTTAATAGGCTGTTGAAAAAGTCTTATAAAAAAAATCGCAGGTGCAAGGAGTCTTCCGCTCGGGAACTGATGACTGTATTAGGAAGCAGACGATCTCGCCAATCAAAAAAAAATAATTTGTAATTTAGACGGTGGGAATTCTTGCCATAAATTTTTCGCGGGTCTTGTGATAGGCTACTTTAACTTTCCGGCCTAGCCAGACAAAAAAGAAAAAAAAATCGTTACTAAGCGCTTGGGTGATCAACATCTTTACACCAATACGCCTCTCGCAAGGGCTAGGTACCCCGGAATAAAAGTAATGCCAGTAAATCAAAACAGATTAAAAACTTATTTCGATAGTCAATATGTCCAAGTTTGTGCCGATTCTCCTTTATTCGCTGGTGATGGGGATTAGTTCCTTTCTCTCGGGGCTGATCCCGCTTGCGGTTGAGATCTCCCCGGCCAATCTACACTACGCTTCCATGTTCAGCGTGGGCTTGCTCATATCAACGGCTTTTGTTCTCATTATTAAGGAAGGACTAGAGCACTACACGGTTGACGAGCCAATTGGTCTGTGGATGCTGACTGGATTTGCTGTATTATTCACCATCAATTCGCTTACCTCGATCGTTTCATCGTCGTCCGCAAAGCCATCATCAAGCTTTGAACAGTCTTTCCAACTAGACGAGTTTGACCGGGAGTCTTCTCGTCCGTTTACTCCGCCGCCATCTTCCCATCGGCACGAGGAATTGGGAACACCATTTGCAGCTAAACAACCTCCAAAGAATTTGATCCTGGCTCCTTTCAAAAACGCCCAGACTTTGGGGCTTATCATTCACGCACTCACTGATGGAATCGCTCTGGCAGCATCCGTCCTTTCCGCGCCGGACTCTTCAACTGATCTAGGATCTATGTTTGTGGTGTTTGCCATATTCATCCACAAACTGCCAACATGTTTTGCTCTTGCTTCCCTGCTTCTTGCCGAAGGTCTGTCAAGAATAGAAATTTTGCATCACGTGGGAATCTTTTCGCTGTCTTCACCAGCAGGGGCCTTTCTAACGTATCTGTTTGTGACAATGGCAATCAATGTTGACCTGAACGAGGCTGCCGGAGAGCTCCTCGTTTTCAGCGGAGGTGCATTCTTATTTGTGGCTTTCCATGCTTTACACGAAACCCTACACCAAAACCAAAGACCAAACGACAAACGCTCACAATTTAAAGCCCTCGGAATATGTCTCCTGGGAATGATTTTACCTGCATTTATCACACTCATTGAAGAGGAATAGGTCCACCGATGCCTCTATTATAGATTTTATAACTATGTCGTGCGAATTGATTCATCTGCGCTTAATAGCCTTGCGATTTAGCCATTTGTCCTTTTTCGATCCAATACTGCTCACTGGAACGTTCAGCACGCTTTTATTCTTTGACAAAACCTGGACTCGCACTGGTCCTTTCTTTATTATCTTTTTGTTCATGCTCCGTGCTTGTTTGAGTTTCAGCTTGGTCAATTCTTCGCGGCTCATCTCAGCTTCCTCGTCATCAAAAACAATCTTCTTCGGTTTCTCGGTCTCCTCCTCTGCCTCGTAGTTGTCCAAAAGTCCTTCGGGAAGCAGATCAGGGGTCTCTGTATCTTTTTCTTCAAGTTTGAGCTTGCGCGACTTTGCCTGTTCTTGATTTCGTTGCTCGAGAAGTCTTCTCTTCTCTTTCTGTTTGCGCTCGATTTCTTGGATTGTTGCGCGCTCTGCTTCGATCTTAGCAGTCAACTTCTCTTTACCTGAACTCATAGACTCCTCTTCTGGGGCGTCATCGCTGTCCTCGGACTCGGATTCGTTTGTAACAGCTTCAACCTTATCCTCTATGTGTGCTTCCTCTTCAACATCATCCCCAAACTTCTTGTGGCTTCGTAGTCTTCGCGCTGACATGTACCTCTTGATCAACTAGGCTAGCAAAATTTTTTTAAGGATATCTTGATATTTTTTTTCAGCTTGCGTCGATCGACCTCAACTATTCCTATGGGCCACACTTGATCATCCCTAATGCACACAGGATTCTATACCAGAGAATGGCAATAAATTGGCCATTTCCGGTATAGAGCAGAATCAGACTGATCAAAATCAAGACGATTATCGTAGCAACAAAAAAGTAGGCTTTATGAGCGTTCACGAAGCTGATAACTGGAGAGGGGAGCTGAGAAGCTTCGTCGCAGATGGTACGGCAAACGGCCTCACCTAAATCTCCAGAAACCGACTCATCGTTGAAGTTGCTTCCATCTCCAGATTCCAGCAAATTTTGGGTGCTCAGGAACTCTTCATAATTGTTGTAACCCTTTGGGATCTTCTTGGAGTCGTCATACTTTGGATTTTTCCGTGAAAGGTATTTCTGAGGAGTCGGAGACTCCTGTAAGGAATCAGGAAGACATTGCTCGTTGTCAATTGAGCCGTAATTAGAAGCAGACATAATATATTATTTAATTATTTAAGCGCTTGGTCTGGCTTTTTTAATAAACCCAATTTTTCAAAATTCGACCGTGCTGCTATTTCGAAGTCTCTCTAATAAGTAGTGACACCAGAACCACAATGGCCAAAATAACGACAGCAAGGAAGGTTTTTGTCTTCTGTGACGTCAACAGTTTCAATATCGAATGAGGAGTAAGTGAAGTACTCTGTCTGCCAGGGTTGGAGACTCTTCGATAGCTGGAACAATCAGCATCGCATAGGGGCAAGATTGGTCTTGACTCGTCGTCAGTGGCGCCTGAAGTCAAGTAGGATCTCAAAGACTCGACAATGGTGGTGTTTCTGAAGGAGTGGCAATTGTCAGGCTCTTTAGGAGCAGTGTCAATAGAAACTGCTTCTGGGGTATTGGAAGCAGGAGCAATATTATCAACTCGAGAAAGCAAACTGCGCAACGATCCACGTTGCGTTTCGGTATTTTCAGTAGCCCCGTAGGTAGAGACCTCCTCCTGAATCTTAGGGGACGTCTTCCCCGACTCCATCTCAGACAAGTTATCAAATGCGGTCTTGATCTTCTTGGGAGACTTGGATTTTGTCGGGGTCGACATACGGCTGTGCAATCGGTTCAACGTCGAGGTAATTGAGCTTGAAGACCGCGGTCTGGCTTCTCTTTGATGTCCTTTTAAACTACTTAGTACCATTCTTAGACAATTGACGATAACACAATTTAGGAAAAATCTTAAACGCCCAGTTGTTGATTTTAGGGATACGCGACACGAAAAATTGTTGTACACAGCCAGCGAGCTGGGTTCTATATTTAATATACATCACGACGTTTGAGTTCGTCTTTGGCGCTTGTTGCTGACTTCTGCTTCGGAACCGGACTTTTCCACAATCCGTTTCAACATAGCCTTTCCCTTCAGCTTTCCACCTCCGCTGATATACTCCAACCGGTTCAAATTGAACCGCAAAGTCTCGGCAAGAAGCTCATCTTTGATACCATCCAACTGGTACCAGACGTGATATTTGTCCAGCCTCTGACCAGTTGCCATAATTTCCTTCATCTTCTGCTGGACTTCCGCGAGAGGTGTGGCACTGTTTTTAATCAGATTGGCAAACTTGTAAGGAACCTCCACCAAACGAAGCGTGCTGGTGGAGTAGATCGGAACAGGCTTCACGTCCTCTTCTCCCAAGTCCTCGGGCTCCAGATCCTCATCATTGACATGGCGCGACGTTCTCGTTTGTCTTTTCGCTGGTCCCCAGTTCCGTTTTGCTCTTCTTTTCTTCTTTGGATTCTTCTTTTTATCGTTCGTATCCTCAGCATCATCTTCCTCCTTGCCGTCCTCTCCATTCTCACCATCTTCCTGCTTGATATCCACACCTTCCTCCTCTTGTCTCTGTCTTTCTTCTTTCTCTTTCTCCTCCTTGAGCTTCTCCTCCTCTTCTCTCTTTTTGCGAGCTTCGTATGCATCAATTTCGGGCTGGTTATGGACTATGATGAACGAGATAAGTAGTTCCACAAATAAGTCCTTATACTTCTTTGACAACTCCGAAGCGGATGCAGAAGGAGGAGGTGTAGGAGAAGATGCCGGCTTCAAAGAAGAGTCGTCGCCATTCTGCTCGTCATTCTTGTCGTCAGGCTTGTTTCTCTCATCAATGATCTCAATGACCGAGTCCTTCGGGAAGTAGAACCGTGAGGCATTGTTCTCCAAAAACTCAATAATCAAAGTCGCATCCTCGGTATATCTCTCTTGGAATGCAGTCAGTCGATCATCACCAGCTAAAAGTTTCTCAAGCTTGGCTTTTTCCTCCTGTCTCTTCTTTTCCCGCTTCTCTTTCTTTTCTCTTTCTTTGTCCATCTCAAACTCATCACCAAAATCTATAGGTCCGAGGTTTAACTTTTGACGCTCTTGACGCTCTCTTTCCAACCTTGCCTTGCGCTCTTTGCGTTCCTGTCTTTCACGATCTTTTTCTAATTTCTCCTGCTCCTTTTGGAGCTGTTTCTGACGTTTTTTCTCCTCTTTCAACTTTGCTTTCTGTTCTTTCTCCTGTTGTTTCAACTTTTCACGTTCTTCTCTCGTGAGCTGTCTGCGGTCAACAGCTCCTCCAAAATCCTGGGGCTTGCTGGTCGTTGGCTGTCTGTTCTGATTCTGTTGTTGTAGCTTCTTATAGTATCCTGAAGGGTCGCCCATCTGTCTTGCTTTTTGAATGTACCGTTGAAACTCTGCAATCTGTTCACTGGAAGCGTTTCCAGAAGCCACGATTTTCATTAGTGAACTCAAGTGCGCATCCGAACGAGCAATCAGGTTCAAGTTCTGAATCATCATAGCGTTCTCTGGATTCGCCATTAGATCGCCGGACTTGGACTCCTCAGACTGCTTTGAAGCGGCAGAAAGCGATTCTGTAGATTTAGGTGCGGGAGATGGCGTTGTAGTGGCAGTAGTTTTAGCAGGCGCAGGCGTAGGAGCAGGAGCAGGCGTAGAAACCGGGGCTGCTGCCTTCGTCTTCGGCAGGGGAACCGCAGCTGCCTCTTTCTTGACAGGTGGTGTTGCAACAGCAGGAGACGGATCAATAGGTTTCAACACTCGCTCATCCTTGAGCTTTTGTCTTTCCTCTCTCTTTCTTTCCAACTCCTCAAAGTATCTCTTTTCTTTCTCTTCTTCCTTCAAGATGAAAAGTCTGATTTCAAATGTGTGTGGTCCCGCCACAAGTTTCATATCGCACATCTTGCTGAGTCTGTCCTTTTTCCTTCCATCTGCTGGTGTCATGTACTGTTCACGTCTTGTCCAGAACGTGCGAAACACGTTGTGGAGCCAATTGTGACGGGAGACAATGAGCGAATTGTATAGCGTAGCGGAGTCTCTGGTTGAAAGCGGGTTCTCCAGCTGCTCATAATTAGGATCATCCTTGGATAATGGCAAATGTTGTATGACTTTGAACGGTCTGTTCAAACGCTGTTTGTATGCGGCTTCTTTATCAATAACCTCCGCCTGTTCAATCAAGACCGCATTGCTGGATCGACTCAGCTTGTGTTCGACCACAGAACCGGGCTTGCCAGCGTCGGGAGACGAGTTCGAGCCAGCACGAGACATGAATGAAGTTTGGGTTTTTCGAAAAATATATGGACAACCCTTGCACCTAAATTGTTTTCTTTTGCACGCGTACAATCTTCAAATCAAAGATGGGGACTCGACTGGCGTCCGACGCGAGCTTTGATATCCAATCATTAACCAAACGTCTCAGACAGCCGTACAAGCCTGATCTCGAGCAGTACGACAGTGGGGCGATTTTGCGCGTGAAGCTTCAAAACTTTATGTCGTACTCTTTGACGGAGTTTCACTTTGGCCCCACGATGAATCTGATTATTGGACCAAATGGAACGGGAAAGTCAACTTTCGTGTGTGCAGTTTGTATTGGATTGGGTGGCAAACTGGATTACCTGGGGAAAGCCTCGATGAATGTGGATCAATTCATCAAATCAGGAGAGAAAGAGGGAAGCATCGAGCTTGAACTGAAGGGAGCCAACTCGTTCGAAACGGTGGTTGTGGAGCGCAAGCTGTACAGAAAGGCAAAATCAGTGTGGTACGTGAATAATAGACCGTCCAATGAATCGCAAGTGAAAGCTCTTTTGAAAGAGTATAATATCCAGCTGGATAATCTGTGTCAATTCCTACCTCAAGACAGAGTTGCTCGGTTTGCCTCTTTAAAACCAGAGGAACTGCTCAAAGAAATTGAACGCTTGTACGAAAACGGAGAATTGCTCGAACAGCACAACAAGTTGATGGAACTACATGCTCTTCGCCAAGAAAAAACCAAGGCTCTAGCTGATATCGAGTTCCAGATGTCTGCTTTGAACGAAAAGCGCAAATCGCTGGAAGAACGGGCACAGCAGTACCACGAGTACCAGAGATTGGAGAAAGAGCTTGCCAAACACGAAACTTTGCGACCATATGTCGAGTTGAGCACAGTCAAGAAGCACCGCGACGACTTGAAACAGAAGGTTCACGATACGTCCCAGAAGGTTGAGGAGTTTGACCAGAAGATCTTACCGATGAAAGAGACACTTACCCGATTCCGCAAAAACCTGGGTGACACTGACACCAAAATCAAAGAATGTACAACTACTAAGGAAACACTCAACAAGGAGATAGAGAAACATTTGAAAGACATCGAGTCGTACGACTCAAAAATACAAGGACTTGCAGACCAAAGAGCATCGCTGGCTACAAGCTTGGAGACTCATCGTGAGAAGTGGAAACAGCTTACAGAGGATTTGCAGGTGGTGAATCGGAAGTTGGAATCTTTGGAGTTGGCAAGCGAAGAAGAGATCGAGAAGTTGAAGAACCATAGAACTGCAGTCTTGGATCAGATTTTAGAGGAACAAGAATCGTTGGACAATCTCGAGACCGAAAGACGTGCACTGACGCGCTCAAACAAACAACTAGAAGACCGAGTGCAGATTAGCGAGAATAGTCTGAGCTCCAAAGATAGATTATTGCTGCTTGATTCCACCAGATATGGTAACATTATCAAAGCTGCTAGGGTTTTGAGAGAAAAGAAAAAAGAGCTCAAACTCCATTATTTCGAGCCACCGATCATATCGTTGACTGTTACGGATAAAAAGTACGGACCTGCATTGGAGCGGTCTATAAGATTCCAAAACCAATGTGCTTTCACGGTCCCCAACAACAACGAATACCACAAGTTGTCACACTTTCTCTATAATGAGCACCCGGAGATTGGACGCAACATTGGTATCCGTACGCTCAGCGATAATTTCAGTTTTCAATCACGGATTCCTGTTGAGGAAATCAAGAAATATCAATTTGATGGATACTTGGTGGACTTCATTGAGGGACCTCGCGAGGTTGTACAAATGGTCTGCGAAAATGACCGAATTAATAATATACCTGTCGCCTACAAAGATCTGAGCCTTGCTGCCAAGGATACGTTGTCCAACAAGATCAGAAACGAAAACTTCCCATTGACAGAGTTCATAGCAGGAGAGGCTTATTATTCTTTCAACAAATCCAACTACGGATCCAAGCAGGTGACAACCAACATTCGGGGATTTGCTGCCAACAGAGCATCGATTTTTTCTGGTGGACTCCCAGACGACAAAAGAGTGGAGATTCAGAAGCAGATCGACGAAAATAAGGCCAAGGTGGCCGAAAATGGTGACAAATTATCCAAATTGGTGCAGGCCATGAAGTCGAAGCAGGAATCTCTAAGCCAACTAACGAAGGAACGTGATCAGGCCACCGCAAAGATCAGCCGTCAAACCAAGGCCGAGAAGGATAAAGAAAAATATATCACACACATCGAGACTATCAAGGACAGAATTAGGGTCGAGAAAAGAGAGATCAGTAAGATCAAGCATCGCGAGAATGAAGGTTTTGCGTCTAAGCTGCTCAGCAAAATAGGAAGCCTGGAACAGAAGAAGATTGAAACTTTTGAATTGATAGAGCCAAAAATATCCAAGATATGCGATCTTGACGAACAATTGCTGGACGCACAGATTCTTGCAATTCAGGAAAACAACAAATATAGTACTATCCAGTCGTTGAACGAATCTATCCTGACTACTCGAGATGAGTTGGTGCAGGAGCTCAAGGAAGCCAAAGCAGATTATTCGACGGCTAAAGAGAACTACTCCAAGGCTCTCCGTGAGTACAAAGCTCAATTGGACTCGCTGAGTGACGAAGACCGTACCGAATTGGAGAATTTAGTTGCTGAGTTACAAGAAAACGAAACTTTGACTGAGGAAGGCTTAAATGCTGAGATCAGCAGAATCAAATCGCAGATGAGATTGAGACGGAATGGTGCTGGAGCAGACTCCTTGAAACGTCTTGAAGAGGTGGAGAAGCAGATCGACCAGTTCGAGGCTCGAATGCCCGAGTATGAGATCGACATTGGTGTTTTAAGCAAAGAAATCGAAGATCTGGCTGCTGTTTGGAAGCCAAAGCTGGAGTTTGTGATTAGGATAATTGCGCGCGATTTTGGCGAGAACCTGAAAGCTGTTGCCAGTGCGGGCGATGTGCAGTTAGACTGCGAGTCTGAGAGCTTCGCAGAGTGGAAGCTCAAGATCATGGTGAGTTTCAGAGACAGCCAGGCCTTGATGCAGCTGAATGCAGCGCAACAGAGCGGAGGAGAGAAATCTGCCACCACTGCGGTTTTTCTCAATTCGCTACAAGGACTGACAAATACGCCGTTCCGTGTGGTGGACGAAATCAACCAGGGTATGGACTCCAAGAACGAGAGACTTATCCATGAGCTGATTGTGCGGAAAGCCTGCTCTGCTCGTGGATCCCAGTACTTTTTGATCACGCCCAAGCTGCTTACGAATCTATACTACGGCGATGGAATGAGAGTGCACTGCATTTTGGCTGGAAGATGGTGTCCAGAATACGAAGACTCTATGGAGTTTTTGGAGATGGGGGTGACAGATAAATATTTCTAAAAAAACATAAATCCGGGCTGCGTTCAATTTATTTACAGAACTTGTACTAAATGGCGACGTTAGAGCGCCAATTTGCGAAATTGGAGCTTCTCAAGGAGGAGATTGTGCCGCATTTGGAAGATTATCAGACTCTGAAACAGTCGGGCGAAGAGATTACGCTGAGTTCAAACGATGAGCTTTTGCTAACGTTCAGCAAACTGGGCAACCTGTTCAAATATTTGGAGCTGTTACTGGTTGAGAACGCAGAATCGCCGAACTTCCCAGCAGAAACTGCACGGTTCCGCAAAGAGCTGAGTAACTACAATCGCCAGCTGGACCAGATACAGATGGATATCCCCAAGGACCTGAATCTGGAAATAGACACATCGAAATTAGACGAAGCCGAGGCACGCCCTCGTCCGAGAGTGAAGAAGACCAAGTCTGTGAGATTCAAGAAGAACCTGATTGACCCGTCTGAGGCACAAAAGAGAAGAAATTCGAGCTCCGCCGGAGTGTACAAAGATGAACCAAACAAACAAAACTTGTTCGAGACTACAGGGTCGTACTCAGATACACAGGAACCTATCCAGGACCCACTTGGGATGTCGAATCGCCAGATATTCATCGAGAATCAGCAGGAGCTGCTGAACCAAGACGAGATTGTCAACTCGCTGTCGCAGTCGGTGAACAGACAGCACGAGATGTCGCTCGCTATCGGGGACGAAGTGGACGACCACATGGTGTTGCTGGATGACCTCGAAACAGGCATATCGCGAGCAAATGCCAAGCTGATACGCGGACAGTCGAACATTGCCAGGTTCACGCGGCAGCTGAAAGAGCACGGGGACTGGTTCACGATCTTTGTTCTTGTGGTCATCATGCTGATCTTATTAGTTATCCTCAAATGAGCGCGCGAGGCCCGTTTCCGGCTGGACCTGGTCTAGTTGGAGACTATGCGGACTCTGCTCGAGCCTTTATCATCTGCGGCGTGATAGATGGATTGGAGTTGCTCTGCAGTTTTGGACGAGATGGAACGAATTTTGAGCGAGGAAGCGTTGGACGATGCCGCCTCAGACCCGGTGGTTGGCGTGTCCGAGACGTAGTTGAAGTTGGTATGTTTGGAGCTACTCTCAGCATTGGTTTGACGAGGGTGGAGATCAAATGCTGGGAGAGGGTTGACCTGCGGTAGTTGCAGTTTCTGGTGCGCGGCAGCAAGGATCTTGAACAGCGATGCAGAGTCGATCTGGGCAGGCTGTTGCGGAGTTGGCAAAGGTGAGCTATGATCGCTAAAATAGCGCTGGGAGCTGACTATGGGGCAGAACTCGAAATCTTCTTCCGCATCAAACGACTTGTAGGTGTTGAGCTTTGCCCTGGCCAGTCTAACTTCCTGGAGTCTTGTCGACTCGGTATTTGTCGAGCTATTTAACATGGCAGGAGAATGTGTGTTCCCGCCAGTCTTCAAGTGTAAATCAAGAAAATATGAAAAATTTTGTAGAGCGTATTTAGTGCATCTTCGAGGTACGAGATGTTGGGTGTTCGCGGATTCCATTCTTATGCTCGCAGACTGGGCCCGTCGACGAGGTTTTCGTTGCGCAAGAAGACGCAGACCAAGATTGAAGGCCAAAAGAGCGAGAACGCGCCGGTCAGGACCAGATTCGCACCGTCTCCAACTGGCTTCCTCCATCTGGGATCGCTCAGAACGGCACTGTACAACTATCTTTATGCCAGGGCAACCAATGGCCAATTTCTTATCAGACTGGAGGACACAGATCAGAACCGACTAGTCCAAGGAGCAGAGGAAAACCTTTATCAGACCCTGGACTGGTTAGGACTGAAAGTTGACGAAGGACCTCAGGTTGGAGGACCCTACTCACCTTACAGACAGAGTGACCGCAAAGAGATTTATTCGGAGCACATCAAGATTCTTTTGGACAAAGGACTCGCGTATCGGTGTTTCTGCTCCAAATCACGACTCGATGGGCTGCGAGACTCTGCGAGACTCTTGAAACCACCAACTACCGTCTCGTACGACAGAAACTGCCTGAAGCATTACACGAAGGAGGAATCTGATGCCAAGGCCGCTAATAATGAACAATTTACTGTGAGATTCGTTTCTCCAGAGAAATACCCAGAGTTTACCGATCTGCTCCATGGCACTATAAACTGGCAGCCACAGGTGAACCAGTTTGACCGACGGTACGAAGACCCTGTTCTGATGAAGAGCGATGGACTTCCAACGTACCATTTCGCAAACGTGGTGGACGACCGCTTGATGAAGATCACACATGTGATCCGAGGTGAAGAATGGCTGGCCTCTACACCAAAACATATTGCATTATACGAGGCCTTTGGATGGCCCGCTCCCAAATTTGTCCATATACCGCTGTTGACCACCGTGGAGAACAAGAAACTCTCCAAACGGTCGGGAGATATCGATATTATGTCGCTCAAAAAGCAGGGCTATCTTTCAGAGGCCCTGATAAACTTCTCTGTGCTTTTTGGCTGGTCTCCAAAAAGAGACAAGGGCAAGAAGTCTAACGAAAAGTACGATTTGAAGACTCTCGAGGAAACTTTCAGTCTCGACGGACTGACTGTGGGAAACGCCAAGGTTGACTTCAGAAAGCTTTCGTACTTCAACAAGCTGTATCTACAGGAAAAACTTGAAGATCCAGCCTATCGGGAGAAAGTCGCACTGGAAGCTCACGAGAAGCTAGCAGATAGATATGCCGTTTCTCTCGCGTACGTTAGCAAGGTGATAGACAAGGCCGGTGGGTCTTTGGTCACGCTTGACATGCTTTACTCCGACCAGTTTGAATTCTACTTTGCGGCTCCCGAATACACAAAAGACGGGTTGGCCAAAGTTCTAGCCCCAGAGCACAACGAGCTGGTGACCTTGCTTGCTCAGGAATCGGACTTTACGAACCTGGACGAGGTGGTTGCTCGAGTGTTGGCGAAGCTGCCCGAACTGAAGAAGAAAGTCGTCTATCAAACCATTCGGTACGCAATCAGTGCAGACAAGCCAGGAACCAATCTTCCCGTCATGATCGATATTCTGGGAAACGACGAGGTTGTTTCGAGAATAAAGGCGCTAGATCGTCTTTTGTAAATAGGACATTAACTCATTAATTCAGATTATCTAAGAACTTTGGATCGCTGGCGAGCTTGGACTTGAATTTGGCCCACCAGTCGTCAAATTTCTTTATGGGCACCCTGTTCGTCGAGTCAACAAAGGAGCTCAGGTAATCGTATGCATTCTTGATGATTTTATTAGAGACGGACTCCACTTGGTCTTTGGTCAATGGAATGTCTTGGATGGAGATATTTGGAGGAGCGGGCAATGCAAGTTTCGGGGCCATCGACATCTTTAGCTGTTCCAATTGCAACGCTGCCGACGCGCTCGGCTCAACGGATATCCCAATCACTAGCGTAGTGTCTGCATTCACCGTTTGGTCTGTCTCCATATCCATATCCAGGTCCCCCTCGGTGGTGACAAGTTGGTGCTGTTGCTGTTGTTCGGAATTCGTGTAGGCCTCTGGGTTGATTTTGAAAATGGCACTTTGTTTGTTCACGTCTAGACCTCCCAGCAAACGGAAATTAGATAACGGAACTCCTCCCTTTTGGAACTGGTAGTATATCAGTGCACTGTAGTTAGGATCAAAAGGAACATTAGGAACAACAAATATAGACAGATGGAATATCCTGTTCGGCGAAATATTATCGTAGGTGGTCGCATATTTCAGATTATCAACCTGGTCGGCCAACTTGACCGCTCTTCCCGCCAAAGTTGTGCCAAACATCTATCATTCAATATTAAGGCAGCTACTAGATATTTATTAGGGTCTGCCATTTTTCTAGAAGGTTCAAATCATGTGACCACGATTCTTACGAAAAATACGCGTACGAGTTGATTATCACGATGGTGCGCATTGATCAGTTTTTCGGCAAGTCTGCCGTTGAAAGGGTGAGTTTTTGAGAAAACAAAGATTTCTAACAGTGCCAGAACAAAAATAAGCGGCTGAACCAGACGCCGGCCAATGTTCCAGAGAAGAAACAGAAGACTGAACAAAACACGGTAAAGACTCGAGATCAGTCACAGCCAGAGCCCATTGTGATCGATTCGGACGACGATGTGGTGATACCGCATAAGAAACAGCAAAAGATCGATTTCGGCGAAAGTGACAACGAGTTTGAGCCCGTCAAAAAGGAGATCACTCCTTCTCCGAAGAAAAGCCCTAAAAAGACACCTACGCCCAGAAAACCGAAGACCACCAAAGCAGAGTCGGCTGGAAATCACGAGGGAGATACTGCACAAGATATTCTGAAGACAATTCCAGATGCTGACCCAAAGTACCTGACGGTGGACCCAGAGACAGAAAACATGAGCTTCTTCCAGCTGAAAGCGCGTACGGCTGATGCGCCGGCCCCAAGTGGAGACAGATTGCTTCCCGAAGGCCGTCCAAACTGTTTGAATGGTCTCACGGTAGTCTTCACGGGAATCTTGCCAACAATCGACAGAGACGAGTGTGTTCGTATAGCCTCCAAGTATGGAGCAAAAGTGACCAAGTCTATCAGTGGAAAGACCAGCCTGGTTGTCATTGGACATGATGCTGGACCTAAAAAAGTGAAGGTAATCAAGGAGAAGAAGATCAAGTGCATTGATGAGGATGGGTTTGTCGAGTTGCTTCGAAAGATGCCGTCTGACGGTGGAAGCGGAGAAGCTGCACAGGCAGCAATGGCAAAGAAACTTGAGGAGGAAAAGAAGGCCATTGAGGACGCCGAGAGGGAGGAGGAGCAGGAACGCAAGAGACAACAGAAGCTGAAGCAGGAACGGTCAAGTCAACCAAGCCAGCCCCAGAGACCTAGCGACAAGCCGGACAGCGAGAAACTGTGGACTGTCAAGTATGCTCCGACCGATATCAAGCAGATCTGCGGTAACAAGGGAAATTTGGAGACGCTGCAGAGCTGGCTAGAAAATTGGTTTGATAATGCCAAGAGGGGATTCACAGGATCAGGCATCAACGGATTCCGTGCGGTCTTGATCAGCGGTCCTCCCGGTATTGGAAAAACCACTGCAGCCACACTTGTTGCCAAATCGCTCGGATACGATGTGATCGAGAAGAACGCGTCGGATGTGCGATCTAAAAAGCTTTTGAACGAGCAACTGAAAAGTTCGTTGAGCAATTCTTCCGTTGTTGGTTATTTCAACCAGCTTAAGACCCATGACGCAAACAACCGCAAAATTGTCATGATTATGGACGAGGTGGACGGTATGTCTAGTGGAGACCACGGTGGTGGTGCTCAGCTTTCCCAGTTCTGTCGTGTCACCGAGACTCCGCTGATTTTAATTTGCAACGATAAATCTCTTCCGAAGATGCGGACATTCGACAAGACGTGTTTCGACATGACCTGGAGAAAACCTACAAGTAAAGAGATGAAATCCAGACTTATGACCATTGCTCATAGAGAGGGATTGAAGCTCGATCCAAACATCGTGGATCAACTGGTGTCTGCCACCAATAACGATATCAGACAGATCATTAACATTATGTCGACGGTTGCAAGAACGCAGAAATCTTTGAGCTACGACAATTCTGAGGAGATCACCAAGTCGTGGCAAAAGGAAGTCGTGTTGAAGCCTTTTGACATTGTGCTCAAGCTTTTGAGTGGGGCCAGTTACGGTCCTAACGCAAGATACAATCTTAATGAGAAGATCAACTTCTATTTCAACGATATGGACTTTACACCTTTGATGATTCACGAGAACTACAGATCGACTGCCCCTGCCAAGTTGAACAGATACTCAGGCAACCAGCGGAACCTGGCCCATTTGGAGCTACTCGAAGAGGCATCGGACGCTATTTCGCAGTCCGATTTGGTGAGTCAACTGATTAGAGGAAGCGAGCAGCAATGGTCGCTTGCTCCGTTCCATGGTGTGATTTCGTCTATCATTCCGGGCTCGAAAGTGGCCGGCAACATGGTTGGTCGTACAGCATTCACGTCGTGGTTGGGACAGAACTCCAAGAAAATGAAATACGACAGACTTCTCCAGGAGTTGCAGTACCACTCGTCCATTAAGACTAAGACTAACAACCAGGAGTTGAGACTCAACTACCTGCCATTGATGATAAAGAGACTCTCAGATCCTCTGATCAAGCGAGGCTCCGAGGGTATCGACGAGATTCTATCCTTCATGGACGAGTACTATCTGACCAAAGAAGACTGGGACGCGTTGATGGAGTTCGGCGTGGGTCCAAAGGGACGCATGGAGCAAAGACTCAAATCTATTCCTACGGCAGTGAAGTCTGGATTCACACGGAAATACAACTCGTACACGCATCCAACAGTGATTTACAAGACAGGAGATTCTGTGACCAAAAACACGAGAACGGCTGCTCCCAAACCCGATCTCGACGACGTTGTGGACGACGACATGAAGGACTCGCCGGATGACGAGGATGCCCAGGACGACGACCAGGACATCAAGAAGGACAAGCTGATCAAGGAGGTGAAGCGGAAGCCGACAAAGAAGCGCAAGTGACCTCATACCCCCGGCTTACGTAAAATATTAAAAATCTCGTACACATACTTTTTCAGTCGTAACGGAGCATTACTTTAAAAGGTAGTTGGAATTTAGAAGAAAGGGATCGGTCACAATTACTGAATTGGAACGGAGGGACCTTATTTTTTTGTCGTACACGCTGAAACAAAGTTCGATAGAGACCCAACATCGTATGGAATAAGCTTGGACCATGTCTGCTCCACCTTTGCTTCGCCCACCGGGCTCGAACCACAAGACTGCATCAGGTCGGCAGAAGTTGCCGTCCTTGAAAATCACCACGGCCGCGACCCAACCCCAGATACCGCTGCTTAGAAACACACGGACGAGTTTGAGCTCCAACGACACGGATGTGGCCACTCCTGTGAAGCTGAACGAATACGAGCTTGCAGGCCCCGAGGCCTTTTTACAACGCTCCAGCGATTCGATGACGGATTCGAATCCATCGATTGTAAGCGCCAAGAGCACAGATACCCTGATCAGTGATCTGGGGAACTTGACTATTCAGAACAAGGAGTCCGAGTCAAGCACCAAGATCACCTCGAAAGCATTAGAAGACCTAGAGGAGGAGGACTGGCGACAGTTGGCCGAATTGAACCAGATACGCACACTAGAGGTTCTGGGAGAGGGGAACGGTGGCTCTGTGAAGAAGTGTCAGCTTGCTTCGACCCGCCAGGTGTTTGCACTCAAGACGATCACGGTTGATCCGTCGCCTGGGTTCCAGAAACAGCTTGTTCGAGAACTCAACTACAACAGGAAGTTTCGCAGCGATTACATTGTCAAGTACTACGGCACCTTTTTCAACTCGTCAGACGCGTCAATTTGTATCTGTATCGAGTACATGGGTGGCCGGTCACTGGATGCAATATACAAACGGTTTAAAGAGAAAGATATGCGGATTGGGGAAAAAGCGTTGGGAAAGATGGCCGAGAGTATTCTTCGCGGGCTGGCATACTTGAACCAGCAAAAAGTGCTTCATAGAGATATCAAGCCCCAGAACATCCTTCTAGACACCATGGGCAACGTGAAGATATGCGATTTCGGAGTGTCTGGCGAGGTGGTCAATTCGCTGGCCACCACGTTCACAGGAACCTCGTTTTACATGGCTCCGGAGCGGATCAGAAACGAGCCCTACACAATTACCTGCGACGTCTGGTCGCTCGGGTTGACTTTGCTCGAGGGAGCAATGGGGATCTTTCCGTTCGCTTCGCAGGATCCCACGCTTGAGATTTCTCCAATCGAATTACTGCTAATAATACTGGAGTTTGAGCCCGAGCTCAATGATGAGCCAGAGGAAAACATCACCTGGTCGGCCAGCTTCAAGGACTTCATCAAGGTGTGTTTGATCAAGGAAAACCGCAAACGTCCTAGTCCCCGCCAAATGTTGGAGCATCCTTGGATGCGTGGCCAGATGAACAAGAAAGTGCGGATGGACAAACTGGTCCAGTTCTGCTGGGAGGACTAGAATTACACAGTGCCAATCAAAATTATATCATGCTACTTATCTTTTTAGCTTCAGAGATGCTCTCAGAAATGTCATGGGCCATCAGTTTGTTTCTTTGGCGCATCTTGTCGATTTTGTCTCGCGCAGACTCTTTCACCACCTTTCGTTTCTTGTAAACTTCTTCCTCGTCCGAGTCTTCAACATACCTTTTCCTGTTCTCCTTTTGTAGCAGCTTGATGAACTCTGTTTTTTCCTTATCAAGCTCGTTGCGCTTGGACTCCAGCTCAGTGAATAATTTTTCGAACTTGCGCTTGTTGAGCTCGTTCTCGATCTTGAGCTCCTCGTATCTTTCTTCGAACCGCGAATTGATCAGTTCCTGTGTCGCGCGGAGATTAAGTAGCTCTCCCTTAACCTCTGCCAATTTATCCATCACCGAGTCCTTTTCCTCGGTCTTCAGATCGCGGATCATGCTGGCCAGACTCTCGAACTTGTCGTTTATATTGCGCTCAATCCCGTACGAAACGGGTTCCACAGAAACTGACCGCTCCAAAGGCCGCTCCAGGGACCTCACCCTCACGCTTTCCGGCTCAGGTTCGGGCTGTGCAATATCCTTGGATTCGCTGTACAGGACGGATTGCAGCAGTTTGGAGCCGATTGACGTGAGCGAGCCCAACAGGCCGTCGTGAAGCCGTGCGGACGCAGGTTTGGACACCTTGGTCACGCGCGACTTGGTGTCCAGCACAGGATACCGTTTCTTCTTGATAGAGCTGAGAATATCGTCTGTTTCGAACCGTCTGGCGTTTGGAATGCTGCGGATCGGCGACTCGCCCAAAAGCTCGTACGATTTTCTGTCCCGAGAGCTCGAGCGCAGAATCGACCTTGGCGACCCGGTTCGTGCGCGCGAACTGGATGTGCTGAGAGGTCTGTACCGATCGAGTTTGTCAGAACGGGCTGCTGTGGACGCGCGCGAGCTTCCTTCCAAGAAGTCGCTAGCAGCAGATGACCGTCTCTGTTTCTCGTAGTCAGACAGCTTTGTGTCGCGCGAAAATCTGACTCTGTCGCTGCCGAGAGTACGAGATAGATTCACCATTAAAATAAATAAATATTTCAGACGCGTAATTTAGTACTGGGTAAATTAACTCGAAAATAATTACCATGGACTCTCCCGCAGTGCTGCCCATATCGCTCCAGCCGTCGAATTTGCGGCCGTTGGCATACCGTGTTCTGTCGAAGAAACACGGCCTGAACATCCAGTCGAGCGCGCTCGAACGGTTGAGCGAGTACGTTGGAAAGAAGATAGGCCAGGAATGGCGTGGAGCAAAGACGATCGCGTTTCTGGAAGAGGTGGCCCGGCTGTGGAAAGAGCAGAACAAGGGCCTGTTTCTGGACGGCGAGAACATCGACATGGTGATCAAGGAGATCTCCTTGAAACAGGATCAGCAGGAGAAAGCAAGTCGTCAAGGGTCTTTGGCTAGCTCCAAGACAAGTCTCGCAGGCATCGTTTCGGAGGATCTGTCACAATCGCAGTCGTTTGAGGTCCACCAGGATACCCAGGACCAAAACATAACCGACCAAGTGCAATGGACAGAGTTCTTCAAAGTGGTGGACATCAAAAACTACAAAAAGTACAAGTACAACCATGTGCGAAAACAGTTTGACGTGCTATCGTCCAGTGCCGACAACCAGAAGCTCGAACTGCCTTCGACCCAGGACAACGTTGATTTATTTATCCAAAGGTTCCACCTCTTGAAGGACCGTTTGCTCAGAAACGAGAACTTCCAGCCTGCCACATTCAGCTCCACCAACTCTTTCTCCAGCAGTGGTAACAAAGAAGTGGAGAACCAGCAAATCTCATCAATTAAAAACCTGTTGGGAAGACACGGACAGCGGTTTTTCCTGTTTGGTTTGCTGACCAAGAGCGCGTCGGGTCTTTGGCAGTTGCAAGATGACACAGACTCTATTGAACTAGAACTGAGCCAGACCCTGTTCCCCACGAACTGCTACTTCACCGCAGGAAATTTCATTATTTGCGAAGGAATATACTCAAGTAGCGGGAAGTTCTACGTCAGTTCGATGATCCATCCTCCAGCCGAAAAGAGAGAGGCCTCGTTGGAAGTGCTGGGAAAAATGGATTTCAATTCTGTGTACAGCAACAGCGGGAGAATCGACCCGTCTCTTCGCACAAAACTGCTACAGTTGGAGAAAGAGTTGTCTGAACACAAGATTGTCGTACTGGGCGGAGATATCCATCTTCCAAACCTGAAAATCGTCGAAGGATTAAAGAAACTATTCACCAAGTTGAGCAAAGAACTAGATACAGGAGCATCGGAGCCGGTTGCCTTGATATTCAACGGCTCGTTCGCATCGGAGCCGTTCACGTCAACCCAGATCTCATACAACTCGCAAACTACCGCCTCGGGAGTGTACAAATCGTACTTTGATTCGCTTGCTTCCATCTTGGAACAATTTCCAACGCTATGTGCTTCGTGCAAGCTCGTGTTCATTCCAGGAGACAACGATCCATGGTCGTCTGTGGTGACCAAGGGATCCAACTCGCTATGGCCAAAGTTCAAGATTCCGAAGATCTTTGGCAGCCGTTTGACCAGACTAGTGGACGATATCGAGTGGGGCTCCAACCCATGCAAAATGACGTATCTGACTCACGAGATTCTCCTCGTGCGAGACGATCTTGCAGAGAGATTGCGTCGGAATGACGTGAGCCACGTTTCAAAGATTAAGGAGGATCCAGAAGACGACGAAGAGAAGCTGGAAATTGACAAGATCACAAAACTCAACATTTCTCCCGACGTCATGGAGGCCCGTAAGGTGGTGAAAACAGTTCTGGACCAAGGATACTTGTCACCGTTTGTGAACTCTGTGAGACCGTTGGTTGCTAATTATGCCAACGGCCTGAACTTGGTGCCACTCCCAACGCTTTTAATCTTGACAGATACAAGTTGTCCGCGGTTCGATCTTATTTATGAAAACTGCCATGTTGTCAACCCGGGAAGCTTCTTCAGCGAGAACAAGTACAACTATTTGGAATACTATCCGTCTTCCAGAAAAGCCAAGCTTGTGGAGCTGTATTAGTTGTATGGGTATTTCTTAATAGACTTTGTAACAAAGTACGGCATGCAATAAACTGGATCAATTGGAACCAAGTCTTCGTACCCAAGAAGACTTAGTCCCGCCATTCCAAAATTCGTATGATAAACGTCCACTTGGTTGCCCGGACGGTCGCTGATTCCCCCTTGTTCCAGATCCTGGCACTCCAAAATGAACGCTCTTAATTTTTCTCCGTCAATGTAGTCGAGTCTGTCCAATATGCTCAAAGAAGACATCACCCACCAACTGTAGCAGACGTCTTCCAGTTTCTCGGGGCGGCCATTCAGACCACCGTTTTCCAGCTGTCTGTCGCTGAGCCACCATTCGAGAAGATCGCGGTCTTTGATTTTATCAAGCTGTCCAGCAATGGCCAAAGTGGCCAGACATGTGAATATTTGCGCAGAGTGCGACTCAGAGCCTGGAACAAGCCCAAACCCTCCGTCAAAATTCTGACATTGTATGATGAAATCGACGGCAGGATCGACGATTTCCGGGGTCAGACTTTCCAAAATGCTCAACGACTGAATTGCAGTATACACGAACCGCGTGTCGACCTCGCCAAAACGATCGCCTTGGAACGAACCGTCTGGCAATTGGAGATTCGTGATGAATTTGAGGATCTGTGGTCTTTTATCGTCTATCACATCCAAACAATCGTACATTTTCAGCAGTTGCAGTGCCGAAAGCGTAGACAGCAAATGTGCGTCATGTCTGGGATACGAGCCAAACCCTCCGTTTGTCTCGTCGTAGCAATTAAGAATGAATTTGACAAGATCTGCCTTGTTAAACTCGTCCTCAGCCTTCATCATGAAAAGAGCACACGCGCCCCAATAAACACCATTCATTCGTAGATGCTCGCTCAGCCAGTACTCGATGAACTGTTTCTGCTCATCAAGCGATTTGATGTAGGCAATGTGCTTTGCCTTATCCAACGACATGTTATAAATAATTCAATTATTTTTGCACAGCCGTTAACATAAGTACTCCTAACATTTCTTCAACCTTACACGTACAAGTATTCATTAAATTACAGTTTGTTAGTAAACCTATTGGACGTCGAACTGGAAGAGTCCTGTTCGGATGGTATCACCGACTCTGTGGAGTTGAATTTAGACCGAAGCCTCCTTCGGTCCATCAACATAAATTGGATCTGCTGTTTAATAGAGGTCAGAGCCACCGTATGGTTGTCCAGTTCGTCCTTGATTTGGACGTTATCGTTTGCGAGAACAGTGACAAGCTGTTTATCGAGGTCGCGCTCCGATACAAGCGATCTTAGTCTGTTCACATCTGTCTTGAGGACCTCAAACTCCATTAGTAATTGGATGAAGTCTTTTTCCTGCAGATTGTCAAACAGCTTGAAAGGCTCAACAGATTGATTGTCCATAATCTCTTCGAGCTGCAAAGAGTAGCCCAGGTTTGTGAGCTTGCCTTGAGTGATGGAGTCCAAAATCGTGGACAACTGAGACCTCAACATCCGGTTTTCGTCTGCCAAATCGGTGTATTTCGTTTCCTGTTTCTCAAAATAATTTGACAGCTTTAGAAAGACACACTCAGAAGTGTGGATCTCATGCAAAACCTCTCTGCTGCCGCGCCATTCGCAGCCGTACTGGCTTCCAGGACACTTAATGTAGATCTTCTCGCAGTATTTTTCGTGACTTTCGTAAACCTTCTCTGGAAACTCCAGGTTGCAACCAAGACATTTCCGCAAATTTTTGGTGCATTCATTCATCAGATGGTGGTCTTTAGTGACCAATGTGACTTCTTCGCCACACTTATCGCAAGCAAGTGGCTGATGAGGACATTCAAAGCCCAGAAACCGCCGTTCTGTCAGCTTGCCACAGACTTTATTATCTATTTCATGATCGCATTCAAAGCGGGTATGCTCGCAATTGTTAACCAAGTGCTGTTTGATCTGCCACCGGGGTCCAACCCAAGTGCACCCGCGGGGCTCGTTCAAACATCGTACTTGGAGATCATCGGTAATGTTGCTCAATATGATTGGGGCGGGGAAGATGTCGTTGAACGTTGTTTCGCCTGAGTCCGGGCGTTCGTCGTTATAGTTCAGCTCAATTCTGTCCAAGGGACACTTGCTTCCCAGCGGAGACTTGATAGTCTCCATAATACATGTCTTGCAGAAGGTGTGTCCACAGATAGTGGTATAAGGGTTAATGAACGGGAGCTGGCAAACAGGACAGTTGAGGTGTTCAGGCATCGAGATATACACCAGCGCGCGCAGATCTATTGGAACATCCTCAAGTTCTTTTGTAATATCATAGCCGTTTGGGGTAGACGGTGGTGTAGACTCCACAGAACGAGGGGAAGAACCACGCCGTTCCTGTGGAGAATCGGATGCCGTCAAATGGACGTCTTCCAGCGACTGAGCTACCAAAGAGTCGTCGACCATGTCAGTGTTAGAATCCATTTTTATTGGCCCTATTACGCTGACTTTATAATAATTGCTGTTAAAAGTATTTCCACCCGCAAGAGCCTAGCCTAGCAAAATAAATTACGATAGCAGAATTTATGACATGATGATTTATTATACAGAAGTACTTTATAGAGAATTGAAAAGCGAGCCAGACTGGCAGTGTAGAGAAGAAAAGTCTTCTAAACTGAGTTGCTGTTGCTCACCCGGTCAACATACTCCAAGTCTGGTTTGTCGATGGATCCGGTGGACGAAAGCTTCTGGTGCTTTCTCTTTTTGGCCAAGGCAACCGACTCTTTGATGTTGAAACCGCCAGTGAGTAACTGTTGGGTCTCTTCCAGAGCAAGGTTGGAAAGCTCTGGGTAGAAGAGGTAACAGAAAACAATGGAAACAGCAGTCAGTGCAGCGAATAATGCAAAAGTACCGGTTGGAGTGATGTGCTCCAACATAGTGAGGAATGTAGACGAAATGACTAACGAACCGGACCAGTTGGTGGCTGTAGCATACGATGCTCCAACACCTCTAACACTTTGCGGGAAAAGTTCGGACTGTTGCCATGGAACGTTACCAATACCAACAGCGTATGCACCAACGTAGATGATCATAAACACCATAATAACGTATCCCCAGTTGCTGACCTGGTCAGTCAACTCGACAGAGTCGTTTTCGAACTTGAGAGGAACATAGTGGAAGGCGATAGCGTTCACGATAAGTGCAATCATCATGACAGGCAAGGACACCAAGAGCATTCTTCTGCGGCCGACCTTGTCAATGATGAAGAAAGCAACCACCGTCAAAACAAAATTGGTTCCAGACACAATGATGGAAACAGCGGTGGAGTTGTCGAAACCAATGGCTTTGAAAATGGTGGAAGAAAAGTACATGAGCGAGTTGAAACCGGTGAATTGTTGGATACCTTGCAATCCACAGGCAATAACAAGTGCTCTGAAGTTGGATGGAACTCTGTGGATCTCTTTGATACCGTTCCATGTCTTGGAGAAAACAGAGTCTCCGGGTATAGAGGAGTTGAGAGTCTTAGTCTCGGCAATCTTGTAGCTGATGGACTCCGGAGTGGCACCTCTGTGAGTTCTTGCAATGACCTTCGCAGCCTTTTCAAGCTTGTTTTTCGAGATGAGGAATCTAGGAGTGTCTGGCAAGAATAAGAAGGCAGCGAGCTGGACAGCAGGAGGAATGATAGACAAACCAACTTGGACTCTCCAGCCGTTGTTGACATGGGCAAGACCGGCACCAATACCATAAGCGATCAGTTGACCACCGGTGATTCCCAAACAGTTTAGGATAACCAATCTACCTCTGAATTTGGATGGAGCCAGTTCTGAAATGTAGAGAGGGGCAATTAAAGAACCGACACCAACACCGAAACCCATGATGAATCTTCCGGCAATCATGGTCCAGACCGTGTGCGCAGCACACTGAATGATTGCACCGACAATAAACAGCGAGTTAGAAAACATCAAGACGGGTTTTCTACCAAAAATGTCTGCCATGGACCCTGCGAATATAGCAGTGATTAAAGCACCAAGAGAAGTAGCTGCGGTGATGAACTCTTCTTCACCGTAGGTAAGATCTTTTCCCAAGTCTTTTCCAATAGAAACGAGGGCAGAGGAGATATAACCTGTGTCGTAACCAAACATAAATCCAGAGATAGAGGCAAAGCAGACAAGAACCACAACTAGGAAAGTTGGTTTAGCGCTCTCCATAGACAACAACATGTCGGACGACTGGTCGTCTTGCGAAGACTTATCGACTACGTCTGCATCTGTCAAAGACAAACTATCTGTTTTGGGAATTTCTGACATTTGATAAATAAAAGGGTTTCTGCTGTTAAAGGAGAAACAACCGTCTATTAAATAATAATGGGAATGAGGGACTTTGTTATCTTTATATGAGTCTCGAAAATTCTTGGGTTCGGAATTTATGCCGGTGTGGTGCGTGTTTGATGACATCTTTTTCGGTGGACTCACCGGAAAGCCTGTGATTGGCTAGACGCGCGGGGATTTTCCCGGGTCATTCGACAGCTCGGTAGGGTAAAACCCACCACAACTACTGGCCCTGACGCGAAAATAATTATTCCCAATTAGGAAACACAAAAGTTTCAAATCTCCTTCAGCTTTTTTCCAACTTAGCCCTTGTTGAACTGATTCTCCATGGCAACCGTTGCTGCTAGTTCGTCATCGGGCGTTAACTCGATTCTGCCTACTGTTGATTTGAACTTCAAGTATGCTGAAATAAGATCCCAAATCAAGGATTTCTTGTTACACTACAAGTCTGCCTCTCTGGTTCAGCCCGACGATGGTGTCTATGATTATCAAATTGACGAGCTCCAAGTCGAGGAAGACGAAATTGGTCATGGTCCTAAGTACGTCACTTTGCTCCAGAAGATCGCAAATAGAGAAATCACCACGCTGTACATCGACCTTGACGATATCAAGTTATACGAAGACACCCAGAACTTGACGCAAAACATGTCTCAACCGTCTGCGCACGGACTTGCCGAGCTAATTGTCAACAATACCTACCACTATGTCGAGTTGTTCTCTCAAGTTGTGGACGAAATCATGCCTGACCCTACAGTTAACATCTCCCATAAAGACGACGTGCTGGATGTGATTATCCACCAGAGAAAACTCAGAAATGCGCGAATCGAAAACGAGCACCGTGAGGAGCTTGCCGAGACCCAGTTGGGCGAGGACTCCGAGGACTTGAGAAATGTTGAGACTCCAAACTTGTTTCCACCCCAATTGACCAGACGGTACTTCATCTACTTCCGACCACTTACCGTGAGCGCAAAGGGAGGAAAAGCCCTCGCCGTGCGAGACGTGAAAGGCTCCTGCTTGGGAAAGCTGATCACTGTGAGAGGAATCGTCACCAGAGTGAGCGATGTCAAGCCAACCGTGAAAGTCACCGCATATACTTGTGATACGTGTGGATTTGAGATTTTCCAAGAAGTCAACACCAGAACCTTTACTCCTTTGACTGAGTGCACTTCCGAAAGATGTATGAGCAACCAGCATCGCGGAAAACTGTTCCCAAGTACCAGAGCCTCGAAGTTCTCTGCTTTCCAGGACGTCAAGATCCAAGAACTTGCAAACCAGGTTCCTGTCGGTCATATTCCAAGAACACTTACCATCCACGTTAACGGAGACCTTGTGCGGTCTATGAACCCAGGAGACATTGTTGATGTTGCCGGAATTTTCTTGCCTGCCCCATACACTGGTTTCCGTGCTCTGAGAGCCGGATTGTTGACAGAGACATATCTAGAAGCACAGTTTATCAAGCAGCACAAACGGAAGTATGAGTCGCTTGGCTTGACTCCCGAGGTCGAAAAGAAGATCATGGACATCACTGCGGAGGGTAACGTTTACGAGAGACTCGCCAACTCGATTGCTCCAGAAATCTTTGGCCATACAGACATCAAGAAAGCTCTCTTGCTGCTTCTTGTTGGGGCTTCTCCAAAGGAGATGGGCGACGGAATGAGAATTAGAGGTGATATCAACGTGTTGCTGATGGGAGATCCCGGAGTCGCCAAGTCGCAGCTGCTCAAGTCCATCTCTACCATCGCTCCAAGAGGTGTGTACACTACCGGTAAAGGTTCTTCTGGAGTCGGATTGACTGCAGCCGTGATGAGAGACCCAATCACCGACGAGATGGTTCTGGAAGGAGGTGCCTTGGTGCTGGCCGACAATGGTATCTGCTGTATTGATGAGTTCGACAAGATGGAGGAGTCTGACCGGACTGCTATTCACGAAGTGATGGAGCAGCAGACGATTTCTATCTCCAAGGCTGGAATCACCACCACCCTGAACGCCAGGGCATCGATTTTGGCAGCTGCTAACCCGCTTTACGGAAGATACAACACCAAGATGTCGCCAAACGAAAATATCAATCTTCCAGCTGCTCTTTTGTCGAGATTTGACGTGCTCTTTTTGATTTTGGACCGTCCAAGCAGAGAAGATGACGAGAGACTGGCCGAGCACGTTGCTTACGTGCACATGCACAACAAGCCGCCTGAGTTAAGCATCGAGCCAATCGACTCGGCCACCATGAGACAGTTCATCTCAATGGCCAGAAGACACAGACCGGTCATCACCAGAGAAGTGAGCGACTACGTTGTTCAAGCCTACATCAAGATGCGGAAGGAGAGCAAGATAAACGAGCACTCTAAGAAATACTTCAGTCACACAACTCCAAGAACGCTGCTGGCAGTGCTTAGACTCTCTCTTGCTCTTGCTAGAGTGAGGTTCAGTGATGAGGTTCTTCTACAAGATGTTGACGAAGCACTGAGACTGATGAACGCTGCCAAACAGTCTCTTTACCAGGACGAAGCCGCCGAGCTCGAGGAAACGCCGACCGCCAAAATCTTCAACCTCATCAAGGAGAAGATCCACCAGTACATTGCTACCAATGGCACGCAGCTGGTGCCAATGTCGATGTTGAGAGATGCGTGTCTCGGAAAAGGATTTACAGAGAACCTGTTCAACGAATGTATTTACCGCTACCAGGCGTTGTCTGTGTGGCAGGTCGTTGACGAAGGAGAGAACTTGGCTATTATTGGTAACTTTGATGACCAGGATATCGATATGTTTTAGTGACTATTAATATTATCAAAAATTGGCTTATTGAAGCTTGAGATCTTTAGCAACCATGGCGCGGCAGATTGGATGGTAGCCCTGCTCGTACTTTCTAAAAGTAGCAATTGCCAGATCTCTGTCGGCTTCATTGAGAAGAGCGTAGCCTGGTCTGACAAACTTCATTCTTCCCACAGTTCCAAGCCAATCTGCCAACTTGTGGTACTCAGATTTCACCTTACCAGTAAGCAACAATCTGAACCATCTAAACACAACCTCAGCATTGCTGGAGTTTTCGTATTTTGTATATTTGGTAGTCATGACGGAGATTCCCTTCTGTGCGGAGTCAGAACTCCAATCAAACCCATCCACACCTTGGTACGAGACAAGCTTGTCTAAAAAGACTCCGTTTTGAGTGGAGGTGAAGTTCTTGATGTCCGACGAGGAGAACTTGGAGTCCAATGATGATGGACTTTGAACAATGGTTTCCACCCACTTGGCGGCCAGGGAGAAGCATTCGTCGGCCAAGGTGGTGTCGAATTTGGGTTTTGGAGGAAGCCCTTCGGTAAAGAGCCATTTCTGCCAGTCGATGGTATCCAGGAGATCTTTTTGATCAGCATAGAATCCATACAACGTATCCAAGAACTGGTAAGTGTCTAGCGACAAGTACTTGAATTTGCTGAAGTAATGCTTGATGAATGGGTCGAAGGCTTCTTTTCCTCCAAGAACCTGTTCGATATGGTAAAGGAAATTGAATCCTTTTTCGTAAGGCACAGTGCTAAACGAGTCGTCAGGATCGGCACCATCCTTCAAGTTCACGACCAATGCAGTGTATTTAGACTCTCTCTTGCCCATCGTCTGTATGGCGTTTTGCAGCTCAGACCATCCGATGATTGCACTGAATTGTCTATGCTGCTCTCCGTGCAACCGTTCGATGATTCTACGTTCCAGGTACACTGTCCAACCTTCATTCAGCCAGAAGTGTTCGAACGAAGCGTTCGTGACCAGGTTTCCGGACCAGCTGTGGGCCAACTCGTGGGCAATGACGTCCACGTTCTCTCTGTCGCCAGAGATGATGGTTGGGGTGACAAAAGTGCAGTTTGGATGCTCCATTCCGCCAAAAGGCATGGACTGGGGCAAAATGAGCACGTCGTAGTCCTTCCATTCATAGTCAAACACGAGGTCCTCGGCAGTTTTGATGAAACTCTCGGTATCGTTTTCGAATTCGTGCTGACAAGCGTCCAAAAACTGTGGCTCTGTCCATGCTCTAGAACGAGGTCCAATTGGAGCACTCTTGAGGTTTCCGGAAGCAATGGAACACAAGTAGGATGGAATAGGCACTGGTTGTTTGAACTTGTAAAGAGACTGTTCGCCTTGAGGAACAGTTCCTTGCAGCAATCCTGACATCAAGACAGGAAGAGAGGAAACGATGTTGAACTCAAATGGCGATTTCACAGATGGTGTATCGAAACATGGGAAGAAGCTACGCGCATGGATAGGTTCGCACTGGGAGAAAAGGTATGGTAGCTTCTTTCCGTCTGTTTGTGTTGGAGACAACCACTGTAAAGCAGTGCCTTCTTTGGTGGTTTCATATTGGACAGTGATTTCGGCAAACTCTCCAGTTTTAAAGTCGTAAGAAATAACCAAGGGAGTACCCAGATGAGGAGTAGTAGCCTGAAGTTGAAATGGTTGCTCCTGGTTATTTATCTTGACCTCTTTAACTGATAAGTGGGCAGTATCCAAAACAAGCTGGTTAGTGTCTGCCAGGGCCTGGACAAGGAAAGTGGCAGTTCCTGCCAGAATCTTGTCAGTGAACTTGACCTCAAGGTCCAGGACAGACTTATTCACTTTAAAAAGGGAATAGTTGGAAAGAGTAGAAGGGTCCCGTTCTGGAGAAACATTTGGAACGTGTGGGGCAATGACAGAACGTAACTTGGGAGAGATGTTTGGATACTGTGCCGTCATAGTTCTTAGCGAGGAATGAAAACGATAGAAGAAGAAAAGTTTAGCAGGTTCCCAACAAATGCCGAATGGCTTTAGAAACATCCACTAAAGACTGACAATAGAACGTTTATAAAGGTGCCGTTTATTTGAACGGCAAGAATTACGGTATCGGGCCGATCGACGCGTGATGCTTAGTAAACTGGGACTTGGTCTCGCGACGATTTTTTTAGTGCCAACCTTACGAATTTTGCGCGCAACTTACGAAATTAAAACACCAAGTCTTGCCTTGTTAACTTTTTTTTATTTCGCAAGAAAACTCACGTGATCTTTTGAGAGGGCAGCGCGCAAGGTTGGTGGAAAAGAAAATTTTCCTTGACAAAATTAAATATTATCCAACGGTATAGTAAGTGTCTAATCATAAGGTGGATTAATCGTCAGTTCATTAGGACATTCCACCATTTTTGATCAAGCAAGCTAACAGTCAGGTCAAAATGCAGATTTTCGTCAAGACTTTGACCGGAAAGACCATCACCTTGGAGGTGGAGTCTTCCGACACCATCGACAACGTCAAGTCCAAGATCCAAGACAAGGAAGGAATTCCTCCTGACCAGCAAAGACTGATTTTCGCCGGTAAACAACTTGAGGACGGCAGAACTCTTTCTGACTACAACATCCAAAAGGAGTCCACATTGCACTTGGTGCTTAGATTGAGAGGTGGTATCATTGAGCCATCCCTCAAGGCTTTGGCTTCCAAATACAACTGTGAGAAGTCCATTTGCAGAAAGTGTTACGCTAGACTCCCACCAAGAGCCACCAACTGCAGAAAGAGAAAGTGCGGTCACACCAACCAGTTGAGACCAAAGAAGAAGCTTAAATAGTTGGTATATGATAATACTAGTGGAAAACAGATAATTGTCAGTCCTATAGGTTCCTTTGTAGAGCAAATGTGAGCATGAGACTAGTGCCTTGTTCCGTTTGTTCAGTGTAATATTCCATGCCTGCCGGAGAGAAAACGCTCTGCACATCATGTGATCACAACCACGTGACTCCAAGGGCCTGGAACGCGCTACCGCTACAAGCCACGAATTATTTTTGGCTGTTACGTGTATAATCGTTAAAAACAAAAGACACTATCAGCCATGTCGAGCCTTTTGTCACAGTTCCAGTATCAACCAGTAAGTGACCGCTCGGATTCAAATCCATACTAACGTTTCAGCTGTCTAATATCACCGAGAACTTGAGCGTCGAAAACATAAAGGTAAGTTTTAAGAGATGTTTATCAAACTAATGATTTAGCAACAAGTTGCCGCTGTTCAAAACAAGTTCGCTTCCATCAGACCTCCACAGGAATTCTTGGATTACAGAAGATTCTCCAAGCCACAAAATTTTGGCGAGATTCAACAAAGAGTTGGATATAACCTCCCATACTTCCAAGCTAACTACATTGCAATTGTGTTATTGCTCTCGGTGTATGCGCTTGTGACCAACGCCCTGCTTCTGTTTGTTCTTGGATTTACCGGGTTTGGTATTTATTTGATTTCCAAGCTCAAGGGTGCCGACCTCGACCTTCCTGTTGGAAAGCTCACCAGTTCCCAACTTTACACCGGACTGGCCATTATTGCCATTCCGCTCGGCTTTTTGGCCTCTCCAATTAGCACCATGATGTGGCTCATCGGTACTTCTGCAGTTACTGTGTTCTCCCACGCCAGTTTGATGGAGAAACCTATCGAGACTGTGTTTGAGGAGTCGGTTTAAATAGAAAATTTAATAATATGCAGCGATCTACTATGATATGGTTTAAATGCTTTCTCAGTCGAAAGAAGACCCAAAATTTAAGTCAGCGCAACGCTCATATACTATCTAAGCTTGACTATTGCGGAATTTCATCATCATAGAAAGCGGTTTCCCGACAACTGCTAAACCTTTAGCAAATTGCTGGGAAGAAAACCAAACTAAGAAAAAAATTAGGTAGATGTCCAGTCAAATACCGAAGCCATTTACTTATTACGAAACATGTCAAGCTGGCGTTGGTGTGAAACAACAACGGTTATTCCAAGTGTTGGATTCTGCCGTTTTATAGCATTTTCCAACCCAGTATAACCTCGTTTCTCTTCAACCATGCCCGCTTCTTTTTACAATCCATAGTAGTACCACTTAACTCATTCTAATCAGTATTAATGCATACACACAAGTCCACTTAGATATTAAGCTTGGTTCTCTTCCAGTGTCTTCTCTTGGCGTTGTATCTGACCTTGTTGTTGGTTCTCAATCTGATCCATTGAGGCAATGGTCTGTTTTGGTTTTGAGCCTTAGCCAGCTTCTGCTTGGTCTTGAAAGATTTGTGAGACTAATTGTTAGTATTCGGAGAGCCACTCGACGCTGTTCAACGTCGTCTGGTGTTCATTTATACATACAGGCATCTTAATATGATTTAGCTGTGTAAAATCCTTTTCAAATAAAAAAACTTGACAAAGGTGCACCCACTACCAACTCCTGGAACCAGTCCTCGTACAAAAGCGCAGTCACATTTAACTTTTTTTTCACTCCAGGTTACATCTTTGCACCGAGTTTACCTGGTTCAAGATCTGAAAAATTTCGTTAATACCAAACTATTCACAATGACTAGAACCTCTGTTTTGGCTGACGCCCTCAACGCCATCAACAACGCCGAAAAGACCGGAAAGAGACAGGTCTTGATCAGACCTTCTTCCAAGGTGATCATCAAGTTCCTCACCGTTATGCAAAAGCACGGCTACATTGGAGAATTCGAATACATTGACGACCACAGATCCGGAAAGATTGTTATCCAATTGAACGGTAGACTCAACAAGTGTGGTGTCATCCAGCCAAGATTCAACGTCAAGATCAACGACATCGAGAGATGGACTGCTAACTTGTTGCCAGCTAGACAGTTCGGTTACGTTATCCTGACCACCTCTGCTGGTATCATGGACCACGAGGAGGCCAAGAGAAAGCACGTTTCTGGTAAGATCCTTGGTTTCGTCTACTAGAGGAGATATAGAGTAATAATTCAGAGATAGAAAGCGTAGACTGCTTTTGGTAGCAGCTGGTATTACTGTAGGTTTTTAAAACCGCGAGAACGGCACAACCTGATCAACGTATTCTAAGACCTTGTGCTTGTTGCCACAGCATCAAAGCACCTACCATGGAGTGCCCCACGGATGGTTCACCGTATCTGGGCCCGTCCTGCACAGGCTCGAGAAAAAACCAACCGCTTCCATCTGGTGGCAGGTGTGGATGTGACTGCGAAATCACACTGCCACCAACTTTCGAATGAAAATTTTAGGTGTAGAAAAAATATCAAGCTTTCAATAGATTCATCATGGCTACTGAAAACGTTACTCTTGGACCTCAAGCTAGAGGATCTAGCGAGGTGTTTGGTGTTGCACACATCTTTGCTTCCACAAACGACACTTTTGTTCACGTTACCGATCTTTCAGGAAAGGAGACCATCGCCAGAGCTACTGGTGGTATGAAAGTCAAAGCCGACAGAGACGAGTCCTCGCCATACGCCGCCATGTTGGCTGCTCAGGACGTTGCTGTGAAGTGCAGAGAAGTCGGAATCACTGCTGTCCACGTCAAGTTGAGAGCTCTGGGTGGTACCAGAAGTAAGACCCCAGGCCCAGGTGGACAATCCGCTCTTAGAGCCCTTGCCAGATCTGGTCTTAAGATTGGCAGAATCGAAGATGTGACTCCTATTCCATCTGACTCCACCAGAAAGAAGGGTGGTAGAAGAGGTAGAAGATTGTGATTGGGGGATATCAAAATCATATTGCAATGGTCATTACGAGTGTTGTAGAGGTATAATAAGAGAATGTCGATTGTTCGGCGATTTAGAATCCGGTTTTTCTTGCCAATGGGTGCGTAAACTCGCTTGGACATGTTTGTCCTTTGGCGAATTAACTCACCTTGTAAATTGTAATTTTGATTAATTTCCAGATCGTTGCTGTCATGCCATTGGTTGTGCCCAAAATGTCCCAATCAGTGCCCGAGATTTCCACAGGAATGATTATGGTATCATCCCTGCTGTTGAGGGTCGCGTTCTTGCTCTTTGGCAAGTATCAGGACACCTATATGGACCTGCCGTACACGGACATTGATTATTTCGTTTTTACAGATGCCTCGAAATTCGTGTTTCACGGCCAATCTCCCTTTCTTCGAGACACATACAGATACACGCCGGTGCTTGCATGGCTTTTGTTGCCAATCAACTACTGGTTTGATTTCGGAAAGTTGCTTTTCGTCGTTTGCGATCTGGTGACCGGTTATTTGATCATCAGGTTGCTCCAGAAATACAGAAAAAGCGTCAATTGGAGTCTGCTGTGGTTGTGGAACCCTATAGTGGCTACCATCAGCACGCGAGGCAGCTCCGAAAGCATTTTAACTGTGGTCGTTATGCTCTTAACGTATTCTGTCCTGAATCGCCAATACGCATTAGCAGGTATCATTACTGGTCTCGCTGTTCATCTGAAAATCTACCCAATCATCTATATTCCAGCAATTTTGCTTTCCATTGATCCATCCCAGCCGTTCTACCAGCCATTCACGAAGAAACGGTGGATATTCGTGCTAACAACACTACTGGGCTTTACATCGTTAACCGGTCTAATGTACTACGTTTACGGCGACGAGTTTCTCCAAGAGGCGTACTTTTACCATCTGACACGCCTAGATCACCGCCACAACTTCTCGGTGTACAATTTGACGCTATACCTATCGTCCTACAAAGGAAGCTCGTCGCTACCATTTTTGCAGCAACACGGGCTCCGGATTGAGAGACTGGCATTTCTACCGCAGTTGGGGCTTTCGATGGTACTGATCCCATTAAAGCTAGCCACAGTGAACCTCATTGGATGCTTTTTCATCCAAACCTTTGTGTTCATCATGTTCAATAAGGTGATCACTTCGCAGTACTTTATCTGGTTTATGTGCTTCCTACCAATCTACACTGCAAATTCCACCATCAAGCCAACTCGCGCTGCTTGGCTTATTGGAGCATGGGTCATCTCGCAAGGGCTGTGGTTGTGGAACGGATACCAGCTGGAGTTCCTGGGGAAACCGGACATCTTTACAAATGGAATTTGGAGTAGCAGCTGTCTGTTTTTTGTGTGCAACAGCATTTTGGCAGTGAATTTCATCAACGACATGGCAACACAGAAACAAGCGCTTGTTTCCAAGAAAGATTCATAGCTACATAGAAAAAATCAAATTAGTCCAAGGGACCAGGCCCCATAATAATTTTAGAGCTGTAGATTACTTGGCGATTTACGAAAATTGGTGCTGTTGGAAAAAAAAGAACCTAAAATTAATAACCAGCCATTGATAAATTAATAAACAAACCTTCGATCTTGTTGAATTCCACTCCAACTGTGATTTATTTATCATGGAAAACTTCGAGGTGCGAGCTAAATCGTTCACCATCAAATGGGTAAATGTTCCCGACAATTGTCTAGTGAAGTGGGAGTTAAAGCCTTTGAAACGATCTGTTAACTTTGCGATTTATGAGTACAACAGGGCAGACTTGCCAGCTCCTACAACGGCTCCAAATTCTTCGTCCACCACAACCTCCGAGAACCTGAGCTTGGACGAGGTCAATGAGGTTCCTCACAAGATGTTCAACCTACTTCATCAGAATTTACGGGACTCTGTTGACTCCATAAACTCTCAAAACGGTGTTAGTCCTTCAACGCCCACAGACCAGTCGGCCGCCTCTTTGTCCAGGTCCAGCTCGTTGTCAACACTCCCTGCTGGCACAGAGAGACGGAGAAGGTCCGACAGCAGCATATCCGTCAATGACCCACGCAGCTCTCTCGAGGATAAGATTGATAAACACCTGGCCAAAAAGCAATGGATCGGAAGATGCGAGGGAGACAAGCTGACCACCGGCACTTTCGAAGTGGAGACCGGCTCCTTGTTTGCGTTCATCTTCGACAACACATTCAGCAGACACAAGGCCAAAACCATCATGTTCAACCAATACATAGAGAGCAACGGCGTTGTTCATCAGACACAGGAACTTCCTAACCCATCGTCTTCGGGCCAACTCAACACCATTGACGAGCAAAAGAGCATTGAAGAAACAGACGTGCCCCAACCTGGAGAGTCCATTGGCTCGGCTATAGAGAGACCAGACTATTTTAACACAGCTGCAAGAAGAGCATCCACTGCTTCGGTGTCAGCACCACCAGGTAAAGTGAGATTCAATGTTCCAGAAAATGGACTCGTGAACAAGTCCAAGAACGTTTCTTTGCTCAGAGTGAAAGGGGGCCAGTATTTACAGGGGTTCCTGCTTAAGAAGAAACGGAGACGTGGTGGGAAGAATTTCGCCAGACGGTATTTCGTCCTCAACTTCAAGTACGGAGTACTGGATTACTTCTTCAACGACTTGACCAACCATGTTCGTGGAAATATGTACATTAGGAACGTTGTGATTTCTGCGGATCCAAAGCAATTGATGATGTATTTGGATTCCGGAATCGAGCAATGGGTGCTGAAAGCAAGCACCAGCGAAGACTTCAAAATATGGGTCCAGGCGTTCAACTTTATCAAGAAACAGAACAAAACGTCCCAGCCAGGCGAGCTTCCTGAACAGATTCTTCAAATTGCACCACCAACGGCTGCTTCTGACGACTCGGACGTTCTTTCGCATTCGGACGATAGCAGAATCGGAAGGCCACGCTCGGTGACCAATCCACAGTACAAACTTATAGAGGAGAAAATTATACAGGTCAAAGAGCTGGCAGAACACATCCAGACGTTGTCCAAGCAGCAATCGACAAAAAAGCCTCCTACAGACAGAAGAGGTTCGTTCTTCCGCAAGAAGAACAAGAAGGAAGCTGGTGACGACATACCTGAACAGGAAAGCGTCAACGGATCATACACTCCATCAATTACCGGGACATCTGTTTACGATACGTTGGTGTCCGAAATTAGAGACTTACAATTGCAATACCTGTTGCTGGTCAACACGGAAACGAACAGAGGATTCAGCAAGCCTGCCCACTCGCCGTCAAGAAGAACACTTACCAGAACTAATACTGCTGCCACTTCAGTTGTTTCTCAAGAGTTTTTTGATGCTCAAGAATATATGGATGAAATGACCCATGGGGTTTATTTGGTCCAGTCCAGCGACGAAGGTGAAGACGGAGAAGAGACAAAGGACCTTTCGAACGGCGCTCAAATGTCGTCAACTATTTTCGACAAGAGTCCTTTTGAGACTCCTTTGGGCGCAGAAACATCAAACACCAGTTCGTCAAGCGACGAAGACGACGACACAGACCAGAAAGAGCCAGAGTTATTGAAAACATCAGAATTTACTGCTCCAGAGGACCTGTATCCTTTGGAGTCAGGCAAGTTTGTGGACTACCGCAAAGACATTAAGGCGTGTACGAGCGATCCTCCTTCGTTGATTGGATTTTTGAGAAAGAACATTGGTAAAGACATTTCTTCCGTTTCGATGCCCGTCACTGCCAACGAGCCATTGACTTTCTTGCAGAAGTATTCGGAGAGTTTCGAGTATTCGCATCTTCTCACAGACGCTTTGCGTGCGCCTGCTGATACGGGCGAGCGTATTTTGATGGTTGCAACGTTTGCGATCAGTTATCTCTCGTCGTTTCGTGCCAAGATCAGAAGTGTTCGGAAACCATTTACTCCGCTACTTGGTGAGACGTTTGAGCTTGTGAGGAACGACTTGGGCATTCGTATGATCTGCGAGAAAGTTGTTCACCGTCCAATTGTGGTGGGCGCGCATGTGGAGTCGACCGATTGGACCATCGACCATATTTTGTCGTCGCAGCAGAAATACGGAGGAAAATCTGCCGAGGTGTCTGTTTTAGGAGACATTGAGCTCAAGTGCAGAAACGGCCAAGTTTACAAATGGAGTCAGCCGACGACGTTGATCAAGAATCTCATTGCAGGAGAGAAATATTCTGAGCCGTATGCTTCAGTAACAATTTTCTGCAACGATGGCCAGAGAGCCGTGGTGAGCTTCAAAGCTGTTGGAATGTTTTCTGGACGGTCCGAGGAGTTGAACATCAAGGCCTTCAACGCGGACGGATCCAAGTATGCGAAGGAGGTGAACGGCACCTGGACAGACAGTCTTCGATTCTCCGATACGAACGAAAAAGTGTGGAAAGTTGGCAACCTGGTGCCCAACTACCAGAAAAAGTACGGGTTTACTGAGTTTGCAGCCAGTCTGAACCAAATCACAGAAGTCGAGGAAGGATGTGCTCCAACGGATTCAAGACTGCGTCCTGACCAGCGCAAGTACGAAGAAGGCGAGGTTGACGAGGCAGAGGATCTCAAACTGAAGCTCGAAAACGACCAGAGAAAGAGAAGAAAGAACCCAGATGGAACAGACGCGGTCCACACTCCTGCGTTCTTCAAAAAAACAGGCGACGGCGATTTCGACTGGGAATATATAGACGGAGAGCAAAGCTACTGGAACCGGCGCAAAGCAGGCGACTGGAGCGGACTGGTGGAACTTTGGTGAACGAAGATGTATTGAATATTATCGATGGACTATCACCTTGGCGGGATTTCTCTAATGTAGTATTTGTGGTTGTAACCACCAGCAACAACAACGTTGGCGGGTGGTCCTGTTCTTGAAGACGTGTTGATGTTCATTCCAGGAACGTCGTCGTGACGGCCCTGTTGCTGCAAATACGGCGACAGGAAAGGAGACAGCATCTCGTCGTTTTCGATAGCCTCCTCGATGGCTTCGTCCACAGCGTCCTGTGCCAGCTCGTCCTCGTTGGCGAGGTTGGCAAACACGAACGACGAGAATATGAGGATGATCCCCAGATAGTACTTTGCTGAAGTGTTCTTGGCTTTGTATATGACCGAGTCAAAGATCATATTGACTGGGATGGCAGTAGACAGCGATAGCGCGGTAATCAGCGGCGAGGTGAGCAGCGTAGCGATAATGGAGCAGTAATCGGAAACACAGTTAAATAGACCGCCAATCACCAGGATCCACAGAATGGTTGTGCTATCTGGCAAGGAGAGGTCCTCGTATCCGATCCAATCGGCGATCAACAACAATGGGAACACCAACACCAGAATGCTGATCCCGAGTAGCCCAAACATAAGTTTTTCGTTATCTGGACTGGTTTCCTTGCCAATTCTGACTCTAAGCAGCACCAGGTAGCAGGAGTAGAGGAAAGTACCGCAGATTGCGAGACAGTTGCCAAAAACTGGGCTGGAGGCCTCAGATTGGGGCTCTGGTGCGGAATTGAATGTGATGAGGCAAATCCCCACAATGCTTACAACCACTGAAATAACCTTCCCAAAAGAGATGGAATCCACTCCACAAAGATAACTCAAGATAAGCACAAACACGGAGCTTGTTGTGGTCAAGATTGTCTGGTTGGACGCGCTGGTGTACTGGAGCGCGACTGCGCTGAGCGACGCGTTGCCGTAGTAAATGAGGCCGGCCTGGATGGCCACTGTCAGTAGCTCTTTAAAGGAGAGGTTCATGGACGGAGTGTGCAGTATGACGCTTTCGGAGCCGCACGAGCCGTATGAATCGGCACTGTCGTTGAGGAAGTCTGGCTTGGGCGGTCTGAACATGTTCACCAGCGCGCGGAAGGCGGGTCGAATGCCAAACATGGCAAACAGGCCTCCATTGACATAGGCAATAAATAATGGGTGTTGATAAGTGTCACCCTTTAAAACGTTGTTATTGAGTTGGAGACCAAACACCCAAGTGGCAACCATCAAGAACAAGTACAGCAAACCTTTCAGCCAGCTCTTGCGCTCCTCTGTTTTGATGATATCGACCAGGTCTCCCACTACTTGGTCTCCCGAGAGCTCCACGTGAGAGTCCTTTGGACGCGGAGACCTTATCAGGCCACCAGGGAGAATGGGGGACTTGAGAAGAATCACAGGCGAGCGTAAATGCGATTGTTTTGCAGAAGGTGATTGCATGCCATTAGTTATCTCAAGATAGAAATTTAGTACTAATTTTTTTAAAGGGTGGATTAATGTCCTAAAACGGTAGCTGATAAGTTTCTATGATATTAGAGACGCGCAGGAAAATGTGACGATGACACCGCCAAAATGAGTGCAAGAAGGATACTCAACTGCAATGAAGTAAACAACCAGACAGGAAACTGGAGAGACGTGGATGGGTACACTATTTCTTCCACAGTTTGGAAGAGCCCGAGTTGCACAGCTTCCATAAGACGTCTGGAGGCTTGTAGAACGGGTTTGTAGGAGAGCTGGATGTGGATGGCGATCCCATGATCGACTTGGATTTGTATTTGAAGCTCTTTGTAGGCGACAGAGAGAGTTTTCTTGTGTTTCTTTCGTGGTCATGGGCCGGGATGCTGAGTTTCTTGCCGTCGAGCGCCATCTTTTTGCGTTTCTCGACAACTTTCTCCCTGGCTCTGTCTGTGTCCAGTGGAGGGAGGGTCGAGGCGATTTTAGGCTCGGAGCACTGCGAGAGGTTTAGGTATGCGGACTCCAATTCGCGAGTGTCTGCGGTGGTGGAATATTGCCAGTTTTGAGAGAGCTGTTCGAAACCTTCCAGAGGTGCGAACGCAGAGTACTGGTCGGCGAACGGGTTTGAGGCGTGTGCAGAGTCTTTGGCCATTATTGGACCGATAGACACTGACGATGCCGAGCTGGCGACAGTCAGTGTTGGAGAGTCCATCGAAAACAGTTGGTAGTCCACAGACTCAGAGTCTGGAGTTTCGGACAGGAGTCCATTCAGCTCTGAGTAAAATGCAAAGTCCAGGTTGGACTCCTCCATCTTGAGAGGCCCAAACAGGTCAGAGTCTTCCAAATACATGTCGAATTGGTCTAAAGGACTCATCTAGAGAGATTTCAAAAACACAGGTTATTGCGCAAATATTCAAGAGAAACAGAATGCTATTTGTACAAATCCAGGTTAATTGAACCGATAATTGCTCCAACTTAGTACTGAAATCTTGAGTTTATTGTCGAGTGATTGAAACTCTCGATAACAAAGGGGTTATTGTAGATCCCACTCAAAACCTGCTACAAACAATAAAAATTTCTGCTACCACTGCATACTTGGGACTGTTTTTTCCAGCCAGGGAAAAAAATGCAGACAAAATACGCACTAAAAACGAGTTCAACTCTTCACAAACCACAATGCCAGGGGCATTGAGTGGTAAGTGTGTATTTGCATTCACAATCAAGAAATCTCAATCAAATACTTTGGATATTCTGTGGGCCAAACTTCCAATCATACGGCTATTAATTGACACTCAATTTAGCATCTAAAACCAGATTACTTTATTTAGTAAGATGTTAGATACCGCGGCCCCTTCCGCACCAACAGAGCCTCAGAAATTATCCGCGCTTAAAAATTACGCTGTAACGCGTCTGTGAACAATTAAAACTTTTCCGACGAGGGGCCAATATTGCCTGTCATACCTACCGGTACTTGCGCTGTCCGTACTCTTGCCGGGTTTATTGGCCCTGGTGGCCAACCATCGAATGAACCTCCAAGAATTAAAACGGCCACACTGATAGCCGCACTCTCGTAAAGCCGCACGTATATTCCACGTTTTGGGTATCACAGCAACTAACGTGATTTATCGGGGTCTAGACTTGCGAAATTGTTTCCCGCACCAGTTTGACCCCACATCACCACAGAAACTCACTCTTCACTTGAAACTCGCTCGTAAACCTCCTTCAACTCCATCAAATCATCCTTTCAAGTCTGCTGTTAGCCTAATTTTTGAAAACTTGCAGTGTGGACATGTCAGAATTCCGAATCACACACTATCAGCTTACAGGACAGTTGAATTCTCTGACATTTTTTAATTAACCTCGTTTATTGTGGCTGATCGTCCAGCCTGCTATTGTACATAGTATACATCCTATTTTTTCAGTCCGAATCAAAATTAAGCCTGCGCCCTGTTAATCTTGTTTTCTCTTCGCCAAGACCCACAACTTTCCCGTCGTGGTCCACATATTGCAGCGTGGCAGCACTTGCTTCAGATTTACCTTTGTCGGCTTTCTTGGCAGAGGAAAATGACGGGCCTTTGAATGGATTCACAATCTTCTCCTTGCGGATAACCTCTCCGTCCTCAATGTCGAAATTGTGAGTCTGTTGAGCAAATGGTCCGATCTGGACCTTATTGCGAGGTGTGGTTGGCGCCTCCACCTCTTCCACAGCCTTGCTGAAGTCCAGCTTACGTGGCTTGATCGACTTCTCGTAGTCGGTGAGTTTGCGCACAATCTTCTGTCCCGTCTTGTTGTTCACTAGCTCCATCTCTTCCTCAAACCGCGAGAAATCAACAGGTTCTTTGGCACGGGTGCTATCCCCGGTCTCCAAGAACGGGTTACTGAACGAACGACGACGGATAAAGCGTTCTCCGTCGTCTTTGTCACTTGTATGTGGGGCTATGTGCATCTTGTAGGCCTGCTCCTGCGTCGTCACCTGTTTAGCAGGCGTCGACGGCATGGCAAACTCCACCGATCCGAAATCCAGCTTCTTTGTCACTTTCGTCAAGCGATGCGGCTGATCGGCCGTCTCTTCCTCTGATGAGTATTGTAAGTCCTCTTCTAAATCGATCTTGTACGATTTGCTCAGATCAAGCTGCGCATTCTCCAGTTTGGGACCTCCAACAAGAGACTTGCGTCCAGACCCCACCGTGGACGCGGCCATGGGGAATATGGCACCGGGCCCGTTGATCTTGGAAACAATCGACTCATTCACGTCTTTGCGACGACTGATCCGTGGCGTCTGGTCCGGTGTCTGCAATTGCTGCGATCCTCTGGACCTGTACGAAACAGGAGAGGAGCCGACATTCGACCCCAGAGTCTGTTTCTTTGTACTAGGATGCGGAGTGTATGGAGTATGCAAGTGATGTTTGGTCTGATGCGTGCTAACTGGGGTCTTTAGATGCCAACTGCTGTTTCCAGCTCGCGTCTCGCTGGGAGGTGTAGATGGCTGAACGGGCTCGCCGTCATGTTGCGGAGAGTTCATTCTGTATGCGTTTATTTGTGCTGGGAACCTGTCAAGAGTAATCAATCAAGTTGCAACTATTTTTACAATCACTTTTCCTCGTGTTGTAGATGGCTGGTTTATTCGTTAATTACTTTTCCGTTTTTGGAATCACCGCCCAGCTGAAAAGAGGGAAAAAAAAAGTTTTTCTATAAACCAGACAACTTACGTAATCCAGATCTCACCAGGTTGGATGTAATATGTAACAGTAGACGCGTTTTCGTATCTCCTCCGTTTCCTGTGGGTCCTCAGGGAACATTGGGTGGTCCCAATGGACCATCTCGACAAATTCGACGTCGAATTGGAACAGGTCTCTGGCATCGGCAAAGAACTTGAAGTCGTTCTCCACCATTTTTTGGGCCGGTCTGTGCGGCGACCAAACAACCAGACACTTGCCTCCTGTTCGTGGGACCGGCTTTGCCTGCAAAGGAGTGATCAGCTCTTTCGCCGATTTGAGCAACTTGTGGTGCTCAGTGTGATTGAACACCAAGTCACTCATGATTATTAAATTAGCTGTGCTTCCAAGTGTTTCTTTGATTTCCGTAGTGTCGTTTCCCCAGATAAATCCCTTGACACTTATTCTATCAGTAACATCTCTATCGGCCAGATTATCCACATTAATCTGGATGTTCTCTAAAAGGTCGGGATCTGGGTAGTCCGTAGCTACCACCTTGGAAGCGCCGTTGATAGCAGACAGTAGAGACGGCAGAGCAGCAGCGGCACCAAACTCCACCACAGTCTTGTCCTTCACAAGACTCTGGGACCAGTCCTCAATGTATCTAGCCGTGTAAATCCCCGCGTTCCAAAGAAGGTGTCCCCATAGCGGTGATTTCCCAACCAGTCGAAGTTTGATCTCTTTAATCTCAGGGTGGCATTTGTCATCAACCCTAATGTACTTCTGGTAATGGGCCTCCGGTTTGGACGGTCTGAAGTCCTCAGGCTCCTCAAATAGGCCGCCGTCGAGCTCGAATTCCGAATCGGACATGTCTTGAAATATGTTTAAATTTTTTTAAAAGCTTACGTAACGCCTATGAGATCATGGGCAGGTGGTAACTTCCCAGTCGGAGGGATCGTGAACGTCCGGGTGGTCCAATTGGGCCAATTCCTCCTTGGACAACTCGAACGACAGCACGTCCAGATTGGTAGGCAGCCTACTCAAAGTCTTGGTCTTCGGGATAGGAATGTACCCCTTTTGGACAGACCATCTGATAAGAACTTGGGCCGGAGTAACTCCTTTTTTCTCGGCAATACTTACCGCATCTGGATCGTTGATACGATTAGCATGAGAGAATGGAGCAAAGGCAATCACCTGAATGTCTTGAGAAAGACAGTAGTCACACAATTCTTGTCTCATGCACCATGGAGAAACCTCAATCTCGTTGGCAACAGGCTTATGCTTCAAGCCTGGCCAAGATAAGAGCTCCTTAACATGGGCAATACCGTAGTTCGAGACACCAATAGACTTGACAACGCCAGCATCAACGGCCTCCTGAATGGCCTTGTAGGTCTCCAATCTCATTTGCTTACCTGGGGTTGGTGCATGGATAAGAAGCAAGTCGATATATTCAAGTCCCTGGATTCGGTCGAGACACTCCGCAATTGCCTTTTTAGCTTTTTCGTAGCCCATCTGGTTGGTCCAGAGCTTGGTGATGTAGTAAACATCCTGTCTCCTGTTGTTGGCCGGGTCCTCGCTAATCCATTGCTTGATTCCCTCGGCGCAACTCCGCTCGTTGCCGTACAGAACTGCAGTATCGATACACCGATATCCAGCCTTCAAGGCTTCCTTGACAACCTCGGCGGCGTTTGTCAGTTCCCAAGTTCCCAATCCCATAAATGGAATCGTAAGCCCATTGTTCAGTTTCACAATCTTAGCGAGCATGATAGCAATTGCAAAAATTAAACCAACTAATTCGATTGCGAATCTAAAATATTTATATCAAATGCATGCTTGTTTTTTTTCGCATTTCTCATGTAAGCAATGGTATTAATTTCTTATTTTGGCAAGCCAGTATCTGTGTTGATAAGGACCTCTTGCGAATCTTGTGGGCCTTCCCCAACTTCAGTAAGAATAACACGCGAGACACCGGCGCCCCATGATGCCTCCACCTCGAACGATGGTGCAATAAAGGAAGTTGAATCCGCCTTGCTCCAGCCGTCGACCGAGCCAAACACTGCATGCAACAACCCCAAAACTTTTGCCTCGTTCTTCTCCTCGTAGTAGATAACGGCATTTGGACCAGCATCATACGTGTAGGCAGCAATGATTTCTCCGGCCGATTCATTTAATAAGTTGATTAGCTTAATGATTCTTTTGGAGACATCGTTCAAATAAAAAATTGGTGGATAAGAGTCCAAACAGGTTGCATGGAACGAGTTCGAGTCTTTCATGGTGAGCTCTGCGAAAGTCTGGAAATCTGTATCTCTGATGGACTTCTTCATCTGCTCGAATCTCTCGGGAACAACCTTGTCGACACGATGCTGGAAGAGCGAGGAAGTTTTAACAGTCAATTGCATTCCGCTGGTACTTGGAACGTCCTTCTTATCATCAGACACCACCAAGATACACGCCTTCATATCTGGCCAATGGCTGCGTGGAGCCACCTCCACGGCCTTGGAGTCGTGACCGTCTGCGAGTTCTCCCATTTCCCAAGCAACGTAACCTCCAAACAGAGATCTACAAGCCGATCCAGAACCCTTTCTTGCGATCTTACTCAGGTCTGAGGCGGATTGAGGCAGCTCGTACAGCCTGGCAATAGCAGAGATCAGTGCAGCAAAGCCAGCAGCTGAGGATGCAAGACCAGCGGCTGTTGGGAAATTATTTTCGCTCACAATGTGCAACTTCATCTCGCTCAATTTTGGAAGTGACGAGTCTGCAGTTTCGAGCTCCTTTCTATATTGTCTGAGATCCTTCAAACACTGTTGTGTTCTTGGGGTATCCAACGAGTGGGACTCGCCATTAAGCCAAAGTGAGTCTTTCTCGAACGACTCAGAACACGAAGCAGTGGTCAGGGTTCTCAAGTCCTTCTGGGACAATGTGACACTGATGGAGGAGTTTGTTGGTAGATTGAGATCCTTATCTCTCTTTCCCCAGTATTTCAAAGTCTAAGAATTAGTTCACCAAACGGGCTTGAAACTTACAGCAATGTTGACCGGAGCAGTTCTGGAAGCGTAATAAATCTTGGGCATCTTAAAATAAAATAGATTAATGTTTTTCCCAACTTGTTCCCTCTTAAAAATTCGTCGCCAACCTCGTTTACCATGGTAAATTTTCATTCTTTTTTCATTGTCGCTATAAAACTATAGAGATGAAATAATACAAACGTTAAACAGTGAGACAAACAGAATTGCGGTTAGGAAGACACCTTCTCCCATCTCCAGATTCTTGCCTTACAATCTCCAGATCCTGTAGCAAAGTATCCTCCGTTGACACCTCTTTTGGGAGTCATCACCGGTGACACGTTCACGCTGATAACGGAATTTCTATGACCTTGAAGCATGATGTATGGTTCTCCAGTAGCCTTTTCCCATAAGAGAACGCCTCTGTCCTTGGATCCAGAGAGAATAAACTCGTCGTCTGGAGTGCAGCACACAGAAAGCACGAAGTCCTTGTGGCCAACATAAGTGACCTCGCAGTTGGACTTGGAAGAACCTTGTTGTTTTTGCAGATCTTTCAAAGACCACAGCTTCACGGTTCTGTCCAACGATCCAGAAGCAATTTCTTTACCGTCGTGGGTAAAAGCCACAGAGTAAACAGAATCCATGTGACCATTCCCGCTCTCGTTAGCAGAATCGAGTCTTTCGACCAAAAAGCCTTGATTGGCATCCCAAACACGCACGGTTCTGTCCAGGGAGCCTGCAGCAATTAGTTTTCCATCAGGAGAAGCAGCAACGGTCGTAACTCCGTCCTCGATACTAAGGGTCAACGAACATTGACCAGTAAACACGTCCCAAATTCTCACTGTTCTGTCTCCGGAACCAGAAACCAGCTTGGATCCGTCAGGGAAAAAGTCCAAAGAGTAGATGTCTTGCTCGTGTCCCTTCAAGTATTTCACAATGGTTCTGGTAGCAAGATCCCAGATTCTGATGATCTTATCCTCAGCACCAGTGGCAAGGAACTTGCCGTCTGGCGAGAAGCACACAGATCTAATATACAAATCCCCAGTGTCGGTGTCGTAAGATCCGTTCGAGCTGGCAGAAGACTCGTCGCTCAATCTGGCAACCAGGTCTCCAGTTTCAACACTGAAAACCTGGGTAAGCTTGTTGCAGCCGGTGGCCAAGAACTTACCGTCTGCCGAGAACCGAACACAGCAAACCACCGAAGTGTGATCGAACGAGTGGACAAGGGATGTGTCGATTTTCTTTGGCACATTTGGATTGTAAACAAGGTAGTACTCGCTGAACTGTTTTTTGTATGGCAACGTGGCATATGAGTCGAAATCCTGTAAAAAGGCTGGCAACGGCTTGTTATGCTGAGCTCTGACAGCGTAGCTCGATTCGGCCTCGCTCTTGACAACTGCAGTCTGTGCGGCTTGAGTTCCGCCTGGAGTAGCTGCAGCCGACACTTTCTCCGACGACTGTTGCGACTGCGACGCAGCCTGTTGCTCTTGGGTGGTTGCCGGAGGTGGTGGAGGCAGTTGGGAGTTCTGGGCCAAGTCCGACTTGGACCCTGAACCTTGGGCACTGATCTGGGGAAGGGCACCGTTAAAGCCCGATGCTGCACCCCTGTAGTCGGATGGAGAACCGCTGAGGTTTGGAGGAGGAAGCTGTTGCGGTGTTTGCGGGAACGAGCTTTGAGGTCTGTCCAAAAGCGGGTGTTGCTGAGACTGAGCTTTGACCTGAGCTTGGGCCTGAGCCTGAGCCTGGGCCTGTTGCAAAGATTGCTGTTGGAAAAGTCTGTCCCTGTTTTCCAAGTCCTGTTTCAATCTCAGAATCTCCTTCTCGTACGCTTCTTTCATGGTTCTATGAGCCTGCTCAAGCTCGTAGACCGTATTTCTGATGTCTGTTAACTCCTGGTGTTGCTGGTTTATCTTCAGCTCATAATCGTGGTGATGGTCTTTGTAGATTGTTGTTTCTCTGGTGAGACTGTCGAACTCTTTCTTGACGGCATCCAACAGCTCATCCAGATGGTCACGCTCAGAAATCGCGTGATTGTTGTTGCTTGGAATAGACCGTTGGTAAGACATGGCGGGGGATTGTCCAGCTTGTCAAAATTTCCGGTGTTGACTTAAGGCACTCGTCAGCTTGATTGGAACACGGCTAATATTAGACGGAATTTGATGAAAATTGTAGGAATCTACTATTATCTCAAATCTGTGTATATTTGGCACTCCACAACAGCAATTTGCAGGCGGTAAACTATCAACAACTAGAAGAGCAGATGATCAAAATATACGGAAGAAAGCAAAAAAAAACGAAACGAAAAATGTGCATGAGGACGAAAAAGACGAAAGTCGGAAAAACGATTAAACACCAGCACCGCCAAAAGCAACCCTCATATGCTGCTTCTTTGTTGTTCCGGCAATTATAGCCCGGAGAGGGGGGCCGTTTCAAATTCGTCGATGCCGTATGCACTGTGATTGGCCCATGCGGCTTGCCCGCCTAATTTTCGCTGTTGGTTTGTCTGGCAGGGAGGTTGGATTTCTGTGCAGTGCTCTTGCGTAGGGAAAAAAGTCTTGGCGTTTTTCCAAATTGTTAAGACTTTGATAATCCCTATTGTTTTTGCGCATTGTGTCTTAATAATTGTTTCCTACTCGCCTGGTGGCTCATTACAACTTTACACCGAAAAGTGCAACCTGGCAAAAAAAAAAAAAACAACAAAAAAACACTTCACGTGACTGGCTGACAATTTGTTTATGTCTTTTTTCCCTTAAGGTCCGCATCGCCAGTCCGTGCAAGGGTGTGCGTTCCAGCCGAACCAGAAGCAAGATTCAAGAATAGGAATCTGTGTAATAAATTAAATAAACATGTCGAGTGCGAGCGAGTTTCTTGATAAGGGAGTGGAATTGGTGAAGAAGGCCATCGAGGCAGACAGTGCGAGCAAGTATGATGAGGCTTATAGATTGTATTACAACGGACTGGACTATCTGATGCTGGCATTGAAATACGAGAAGAATCCCAAATCTAAAGAGACAATAAGGTCCAAGTTCACAGAGTATCTTTCGCGGGCGGAACAGTTGAAGGAGTATCTGGACAAGAAACAGCAGCAGGATCAGACGGGAGAGGCAAGCGCGACGTCCGGGTCTGTGAAGGCAAAGAAGACCAATGGTGCAGAGGACGACGATAACGATAGTGACACCAAGAAGCTCCGTGGAGCTCTTGCCAGTTCGATTTTGAGCGAGAAACCGAACGTGCCATGGAGCGACATTGCTGGTTTGGAGCCAGCTAAGGATGCCTTGAAAGAAGCGGTCATTTTGCCGGTCAAGTTCCCGCATCTTTTCAGAGGCAAAAGAAAACCCGTTTCTGGAATTTTGCTATATGGACCACCAGGTACGGGTAAGTCGTATCTGGCCAAGGCTGTCGCGACGGAGGCCAATTCGACTTTCTTTTCTGTTTCGTCGTCGGATCTGGTTAGCAAGTGGATGGGAGAGTCTGAAAGATTGGTGAAGCAGCTTTTTACAATGGCCAGAGAGCAAAAACCTGCCATTATCTTCATCGACGAGGTGGACGCATTGTGTGGACCAAGAGGCGAGGGTGAATCTGAGGCATCACGGAGAATCAAGACAGAACTGCTTGTGCAGATGAACGGAGTCGGCAATGACTCAGACGGTGTTTTAGTGCTGGGTGCCACCAACATCCCATGGCAGCTCGATGCGGCTATCCGTAGACGTTTCGAGCGGAGAATCTACATTGCTTTGCCCGACCCAGAGGCCAGAGTGGTGATGTTCAAGTTGAACATTGGCGATACCCCATGTTCGCTCACTTCGCAAGACTACCATACATTGGCACAAATGACAGACGGATACTCAGGACATGATATCAGTGTCGTTGTGAAGGATGCGTTGATGCAACCGATTAGAAAGATCCAGATGGCTACTCATTTCAAGAAAGTTGTCTCTACAGACGAAGAAGGCCAGGAAGTCGTCCAGTACACTCCATGTTCGCCTGGAGACAGCAAAGCCGTGGAGATGAGCTGGCTGGACCTGAACGGCGAGGAGCTGAAGGAGCCCGAGCTCGGAATCAAGGACTTCATCAAGGCCATCAAGACCAACAAGCGCACGGTCAACCAACAAGACCTTGACAAGTTTGTGGAGTTCACCAATGATTTTGGCTCGGAGGGAAATTAGCAGACTGCGTTAATACATAAACTATCAACTGTAATTGGAAATATTGAAATTGGAGTCCACCACTTTGGAAAGCTCGATTCTGAGCAAAAGCAAAACGTTTCCTGGTTTTTCAATAAACGGCTTAGCATCAGGGTTGCTCTTCAAATGTAGGTCCTTGTAGTAGTCTGCTTCTGGAGAGCTTGTTGCCTGGTCCAAAGTCTTTTCGACGTATCCATTAAGATTGCAACTCAAGTCGCAGAGCTGCGACTGATTTAGCTCTTTTAAGAAATTGAGCAACTGACCGTCTCCAGCACTACCGCTGGCCTTGGAGGTAGTCCAATCGTGGACCAGAATGGAGCACTGTGGGTTAACACTCAGATTCTTGTATTTTTGAGTGTCTTTCGGAGTGGATATGAGCAAATAATAATCGTCGCCAGGCTGACCATTGTACTTGTCCTCGGGAGTGATTAGAGTGAAGTTCATTAAACTGACATGGGGGACATTATTGGAACAGGTGCCTAAATGGATAAAGTTGGCACTCTTGAGCAAATGGACGATGGAATCCGGGATTTGCGACGTCATGATAAAAAGGAAACCAGCAAAAAAGTAACTAAGTACAAAATTGCAGAGATATATATATCTGAAATTAATAACAATAGTGTTGCATACGAAATATTCACCCGTGATGATTAGTTCGCAGCCGCACATGGCGCCGATGGTGCATCCGGGGCTTATTTTCCTATTGAACGGACCTGGTTTTGATGATAGCCCAGAAGAGGGCCCAGAAGAGGAATTGGACCAAGCTGTTGAGGAGCCCTCGAAAGACACAGACCAGGAGTCTGAGCATACAATTGACCTACTACGCAAGGATTTGGAAGGAGAAACAGATACAGAGGTGGACGAGCAGACGTTGCGGCGAATACACGAGCTGGTGAACTTTGACGAGCACACAGCCGACACAAACGGTGGGTTTGGAAACCATTTCCCGGGCAGCGTGCGCACGATCAAACTGACCAGCGAAACGAAATCGAACATTGATAGGGTCCTGCAGTCAGGCGCGAGCCGCAGGTCGTCACGCAAACGCCCGCGGGATGTGGAAGCCAAGCCCAAGACCTCATCGACTGCGGATTCGGAGGATTCGGACGGGTCGACTTCAAGCAAGAGGAGTGACTCCGCATACGTTCTTGCGTCTGAATATTCCTCTGACAACGAAGACCATACGAACGGGAACGGCGAGACGCGGGCTCAGAAACCAACGGCACCGCTATTTTCGCGGATTTTCGGGCGGTAGCACGGCCCTTGATAAATTGTACAGTAATTGTAAATTAGGCATATAGATATTTTTATTTCTATCTTTTCATGACAGTTAACGAACCCCTACCAGAAATAGAGATTATACGACGGCGTGTTCTCTCGAGTCTGTCGAATCGGGCCAGTTGCGGGATGTCGAAGGTGTCGCTAGCCAATTTGGAGATGGAGTACATGCAGATCTACAAGATGCTGGAGAACACCATCAAGTTCAACGAAGGGAAGTCCTGTTTGGTGATCGGTCCGCGGGGCACGGGGAAAACCAGTTTGGTCAACAATGCGCTGTTGGAGCTTGGCGAAAAGTTCCGCAACATGTTTTACGTGATCCGTATCAGCGGAGTGTACCAGAATGACGACAAGAGCGCTATCAAGGAGATCGCACGACAGCTGGACTGGCACTTGTTGCGGCACTCTGACCAACCCAACGCCTCGTTCGAGAAGTTCTCAGCCAACGAGACAATGAACAGCGTGATGAGTGTTCTGGACGGCAGCAGACTCGAGGAAGACAAAGACCAGGACGACGAACACGAGGAGACACAGATGCCTATAATATTTGTCATTGACGAGTTGGAAAAGTACACCAACGACGCGAAACAGACTCTGCTTTACAATCTGTTTGACGTGGCACAGTCGTCGTCCAAGTCGCACGCCGTGGCCGTTCTGGGACTGACTACTGTCACCGGAGTGCGTGAACAGCTGGAGAAACGGGTTAAGAGTCGGTTCAGTCAGAAGGTGATCCAGCTGACCAAGGTCAAACAGCTTTCGGAGTTCTGCGATATGGTTCTGTGTCTTTTGAAAGTGTCATTGGACGGTCTGGACGAGTCTACGGCTCGCTGGGCTGCTACCTACAACGAACACATCGAAAAACAGGTGCAGGGTCCAAGTGAGCTGCGCAAGCTGGTGGTGCACAATTTCTACACAACCAAAGACCTCAATATGCTCAAGAACCAGCTGGCTGCGTACCTGGTGCAACAGGACCTCACTTCGCTCGGAGGGGGCAGTTTCCCCAAACTAGACACAAATAACCGCAGTTTCCAGGTGCTGGCGAGCCTAAGCGAGATGGAATTGCGACTAGTCATTTGCGCCGGGCGTCAATTGCTCAAGAACTCGATGGACCAGGTCAACTTCAATATAGCCTACGAGGAGTTTGACAAGATGACAAAGTCACAGACAAATACGCTAAACTCACAGCTGCAGACGATGGGCCGCGTGAAGCTGGACTTGGCCACACACTCCAAGGACATCCTGCTTCGGTGTTGGGAGCGGCTGATCATGTTCGGACTGCTAGTGGAACCGATCCGGCAGATCAACGGAATCAACTCGAGTTTCTACACGGGTGGAGAGTCCAACAAGATGTTTTACCTGGATGTGACGCTGGACGAGGTGGCCAAGCTGTTCCGCCAGACGGAATGGGTGGCCAAATGGTGTCGGCTATGAATAAATATAATGCATCCCTTTTAAGGATTTTCATGTCTCCTGGAAAACACCAGTTACCCCGCCGTAGCTCGTGGGGAGCATGAGTCAGCAGAAAAAAAGCCCACACCGGCAAGGAACTCGCGGGGGGTGAATAACAGACACGTCGCGGAGTGCCAACGGTTATTCTGTAGCGAGTTTGGGGGAAGATCCCGTGGGCGGACTTTGCCGTACTCCGACGCAGCGTTGGAATTTACCGTCACGCAGCCCCACCCGGTAAAACTTTTTTCGCCCGATCAAGAAATATCCTTCCGCCACAGCATTTTCCAAGCAAAAATCTGGTCCGTAATTTCCTTCAAAGCACCGTATTTGCCTTGTTTACTGCCATGGACCCGACTCAGGACCCCAATTTCCGGCCGCCCTCCACCAATCCACCGGTCGAGCCAACTGTTTCGTCCAAACTGATCCCAAACAGACAGCCCATCCAGCCCTATGTTCTAGCAGACTATCTAGAGCCAATTGATCAGCCTATCCAACACAAATCCCAAACAAACGGGTCAGTCTCAAACCCAAGGGCGAATTTCACTGTCGATACTCCACGGTCGGCGTCTCCCAACTCCATCAAGCACAAGATCCCAAAATCTAGAACCGAGCTGCATCCGTTCAGCTCAAGCGAGGAGGAAGATGACACCCAGGGCCTTGACGAAGGAGCCCACCCGCCGCTCGAGTTCAGAGACTACTCAACCGTTGATATCCCAAGAGTCCATTCGTTCCAGATCGCCGATTTGGAGGAGGTTCCGCACGGAATCCAAAGACAATCCAAGAACTTGAACGATTACAAGTTCCCGACCCATCGCTTAAAAACACGGCTGTCCGACCCCAACAAGTTTCCCTTGGTGATTGTGGCCTGCGGCTCGTTTTCCCCAATCACATATTTGCATCTGCGGATGTTCGAGATGGCCATCGATGCCATCAGAGAGTACACTCGCTTTGAGGTCATTGGTGGTTATTACTCGCCGGTCTCGGACAACTACAAGAAACCAGGCCTTGCACCGTCCCACCACCGTGTTCGAATGTGCGAGCTCGGCTGCGAGAGAACCTCCTCGTGGCTCATGGTGGACGCTTGGGAGTCGCTGCAACCAAAGTACACCCGCACGGCTTTGGTTCTGGATCATTTCAACGAGGAAATCAACATCAAGCGCGGCGGCGTGTTCAAGTACAACAGCAACACAGAGAAAATGGGCGTCAAGATCATGCTGCTTGCCGGAGGCGATCTCATAGAGTCCATGGGCGAGCCTAACGTGTGGGCGGATCAGGATCTGCACCATATCCTCGGCAACTATGGCTGTCTGATCGTGGAAAGAACCGGCTCGGACGTCAGATCGTTCTTGCTCAGTCATGATATCATGTACGAGCATCGCAAGAACATTTTGGTTATCAAACAGCTCATCTACAACGACATCAGCTCCACCAAGGTGCGACTGTTTCTCCGAAGAAACATGAGCGTGCAATACTTGCTTCCGAACTCGGTGATCCGCTACATCCAGGAACACAAGTTGTATGTGAACGACAGCGAGCCTGTGAAGCAGGTTTTAGATCCTCAGGACTAGACATCCAAATAGTAATTCTAACGGCTAAAGCTATTATTAATCTTTATTTAAGTCATTGTAACGAGCTCTTCGGCCGAGGTTGGGTGGATGGCCACACAGTCGTCAAAGTCTGCCTTGGTGGCTCCCATCTTGACGGCGACGCCAAATCCTTGCAAAATCTCAGACGAGGCGTCTCCGACAATATGCAAACCAACAACCTTCTCGTCCAAGCTCTTGACGCACACCAACTTGTATGCCGTTGGGGACTTGGTTTCTGAAACGGCATAGTACATCGAGGTGAACTTGCTCTGGTAAATCTTGATGTCTTCCTTTCCGTACTTTTCAATGGCCTCCTTCTCGCTCAGTCCGACAGAACCGGCCTCCGGATGGGAGAACACCGCAGAAGGAACGTTGTCAAAGTCCTGTTTCTGGGCCTTGAACACCTCTGGGCCGAAAAGTCTGTTGGACAACTTACGACCAGTAGCAATTGCAACCGGAGTCAATTCGACCTTACCAACAACATCTCCCAAAGAATAAACTCCCTTGACGTTTGTCTCCTGGAACTCGTTCACAACAACATTGTCCCTGGAGTCGAGCTCAAGTCCGATCTTGTCGACGCCCATGCCGACCAACGATCTTCTGCCCACGGTCCAGATCAGCTCGTCAACAACAATAGAGGAATCATCGGATAAAAACACCTTCTTGGACCCGTCGTCCAGCTTCTCGACCTTGGTCACCTGCGACTGTTTGTGCACGTTGATTCCAACCTTCTCGTAGTGGTTGGTGATGGTGTCCTGGATGATGCTGTCGAACTTACGTAAGACGGTATCACCTCTAATGATCATATGGGCCTCGGAACCCAGACCGTGGAAAACGCCGGCCAATTCGACACCAACGTATCCGGCACCAACAATGGCGACTCTCTTTGGCTGTTTCTCAAGCTCAAAAAAGCCGTCGGACGAAATACCCAACTCATAACCTGGGATGTTCTTTGGGAAGATTGGCGTACCACCGGTTGCAATGAGGATTTTGTCAGCAGTGAAGGTCGAGACCTTGGATTTGTCATCCTTGTCGACAACCTCGACTTTTCCGTCGGCGGTGAATCTAGCGAATCCGTAAACGTAATCCACGCCCTCTTTGGTTAGATTGCGCTCGTAGATGCCGTTGAGTCTTTCGATGTAGGCATCTCTCTTGTGCTTGAAATGGGTCCAATTGAAGTCCGAGGCAAAAGAAGGGTCGATTTTCTCAAAACCGTAGTCCTTAGCCAGTCTGATCTTGGACGCCATGTCGGAGGCGTACCACATCACTTTCTTGGGCACACATCCAACGTTGACACATGTTCCACCCATCTTCTTGCTCTCCACAACCAACGCAGAGGCTCCATACTTTGCAGCTCTTCTGGCAGAGGCAACTCCTCCAGAACCACCGCCAATCACCAAATACTGATAATGAGACCGCATTCTATTTAGCATAATTATTTCACGCAGAAATTTAGTGTTTTATACGTGAAGAGAGTAAAATAAATTTGTTTTTCCATCGACAAGCTGATTGGTAATTATGTCGGACGAACAACACGAAAATCAGGGCAACTTGTTCAGTGCGCAGGACGTTGATGAACTCGCAGAAGATGACCAGCTCGACGAGGAGATGGCCGACGAATTGGACCACAACGCCAACGACGACGCTGCACAGGAACAGCAGGACGACTCGGCAGACAAGCTGCCTGCTGCGTTGCCACAGTTCCCCGACCTCACCAGAAGCGACAAGACGTTAGAAGAAGTGTTGCAGATGATGAGCGACGACGAGTTCACGCCTATTATCCCAGACAGCGTGACCGACTACTATCTGGCGAAAAACGGGTTCCAAACCTCAGACTTGAAAATTAAGAGACTTTTGGCTCTGGCTACGCAAAAGTTCATCAGCGACATCGCCACCGACGCCTACGAATACTCGCGCATCCGGTCCAACACCGCCGTGTACAATTCATCGAACCCGCACGTGAGAGCGCGTGCCTTGATGATGGCCACCTCCAACATGGCCAGTGCTCCAGACGACGCCGACGAGGGCGGTGTCCAGGGGGCTTCAGGGTCTGCCGGCGAAGCACAGTCGAGCACAGCACTCGGAGGAGGCAATCAGCAGCATAATAACCAAAAAGTGTCGCTCACCGTCGAGGACCTCAGTAGCGCACTCGACGAGTACGGCCTCAACGTCAACAGACCGCAGTTCTACAGATAATCACCACTGTTTGCGAGGGCGAAACAAACACGTTAAAAGAAACAAAAATACACACTCAGACCATCTCGAAGGACGGGAAGCAGCGTCTTTTCCACGAATCAATTCCCCAGTGGATCAGACCGTCGTCGCTGCCAATCACCAGAGATCCGTTGTCGTTTACGCGCGAAATGTCCAAGCCGCCGATCTCGAGGCTGCTGTCGAGGAACTTCATGGATTCGTCGTCAAGAACAACGTCTTCTGGTGGGGCGCGAGTCAATCCGCCAGTTTGTGTCTCCTCGTTTGATGTGTCATACCTGAATCTGCGAGGCTGGTTTGCGCGATCGCCCGCTCCAGTACGGGGAAGAGGCCTCTGTCCTATGCGGAAGCCAGGTCCGTTCGAGTTCGGAAGAGACATCATGGCAGCGTCCATGGCATTCACCTCCTCGAGAGACTTCACAATAGGCTGTGTGTATGTACCTGTGTCCTGATCATAGAGTCGTCTTGGCAACAATATAACTTGATGTTTTGTATAATCTCTGGTGTCCACAACGTGCACTCTTCCTTGATGTTCAGAGATAAAGAGCAGGTCTTCTGTTCCTCCGCTAAACTTGCAAACACGGAAGTCTCCGCTGGCGTCCAAACGTGTGGAATGGATCTCGTGCAACGCATGGTCCTGTTTCCGCACATCGTAAATTAGGTTGGCACCGTCCTGGAAGCAAACACTAAACTGCATTCCCGAAGAACTCCAGTCGGTAGATATTCCACACAGATAGCTTGTAGAGACGCTCCGATTGGCTTGCACGTTCGACATATTCTCTTCGGGATGAAGAACATATATCTTGGACGAGTCGCCTACCGCTATAATGCTCTTGTTGTCTGGAGCTATGCTGGAGTGATTTAACGGGATGCCGATATTTATGCTTGAACGGGTAGGAGTCAGACCGTTGTTGGTGATATCCAGGAAATACATGTTTTGGTCGTTGTTGCAAAGAATGGACCTGTACAAGGAATTGGACGTCTTGTACAGAGAAACCGAGTTGTTGATCAGACTTCCAACATTCTGGTTGATGACAGATTCGTTATGTTTGGTATAGAGCCCAAAAAGACCGCGGCAGCAGCCCAAAGTGACACCTTGTGGAGTGGCACTGACAACCCCACTAACGGCGATCACATCATCGAGCTCTTTTAAGGACCGCGGCGATGTTTCGAACTTGGCCACTAATTTGAGGGATTTGGAACTGGAGGGAGAAGAGTCCTTCCTATCCTTCTTGTGCCGTAGATCAAGAGACATCAAATTGCTGGCCGACGGGAAGTAAACAGAGTGCGACGTGGACGACGAACAAACCAGGTCCTTCAACTGCCAATGGCTCATGGTGATATTGACATTATGGTAATCGGATTTGGGAACAAGGAAACTAGGAGTAGTTGGTTGGGCTGTGTACTTCCTGGTTTCCCGACTAGAAGGTTAGTAAACGAGCAAGTGCAAAACCAGTAAACTTACCTTTCTGGCGTAATCAACGTTTCGATAGTCATTATAAATTAACAGGCTAAAGTCTCCATATATTTATATAAATGCGTATGAGTTGCTTATCACCATTACATCACACGCCAGCAGCATTAGTACGCCACTTACGTAATCCGCAATGAGACTTTCATATTTTCCATGCTAAATTTCTGCCACACAAAAAAACAAAACAGCTGGAGTATCAGGAGTTAGTTGTCTTTAACTTAGCAATATAGATGGCGTCAGTAATTTATTTTCTAGACAACAAGGGCCGACCATTGTTGTCACGAGATTACAAGGGCGACATCCCTGCCCAGGCTGTGGAGCGGTTCCCGTTCCTGTTGATCAACAATTCGTCAAACAACGGTAGTTTCGATGACGGCTCCACGCGGCCGGTGTTGTACGACAACGGGATCAACTATATCTATTTGATGCACAAGAATCTTTATGTGTTGGCAATGACTCGCCATGATACCAATGTGTTTAATATAATGTGCTATCTGAACAATCTCATCAAGGTTCTTGAGAGCTATGTGAAATCGCTGGAGGAAGAGTCGATCAGAGACAATTTCTCCATAATATACGAGCTGTTGGACGAGATGATGGATTTTGGAATTCCGCAGATTACAGACACAAAGATTTTGAAAGAATACATCACGCAGGAGTCGTTCACGTTGGAGAAAGTCATTGCCACTGCCACTGGTGCCAAGGGCGGATCATTGTCCCAGACCAGAGCCAAGCAGCCTCCTTCCACGTTGACCAACTCGGTCAACTGGAGATCTCCTGGAATATTCTACAAGAAGAACGAGGCGTATTTGGACGTTGTCGAGTGCATTGATATGCTGATCAACGCCAAGGGCCAGATGCTCAGTTCCGAGATCCATGGAGCCATCAAGTTGAAGTCGTATCTTTCGGGGATGCCCGAGCTTGTTTTGGGACTGAACGATCGGTTTTTGAACGGGGGACTTGCATCTATCCGTGGCGAGACCGGCGAGGCCAACGGCTCGGGAAATGCCAACGGATCCAAGGGGATCGAAGTGGAGGACGTGAAGTTCCACCAATGTGTGCGGTTGTCCAAGTTTGAAGCCGACAAGATGGTTTCCTTCATCCCGCCCGACGGCGAGTTCGACCTGATGAGCTACCGTGTTCATTCCCACACGCTTCGGCCATTGTTCCTGATAGACTACAAAATGAAAAACCATTCAAACACGAGAATAGAGATCATGATCAAAGTGAAAGCAAACTACAAAAGCAAGATCAGCGCGAACCGGTTGGAGATCAGAATTCCCGTTCCCGACGACGTTGACTCACCTAAATTCCACTACAACAAGGGCTCGATCAAGTACATACCGAGCGAGTCTGTGGTGCTCTGGAAGTTCAAGCGCATTGACGGAGGCAAGGAGTACGTTATGATTGCCGAGCTGTTGCTCCCATCTGTGCATGACCTGTCCAACCTGGAGACATTTAAGAAAAAACCAGTCAACCTGAAGTTCGAGATGCAAGGGTTTGTGACCAGTGGGCTGCAAATCCGGTACCTCAAGATCAACGAGCCAAAACTTAATTACCAAAGTTATCCATACGTGCGGTATATCACGCGAAGCGGCGATAATTATAGTGTTCGTGTGAAATAAAATGGAATGGTTATATATATAAGCAGATTTTTTTTTCTTGGGTAAAATAAAGTTTTATTTCATAGTGTGACCCTATCCCACGACATGGATCTAGAAAAACAGGAACAGTCCGCAAAGCTCAAAGATCTGGGCAACCAGGAGCTGAAGAAGAACGATTTTAATGGGGCCATCAAGTTTTATACAGAGGCCATCCAGGTGTATCCGACGGCAATTTTGTACTCCAACAGAGCCCAAGCTCAAATTAAGATAGAAAATTATGGACTTGCGATCGACGACGCGAAAAAGGCGATTGAGCTCGACAAAAACTACCTTAAGGCTTATTACCGTCGTGCAGTGGCGTTTAGTGCAATTTTGGAGTACAAAAAAGCCCTCGCCGACGTGAAAATTGTGCTTTCAAGAGCACCTTCCGATAAACATGCCCAGACTTTGGAGAATAGACTGGTTAAGATCATCAATCAGATAAAATTTGAAAGGGCCATCGCGGTGGCAGACAAGGGCTCGCCGATCTCAACTTTGGATCTGGAATCTTTTGGAATCGAGAAAAGCTACGAAGGTCCCGAACTAGAAATCAAACAAGTTGATAAAAAAATCAGTGTTGTCATGACCCAGGAGTATATCTCCAACATGGTGGCTCTGTTTAAAAAGGGAGCCAACCTGCCTAAAAAACACGCCTTTGCCATTGTGGCGGCGGCCAACGAGGTGTTCAAAGCCCAGCCGTCGCTCGTGGAGATCGGACTCAAGCGCGACTCCACAGCCGATAAAGAGCTGCAACTCGACACCGTGGAAAAGATCACTGTCTGTGGAGACACCCACGGCCAATTCTACGACGTGATGAACCTGTTCAAGCGGTTCGGAAAGGTCGGGCCGTCCCACACCTATCTGTTCAACGGAGATTTTGTCGACAGAGGCTCCTGGTCGTGTGAGGTGGCTCTTTTGCTCTACTGTTTGAAGCTGCTATATCCGCAAAACATGTACATTAACAGAGGAAACCACGAAACAAACGACATGAACAAGGTGTACGGGTTTGAAGACGAATGCAAACACAAGTACAACGAAAAGTTATTCCTCTGTTTCAGCGAATCTTTCAATTCTTTGCCATATGCGTCTTTGATCGGCCAGGAATATTTGGTTATGCATGGTGGGTTGTTTTCGTCGGACGACGTCACGGTGGACGACATCCGCAAGATCAACCGGTTCAGATCGTCACAACCTCCAAAGGAAGGTATTGAGATGGAGCTACTCTGGACAGACCCGCAGTACGACAACGGACGGTCCGCTTCCAAAAGAGGTATTGGTATGCAATTTGGACCTGACGTGACGGCCAAGTTCTGCGAAAACAACAATCTCAAGGCGGTGATCCGGTCCCACGAGGTGCGGATGGGTGGTTACGAGATCGAGCACGACGGCAAGCTGATCACCGTGTTCAGTGCTCCTAATTACTGCGATGCCCAAGGAAACCTGGGTGCGGTCATCGACCTGACTCTGGACAACGGTGAGTACAAGTACGACTGCAGAACGTTCACCCACGTTGAACATCCAAACATTCCTCCGATGAACTACACCAAGAACAACCTTGGGTTTTGAGTGTGTATGATCCGTCAATCACATTTCTAGAACGATCTAGAAATAATCTTTATCAAGACCAGTTTGATCTCGAAAAGGTTGTAGAGGGAGACAATCTGGGTGATGGCACTAATCTCCCTACAATATATACCTTTTCTTTAATGAGTGAAGAAAAAAAAAATTGAAAATTCTCCGGTATTTATACTAACCATGACAACACTCAACATATTAATTTATGCTTTGTGTTTGTTTAGCGCCCAGATAACCGCCCAGCGGATTATCGGGAAGTTCGAGCTGCCCCAAGCCGGTCTTGCGGACCCTGCTCGTGCGTTTGTGCGTGTTTCCAACGCCACATGGACTGGCCACTACCACCTGAATCGCCACGGCGAGTTCTCCCTTACTGGTTTGTCTGTCGGGGAATACGACCTGGCACTCAATTCGCTTGATTTTGCACTCGCATCCACAAATTTCTACACCTTGGCGGTCCACGACGACGGATACGACGTGTACCAAAATGTTCCTGGCATATTAGCCAGTAACACTCCTGTGCCACTTGCATCCAAACTCAATTTCAGTGCTGAAAACGTTCGTGTGAAACGGTTTGCGGACCCTGACCAAACCTCTGGAATCCTCGAGATGATCCCCTTCTGGGGAGTGCTGAAACAGTACCCCATGCTGGGAGTCGTGATGGGGGTGATGGTGGTGATTGCATTGATGCCGACGATTGTTGGGTTCATCGACCCGGAATTCAGTGAAAGAGTGCTACAGGCGCAGCAACAGGTCGCCGACAACCGCAAACCTGCTCCCCCCAAACAATAAGTAAGCCACCGTCCGGGCTTACACTCGGGCCTTGCTTTTTACCTAATGCCTTCGCCACCTGCGCCACACAGATCGAAAAATAAACAGTAATTAGCTTTATTTATAAATATAAGCGTGATTGAGAATCAGACTTTGAAAAAGTACGCATTTCCCCTGGTTCCTGTTTCCTGCATAATGTATTTGGTATCGCTCGTAAAGGAGCTTTCACAGAGCCATTTGGTGGACTTCAAGGTGGTATCGCTCTGTTTTTGCTGGTACGCCATTTCCAGCTTGACCTCGCAACTCACCAAGCAAATCCTGGAGCAGTTTGACTTCCCTGTGTTTGTTGGCGAGTTCCAGTTTCTGTGCAGTCTTGTGCTCGGCTATACAGCCATAGTTCTCAGCGACCGGTTCCCCATTTTGCGCGAACAGCTCCCGGGAAGCTCGGTAGCAACCACCCGTTTTGTGTTCAATCGACGCCTGCTGAAACTCTATTTCCCCATGGGCACGTTCCAATTTATTGCCAAGCTGTTCAGCCTGGCAGCCACCGCCATCTGTCCCATCGCCACCGTGGCGTCCATCCGTGCTCTGGGACCGCTTTTCATCGTGTTCAGCTACCGCTTGTACTATAAAGTGCGCTTCCCTTCCACAACCTACCTGTCCCTGGTACCGCTGCTCGTTGGCGTGGTGATCATCGTTGTTTCCCAGTCGGGAGATAAGGAAACAACGAGACGCACTATCTCTGACCCGCAGCTCAGCAGCCAGGGCCAACGCGAACAGGATCTTGTGCGAAGAATGCTATCAGAAAACTCGGACTACCTCAAGGGAATTGCCTACTCGTTCACAGCCACTATCATCTTTGCCGGCCAGTCCATCTACGCCAAAAACGTTGTCACTAACGCGCCAATAAAAGATCCGGGGTCCCTTGCTCTGAGCAAAGAGTACTCGCACCATGATATAGAAAAATACCCATCGTCTCCTCCGCCAACAACAGATTCCAAAAAACCAACTGACTACGACCTGCTGCTCGATAAACCCGACAAGCTCACCACACTGATATACTGCGCAACCTACGGAATGATGTACTCGATCCCGGCATTCATGACGTACGAGTTTAAAGAGCTGTTCTTTGGCTTCACCATCGTCTCTGAAACCGTGGCCGAGCCCAACCTGCACCTGGTCCCCTGGACTTTGCTGGTGCTCAACGGGATCAGTCATTTCAGCCAGTCGCTCATTGCGTTCCATATTCTTGCAATTCTGCCCACAGTGACCTACTCCATCGCAGCCATGATGAAACGGATAGTCATCATCACCATCAGCATGATAATGATCCGCAAGTCGCTCTCGTTCCTGGAGGTTCTGGGCCTGCTCCATGTGGCAGTCGGCCTGTATTGCTACGACCGGTGGGGTTCCAAACGTTAAGTTATTCGTGTATGTATGTTTTATTTATTAGCACCATATCATCAGCTTCTTTTCCCCTCCCGCAGCCAGCTCGCCGCGTCCAACGAAACCGCCCTCCCCGTTCAGCTCCACGTTCAGCTTCAGACTCAAACACGCAACGTTAAAGTCGCCAAACATGCTGAAGTCGCGCAGTTTCTCAATGCTCCACACATTGTCCAGCTTGAGCTCGTACAGAACAATCTTGCTGTGAAATCCAACAGCCAGAATCGAGTGGTGGCTCCACGAGTAGTGTGAGATTGTCGGACAGTGGTTCAGGTTGGACTCGGCAAACGTGATGGCCGTGCACTCGTCTTTCAGAATATGGTCGATGATAGACATCCCGTTGATGGTGTACAGATGTAGCACGTTGTTCGTATCCACAACAGCCACCGTTCCTGTTTCGTTGGACATGGCAACCAGTTTCGAGTCAGTTGCCACGTCTCGCATCAGTCGGTTCTGGAGGGTGTCCCAAAGTTTCACCTCGCCGTCCAGACTTAGCGACAGGATCGTGGAATAGAAAGTGTTTACCTCGATCTTTTGGATCCGAGCTCTGTGTCCACGCAGAACAGCCTGCGGCTCCAAATCCTTTGAGTTGGTCAAGGGAGTGCCCGTTGGCTGGCGGACGTTGACGCGCTGTGCGTTCTTCAAGCCAGACAGCTTATTCGACGTCAAACGGAACACCTGGAGAGCTCCGTTTTCAAACCCAACCACAAACTGGTCCGACGTGAGAACCTCGAGCGATGTGATCTTGCACACGTTAAGATTCTCAAAAATAAGACCGTTCACGCATATATCGTTGCGGCCGGAAATTTGGATGTCCAGCTGCCTTGCGCTTCTGTGCATCCAGTCTCGTCCCTCCCATTGTTTCTTGGCAAAGTTGAACTCGATCTTGCTTACAGTCTCAGAGGATTCCACGATCGACAATGGCAGCTCAAACAATTTCTGGTAGTCAAAATGAAGCCGCAATAAGTTGATCTTCCTTGGATGGGGCTTGTGGAATAGCTGGACAGGGGTCTGCCCAAAATTGTGGATTGTGCTCACAATGACGTTTCTGTCATGCTCGTCTTTGATCTTGTCGAGATCCGTGGATCCTTGGTAACTCAAATGATGGAAAACGTTCTGCGACTCAACAGCGTACTTACCTCTCTGTTTGTACCCAAACACCAGGTCGATCCATTCGTGCAAGTGTTCGGAAACATAGTCACTCTCTAGAGCCTGCCTCATTTTTTCAACAAATATCACCGGGTCATTCTTAGCCCACGGCGGAAGAGCAACGTCTTCCACCTTGGTTCCGTCTTGCAAGTGTCCAAACTCGAAATTATTGCTATTCACCAAGAAGTCGGGCAGATAGTAGAACTCTGGGATCAGTTCTCGCACGTCTGTGGTGTTGTCTCTTGAAGCACTGTTCCATGCTTTGAGAATCGAATGGAACGATCTGTCGGCGTAGTCAAACTTGCCTCCTTGAAGGAGCAGATATGACTTCACAAACGGCCGCAGTCGGATCAAGTACGAAGCAACAATCATTGCAGAAGAGTAATGGGTTCCATAGTGGAATGGTGGTGTATCTGGTGACATATCAATTGAGGCTTCGTATCTTTCCTTGAATTGGGCTGCTCGCTTCTCGCTCTGCGCTCCCATTGGTTTTTGGAGGTCTCTAAACGTGGACGGATTGCTCAAATCCAGTTCCTCGCTCTCGTAGTCTGCAATCACAAACGGAAAAACGGGATACTGAGTCAAATCGTTGAACGTTCTTCCAGCCATCGTGTTGACCAGAATGAGATAGTAAAAGTTGGATATTTCTCCTTTCTGCCACTTTTTCGTTATCTGGTTCAACGCAGAAGAGGAGCCGGTAGAACCCAGCACACTAAACAGTTTAGCTCCAAACGGAGTACCAGACGAGGAGGCCAGACGAAGCGAGTCCTCTAACAATGTGTCTGAGAATCTGGCAGATACGCGGCTCGACAGAATATTGTACAGCCAGTCGCGAACATTTCTGGAAATGCAGGTAACAAGGAAACTGCTACCATCAATGAAAAACAACTCTAAAGCCACGTCTCGAAGCAGAAAGTTCCTCTTGCTGATCGACGCAAACTTAGCCAGCTCCCATGACTCTGTCTGATGCTCAAATGTGACGTTTTCGGGTCCTGTTTCGGTGATATGCTGAATAAACGAATCGCGTTCTTTCTTCGGGGCGTCTTTTGGATCAACAATCTTTCCATCAGAGGTGAGGAAATAGTTACCAACCAGGTAGATATGGGTTTGTCCAACAATAAATATAGACTCCAACGTCTCCAGACCGTGGATTTGTGTCACATTCACCATTTCCACAATCTTGTCACCAATGTACAAACTTCTGAGGATTTTTCTGTTTTTGTCTTCATGGGACACGTCAAAGTCAAGCTGTTCCGCTAACAATTCGTAGCCATCGTCGATTTCGCTTGAACCAGACTCAGAGTCATCCTGGATAGGTATTTCGACATCAGATGGGTCAATTCGCGGTACTATCCGCTTTCTCATTCTGTTTGGGCCTTCGGTGGAATCAAGCGTGTCACATAGTTTGTATTTTTCAACTGGGAGCTGCGACTTTATAATGTTGAACATGTTGATGAAATAGTTAAGATCATCTTTATCGTCCTGGATGTGTCGATGGAACTTTTTGGCCTCGGATTGCTCAATCGCTTTCTTCAAAACTTGCACCTCCTTGTTGTAAATTTTGTCCACCTTTTCGGTAACTTCGAAATGATACTCGTCAAGCAAATCAGCAATGAGTTCCTGCTTCCGAGGTTTAAGTTCCGGTTTCTGAAAGCCCCTACCCTTGGCATCGAACTTTTTGTCGATGATCGAGCGCAAAATCGAGTCCTTGGTCCACAGCAGTCTGACATCCTCATCGTTCATCGATGGTAGCTGTGTGAATAGGTGAGAAAGAATAATCGTCTCCTCGCCTTCCGCTGTCAACGATGCCACCAGCGGTTTAATATCTGGCTGGTTGATCAAATAAATTCGTATGCAATTGATGGCAAGACTGGACAGGCCCTGATCGACTATTCCTATGCACTCAAGAAGCGAGCAAAAAATAATAATGTCCCCATCATCCATTGTAGTTGTAACAAACAAGCTCCGGTCAACCATGAATCCAGAGCAGCATGCTTTGATTTCATCAGGGACGTGTTCGGGATCATCTTTATAGGATTGTATTGCATGGTAGAACACTTGGATGAACACTTCACGGAAGTCTTTGCGGATTGACTTGAACTTGGCTGCATCAGCAGAAGCAAACGCAAGACTGAGTGTTTCGATTACCTGTGTGTATTCATGTGGATCAAATGAGTAAGCTCTTTTGCTGGTGAGATACCGGGTCAATAGCTTAGCATAAGCTGGATTTGCAAGACCACCAATGGAGTTGGATTTGAGAAGTTCAGGAACAACAATGCAGCCAAACATGAGTGGGAATTTCTGGTAGGCGGAATCAATAGAAACAGGCTCCGACTTGGTTTGGGCCGTGCTCAACTTTTCTGCAAACAGTTTTCCCAGGAGTGCAGTGTAAAGCACAGCAACTTTGCTGGACTCATTTTGCAATCTCAATACGAGCAACAGAAAGCTCCGAATCCACCTGAGATCATTTAAAATCGAGTATCTGAACGACTTGTAAGAGCTGGACAAATGGTCAAGGGTTTTGATATATGATAATAACAATTCTTGCGAGCTGGATTCTAAAGCGATGTTATTTGCAATCACAAGAAATTCACTTATGATGATCGGCTCGTGATGATGAGCAGCTGTTTTGCAAACCGATATTTGAACCAGAGTGTCAAGTAATTCATGACTGGAGCTCCATTTGTTCAGTAGCCTGGATATCAGCGCTAAGCCAGTCGTGTCAGAAAGAGATTTGTATGTCTTTTCCGAATGTTGCATTATTCTCCGCAATAGTTTCAATGCAATCTGCACAACCTTGATGTCGGAATCGTCCAAAATCAAAAGCACCCATTTTGTGGATACGGTCTTCATGAATATCTTGTACATGTGCGAGTCGGAGTTCAAGGACGAGTCCTGGATGATGGACATGACAATTTCGAGCAAAGTCAGGCCGCATTTCCGTTGTAATCCTGAATCGTCTTCTACCTCAAGAGCATAAATGACATATAACGACAACGACTTGATTGCTTCAGGCGATGGATTAGTTTGGAGAAGAATGGACATTGAATCGTGAACTAACGGTAGCAAATCTTCCTCAAACAGTCCGTATTTCAATGCCTGGATGAACCTTTTCACTATTCTCATTTCTGCAAGCTGCTTAAGGTTGTAACTATGGTAGCGACTATCTTGTCCAAAAACTGAGAACTGGAAAAGCAGAAACTTGAACGCGTCTTTCATTTGGCCTCCTGAGGTTTTGTCTCTCGAATCTGGTTTCCATATGTCAAAGTCCGCAATTAGGATTCTGTAAGCAAGACCATTGGCAAGAATGGAGTCCACTGGAGCCTTTTCATTATATCCAACAAACTTGAGAATTGTGTCAAGCACTTTCAGATCGAGGATATGTTTTTTTGTCTTTAAGATGGTAGCAAGGATATTATAGCCAGCATTCATTTCAAACTCCTGGTTCGAAACTGGGTCATTGGACAGCAATAAGAAAAGAAACTCTAGCGATTCCACCAAAACCGAGAGCGACGAAGCGGCCTCAATCAGTCGCAATCCGACAGCAAACCCGCCAACCGAATACACCGAGCTGAGGATCAAGTTTGGGTTCCATAAAATGATTCCATCCAGCTCATCAGAAGAGTTTGCATTGAGATCCACCACAATGGCCTTTTGAATAAGTTTTGGTGTCTGCAAGTTGTCGAGGTCGGATTCTTCAAGTTTCAATTTCATAATCACTTTGGCTTTTTCGGACAAGTGACGTTGCAAGTTTCTATTTTGGTAGGTGCCTGTATACTGAGGCCCAAGATAGTACGATAGCAATACCCAATCGTACCTCAATGGTTCTCTAACAAGCAGAAAATTGATCAGTTCAAAGTAGATCCCACTTGTTCCGTTAATCTCCAGCTTGGATGCACGTTTGGAAGCAGGAAGCTGGATATTAATAGACTGTATGAACTCTGCGTTGACAAACAGATCGATGTACGATCGTCTCCGTTCTTGTTTGTGGATCAAAACAACATGGTATTTTGTCCCTGGATTGAAAGTAAAAGCTTCAAACGTTGCAATGTCGGTGTAAGTGTTGACAGAAAGCTTACTATTTTCCAAAGAGTAACTCAACAGCTGTTCGTGGTTGCCAAGATAGAAGACTGAAGATGGAGTTGGCAACTGATGCGTATGCGTATATTGGAACCAGAATTGGATGGTGAAGTTGGCCACTGGAAAGTCCGCTTGTGTAGAGTATTTGGAGTCGGCTTGGAATATGTAGGATTTCGAGGTGTTGATGTTTTGCAGGAATAGTTTCGGCAGGGAGATCAATGAGTCTGGAGACTGAATACTGGTTTTATAAATATCGTTGATTTGCTGGAAATTGAGTCCGAATTCGGCGATGGAGTCAAATAGATCAAGAACCAGAGCGCAGTTCTTGTTGACTGGGTTAGAACAGTAATCTATCAATAGACCACACAATGTGCTGGAATATATGCGAATCTTGTTTATCGGTGATGCGTTGATAAGATGGATTAGAAACTCAAGTATCAGTGGTGATTCTGTGGAGTCTGGAGAGTCCAAGACTGATTTCACCACTTGTTCAAGCTTGCCAGAACATTTCTCTTTAAACAACGGGATTTGTTCCAACGAGTCCAAAACTTCCACCAAGTCCTCAGGCACGGTGGTCAAAACAGACTGGATGCCATACTCTCCGTCAATACACGCGGTCAACCGCTCACTTAACGTAGACATGGCTTAGACATTGGTACTAGGGAAATATTTATTAGTGTATTGAGCCGCGCACATATTCTCCACCATCCGAAAATTTAACGTTCGAAAAGATTTGTTTGTTGGAAATTAAACATGAGCGCCGATCTGGAGGACTCGGGTCCACCATCTCCAGGACAAGCGTCTAATGAAGTAGTTTCAAATCTGTCAGAACGGCGGGAGGAGTACCAGAAGCTTTCTGAGCAGGCTTACTTCGATCTTAGAGAAAAGAGCAAGTATTATGGCGTGCCTAATTCCTGGCTCAATACTTTCTTGAAAGGAACCGAAGAAGAAGCCGAGGCTCTGGGACCGATCGACACTGAAAGCATACTGGACCACACCAGCTTGTGTATCGATCCATCAAGTAACCCAGAGTTTGTGACCGAACAAATCTTCAAGAAACTTGTGGAATGGTATGGGATTGAGGGTCCTGTTGTGGAGAGACAACTTTTTATGGACAAACGAGACGGCCAGCTCAAACTTGAAACGTATCCGTTATACATCGTGCCTCATCTGCTTTGCAACAACATTGATCAAATTAATAAGTATAGGCATGCTGGTGGCAAGCCGTTTTTAATATCTGCGCTAAGTACCGCCAGAGATCTCAAGATGGCCATCAGAAAGCAGTTCGACATCACCAGAGGAACTACAAGAATATGGAAAATCACGCCAAATGTGCCTCTGCCTCCCATTCTCAACGCTAATGCCCTGTCCAATATCTCAGCCAAAACTCTAATACCTGCAGGTAAAAAACTAGGATCGGTTCAATTAGAAGATCTGAACATCAAACACCCGGACATATTGATTGAGTTCCAGCAGGAAGATGGCACGTACACAATGGACTCGTCTTCCACCATATCGCTCGGATCTGGGCTCACAGGACTAAATAACTTGGGAAATACTTGCTACATGAACTCTGCACTTCAATGTTTGGTCCACGTTCCTGAGCTGTCCAACTATTTCCTGTACGATTTTCACGAGAAGGAGATCAATAGAACAAACCCGTTGGGCAATGACGGTAAAGTTGCCACAGCTTACGCTGGTCTGGTGAAACATCTATTTGACAGACGGTTTTCTGGATCGTCCAGCTCCTTCGCTCCAAGAGATTTTAAGTACACCATCGGATATTACAACTCAATGTTTGCAGACTATCGTCAACAGGATTCGCAAGAATTCATTGCGTTCCTGTTGGATGGGCTTCACGAGGATTTGAATAGGATTCTCAAGAAACCATACATTGAGAAGCCCGAACTGCCTGATGACAAGGTGAACGATCAGGCAGAAGTTCGCATGTTGGCCGAAAAGTGCTGGGAGATTCACAAAATGCGGAATAACTCGGTGGTTATTGATCTGTTTGTTGGACAGTACAAGTCCACTCTTGTTTGCCCAGACTGTGGAAAAGTGAGCATCACATTTGACCCTTATAATGACCTGACGTTGCCATTGCCTGTTCACAAAAAATGGACTGGAAAAGTGAGTGTGCTTCTGGAAGAAGGCCGTCCACGTTCTCTTCAAGTTGAACTCACCAAGTCTTCCACTTTTGCAGATCTCAAGGCCTACGTTGCTGAGAAACTGGAAGTTCCAATTAATGAATTAATAGCGGTCGAGGTTTTCCAATCTCAAGTTTACAAAAACTTCGAGGCTAAGGATTCAGATATCAGATTTTTGCCTATTTCGGACCTCATCGGACCAAACTATGATGTTTGGTTCCACCAGATCAAGCACAAACCCGGAGATCTTGTTGTTCCCGTGTATAGCAGTCTTGCGGACACCAGAACTTCCAGAGCGTTTGGTATTCCATTTTTTGTCACAGTGTCAGAAGAGGAGTGCTATTCGTTTGACACGATCAAGGAGAAGTTAGAAAAACGGTATGAGCAGCTGTCGACATATACTTTTGCACAGAACAAGAGTAGGCCAAAGGTCGACAGTGAGACAGAAACAGAAACAGATGCTGCAAAGGAGATGAAATCTGAATCCGACACTGTCGATGAGGATGAGTTCAGAATCAAGGTGTTTGACACTTCTGACGAAATCAAGATTTCTCACCGGTATGCGGGGGGAATGTATGGATATTCCAAGTATGCGTCCGACGAAGAGGAGGACGATTGTCTCTGGATTCCACGCACCCACAATAATTTCAAAGGACTGCCTGATTTGTTACCAGACTCGAAGCCAAAGGCGATGGAGCTTGCTCTTCCAGGAAAGAATGGTGAAAGCGAAGCCAATTCTGAAGCTGGCCCTGAGAATGGAGACGGAGAGATTGTTGAAGATGTTCCCCCATTGGCTTCTTTACTTGACGATGCAAGCGGAGATATGCAAGTGGATGCTGAAGAAGAGATCGATGACATAGTTAAACCGCTTCTAGTTGAGAAGAACGCCCTGGTTTGTGAATGGAATCCGCAATCGTTTGATATCTTTTTTACTGGAATCGAACAGGACGACATGGGAGGTAAGGAGACATGGTCCAAGCCTGAACCCATTCGGAATTTGGAAATTGAGGAAACTAGAAGACAAATGGCACAGACCAGAAAGAAGAACATCAGTCTGGATAGCTGTTTGGAGTTGTTCTCGAAATCTGAGATTTTGGGAGAGAACGATCTGTGGTACTGTCCGAACTGCAAGAAGCACCGACAAGCTACCAAGAAAATTGAGATCTGGTCTGTTCCTGACATTCTGACAATCCACTTGAAACGGTTTGAGAACACAAAGAGTTTCAGCGACAAGATCGATGCATTGGTGGAATTCCCTATTGAAGGACTTGATTTGACGAAGCACGTTGTGGGAGCCAATGGCGAAGACCTGATCTACGACCTGTTTGCAGTGGACAACCATTTCGGAGGTCTTGGAGGTGGACATTACACAGCGTACGCAAAGAACTTTGTTGACGGCAAGTGGTACTACTTTGACGATTCGAGGGTTTCTCCAGCAGACCCTGCTGGTGCTGTTCGTGGGTCGGCGTATTTATTATTTTACAGACGCAGGAGCAGCAAGACGTTGGGAGGCGAGTACTTTGAGCGGCTGATGCAGAGCATTGAGCAGGAGAACGCCAAGAAACAGAAGATCAGCCAGGAGCTGGACAAGATGGACGGGTCTGACGCAGAGAACATCGACGAGTCGCCAGATCCCGGTATCGAGTCAGCCACCATGAAGGAGAATGGAGCTACGAGTTTGACCACCGTGACCACAGACACGGCGTCGGAGGACGCAGACACGAACGGCGAGCTCAAGAGCGATAGAGGAGACGAGTGCGAGCTATTCACCACAGACAACTTGATCAAGCGTCGCAAGAAGATGCTGGGCAGCGGGCTGGCGGAGTCGTCGATTGGATCACCTATGAGCGACAACGACGACAACCTGTCCACGTACAGCGGGACGGCCATGGCGCCTGTCAATATTAATGACGAATTGTATGACGAGTATATTTAGTTGAATGATATTTCTCTAGTGTTAAATTTTTTTTACCACTATTTTTTATTGCAGATGTCAGAGACGGCAACTATCAAGCCCAATAAGTTCCCGCCTGAGGTTCTGGCGCGTATTGCGCCGGACGTGTTGTTGCAGAAGTATTTGCAAGTCGGTGTGCGGCCGTCTTTGCGCAAGTTCGACGAGTTCAGACCGGTTCAGATAAGCCGTGCTGGTGTGGGAAGGTACGAATCTGACGGAAACGGCGACATAAACAAGGTTGGCAGCATTCTGGGATCGTCGATTGTAAAATCAGGCTCTACCACGGTGATCTGTTTGATCAGCGGTGGGATAGTCGAAGATAGTTTGGAGTTGGTGAATGATTATAGAACAAAGCTTGAAAAAGACATAATAGACGGAGAAACATACACCGAGTCGAAGAACACAAGCGTTTACACGGAGGTTGAGATTTCTCGTGGACGAAGTGGGCCACCTAATGAGGAGGAAATTTGTTTGTCACAGCAATTGTACGATACCGTCTACCATTCGGGCTTGATTGATAGAGAAGCACTCAAGATTAAGCTGGGATATAAAGGCGACCAGCCATTGGATTCGGATTTCATGCCGCAGAACAGCTACTCGTTCGTGCTCTATGCGACGATCCAGGTGTTTTCAAGAACTGGCCCCGTGTACGACCTGTGCTATGGTGCTCTGGTGTCTGCTCTGCGTGGCACCCGTCTTCCTGCCGTTTACATTGACGAGAAAAGAACCGAGGTTGGTGTCCGGCGGGTGCGCACCGAGGAATACGACCTGATCTGCGAGACCGAGAAAAGCTCTCCGTTGCAACTGAACCAGGACAAGCTTGGTTGGGGGTCTACTTTTGGGCTGGTGCAACTCGACAAAGATATTCCACGTGACCAGGACAAGATGGAAATAGATACCGACGACCGAATTTTGCTTGCCGACCTGGAAGGTGAGGCCGAGGAAGAGATCGGTACGCGGCTGGAAGTCGGTAGCAACGGCAAGTCGCTCAACAGATTGACAATCTACAATGTGGGGAAGATCAGCAAGCAAGACTTGCAACAAGCAATTGCATTAGGTAGTCGTCGTGCGCAAGACGTGCTAAATCACTAGTGTATGACTGTGTATTGAATATACAAGGAAATGTACATTTAGATCTTCTTCTTGGACGATCTGAGGTTCCGTTGTCTAGGAACAGCCAATGGGGAACCTGTGTTGGAGTCGTAGTTGGACTGGAGAGTTTTTCTGTCCAAGTAAACGTATTCGTTGACCTTGGCAGCAACACCACCTCTAACTCTTTGGACAACCTTGGACTTCTTGGAGCTCTTCTTGTAGACCTCGATGTAGAAAGCAATGAACAGAACCAGGTAGGACGAGATAATTGCACATCCGCTGAAAGTTGCCAGTGGTGTTCCTGCGCAGTCTCCACAGTGGGGCAGGGAAGGATAGAAGTTGTGGACGACTTTCTGGTAGGTGGCGAAATAAATAAACGAGAGATCAAGGATGAATTGCAGAATCTGGAATCTGGTGACCCATTCTTTCCACCAGACGCGGATTCCTCTGGCTGCCAGGAAGTAGTACCAGTACATGACCACGTGAACAAACAGGTTCAAGGTGATGGGAACCCACGAGATGGAGGTCAGACCGATAAGCTGTGTGTAGCACAGCAAAGCGGTGGCACCGTGGTGGTAAGTGTGGAGGAAGGTGAGTTTTTTCTGTTTCACCACCAAGAACAACGTGTCGATGAACTCGGTGAACTTTGTAAGGTAGTTCAAGTAGTAGAGTACGACCATTTGCTGGGTCCATGCACCGTGATCACAGATGGCGTAGTAGAGGCCGTGGGTGTGGATCATAGGGATGAGTTGCTCGGTCATCAAAACAACAAGAGTCAACGACAACGTGGTCAAGAACAGGTTGTGGATCTGGAACAGTCCGTTCAGAACAAGAGGTTTCCACTTGTTGGCCTTGATCACGGCGGATCCACCCAAAATCACAATGTAGTACACGGCAATCGCGCTAAACACAGGGATCGGAGTGGAGAAAAAGGTCTGGCCCGCCTCGAAGTGGAACTGGCTTGGAACAAACCGGCCACCGGTCAGCTGGGCGACAAACACGTCAAAGTATCCAAACAAGTACACGCCGAATGGACGCTCAAAACTGGGCACGGGAAGCGAAGCGAGTGACATGAGAACAAATAAAATGTGTTGGATCAAGAATCAGATATTCTACTCCATGCAAAGAAACCCGGTTTGTTTATTATTTTTCTGTTTTGACCGCAACAAATGGGAAAAACTAAAATTTAGCTGACACTAAAATATCCACGTGATGGATCATCACATGGAAACGGCTGGCTCGTTTAAGAAAAAACAGGGAAAGCGATGAGAAACAACGTTCGCGAAATTACTACAGCCTTGTTATTGTTTCGTTTGTAGTTACGATTTATCCCCAGTCGTACCTCGTACAAGCCGCTTTTCGGAATGAAAAAGCTTCGGAAGCAACTAAAAAATTTAGATCCGAGCCGAAAGTTCGCTCCTCGTTATGTTTAGGCCGTGAGGTCTGAGCCTCTGCCTCTGCATTCGGAACCTTGAAGATCACCGGATCGACATACAGTAAGCATAGAAGGAAAGTACGGGATACTATTCCAATTCCGAAATCATCTGTCTCTTACTAATTAGGCCTTCTGGCCGCAGCCATTATATTTAGTAGTTCCGGAATTGACAAACTATATATATAGTTGGGTAATCCTGCCCCGAACTTAATTACCAAACTCAATCATGTCGAAAGATACTATAACTGTTCCTGCAGACATTGATGACCACGACGCTCAGAGGTACGACGGGTACACCGACGCCGCTGAGAGTGAGGTCAGAAATCTGGCAAGACAACTTACAACTCAAAGCCAGTCCTCTCTGCATGAACATAAATCCACCAGTGACGATCTGATAAGAACCTTGACTTCGATGTCCCAGGTTCCTGGCCAGGATCCAACCACTCACTCTGACGCTCGTTTGGACCCATTCTCGGAGGAATTCGACTCCAAGTTCTGGGTTAAGAACATGCGCAAATTAATGCATTCGGACCCTGACTATTACAAACCAACTTCTTTAGGTATCACGTATAAGGATCTTTGTGTTAAGGGTATTGCTTCTGACTCGGATTTCCAGCCTACAGTGTTCAACATCCCATTGAAGCTTGCAAGAGACTACTACTATGATTACTTCAAGAAAAACGACCAATCCCGGTACTTTGATATTTTGAAGCCAATGGACGCTTTGATGAAACCAGGTACTGTGACCGTTGTTTTGGGAAGACCTGGTGCCGGATGTTCTACATTGCTTAAGACCATCTCCTCCCACACTTGGGGTTTGGAGGTTGACAAGAGCTCCCTGATCTCGTACGACGGATTGTCCGTTGACGATATCAAGAAGCATTATCGAGGTGAGGTTGTCTACTCTGCCGAGTCCGATATCCATTTCCCTCATTTGACCGTTGGTGAGACTCTTACTTTCGCCGCACAAATGAGAACTCCGCAAAACAGAGCTCCAGGCGTTACCAGAGAAGAGTACGCCAAGCACATGGCCCAGGTTTACATGGCTACTTACGGTTTGAGCCACACTTACAACACCAAGGTCGGTAACGAGTTCATTAGAGGTGTGTCCGGTGGTGAGAGAAAGAGAGTTTCGATCGCTGAGGTCACTCTTTGTGGTGCTAACTTGCAATGTTGGGATAATGCCACCAGAGGTCTCGATTCTGCCACTGCATTGGAGTTCATCAGAGCCTTAAAGACCTCTGCTGTTCTCTTGGATACCACTTCATTAATCGCTATTTACCAATGTTCGCAAAGTGCCTACGACCTGTTTGACTACGTTGTCGTCTTGTACGAAGGATACCAAATTTACTACGGTCCCGGTACTGAGGCAAAGGCTTTCTTCGAAAAGATGGGTTACGAATGCCCTCCAAGACAGACCACTGCTGATTTCCTCACCTCGATCACTTCCCCTGCTGAGAGAGTGGCTAAGAAGGGCTGGGAAAACAAGGTTCCAAAGACCCCTAAGGAGTTCAGTGACTACTGGAGAGCTTCTCCAGAGCGTGCTCAATTGGTGCAAGAGATTGACTCCTACAACAAGGCTGCTGAGTCCAACAACTTGAGTCAGGAGTACAGAGAGGCACACGTTGCCAAACAGGCCAATCACACCAGACCGGCCTCGCCATACACCCTTTCTTACTGGATGCAGGTCAAGGCAATTATGAGAAGACACGTTTGGAGAATCAAAGGTGACCCTTCGATTACGTTATTCCGTGTGATTGCGAACTCCATCATGGGTTTGCTTCTATCGTCCTTATTCTTTAATGTGAGTCATACAACAGGTTCGTTCTACACAAGAACAGCAGCCATGTTCTATGCTGTGGTTTTCAATGGTTTCTCTTCCATGCTTGAAATTCTTGCTTTATTCGAGTCCAGAGAAATCGTCGAGAAACACAAGAAATACGCGTTATATCATCCATCGGCTGATGCATTTGCATCCACAATTGTCGATCTTCCAATTAAGATGACTGTGGCCATCGGTTTCAACTTGGCATTTTACTTCATGATCCACTTCAAGCGGACTCCTGCGGCATTCTTCTACTATTTATTGATGAACTTCATGACCACGCTTGTTATGTCGGGTGTTTTCAGATCCATTGGTTCTTTCTACAGAACTTTGTCTGAAAGTATGACCCCTTCCGCATTGCTGCTTATGGCCATCATTATCTACACTGGTTTCGTTTTGCCAACTCCTTCGATGCATGGCTGGTCCAGATGGATCAATTACATTGACCCAGTTGCTTACGGTTTCGAGTCCCTTATTGCTAATGAGTTCCATGCTGAAGATTACGATTGTTCTGCATTTGTTCCAGCTTACCCTGATGTTGGTCTTGCCAACAAGGTTTGTTCAGTTGTTAGTGCTCAGGCAGGTGACAGCAAAGTTAACGGTGACAGATACATCTACGAGTCGTTCCGTTACAAGTGGAGCCACAGATGGAGAAACTTTGGTATCATGATGGGATTCTGTGTGTTTTTGACTTCCTTTTACTTGGTTCTTGTTGAGAACTCTAAGGGTGCCATGCAAAAGGGTGAAGTCTTGGTGTTCCAGAAATCCACTCTTAACAAGTTGAAGAAACAAAAGCAACTGGCCTCTGTTTCTCAAGACGTGGAGATGGGCTCCGACAGCGAGAAGCCTGCCGGTCTGCAAGAGGACTCCTCTTCTTCTGACGGTGTTGCTCAATTGATCGCCGGTAAGGACATTTTCCACTGGAGAGACGTTTGCTACGAGGTGAAAATCAAGTCTGAAACCAGAAGAATTTTGGATCACGTTGACGGTTGGGTCAAGCCTGGTACTTTGACTGCCCTTATGGGTGCCTCTGGTGCTGGTAAGACTACATTGTTGGATGTGCTTGCTAACCGTGTGACCATGGGTGTTGTTTCCGGATCTATGTTTGTTAACGGTAGATTGAGAGACAGTTCTTTCCAAAGAAACACCGGTTATGTTCAGCAACAGGATTTGCACCTCAGAACTTCCACTGTTAGAGAGGCTCTGAGATTCTCTGCATACTTGAGACAAGGTAAGGACGTTCCAAAATCCGAGAAGGACGAGTACGTTGAGAACGTTATCAACATCTTGGAGATGCAAAAGTATGCTGACGCCATTGTTGGTGTTGCTGGTGAAGGATTGAACGTTGAACAACGTAAGAGATTGACCATTGGTGTTGAGTTGGCAGCCAAGCCACAACTATTGTTGTTCTTGGATGAGCCAACTTCCGGTTTGGACTCCCAAACCGCTTGGTCTATTTGTCAATTGATGAGAAAGCTTGCCAACAACGGACAAGCTATTCTCTGTACCATCCACCAGCCTTCTGCTATTTTGTTGAAGGAGTTCGACAGATTGTTATTCCTTGCCAAGGGTGGTAGAACCGTTTATTTCGGTGACCTGGGAGACAACTGTCAGACCTTGATCGACTACTTTGAGAAGTACGGCTCGCCAAAATGTCCTCCAGAGGCCAACCCTGCCGAATGGATGTTGGAAGTCATTGGAGCTGCTCCTGGTTCCCACGCTTTGCAAGACTACCACGAGGTCTGGCTCAAATCCACTGAGAGAAAGGTTATCCGTGATGAGCTCAAGAGAATGGAATCCGAGCTCGCCAAGTTGCCAGTTTCTACTGTTCCTCACGCTCAGGATGAGTTTGCTAGTAGTTTCTTGACTCAGTACCTTTTGGTTACTCGCAGAGTCTTGGAACAATACTGGAGAACTCCTACCTATGTCTGGAACAAAATCATTTTGGTCGTCATTGCCTCGCTTTTCAACGGTTTCTCTTTCTACAACGCTGGTACTTCGATCCAAGGTTTGCAGAACCAGATGTTGTCAATTTTCATGCTTTCCATCATGCTTTTGAACTTTGTGGATCAAATGCTTCCTCAGTTTGCCAACCAGAGATCTCTTTACGAGGTCAGAGAACGTCCTTCCAAGACTTTCAGTTGGCAGGCATTCATTCTTGCCCAGGTGACTGCGGAGATGCCTTACAATTTGATCTGTGGTACTATTGCATACTTCTGTTGGTATTACCCTGTTGGACTTTACAAGAACGCATCCGCTGCTCATGACACTGCCCAAAGAGGTGGTCTCAATTGGCTTTTGATGATTGGATTCTTTGCTTTCTCAACCACTTTGGGACAGGCCGCCATGGCTGGTATGGACCATGAGGATAACGCTGCCAACTTGGTTTCCCTGCTGTACACCATGGCTCTTACTTTCTGTGGTGCCTTGGTTGTTCCTACTGGATTCTGGGTCTTCATGTACAGAGCTTCTCCTTTGTCATACTGGTTATCTTCAACGTTAAGTTCTGCTGTTGGTGGAGTCAGTGTCAAGTGTTCTACCAAAGAGTACGTCCACTTCCCTCCTCCATCTGGACAGACATGTGGTGACTATATGGCTCCATACATCAGCAAGGCTGGTGGATATTTGTTGGACCCTTCGGCTACCGACGATTGTTCTTTCTGCAGCCTGGATCAGACCAATACCTTCCTGGCCTCCATGCACATGTACTTCGACCAGAGATGGAGAGATTGGGGTATTTTCATCTGTTACATTGTGATCAACATTGGCTTCACTATCTTCTTCTACTGGTTAGCAAGAGTTCCAAAGAAGAGTGATAGAGTGAAAGACGAGTCTTCGTTGAAGAGTGGCGGAGACGCTGCGGACGTTGAGTCTGAAACAGAAACCTCCAAAGAGGCTTAATCACAGCTTATCTGATTTTTAATAAGCAGTTAATATATATCTAATAAGGTATTATACCGTATTATTTCTTTTGGGAACTAAACAGTGGCTCGTCCTTTGAGCTGGACGGCCGGCTGTTTTCGTCAGGATGTTTGCGCTTACGTGACTCAAACCCGTGGCGCAGGTCCTTGAGCTTTGTTTCCGCGCTATTCTGCTGCTCCTTGCCGAAATGGCTCACGTTTTTGTCGATGATGTTAGAGATCTCGCTCAATGCGACGTAGCCCACGCCGTTGGGGCCAGAGTCCATTTGTTTGCACGAAGCTTTGAAGCTCTGGTTGTACAACTGGACCTTCATGTCAAGATTTTCGGGCTCTGTCTTCTTTTTGTCACTCTTGAACGAATGTGCTCTCACAAAATAAACCATCGACAGCAGCAATGGCGAGATCTGGCTGAGTCTGGAGAGCTGGTCCAGGTCGAACTCTATCTCATGAACGTTGTCGGCCATAATAAAGTCCAGCATTATGTCCAAAGTTGACTTGAGTAGCACGTTGGACTCGTACAACGGCCGCATCTGGGCCATCTCGTCGTGTAGAACGTTCCGCAGTCGGAGAAACCACGAGTACTTGTCCATCTGCTCCTGGTAGTCGTCGTCGAACTCAGAAACGTCGCGCTTCTTCAGCTCTCGCAGATAATGGATGGTCAAAATGGCCAGATTAAGGGTAGCCAGGTAATAGAGCTGGTTATGGAAGTCTTTGGCTGTCTGCAAACAGCCACCAATGCCGGTGCTTGTCTGTTTGTAAGATGCAAGAATGCTGTCGTTAAAAAAGTTGTAATCGTTGAGTTCGTTGGCGGTGGACGAGTGTAGCTCGCGTAGTTTGAGGTAGTATTGTAATGTGTCGTCCAGATTGTTGAGTCTTTGACTTTGCAACGCCAGCAGAAAATATACCTTGTCCACCATCTTGTGGTACACCAGCAGTTCCTGCGAGGAGAACTGGCCCGAGTTGTAATCGTCAATGAACTCGAACAGCTGCGGGAATTCGTCTCTGTTGAACGAGTTCCATTGGTTGCAATGGAACTTGGCCAAAACTTCGTAGAAGCTAACCAGCAGACTAAAGTATTTAAGTCGCAGTAGTCTGGCCTCCATGTCGACGCTGGAGATACGCAGCTGTTCTTTCCGTTCGAGCTTGACGTACTTGTGGCACTGGGCAAACATCATTTCTGACCGGTTTTTGCCGTCCCAGGACTTGATAACGTACGAGATTCCGCAGTAAAAGTACGCCAGCATGCTGAACTCGCGCAGCGTGAGCCAGTTGATCTGTAAGGGGAGGTCGATCGAAGAGCTCCCCAGCTGCATAGGCACTGTAATCTTGAACACGAACTCGCGCGCCCATTTGTCCAGAGACTTGAACTCGCGGATGAGCAGGTCGATCGAGCCCATCTTGGACTTGGCGTCGGAAAAGTCGTCGTTTTGGATCGAAAGCAGAAGATCCAAGATATGTGTCATAGCTGCAAACTGCGACGGCAGAGAATTGAAGTCGGGATGCTGTTTCTGAGACTGTTTAAGCTTGTTATGTCTTTTGAACGTCTCTTCAATAGGAGAGCCTTTTAGTAAACGGTTTTGGATGTCGCAGATCAAAATCAGCTGGTACAGAGCGAAATTGGCAGAATCCAACTTGGGTTCCAGCATTTCGATCATTCGATTAAAGTTCTCCGAAACCTGCGCACCATCAAACGTCATACCGAAATACTGGATCTTGACGTACTGGAAAAAACAGTAAAGCTCAACGTTGTTCTTTGTGTCGTAAGTCTGTTCAATTGACAAAAAGTAATTAAGACAGGCCTTTTTGTTGCCCGATTTATCAGTTAGGTAGTTGATTTCAAAGCTCAAAATGTCCAACATGAGCTTGTAATGGGCCATATTGTTGCGATCTGCCAGCTGGAGTCCTCTACCGCAGTACGTTGACGCGATATCGTAGCTCGTGGTCTCTCTTAGTAATATGCTGGCTATCTTGTAATGAACCATGACTTCCTGCTCAACAGATAATGACGACTTGTACTGCTCAAGAACGTTGAATAAGGAATTCAGACCAGCCCGAATGTGATTATTGTAATCCATAACATGGTCTTCAGACTCCAGTGAGCTTGATCCCTTCAAATGAGCCTGCGATACAAACCAGTCGGACGCCTCAATCAGTCTCTCTATCTTGACCGACTCGGTCACCGACCCGTCGTTGCCCTCGGAGACTCCCATGACGCCTGGTTGATAAATGCTGAAAACAGGCTGATGGATCCTACAGCAGGTATTTTCAATTTATCCCGATTTGGCACAGAAACATTTCGTGCACAGCCGAGTTTGAGGTTTACGTGGACCGCGACGTGTTCAGGCCAAGTTATGGTGGATATACACTAAGCGTAGGTTTTCTGATACTGCCAAAGTATCATGCATTCTATAATTCGCGCTCACAGACACCGGACCATCCTCCAAAGGCAATTGCCACCATATCCTATTTGAGTTACCCGGGTTTGAGTATTTTTTCGCAATCTCGAATCCGAGACTATAAATAGGACCCCATCCCCCCCGTTGCAATTCGCGAAATTTTTCAACCCAAAAATTTCGGTGCAAGGAGTATTTATTGTGCAACTGCCATCTTCACAGATTTAATAAAGCACAAACTCAGTCCCACCAGGAAAGGAATCATTTGATTGAGCATCTTTTCCCCGGAGCAATTGATTTATAGCTGGATGAGTTGTAATATAGATAAATCACAGTTGTAAAAATGGATTCATTGAAGCTCCCAACCACAGCAGCCAGGGCCAAGGCCTTCACCGCACAAGGCTCATTAGCCTTCCCAATGGTACCAACAGACATGGTCAAAGATGAACAACATGACACAGATAAATATGACATTCTTAAGAAAGAGCCGGAAGAAAAGGTTTTAGACATGGAGGACCAGATCGCCGACGATGCAGCAGCCTCTGGAATAGTGCCTACGTTACAGAACATCGTTGCCACAGTGAATCTGGACTGTCGCTTAGAACTGAAGACTATCGCGCTGCATGCACGTAATGCAGAGTACAACCCAAAGCGTTTTGCTGCCGTGATTATGCGTATTAGAGAACCCAAGACAACAGCACTTATTTTTGCGTCGGGCAAAATGGTGGTCACGGGTGCCAAGTCCGAGGACGACTCGAAGCTTGCTGCTAGAAAATACGCACGTATCATCCAGAAGCTCGGATTCAACGCCAAATTCACAGATTTCAAGATCCAGAATATTGTTGGATCGTGTGACGTCAAGTTCCCAATCAGACTTGAAGGACTCGCTTACGCGCACGGAACTTTCAGTTCGTATGAGCCGGAATTATTCCCTGGTCTCATTTATAGAATGGTGAAGCCTAAGATCGTGCTACTGATTTTCGTTTCTGGAAAAATTGTTCTTACCGGTGCCAAACAAAGAGAAGAGATCTATAAGGCGTTCGAGGCCATCTATCCGGTGCTGAGCGAGTTCCGCAAGAGCTAGATTGCATAAATTATTGTATAATATGGAGGTAGCTAGTTTTGAGCTTGAAGAAGGATTTTGCACAGCCCGTGCGCGATTTTGATTAAACGAATAAAAAAAATTTTTGTTCTTATTTTTACTACGTCAGGGGATTAAGCAAAAAAGTCAGAAAAGGGTTTTTTGTTTTGGAGAAATAAAAAGGATATTTGGCAAACTATTCTAAACCAATCAAGTCGTTTGGTTTGACACCTGATTGTTGTTTAACGGCGTCGACGTCGTATTGTGAGCCATTAGCAGCGTCGTTTGTTGCACAAATACCTTTCAAAACTACCACCTGTTGTCTTTTTTTCTATTAAGCAAGTGTCTTTTTACCGGCATACTCTACAGTTGCTCGAGTTCAATTTGAAACATGTCCTTATCAGAAAAATCTATTAATACTGTACGCAGTAACAGCAAGGGTCCTACTTTTAGCGACCAGGAAAAAGTGCCACCGCCTAAAAGCAACGTTCCCCACAAATCAACACAACAACCTCTTCCCAGGCCCATCTTGTTCAAAACCGGCAGTTCAGCAAGCAACCTCGGGCCAAAGCAACCCAACTTGCCTTCATTGAAAACAACATTGGATTCTGACCAGAAGGGAGACCACACTGTGGTTCAGGCAACCTCCGCCGCCGCGGATCCGGATCTTTCCACGCCGCTCGGATCCAATCAAGGATCAACAGTTTTCCCTTCGGAGGCAAGCACCCCAATTAAGTCCTCCGGATCGATCTCTTTCCAGGTTCCACCGGTGAACGCTCAAAAACACCGTGGATCCATCAGTGCACGCCCGTCGACCACAAAACTGACTCTTCTGGAAACAACAACTTCTGGAGTTCCAAGCTCTAGACAGCCTTCTGGAAACCACCCTGCTAGTCAGAACATCCACGATCTCCCGCAACAGGTCAAGCATCTTGATATCCAGTCTGCCAGAACCACGCCTACAACAACTGCCCCTCACTTTCCCGTCGTGGTAAAAGAGCCTCGGGAGCACAGTGTTAGCTCTGTTTTGAGCGATAAGCACCATAGCAATCTTCCATCGCCAAGAGTTATGTCTTCCTCGTCCGGTGTGGTTTCTCCTGTGTCGTTCGATCTCTCACCAAAGACGCTTCCAAATGTTAACTCTGAAGCAACCAAAAACGATTTTGTTTTTCAACCTTTATCGGGCGACAGTCGGGTTCCATCGCCACAACCGATCAAGAGGAGAACCACAACGACGCCAAAGACTGTTGTTTCTGCACCAACTGGACCTGTGGTTCCATTTACCGAGTATTTAAGCAAAGAAGACGATGACAAGATTCATATTCTTCTTGGTGCGACCGGGTCTGTTGCCACTGTCAAGATCCCAATGATTATTGATAAGTTGTTCAAGCTGTATGGTGTCGACAACGTTTCGATCCAGCTTGTGGTGACACAGGCTGCTGAGCACTTTTTGCACGGGTTGAAGATCTCCACGGAAGTGAAGATCTGGAGAGAAAATGAGGAGTGGTCGACGCCGATGACCAAGCCGGGCGACCCTATTCTTCATGTTGAGCTGCGCAAGTGGGCCGATATCTTTTTGATTGCGCCGCTTTCTGCCAACACGCTTGCCAAGGTTGCAAATGGTATTGCGGATAATTTATTGACGTCGATCATCAGAGTGTGGAATCCTTCTATCCCTGTTCTTGTTGCGCCTGCGATGAACACATTGATGTACACGCATCCTGTGACGAAGAAGCATCTTGCGGTGATCAAGGAGGATTTCAAGTACATGGAAGTTTTACGGCCAATTGAGAAAGTTCTTGTTTGTGGAGACATCGGTATGGGCGGCATGCGCGAATGGAGCGAGATTGTTGATATTTTGTTCCGCAAGATGAGCAAGTTGCATGCTGAGAAGCTCAAGAAAGCCAACGAGAGGGAGGACGAAGAAGAAGACGAGGAAGAGGAGGACGAGGATGATGACGACGACGACGAGGAGTACGATGACGATGACGACGACGATGACGACGATGACGAGTCGCTGGTCGTTGATGGCCAGCATTAAGCCGGCCTTTGCATTTTTCAGTGGTATACTACGAACCCAGTGTAAAAATAATGTACGGAATAATTGCGCGTAGGAGAAATTAAATAAATTTAGACAAAGAATGGTGCTTGCTCTGAGGTGGAAGTTTGGACTCGGAGTGCTAGCCGCCTATTCAGGATATACCACGTATATTTATGTGCGAACACAGCAGGAGATTAGACGCCGACAGCAGGTCCAGGACGCCCATCCGCAGTCCGAAGACGATGGGGAGTGCGACGGGTGCCAGTATGACACCTTAACGGTGAATGGGCGGTTCGAGAACCCGTTCCCGGAGTACCGGCCACAGACGATCTTTGAGTTTTTTGCGATGCGGGTGCTCGATCTGTTTGAGTTTGGCAAACGCGGCGGGCTTCCTTCTTCGTACGAGGAACTTAGAGCTAGTCTTCCTATTCACACCCCCGACATTGAGACTCTCCGGGCTACAGGCCAGAACGAGGAGTTTTCGTCCGATGCAGACTTTCCTGCTGTTCGTGATAGACTCACTTTCACGTGGTTTGGCCAGTCGTGTTCGTTAGTCCAGATCGGGAGCGTTTCATTTCTGACCGATCCTCTTTTCGAGAACCATCTGATCAGCCGTCTGGTTGGACCCCAGCGCATTGCTCCATCTGCAATCAAGCTGCAGGATCTGATGGAACAGGTGAAGATTCCAGAGTACGTTCTGGTTTCTCACGATCACCCAGACCATCTGGAAGAGGAATCGGTCAAACGAATTGGAAACAAGTCTAAATGGATCGTGCCCGTGGGCGTGCGACGTTTTCTGGCCAAGCGCGGGGTCTCCAACGTGATAGAGATGAAATGGTGGGACCGGGTCACTCTCGAAACAGACTCGCCAGATAAATACGAAGTGGTTTGTCTTCCAGCAATGCACTGGTCAGGAAGGCAGCTTATCGATACCAACAAGACGCTGTGGTGTTCGTTCATGATCTTGCGCAACGGCAAGTCGATTTTCTTCCATTGTGGAGACACAGGCTACTCGTCAGACCTTTTCAGACTGATTGGACAAAAATACGGGCCTGTCAAGTTCGGGGCGCTGCCGATCGGTCAATACTGTCCGCAGTGGCACCAGCGGCCGCGTCATATTAGTCCATTAGAAGCTGTGCGGATCACAAACGATATGGGCATCGAGAAAATGGTTGGTGTCCATTGGGGAACGTTTATTCTGAGCTCTGAAAAATACATGGAGCCAAAAGAGCAGCTCGAGGAGCTGGCTCGGATGAACGGCCGCCAGAACAGCATTCTTGTGTCCGAGCATGGCCGGACGCTGGTGTTCGACACGGGCGAAATCGATACGTTGAACGAGCAGCCGCCCGTGCAAGTGCGTGGAAGCACCGTTTATAGATAGACCGTTAAACTATTTATTATGACTCTACAAGGCTTTTGAACTCGTCGAACTCCTCGTTCTTCATCTGATAGGTGTGTGTTTCGAGTTCGGGAAAACTTTTGGCCTTGACGTCGAGAGCGTAGCTGTTCACGGCAGTGGTAGCTGTGGAGTAGAAGTTGGCATACTGCTTGACGAATTTGGCTGGCTTGAAATCCAACATGCCCAACATGTCTGCCTGGACAAGCACTTGGGCCGAAGTGCCTGGACCTGATCCGATTCCGATTGTGGGGATGTTGAGATTGGCTGTCATGTACTCTGCCAAACGGTGCGGGATACATTCGAGCACCAGCATTGAGCACCCCAGCTCCTGCAAAAACTTGGCTTCATTGAAGATATTTGCGGCGTCATGGGCCTTCTTACCCTGGACTTTGTATCCTCCCGTTGCATTGAATTGCTGGGGCTTGAGTCCAATATGGCCTGTGATGGGGATTCCTATTTCCACGAGTCTTTTGATCTGGGCAGCGTGCTCAAACCCACCCTCAATCTTCAGCGATCCTATCTTTCCCAGCTTCATCAGCTTGACCGCCGACTCAACGCACTGGGACACGCTCGCCTCGAAAGAGCCAAACGGCAGATCTGCAATCACGTACTTCTCGTGCACTCCACGAAGCACAGACTTGCACGTATAGTAGTACTCATCGAATGGGATCTCCAGTGTCGAGGAATACCCCTTGGACACCATTGCGAGCGAGTCGCCGATCAGAACAACGTCCAGATCGGTGCTGGAGTCAGCGATCCGGGCTGTGATGAAATCGTGTGCCGTCACAACAGCGATCGGCTCACGCGCCTTGTAGCTCTTGGTGATGTCCGACAACGTCTTCTGCCGCACGAGGCCGACAGCGTGCGATGAGAACCGCACGCCTAAACGCCCTGTCATCCGACCCAACATTGGTATTTTTTTTCAATTATTTTATACGAGGACCTATAATAAATGCACCAGCGGCTTTTTCCCAACAATAACTAAAAACTCGCTAGTCAAGCGAGTCTCTACAATTAATTATTTCATAAAGTTAAACCCAAACTCGATTTTGCGATAGTGTACATGTCGTCATAAAGTGTTAGATGAACCCGTTGAACCCGCCACCGAAGGAACCCGGGGGTCCTGGTGGACCCCGTGGACGGTTGAAACCCTGGCCCGGTAGCCCCAGGTGGCCCGGCAGTCCTGCTCCCAAAAGCTCAGGGTCGTCGTCCGGGCCCATTAGCGGGTCGGAGTACCTGATCCCGTGGCGAGGGTCCGGCAAGCGGCCGCCAAACATGGGATCTGACGCGGTGGGGTGCATGCCCCCACCCTGGGTCCCGTTGATGGCCAGTGGATCAAGGTACGGTTTGAGGATAGGGTCTTTGATTCCGCCAGGGTAGAGATCGCTGGTTCCCGACTGAGCAGCAGGTGCCGAGACAGTGGATGTGCGGTCGGACTGGATCTGGTGCTCGTCCTCGAATCTTGGCGGAGCAAGCACAGACGGTAGAGGTTTGGGAGCCGGGGCAGTTAATGCAGGCGATGGTTTGACATTAGAGGCCAATTGGGGGGCTGACTGCGACTCTGAAGGTGGCAGAGCACGCGAAACGGATTCTTGTAGCACAGATTGGCTCGAAGAGACCGGTTCTGGCAAAAACGGGCCCAGCTTCCTGGTGATCGCAGAAATTAGCACAGATAGCAGGTCGGGATCGATGCTATCGTAGTCAACAGGATAGTTCACTGTGTGCCCGTCGGGCCAGGCGAGCGACGCAGAGAACGACAGCGGTGTGCCGTCGACGTCCTTTGTTGTATTTTCCAGAGTATAAAGACCGTCTTTTAAAGAGACCAGGAATTTGCCCTCGGAAGCAAGCAACGAGATTTGGGACCCGTTCCTATCAATAGCAAAAGTGTTGATGTTTCGGGAGGCCAAAAATCGCTTGTATACATTGGCGATAAGGTCCAAGTTATCACGAATGGAGCCCATTGTTCGGTAAGGTTTTTTGTAGTGTAGGCTGATAGCGAAAAGAATTTGTTAGAAAAAAATAATATTGCGGTAGGCGGAACAAGCCCACGATAGAGGGGAAAAATAAACAAGATACCAGAAAAACAAGGATAGTTAGACCAGCAACCAATCAAGAACAAGTTAGCGCAACATATAAGAGTAATTATTGTGGGAAATGACAACTGCGGTTCCCTTGATATACTCATTCCCAGAGTTCAGCGGAGTCGCTGAGGCTGTAGCAGATCACGTTGTTGCTGCTCAGAACTACGCATTATTTGGAGACAACAACCGTAAGAAGTCGATTTCGGAAGCTGGTAGCTCAAAGAATCTGTCTGCGAACTCGAATGGATCGCAATCGTTGAGAAATATTGCTGAACAAAGTGCATCGTCAATAAATTTAAGCGGGAACGCAACGCCAACCTCGTCCAAAGAACAACGCAAAAAGAAGAAGGAGGAAAACAGAAGGTTCAGAATAGGACTCAGTGGAGGATCTTTGATTGGTGTGTTACGCGAAGGGTTACTCAGTCGGACCGATGTTGAGTGGAGTAAATGGGACGTTTATTTTGCAGATGAGAGACTTGTTCCTTTTGACTCACCAGAGTCCAATTACGGCAAGGCCAAGTCCCAGATATTTGATCAGATACCAAAAGACCGTGGATATCCAAGGATTTTCCCCATTGACGAGACTCTATTAAGCGACCCACAAGAATGCGCAGACATGTACGAAAAGACCCTGATTAAAGGTTTTGCGTACAAAGACTCTGTGAAACTTCCGATGTTCGATCTAATTTTGCTTGGATGCGCTCCAGACGGCCATGTTGCTTCTTTATTCCCTAATCACGAAACATTAAGAGAGAATTACGCCTGGTGTGCTCCTGTCGAAGACGCACCTTCCGGCCCTCCCTCCAGAATCACATTGACCGTTCCCGTGATCTGCCACTCGAACAGAGTTTCCTTCGTTGTGGAAGGTGCAACAAAGGCCCCGGTTATCAGCACCATCATGGAAAGACCAGACAAAGGTCTTCCTGCCAGTATTATCAACGAGAAGGCCGCTGGACGCATCGCATGGTTTGTGGACGACGATGCTGTGAGCGATGTTGTGAGTGTCACCAAGAAACGGTACAAGTTTTTGGTCCAAAGCGACTAATTGCCATTCACATAATCCAAGTAGCTATCATCTCGGCTATTGTGGCTAAGCACTAAATAATATATTTCCTTTAAGATTTTGTGGCTGAAAAGACAACAGATATAAAATATACAGTTAACATTGCGATGGTAAGTTAATATGATCCGGACTTCTAACGTTATTAGTGGATCCCCATAACGTTCTTCCTTGTATCAACGTTCTTGTTGTCGGGATTTGCAATCAACAAGTTCATCAAGCTCACTGAACAGCCGTTGTACTTGTCGGTGATTCTTGTGTTTTCCTTGTTCTTACCCTTTTCCATCATCTTTCTCTTACCAATTGACTTGATATCCACTTCTACAGACACATATACCCAATTCAAGGACTCATTTTTCTACCTGAACCAATCAACAGTGCTTTTTCTTTGGAGATTTAATTATTGGACCACTTTCACATTAACATGGATAATCTTACCATTCTTTCAGTACTGGTTTGGGTCCGGATACTTGAAGCGTCGAGACCGGTTTAGGTACTCTGTGATAGAATTGATCAAGTTCCAAATCATCATGATTGCGTGCGGCGTGTTCATTTTGATCTACATCCTGATCAGACACGCCTCGTGGCTCAACTTCAAGTTCCTCAAAAGTTTGGTCATCACCGTTAGTCACATCTACTCCTTGGTTCTTGCTCTGTGGCTGATGGCCCACGGTCTAATCTACCTCCCGAGACACGAATGGGAAACGAGTGGGAACTATCAAAAGCAGCTCCACAGAATGTACTTGAAAGTCCCCGTTTTGAACGAGGAATTAGAGGACACCAAGTTCGAGCTCCGTGAGCTTTGTGGAAGGCTCAGAACATTGGAACATCTTGACAATCTGGAATATAGAGACTGGATCCTGAAGCTTTTGCGCTCGATCCCTCCAGAATACAACGATATGGTGTATCATGGCGTCGAACAGATAACTAATGACGAGCTCAACACAAAGTTCCTCAACAAGGTTTCGAAGAAACTGAAAGAGCTCAAGTGGAAGTACAACCACAATGTCATTGACTTAAAGGTGACGGTGGAGAAAGTGATAAAGCTGGAAGATAAGGTGAATGCGTCCCTGCTGGGAGAATATACTCCAAGACTTGAACGGCCTCTCATTAAAAACCCAAGACTGAGCTACTACATTGTCCAGTATGTGCAGCCATTGTTTGGCAAACTTTTGGCCATTGGATTAGCCGTTCTCTCTGCCATAATTGTCGAGTCGGAAACGTTCCACGGACTCAAATTTTCTCTCATAAAGTTGATTATCGCAGGAATGACCAACGACGTTACCAAGATCTACATCCAGATCTTTGCCATTTCGTTCTTGGTGCTCACGTTCATGTTGATGTGCGCAATGTTGTCTCTTACCCAGGTGAAGATCTTCAACATTTACCACATGGAGTCGAACCAGTCGTCGGACCCGGTGTCTACGATCTTCTTTATCAGCTACGCGTGTCGGTTGACCATTCCATTGAGTTACAACTTCCTCATGTTGCTGGACGCCAAGTTCACCAAAAACTCGTCGTTCCAATTGTTCTTCGGCAACTCCATCCAGTTGATCTCGCTCGGTAACTTCCTCAACGACATGGCTCCGCGACTGATTGTGATTCCAATTTTGTTGACGGTGTTCAGATTCTGGGAAAAAGTCAAGGAATGGCTGTCTCGGCTGTTTTTCTTTGACTACATCATCAAGGAGCTTGATTTTGAGGACACTGACGATAACGAAGAAGCCACAGATATTGAAAATAGACCTTCGTCTCGGTCGACCAGAGAAAATGCCCGTATTCAGGAAAGTAAGCAGATTGTCCAGAGATTTTTAAGTGCTGACGAACGGATCCTCGACAGTCCCATCAGACCGTTGACTCTTTCGTCTAACCAATCGGGCGAGTCCATCTTCAGCTCTTTGAAAGACTACGTGGGAGGAATTGTTTCCAGGTTCCCGAGAAGGGGCTCCAGACCAGGATACGATGGCCTGCGTACATACAACCTGGGGCTTGGTAGCGAGCCACCAAGTCACCGCACGAGCTCGGAGACAGGCATCTCGCTCAACAGCAACATCTCATTCGACAATGACAACAGACTACTACGAGACGACGACATCATGCTTATCGACGAGGATGATATTATGGAGATATGAACGGAGATTCGCGCTACGGGACACACCTCACACCCCACTGTTGGGTCCTACCTTAAATAAATTTATTTAGCCCGGGATAATATTTAAATAAATAAAAAAAGTCCCGAGATAAGTGGATTGCCGTTGATGGCTAGTGGATGTATCACGGTATGAGAGTAAGATCCCGGGAGGGACGGCAAGGGCGAGCGGCAATTGGACAGTTTGTTCGCTGTTTGTCCCAGCATCTATCGATATCTGCCTCAAACACGGCGCAAAGTTCCCCAATCACCTTCAATGTTTCCATGTTGAAGGTACCTTCGAACTATGGATATTACAGTTCGCGGGTAAATCGTTTGTACAACGAAGACAACCACCAGGTGGGGATCTTGGATATTGATTTCAACGAGAAATCGGTCGATTTGGGCAATAGGACAGACAACAAGTCTTTGGAGGCAAGAATAAGCCAGATAGAAGAGCCGCAATACAATAGCGTCTCGTCCAAGACAAAAGTGTTCAATTTCAGTATTTTCGATGGCCACGGTGGTAACGAGTGTTCGACATACGTTCGGAACCATTTGCTTGAGAACATTGAAAAGTTCAAGATCAGTGACAAGAGCATCAACCAACTATTCAAGTTCTATCAAAAGGAAATCGGAGGGTACTGGAGACGGTGGACGCGGCGGAAAAACTTGCATTTTATCAACAGCATGGGATTAGACAATTATATACGATCCATCCAGGGCAACTTATTGATTCACGACCCAAACCTGGAGAACCACAGGCTTTGGGATTACGAAGAGTTCAAAAATAGCATTTCGGGACAGGACTTCTTCAAGCTACGCATTCTACTCGGGTTTCTGTACACGGATTACCAATTTCTGAATTTCGAGGACAAAATGAACGACCTGAAGCAGAATAAAGACCATTTGATTAACTCAGGGTCCACCGCAACAAGTGCATTTTTCTACACGCTTGACTACGATAAAACAAATCCAAACGGGTATTTCTACGAAGAAGACGTCCTGAGTCGGCTGGTGATTGCTCATGTTGGAGACACACGCGCGATTTTGTGTGATAGAGACGGGACAGCCAGGAGTCTGACGAAAGACCACCACCCGTCCAATCCAATAGAGTCTCGAAGATTGACCAGGTACAGCACGGGGCTCATGATGACGGACTCGTTTGGCGAGGAGCGCTTCTTGAACTATGCAAACACCCGAGCGTTCGGCGATCTCACGGCCAAGAATATTGGAGTCACTGCGGAGCCGGAAATCAGCGAGTTTCTGGTTGGCAACGTTCGGTTGTTGCAAAAGTACAAGCGGGACCACCGCGATTACATCAAGAAAACGAATATGGTGGACTTTGGCGGCGACGACTGTTTCCTTGTGCTGGTCACTGACGGCGTGACGAACATGCTGTCTGACCAGGAGGTAGTTGACCTGATTACAAGCACCACCAACAATAAAGGTGCATTACGCGGGACTCCGGGCGAGGCCGCGCGCGAGGTAGTCCAGTTTGTGGAGTCGATTGGCGGCGACGATAACGCTACGTGTCTGGTGATCAAGCTGGGGGGCTGGAGCAGATGGCCGATGATCGACCGCACGGGACAGCTTCGGGAGTCGAAAATCATGAGTGGACGTCGGGAACGGTGAGTATTTCACGTTGGCTATGTACAATTATTTATTCTTGGTCTGAGTGTATCTGAAGCGCTTGCGAGTGTGGGCGAACTCGCCGAGTTTGGACCCCACCATGTCTTCTGTGATGTTGATGTGAACGTAGTCTTTTCCGTTGTGGACTTGGAACTTGAGCCCGACAAACTGCGGGAGAATGGTGCACGATCTGGCGTTTGTTCTGATCGGGGTACCTGTCTTCTTAGCGTCGGCAATCGGCAGCGGCACGACGTACGGACCTTTCCATGCGGACCTGCGCAGAGCAACTAGAGACAGTCTCATGAGCGAATGGATGAACAATTTTTTTTTCACTTCATTTAGTACGCCGATCGACGCTGATCTGCAAAGGTGTTTTTTTGAGCCCTCACCGTCTTTTCGTGCAAATGTTTCATTTAGCCAGAAGTTTGTACACGTCGTACACGCGCAAAGACGAGTACTCTGTGCTGATTCTTGGTCTGGACAATGCGGGCAAGACTACTTTCCTGGAACAGCTGAAATCGATCTATGTGCCGAATTATAAGCAGCTGCGGCCGGAAAGAATCCTCCCCACTGTTGGCCAGAACGTGGGGACGATCACGGTGAACGGCGTGCTACTCAAGTTCTGGGACGTTGGCGGCCAGGACAGTTTACGGGAATTATGGTCTGAATACTACGCGAATTCGCACGCTGTTGTGTTTGTGATCGACTCCTGTGATAGAGACAGGCTGGTGGAATGTTCCAACGTGCTGACAGGAGTCATGAGCAACGAGTTGATGGAGGGGCTTCCGATTCTGATGCTGGCCAATAAACAGGACCGAGAAGACGAAACAAAGCTCGAACTTGTGGATATCAAGGAGATCTTTAACCCGATTGCAGAAACTCTAAACGCCAGAGACTCGCGTGTATTACCGGTTAGTGCAATCACCGGTGACGGGGTGAAAGACGCCATTGATTGGCTCTACATCAGACTAATCCGCAACAAGACCAATAGACCTCCGATAAAACATTGAGAAAAAATAAATTGTGCTGCAGTGAGCAAATATTGGCTATTTTCTGCACATGAGCAAATATTTTTCTCTTGTCCTCGTACCATCAACATATAAGGACATCAGGGCCCAAAAAATTGAGCACAATTTCCACTTAAACTAACAAAGATGGATATGGGCGGCTCTAGTTCCTCAAGCATGGCCATGGATATGACGGCCACCTCCAGTTCCTCGATGATGGACATGACAGCTACCGCTTCGTCCAGCATGTCGATGGATATGTCGTCGTCGACCGACTCCTCAATGGATATGGAGGGAATGAACTCGTATCTGGTCACCTCATACAACAAGTACCCTGTCGTTTTCCACACGTTGCGCGCATCGTCCGGAGGTGAAGCATTTGGAATCTTCTGTGTGCTTTTCTTCTCGGCCGTGTTCCTGAGAGGATTGTTCTTCTTGAGCGCTTACTTGGAACAGAAGGTGTTCCACAACCTCACAAACGCCGTTTTGATCCAGGAATTGGACAACTGTGCATGCGGTCCAGAAAAAGACGAAGAAGGCACAGGAAATGGTGGATCTGTGAGCGTCAGATCTCTGGGATTGGCCAAGATCTTTAAATTCACCTTCTTCCCAGGATTCGGAGAACTGAAAAGAGACATCATTAGACTACTGATCGCCTTCACAGCTACCATGTTTGGCTATGCGTTGATGCTGGCGGCCATGTCGTTTATCCTGCTCTACTTTTTTGCGATCTGTCTCGGCATTGCGTTCGGAGAGGTGTTTTTCAACAGGCTCTCGATCGTGCTGAATATCAACAAAAACAGCTCGCTGTGCGGTCAACTTCATTAGATCGATGTAATTAGTTTGAATAATCTTTAGTTCCATATTTAATCATCATCCTGAGGTAGGGTATCAAGCTCATCGACCAACGACGACAACTCAGAAACAACGTTCTTGTGGTAGTTGAGCTGGATCTTCATCAACACCTTGAGCAAGTTCAAACCTTCGGTCGGCTTGATGAGAGATTTCATCGACTCCACAGCAGACTCAGTAGCACTCACAAGCTCATCCTCGGCAGTCTCGAGCTTCTTCGAGATGGCAACAGGAAGTTCCACAGACTCGTCGCCGTGTTGCACTGCCTTCACTTCAGCTCTGACCGTGTCAAAGTTCAGTCTCGATGTCTCAACTTGTCTTCTGAGCTTTTGCGTGTTTTGGAAGTCCCCTTGCAGCACATTACGGATCTTGTCGTTGAACTCGGTGATCACCAACTTGTCCTGCTCCAATCTTTCATCACCGATTCTCGTCTGGTACTCGCTGATCTTCAACAGAGCCTTGGCCAGCGACGAGGAGTGGTCTTCGCCGCTCACAAACTCATCGTGAGCAGCAGTACATCCTTTGGCAAATTGGTGTGCAAACGTCTTTGGCGTTTGATCTTTCGAAGTGGCTAACAAAACAGCCTCTGCCTCTGAGGTAGTTGTAGCCTGCGAAAGACCAGCAAATTTCTCATTGATCAACTTGGTGTAATCCTGGATAGACTCCTTCAAGTTTGGTGGGTAATCGTAACTCTCAATCTCATACTGTTGAGTGATGCTCAATAGCTTCTTGTAAAACACTTTGAGGTTATCAACTCTCTTCTCCAAATCTTTGTATTCTTGAGGAAGTTCAGAAATATCGTCAATGGAGCCGAATCTCTCCTGCAACGAACGTGTTGTTCTCTTGAGAATAGGAGAAAGGTTCGAATTGAGACTCGAAACCTCCTTCTCCAAATTCACCAAGTTGTCCTGGAAACTTGTTGTCAATTGCTGGGTCGTTTGCTGGAACGACTGTTGCAACGTGGATAAATCCACCTTTGGAAACTTGAACGACATGTTATAATTTAAACTTGTTTTGTTCGGTTGTCTTCTTTTTAAATACGGATCCACCTGACACCAGAAATAAAAACTTGGTGTCAGGGGTCTTTTCTACAGTTATGGTAGCTAGTGTAACTTGATATTCATAATAAACTATTCAAACACAAACAAACAAACAAAATCGTAACATCATACAGTTGTGGCCATCAGTTGAAAATCTTCTTGATCTTGGTGCTCAATTTTTCCTTTTGAGGGTGGGCCTTGTCGACCTGGTCCCAGTCTAGAATCTTGGTGTTCGACTCGTCTTGGTCAGGGTACTGGTTGCCATATTGGTTCGAACCCTTCGTAGGAGACGATGCGCTAGCACCACCAACCCGCTCGTCACGGGATGCAGCAGTCGCGGCTTGGTTGGCCAGGTGGTTCTGGTCATCGCTCAAGTAAGCGTTACCTGGAGAAGAAACATTGTCCTTGGTACCAGGAACGTGTGGACCGCCGCTGGTGGACTTTCCGCCTTGGTAAGCAGCACCAGAACTAGGGTGGCCTTTTGTCTCGGCAACACCTCCGCCCGCAGCAGCGCCCTGACTTCTAGGGCCTTCGCCGACACCTCCACCAGCAGCAGCTCCGCGGCCGGAGCTCTGGTAGCCCTGATGGCTGTGGTGTCCATGAGGAGCAGTGGAGTCATCAAATCCAGACGTGTACGGCACGTTTCTTTCATCGTCCCTCACCCCTGCAGTGTACTCGCCCTTAGGCTGGTGTGGGTGAGTGTCACCAACACCGGCAGTGTAGCCATGAGAACCAGATTGGTAGCCCTGGGTTTCTCTTCCGTATCCGGATTGTGCACCAGATCCGTAGCCAGACGATTGTTGAGCACCGGAACCGTATCCTGATGAGTTCTGCGACTCGTATCCGCCTTGCGAGTACTGTTGATCCTTAGAGGCAGAAGTGTCGGATTTTCCAGCAGCTCTGGTTCCCAAGTATCCTGCACCAGCACCAGCCGCAGCACCTGCACCAGTAGCGTAGCCAGAGTACTCGCCAAGACCTGCCTTATCCAAATGGCTGCCTCCTTGCTGACCAACAGTCTTGGCCTGGGAACCTAATTTGTCGTAGTCAAAGCCTTTGGATCCTGATCCGTGAGCAGCAGGGGCAGTCTTTCCTGACTGGGCAAACTGATCAGCTTGTCCGTACTGACCAGATTGAGCGGATTGGCCATATTGTCCTGACTGAGCAGAGCCGGATCCGGTCTTGTCCTTGAGATTCAGCTTGTCAAAATCACCAGATGGATCACTTTGAGATCCAGAAGCAATTCCAGTACCAGCTCCAACACCTGCACCAGTGGCGTAGTCACCCTTACCACCCTTTTGGTAGCCCTGGGAAGATCCGTAATCCTGGTTGGTGGATTGAGATGGGTAACCCTGGCCACTTTGGTATCCCTGGGTTTTTGCATAAGTTTGTTCAGGCTGGCCCGACTTACCATAAGCGTCATCAGAACCGTAAGATTGGCCGGTCTTTCCTGAGGATTCACCAGCGGACTCCTTGTGGCTACCCTTTGCCTGTCTTCCAGCTAAGTAGCCAGCTCCAGCTCCAGCTCCAGCCCCAGCACCAGTCACGTACTTGGAATACTCTCCTTTGCCAGACTTGTCCAGTTGTTGAGCACCCTTCTGGGAATAGTCCTTGGCCTGGGAGCCGATCTTGTTATAGTCGGTGTTCTTGGTGTTAGGATCCAGAGATCCGTACTCCTTCTGACCAGACACACCAGATCCCGCACCAGCAGCAGAACCAGTGCCAGAAGCACCGTGGGCACCAGCTTGGCCAGCTTGGCCAGTTTGACCAGTTTGACCATAAGAGCTGGCGTATGGGTCACTCTGGGTCTTTGTGACTCCAGGAGCGCCTCTCAACTCGTTGGTCGAAGCGGTATCTTGGCCAGAGCCAGATTTGTAGTCATTGCCGTAAGAGTCGTACTTTTCACCCTTACCGTGAGACTTGGTAGCAGAGCCAGCAGCAAGACCAGTAGCAGCACCAGCAGTTGCACCAGCGGCAGTTCCTGTGCCAGAGTGGCCTCCGTGAGCAGAGGTGTATCCCTGTTGAGCTTGCAATTGAGCGATTTCTGGCTGACCTTTCTTCTCGCTCTCATAAAGCTTGGAAGTGTCGGTCTTTCCAGAAACGTTTCTGGTAGCTAGGTTATCATCGTGAACATCTTGGTAAACAGTTCCGTACTGAGTTCCAGATGGATCGCTAGTGTTGGAGCTTGTCTTTCTTGATGTGTCAGACTTGTCCTTCTTGCTACCGAAAACGTTGCTCCACTTGCTCTTGGACTTACCGCTCTCACCTTCAGAGCCTGCACTGTTGTTCTTGTGGTGAGAAGCACCGTAGCCAGCAGCACCAGCACCAGCGCCTGCAACTGCGCCAGCACCAACACCACCTGGATGGCTACCAGTGCTGCTCTTCTTCTGGTGAGTTCCACCGTAGGTGGCAGCAGCTTTTTCCGAGTTGTCAAAGTCAGCAGGAGCAGTAGCACCGTGAACAGGGTCCTGATCCAAAGAACTAGTCTTCCCGTAAGAAGCGGCGTTTCCAGAAGAGCTGTGCACTCCAACATTGTCCGATTTTCCGGCACCCTGGGCGGTGTTGTAGCCAGAACTAGCCTTCTTATCGTAAGACGAAGGCTGCTGTTTGTAAGAGTCAGGCTTTCCGTATCCCTCTTGAGTCTCAAGAACCTCGTTTTGCTTGAGATGGTAGGTCTGACCAGGAGCCCCACTCATAGCTCCAACACCAGCACCGGCCACAGCAGGACCCAAGTTCTTGGCAGAGGTATCGTGGTACGACTGTTGTCCGTAGTTGGAGTCTTTTCCATAAGATTGCTGTCCGTGAGAAGCATCTTTTCCGTAAGATTGCTGTCCATGAGAAGCATCCTTACCATAAGATTGCTGTCCGTAGGTAGCGTCCTTACCGTAGGTAGCATCCTTCCCATAGGTCTGATCCTTGGCGTAATCTCCGTGTTTGTCCTTTGCGTAGTCGTGAGTCTTCGTGCGATCGCCAGATGTCTGGTCCTTTCCCTGTTGGTAGCTGGAGTCTTTCTTAGACTTGATGTCTGCAGCTCCGTGTCTGTCCTGCGAGATATCCTTGACGTTTTGCTTGGTTTGCGAGACATCTCTCTCGTCAACAACAGGGTCCACGAGCGAAGAGTACTTGACGTTTCTGTCCGTAGGAATCACCTCAAACTCGTTACCGTCCTTGTCCACATAAGAATGTGCCTTTCCGGTTTGTTTCTCCAAGGTCTTTGTAGAAATAGAGTTCTGAGCGGCATCTTGCTCTGGGTTACCACCGCTGCTACTGATACCAGCTCCAGTACCGGCATTGGTAGCAGAATCGGAGCCTGAGCTAGTTGTGCTGCCACCGCCAATTCCAATGGCAGACATCAGCTTGTTAGCCAAAGAAGGTTCGTTTTGAGCATCTCCGTGACCTTCGCTGGCCTTGAATGTAGGAGAAGATGGGTCTTCTGCCTTGGTTTTAGATGTGTAAGCAGCGTTATCGTAGTCCTTGTCCCCAGACGACTGGAAATCGAAAGAACCAGGAACGTTCGAGTTGTGAACAGATCTAGGTGTTTGATCATCAATTGGTTGATGGGATGCAGCACCTTCGGCCTCTGAGGCCCAAGACTTTGCTTTAGAAGTGTCGGATTTGAAGTCGGTCATGGTTGGAATGCAATTGAGTTAAACCCCCAGTATTTATGTCAAGATCCGAATTTCATCTGTTGCGGTAGCAAGGTTGCCATGTGGCTTTTCTTTTGGTTTCGTTAGCAATTCATCTATGACATCAACCCGGGTCACATGTGTTCCTGTAACCAGGCTTGCTACGAATTTCAGTTTAAGCACAGCCAGAAAATCAATTTAAGCGATTGTACCTGATTCAATTTATAAAAGTAGAAAGCGGTTTAGATCATCGGGGAGGTGAACGATCTTGGGGGCCCGAGTAGACCGGGACCGCGGCGTATTCAGTATCATCGTTCAGTATATTGTGCATGGCGTTAACGTCGGACGGAGCTGGTGTGGGGAATGGGGGCAGTTCTGGTGGAGGATGGTCGTAATCATCCTCTGCCAGTTCTGTTTGCTCTATCTGCTCGATGAGCTCCTGTGGGGGTTCGCTTGGCAACAGTGCCTGCTCACGTAGCCGCAGAAGCTCTTTTTCTGTAAGCGTCGAAGAAGATTCTGGAATGGTTGTGTACTGTAAAGTTGGCGTCGGAGCTGGCGGAGTAGAGTCCTGAGTGGAAAGAGGTGAGTCGATCGAGGTGCATGGAGTTTGCGGGGCAGACGCCGACCTCTCGGCCTTCTTCCGCAACCTCGAACTGACCCTGCGTTCTGTACCAATAATGATCTCAGAGTTGAGTGTAAGAACGTTCTTTGTCCTTTTGAGGCGGTCAACGTTATAGATATTGCTCGAGGTGTCGGTGTGGATAATTTCGTCGTCCACGAACTTGTGGTCCGAAGGGGCTTGGATCTTGGAATTTGATAGGTTCACTAGAACCTCCACGTAGTACTGGAAGCTCACCAGGTTGGTGGTGATTGTAGGAAAGCAATCCACCGGAACTTTGAGACTCGTCGATGTCTCGCAAGTCAAGGTAGAAGGATCCATAATCAGCGGAACAATCGATTGACTCAAGTCTTTGCGGTACGATTGAATTTCGTAACCTTGTCCCAGATCCAATCGACAGATCCGGATCAACGTCACGATGATTCCCTGCGTATTGGCGATTTTCTTGTAGCATTTGAGACTGAGTCTAACATTGACGGAATCGCCTCGGAGATAGCCCATTGACGAGATGTTCATCTTAACTTGTACTCTGTTGTTGGAGTTATCGTCAATTGAATTAGCCGAGTTCAAAGAGGACGCCGACGACACAGACGAAAGTGTTTTATAGAGTCCGTGCTTGACGGTTTTAAAATTCAACACTTTTGGCTGTGGTTCCGGTAGTAACATCAGGTTAATCGGCTTGACTATGCTGAACAGTTTCTCGCAAGATGCCAGTATCCCATCTGCAGAGTCGCTCTCGATTATGGTGCACTTTAACATGTATTTTATCTCTCCTTTTTCAAAAGATATACTGGTATGCACATTTCGCTTAGGAAGTTTGATGATGAACGGAAATCTGTGTTCGCCCAAAGTCAACGCGGAATCTTCTGCGTCTCCGTATAGAACAATGTTGTGATCAAATAGATTCTGTTTTTTATCAGATCGAAGTGGAGAGGTTGATGTTATCTTTATACAGCCTTCCAACGAAAGACTGATTTTCAAGCCCACCACATTCTTCTTTAAAATGAGTATCACTTGGCCAGAAAGCTCCTCTCCCGGACGGTACAATTTGTGAGGGTTGTCCAACATAATGTAGAAATCCCTCACCACCGACTTGGACTGGAGAGGAGCTCCCAGTATACGCGAACTCTTTAGCGGAAGGAGCTGGTTGACCGCTTTTCGCATAGGCTTTGAGGTACCGGCTGAAAAATATAAGTCAACTGGTCGATGAAGCACGCAAAATGAACGATTTATAGGTGCAAAACCGAACAGAAAATAGAGCGGCTTAGGTCAAAAGTAAAAGCCGATCGACACGATGCTTAGTCAATCTGGTTGAGAGGAAAAAAAATCTAATTTTAATAACGATGAAAAAAAAAATAATATTCCGATACCGGGAGTCGAACCCGGGTCTGCCCGGTGAAAGCGGACCATGATAGCCGTTACACTATATCGGAAATGAACATAATTAATCGTGCCGGTGCAAAGACCCACTGATAAATTAAAGTCAAAGCCCTTTGATTTTTCAACTAGAGCCAAAGTAATTTTTTTGGCCAATGTTTAAATTGCAGAGAAATGGCGTGCGGTGGCTGTCACGGTCAGCACGTGTGCTGAATGAAGCTTCAAAACCAAAGAAAGAGCTCCCGAGACTGTCCATGGAGGAGTATCGGACTTTGCGTGAAGAATATTACAACGCCAAAAACAAAATCAGACGACAAACGGCAACGAATTACTCCGTTTCTCTATTTCTTGTATTTATGACCCTATCGTTCGCATCCGTTCCGTTATACCGGGTGGTTTGTCAGAAGACAGGATGGGGAGGAACTCCAATGACAGACAGCTCCAAGTTCACCCCTGATAAATTGGTCCCCGTGGACACTGATAAAAAAATAAGAGTTTCATTCACCGCCGAAACATCACGGAAGTTACCATGGAAATTTGTTCCGCAGCAACGTGAAGTGTATCTCGTTCCCGGTGAGACCGCCTTGGCTTTCTACAAGGCAAAGAACGTTTCGTCCAAAGACATTACCGGTATGGCTACCTATAGTGTTACCCCAGATCATATTGCACCATACTTCAATAAGATCCAGTGTTTCTGTTTCGAGGAACAGAGACTCAACGCCGGAGAAGAAGTCGACATGCCGTTGTTCTTCTTCATTGATCCGGAGTTCTCCCAGGACCCGTCCATGAGAAACGTTGAGGACATCGTTTTGCATTACACCTTTTTCAAAGCTACTCATGACGAATCGCACGAGCAAATCATGGCCGAAGCTCAGAAGAAGAAAGAAGCTGAAAAGTCCGCAAATAACTAAATTCAAACTGTATATAGAGCTGAAATTAATATCACTCAGGACCAGAGATCATGATCTTGATCGACTTACCTTCCTTGCTGAAGTCGTAGGCCTTGGCAGCGTCCTCGAATTTGAATCTGTGGGTGATCAACGGTTTAACACTGATCTTGCCAGAGGCAATCAAATCAACAGCAATCTTGTAATCGTCGACAGTGTACCGGAAAACACCAGTGACCAGCAACTCTCTCTCGGCAACAATACCCATTGGGAACCCATCAAGGGTGTCCTTGCCCATTCCGACCTGGATGTGTCTACCCTTCTTCGCTAGCAATTTGATACAGTTAGCAATACAGTACTGGTTTCCGGTAGCATCCATGGTGACTGTTGGACGTTCACCATCCCAAATCTTCTCAATGTACTCCAAGATCTCGTCAACTGACTTGCCCTTGGAGTTGAACGAATGAGTTGCCAGACCGTTAGTAAGGGCGAACTCAAGCTTATCCTCAACAATATCGATGATACAGATCTTGGAAGCACCAAACGCTTTACCAACACCGGCACACAGCAAGCCGATAGGACCAGCACCAAAAACAACCAATCTGTCACCAACGGTCAATTTTGCAAGACGAGTAGCATGGGTGGCCACAGACAATGGCTCGACCAAAGCACCCTCTTCTAGATCAATGTGATCTGGAAGCTTAACACAGAAATCCTCGGGCAACAAGTAGTATCTGCACAAAGTTCCGTCATTTGGCGGAGTAGCTGCAAATTTCATCTCCGGGCACAAGTTGTAGTTACCACTCTTGTACTCGTACGAGAATCTGGATGGGATACCCGGCTCACAAGCAACCTTATCTCCAACCTTCAAAGTTTTGACATTGGATCCAACCTCGACAATCACACCGGAAGATTCATGACCCAAAACCATTGGCTCCTTGACAACAAACGATCCAACGCAGCCATGCTCGTAGAAGTGGACATCCGATCCACAGAGCCCTGTCTTCTTGATCGCAATCTTAACGTAGTCTGGATCCTTAAGCTCAGGAACTGGTCTGTCTTCTAAGACAATTTCGCCAATCTTTTTTAAAACGATAGAAGGATTGTTCATTGGAAGTAAAATATAAAGCAGGTGAAAAAAAAAAGAACAAGTAACATTCATCTCGTGTTAAATGCAATCCCCACGGGGAAAATCTTTTACTGAATCCAGTAAGTACGTCTATTAAAAAATTAGTCCTTGTAATAAACTTTGCGGAAGAAATCCATGGTGTTGGTGAAAACCACAAGCAGAATACCTCCTCCTGGTCCGAGTCTCAAAACCTTTGGCAGGAATCCTTTATACAAAGCACTGAAACCTTCTTCCTTCATGATAAGGGCAAGAGATGGGAAGGTCCAGTTGTATTTTCTAGCAACACCCTCAACCTTTGGAGTGTTTTGAATACGGGACTTGACAACATCGAATGGGGTGTTGAACAAAGTACCAACAGTTCCTCCAATGGCACCAGAGATCAAATCGTTAACAGTCTTCTGGGTTGGGGTTTCAGCCTTTGGCAGCAGAGATCTAACTTGGAAAATGACACCGAAATAACCTGCATTCCAGACAATGTGTCTCCATAGAGTAGCCTCCAAACCATTGTACAAAGCCAAAGGACCTTCCTCCTTAACAATGTGCTTCACAACTTCTCCCATACCAGTGTACTTAGACGTCTTGTCCTGCAATCTAATTTTGACCAGTTCGAATGGAACAACAACAAACGACTCAGTGGCACCAGCAGTAGCACCAGTCAAAACAGCCAGTGGCTGAGTCATCTCGGTAACACCAAAAGCACGTTTATAAACTTTCCCCCACTCGTCGTTGGCAGCAAATTTGGTTGCTCTCTTTGGAGCCTCCATCAAAATAGGAGCGCTGATACCACGGTACAATCTAGAAGGACCCTCGTTCTTAACGATCTTGGTCAAGCAATCAATGATACCTGTGTACTCTCCTTTTCCCCCACCTCCAACTTGGAGCTGAATTCTTGTCTTGACCACATCCAGTGGGTACATAACAAGAATCTCAGAGACACCAGCAACTGCACCAGCTAAAAACTGGTAAACAAACGGAAGAGGCCGTTGATCAGACATATTACTAACAAGAAATTAGATTACTTTTTCCCCTACTGTTATATGTTGAAAAATTATCGGGAAACCGCTTTCTGAGCAAATCGCGCAAATACATTTGGGTGTTGCAAATTAATTCGCGTTTACTTTCCGTTACCATGGACAACACCCAAGCGCCAACTATTTGTTCGTAAAATTCGCGTAGCCACATTTCCACCCACTTTGGACCTCCACTCTTACTGTGCGCTGCTGCTATCGAGTCATATGTATATAAACGCCGGGTAACTAATGTAAGGTTTTCTCTTAGCTCCGTGATAAACCCGTTTTGCCCCTTCGGCTTTTTCAATGACCAAATTGATATAAAAATTAATAATTTCTCTTACTTTCTCTCACAATGTTTTCCCGCAATATTATCAGACAATCTCTGCGCTCGAGAGTTGCTCTAGCAAACGTTTCTAGCAGGCGTCTTTATCATCCGAAAGTCATCGATCATTATCAGAACCCAAGAAATGTGGGTACTATGGATAAGTCTTTGACGAACGTCGGAACAGGGCTCGTTGGCGCTCCAGCGTGCGGAGATGTGATGAGATTACAAATTCAGGTCAATGATGAAACCGGAGTTATTGAAGATGTGAAGTTCAAGACTTTTGGATGTGGATCTGCTATCGCTTCCTCTTCTTTCGCCACCGAACTAGTCAAAGGTATGACTATTGAAGAGGCAGCAAAAATTAAGAACACAATGATTGCCAAAGAATTATCTTTGCCACCAGTGAAACTCCATTGCTCTATGCTGGCAGAAGATGCCATTCAAGGCGCAATCAAGGATTATAAGACAAAGAGAGGTAACCGCAAGCCAACTACTTTAACTTGATTTGGTTGTATATATATGACAGTTTAAGATTCCAATTTTTTCTCTGCTGAACTGATGATTCCAACTCCGTCCGCATATTCGTCCCAATGGTTTCCTGGACCCAGTTTCTCTGTTCCTTCGTTCCAGTCAAAACTGGCAGATAACCATTTCATGTAGTCGTCTTTGATCTCTCCGGATTCGCTTCCGAACGACCACAGGGATTTGAAGCATCCTCCCAAAGCACATGCATCACTGATGTCGATCTTGTAGTTATCTTCTGTAGGACCCAGAATATCGCAGTACTTCGCGACGATCGAGGGATTCTTGGAAGATCCGCCAACATAGAAAACCTTTTTTGGTCTGCACAGCAAGGCATCCTGTGATTGTGGTTTTCCGTCTGCTTGAATCTCACCGTATTTCTCCAGCTTGGAAAGAACTCCATATTTGTCAACCAGTTGCTGTTTAGAAGTAGAAGCCAACAACGGACCCATTCTCAATCTACAAGACAAAGCTTGAGACTCGATGATGCTGTTAACATCTTCCTCGATGGACCATGGCTCAACTTCTAATAACTCCTTTTTGTCGACATCAAAACGGAAACGACGCTCGCATGGTTTTGCATTTGGAATGATCTCTCCGAGTGGGAAGTAGATACCAAGCTCGAATTTCCCGTTCAAGGGAACAGACTTGTCAAGAAGAGAGTTGAACTTGTCCCAAGAGTTCTTGGGTTCCTTATACTTTTCATTCAATTTGTCACGAACGATTTCTCTAGCCAATGCTCCGTTACAGTAACAAAGCATTCCCATGTAATGGTCTTTCAAAGTAGGATGCTTGAAAATATGGTAGTTTTCAGACGTCTTGTAAGTGCTAGTGACCAGCAATGCCGTGGTGGAAGTACCCATGGAAATCAACGTATCGTTAGCTCCCAATGGCAATGCAAGGATGGTGGCAAGGTTGTCTCCAGTAAAAGAATAGACTTTACAAGATTCGGAAAAGCCATACTTGGACACAAAGTAGTGTCCAATGGTTCCAATGCTTTTGTGTCCAACAGGATCCAAAGGACCCAGCTTGTCTTTCAACTCTTGAATACCGGCTTTGGTTTCGGATTCTGAGCATTGGTCTATTTTAGGATGAACACCAGCAGTGACGGCCAATAATCCATCGTCATATTGGGACTTTTGAATATCGTAGATATTCATTCCACAACCATCACTTTCTTCAATATTGGTGATCTTGCAACACAATAAAGAGCTCAAAAAACTCGAAACCAATGAAATCCGATAAGTTTCATGGTACTTCTTCGGGTCGATTCTGCTGGCCAGTTTTCTAATCTGAGGTCCAGTAAACCGATAATGGGCTCTGGAGCCTGTGATCCGAGCCAACTCGTCACCGCCACCCACTGATTCCTCGAAAATTTTCAATTCAGGACCGGTCGAATGATCTTGCCAATTTGGCGACATCTGGAAAGTGAACGCATTTGGAGCTAACTGTTTGGCCAATGGCTTGTCAGCAGACAAAGACTTCAGCAACTCCGGCGCCTCATATGACCAATAAACAGATCCGTGTTGTTGACAAGATCCGCTCATAGCCTTGACGTCGGAAAATGGAAAGTCGTCTTTCTTCATCTTATCGAAACACATCTCTAAAGCCTCGACCCACATCTCAACCGGAGCATTGATCTCTCCGGTTTCGTCATTCGAAAAGACACCTTTCCGTATTCCATATTCAGAAAGTTCAGTGTCGAACTCCACCCGGTAAGTTTTATGGTGAGATAGATCTGAATGGATAGAAATCACCTTCAACTGCTGTGTTGATAAATCGAACCCAAGAAACAATGACATCTCTAATAAGAAACGTTAACCTTTTGCGGCGAAAGCCAAGTGATTGGATGTTTTCTGTAAAAAGAATATGGAGGGGTAACCACGAGCACAGTAACAACGATTGAGGCAGCAAACACGTAAATTGTAAGCTTTAGATCTTGTGCAAAAAACCCAATGAGCAGACTAAGAAAAGTTCCAGCTGTAAGGATACTTAAGTAAGCTTTTTCTGCAGTCTTTTGACCCTGGAAATCGATGTTCGCTTCAAGGTATGGCTGAAGGAATTCCATCTAAATAAGAAAAAAATGAGGGGAGACAATAAAAATAATGCTGCGGTAATTGACGACCGTTTTTCCGCATTTACTGGGTATCGTCGCGTCGATCGACGCTACGATGTCGGAGATTATCTTTTCCCGCACGATCGGGCAAACGAAAATTTGGACGGTAGCACTTGAGTTTTTGCGGAATCCAACCGCATTTTGGTGTGCTCCGGGTTTTTACGTTGACGGCTGCAAATCCATGATCAAGACTAATCACGGGCACTTTTGATTCGTCATAGACGACAACATTTGATGATCCAGTGCCATTTTTGATCACGAACTCTCTTCAAATGTACTCCTTGTAAATGTTCCTAATTTCGCTACAGGAAAATTATATAAGTTACAAATCGCGCACAAATAATTTCCTTAATGGATGACTCTGATCGGGCAAAGTACCCTGACCTCGACGACGTTGGGTCGAACGTATCATTGGACTCAGCAGCAGATGTTGACCATCCAGACGCTGTTTTCACCAACCAGGAACAAGATGGGCAGCCAGACGATCGACTTAACTTGAGCAAAGAGCTCACAAAGACTTTGACTCTTCCTCCCTTAGCGGACAACGATCCGTTTTACGATAGATTCACTAACGGTCAGAAACGGATCTTTGTTTCTATCGTGGCATTCACCTGTTTTTTATCACCGATATCGAATTTAGCTTTTGCACCTGCAATCCCAGAAGTTGCAAGCTCGCTAAGATCAACTTCCCAAACAATCAACGTTTCCAACGCTGTGTATAATGTGTTCATGGGCATCTCTCCGATGATGCTTTCTCCGTTGGCTTCGATTTACGGAAAGAAGCCGATCATGATACTGAGTGCAGGTGGCTACACAATTACTTCTATTCTTACAGCCGTTTCGCAGAATTTGGCCATGTTCTTCATTTTTAGAGCTTTGAACGCATTTTTTGGAACATGCTGCTTCAGTGTTGGTGGATCCATCGTGGGAGACATCAAGGTTCCTAAAGAACGTGGTCGGGCAATGAGCTGGGTGTTGCTAGGAACACAACTTGGACCAACTATTGGCCCGGTTTTGGGTGGAATCATCATCACTTACACCAATTGGAGAGTAATTTTCTGGGCAGTTACAGGTTTGGGTGCTTTGGACTTGCTACTTATAATCTTCTTTTTAAAGGAAACCAGCAGAGTTGTGGTGGCTCAAGAAATTCGCAAAAAAACTGGGAAAAGATTTGTGTTTGTGAGCTACAATCCGTTCCGGGTCATCTGGGCGTTCAAGTACCTCAACCTGATCCTGGCCGGGATCATGAGTACGTCCATTCTGTTCAGTTTCTACGGGCTACTGACTCCAATTAGACACGTGATCAACCCTCGATTCAATCTTAATAGCCCGGTGCTAGGTTCTCTTTTCTATCTTGCTCCCGGAGTCGGATTGGTTCTGGGAGGACCACTGGGCGGCCGGTACGCAGATCATATGGTGAAGAAATGGATAATCAAGCGCGACGGCGAAAGAGTCTCCGAGGACCGACTGCGGAGCATCTTGTGGTCCATTGGATTTCTTATGCCTGCTTCCATGCTTGTGTACGGCTGGTCGTTGGAAAAACGTAAGGGAGGAATGGCGTTGCCGATCATATCGATGTTCTGCTACGCTATTGGTCAAACTATTGCATTCCCTTCCATGAACTCTTACTGTGTGGACTGTCTCCCATCGCTGAAAGGAGACGCTATTGCGTCGAACTACTTTGCCCGATACATCGTGGGTGGATGTGTCGCTTCCGCTACTTGTCTGGTTCAGATCAACAACATCGGGATCGGCTGGACAAGTACAATCAGCTGTTTTGTCTTGCTGTTTGGGTTCATGAATTGTGTGTTCCTGATACACTTTGGAGCTCCACTCCGTCTTAAGGCTCTGGAAAAGATTGAAAGAAAAAAACAGGCCCAGAAAGAAACTAAAAACTAGGGCTGTGCAGGAAAAAGAAGTTTTTCCAGTGTGGGGGGTAGCAGAAGATCACGACTATTGCTTGCATGTGATTTTTCTGTGGGGTATGTATGGAGACCTATAAAGAGGTGTGTAGTTGGCCACCGCTAATTTAATCATAGAAATGAGCTGTACAATGCCAGGAACCAAAGAGCCGAATCCGGCCGACCTTATTTGGTCGGAGAGACTCAAGACCGACTTTGATATCAACAAGATGCACGCATTTCTCGAAGGTTCCGAACCCGAGGCCCTTGAGACGCTGAGACTTATGCAACAACTGGAGAGGGACCCGATTTTGACAGCGGGGCCTTCCTACTACGAGATGTCCAAGAACGAGCACCGCGAGGCCACCGCGCGCAAAATTATGCGGATGGCCCAGTACATGGAGATAGATGCTCCCAACTACGCCCGGTTCCAGAACCGGCTGAACTTGATTGCAGTGGTCGATCCGCAGCTCGGAACACGTATTGGTGTCCACTTGGGCCTGTTCCTTGGAGCGGTTCGAGGAAACGGAACAGAGGCCCAGTTCAAGTATTGGGCCGAGGAACGAGGAGCCATCCGCATGAACGGGGTGTATGGGTGTTTTGCGATGACAGAGATGGCACACGGGTCCAACGTGGCTGCTTTGGAAACGACAGCTACCTACAACAAGGAGTCGGACTCAATCTTCATCAACACGCCACATGTGGGGGCAACCAAATGGTGGATTGGTGGGGCAGCCCATTCGGCCACCCACACAGTTTGTTTTGCTCGACTGATTGTGGACGGAAAGGATTACGGAGTCAAGACGTTTGTTGTTCCGCTACGTGACACGAGACACGAGCTACACCCGGGCGTCAGTCTGGGAGATATTGGGGCCAAGATGGGAAGAGACGGAATCGACAACGGATGGATCCAGTTCAGCAACGTGGAGATTCCAAGAGAGTTCATGTTGTCCAAGTACACCACGATCACAGACGAGGGGGAAGTTGTAGACCCTCCACTTGCTCAACTGGCCTATGGTGCTTTGCTGGGCGGCCGTGTTACCATGGTCACCGACTCGTTCCGCACAAGTGAGCGGTTCATCACGATTGCTCTGAGATACTCTGTCGGGCGGAAGCAGTTTGCAAATAAGGGCTCCACCACAGAGAACCAGCTGATCAACTACCCGTTGCACCAGAAGCGGCTGCTGCCATATTTGAGCTGGACGTACGGAATGGCCATTGCTTCGCACGTGATTCAGCAATCGTACAAACAGACTTTGGAGAAGCTGGACGAAGGCGTTGCTTCGGGCGACTTCGCGCAACTGCAAGATGCTATTGCGGCGCTCAAGGAACTGTTTGGGGACTCTGCTTCGCTCAAGTCGACCTGTACATGGAAATGCTTGGAGCTGATTGAGGAATGTCGTCAGTCCTGCGGTGGGCATGCATATTCCGCGTATAGCGGATTTGCCAAAGGGTATGTGGACCATGCTGTTCAGTGTACGTGGGAAGGTGACAACAACATTCTCGCGCAAAACAGTGGTCGTATAACTATCCAAAAAGTTATGAAATTTAACAAATCGGGAAATCGGCCCAGGGCGGGTTATGAATTCTTAGCCGACGCCTTAAAAAGCCAAGGTGGTTTGAATAAACAAAGCGTCCAGCAGCTGGACAAATTATTGGGTGCCATGAACCTGCTCATTTACAGAATGGCGGCAGATTGCGCGCAAACTGTTGAAAAGACAGGGGATTGGGACGCAATAGCTTCCGAGAAACTTACTCTTTCCAAGATGTATGCAGCACGGTTTATCTTGGACAAGTGGATACAAAGACTCAACACTTTGAACGAGAACAATGGATCTATTGACAAGCCTTTGTTTATGTTGGCACAAATTTTTGCTCTGTCAAATGTTGAGGCGTTCGGCTCGCATTTCCTGCGGTTCGGGATCGTCAGTGCAGAGGTGTACAAGACACTACTTGAGCAACTCGGTAAGATTTGCAAAGAGGTCCGGCCATATGTGATTGGGCTGAGCGACTCTTTCAAGATGAGTGACTTCTTCATCAATTCCACGTTGGGGTCTTACAATGGAGACATCTACGAGCATTACTATGGGGTTGTGAAGAACTTAAACAATCCCGCGTTGACCAAAGCCTCGTATTCTACATCATTTGAGCGAGACATGCAGCGACCTAGTGTGGCGGAGAGAGAATGCTTCGAGAGGTCGAGCAAGACCCTGTCAAAATTGTAAGTAGTTGTTTGTGTATTGCCTTAAACAGCATGTTCCATGCGCCAATCATGGCTGGTCTCGAGGCACGCGCGTGCATCTGATGCACCCGAAATCTCAGGGGGGCTTGATTATAGCAGCAAAGTTCGTAGTGTGGTACTGGCACGACGCGAGGATCTATTTTTAAATCTAGGAACCACAAAGAAAGAAAACTTAAATTTCCCAAAGTGGGAAATTAATCGTGTCTGACCTATTTACCTTTTCCCGTATCAAGTAAATTGTGATCTCAATTATGCAGGTAATTAAATTTAGCTCGGCAGTAATCAATACTGTCTAAAAACCAGCCATCCCGATCGGGGTAAATTTAGACTGAAATTGGCTATTTCTATTGATTTGCTCGGATCTACGAGCAAGTATATAAGGACCGTGTCTTCCCCGACTAAATTCTCAGATCTGTTCAAATCAATTCTAATCACAATCAATAAACAATAAATATAATGCAAAACAGACTTTCGCTTCTCGGTTCCCTTGGTTTGGCTGTCAACGGTTTGGCTGCCTACGTCCCATCCGACCCATGGACCACCTTGACTCCAACCGGTTCTTTGGCCGGAACTGTCACTGACTACAGCTACACTTTTGGTATTGCTATCAACCCAGTGACTGCCGAGGGAAAGAAGATGAAGAGAGACGTTGTCACCCAGATTGGTGACGGTCAAATCCAAGCTACCACTGCCACTGCTTCTTCTGCTGCTGCCGTTGTCACTCAAATTGGCGACGGTCAGATTCAAGCCACCACCGCCACCTCCGCTGCCGTTGTCACTCAAATCGGTGACGGCCAAATTCAGGCTACCACCGCCACCTCCGCTGCCGTTGTGACTCAAATTGGTGACGGTCAAATCCAGGCCACCACTGCCACTGAGGCCCCAGTCGTGACCCAGATCGGTGACGGTCAAATCCAGGCTACCACCGCCACCACCTCTGCCGGTGTTGTCACCCAAATCGGTGACGGACAAATCCAAGCCGACACCACCACCCACACCTCTGGTGTTGTTACTCAGATCGGCGACGGCCAGATCCAAGCCACCACCGCCACTCCAAAGGCCAGCGGTGCTTCCCAGATCTCTGACGGCCAAGTGCAAGCCACTGCTACCAACTCCGCCGAGGCTGCTGCCCAGACCGACGCCTCGAACCCAGTCAACTCCGTTTCCTGCTACAACGAGAACGCCCTGGCCATGACCTTGAACTCCACCATTCTCAGAGACGTCAAGGGAAGAGTCGGATCCATTGTTGCCAACAGACAGTTCCAATTCGACGGTCCTCCTCCTCAGGCCGGTGCCATCTACGCTGCTGGATGGTCCATCACCGACGAAGGAAGACTCGCTATTGGTAACAACACTGTTTTCCACCAATGTTTGTCCGGCTCTTTCTACAACTTGTACGACGAGAACATCGGAGACCAGTGTGAGGAAGTTTACTTGGACGTCATTGACCTTGTCAAATGTTAAGCTCCTTGTAACTTTATTTTCACTTCATCATCGTTTTGCATTTAAGGGTATTGTTGGCTTTTGGTTTCGAAAGACAACTGCATTGGTATAAATAATTACAAAAAAATAGTATATGAACATTTATTTGGGAATCTTTTTAAGGTGTAGGGTTTTTTAAAATATATCCAAAGAGTTGAAAAAATTTCCTTGTTTGTTCACTCTGTAATGTTCTCTGTCAAGCCCCAGCCACAGCAGTTCCAGGTGGTGCGTGTTTCGCAGGTGCGGTACCGCCGTATGCTTGCGTACCCACCGTACACGTCCAAGGGATACATTCCGCCGTCGAGAAAGGGTAAAAAACAGACAGTGTTCCGGAAGTTGATGAACGAGTTTCTGGGCGAAAAGAACTACAAGGGCCAGTATTTCGACAACAGACTGGCGTATTTGAAACAGAACAACAGCACAAACTATTTGGACGGTCCTGCGAGCCGGTCGGGCGTCAAGTTGAGCGAAGGGCCGCAGGCACATCGTGTTTCGAAGGACCCAAAGGCCGTTTTGCGGCCGTTCAGTCTCAACAGATTCACCGTCACCAACACTCTTGTTAGCAAAGACATGAAACAGGAGATTGTGGCGGACGTCGAGAGCGGCAAGTCTCTGCTGGCTGTTGCCGTCAAGTACAAGATGAAGATCCCCAGAGTGGAGGCCATTTTGAAACTGAACGAGATCGAGAAACAGTTTGAGGCCAGCGGCAAGAAGACGCCCGACTTGGCCACGTTTGCGTCCGTGATGAACAAGGCGTTCCCGCTGTACGACCCGCAGGAGCACGGCGAGAACCTGACCGAGATCCCGATTCCGTCAGAGACGCTGCATTCGAGGTTTGTCACCATTGCCGAGTCCGAGCCGTTTGGTCCTGTTGACGCGGCCAAGGAGTTTGGGCTCGAGCCCGCTGCTGAGACGTTGAGAAAGGTCACCGAGGAGGGCGAAGACGCGCTCAACAAGAGAAGACAGACAAGAATCCAAAAGACGTTTGTTGCTCCAATGCACCAAGGAGACACAACAGCATTCAAATTCACCGATGTCAAGGTTGGCCAGGTCGGATTCAGATACGGCAAGCCTTACCGGGACAACCGCAAGGACCGCAAGTACGCTTTTGACAACGCGGGCAATATGTATGCTGTTTTGGAGTAAGTACCTGTGAATAGATAACCGCGGAATTAAGATTTGTGGAAAATTAAATGTGGGGGCTAAAATGGGTCTCATTTGTGGGTGGCGGGTCTATGATGTGAAAACACCCACTGCTGTTGACCAACTTCTCCAACTACACCGCTGCTATCGTCTTCAGACCTTGATTTGTTCTGCACACACACCCCATCTGAACTGCTGCCCACAAAATTCCGAGAATCGTCAGTTTGTCCGAGCGGTTAAGGAGAAAGACTTGAAATCTTTTGTGCTATGCACTCACAGGTTCGAATCCTGTAGCTGACGATATTTTTTTACATTTTTGGTAGGCTATACCAGCACACAGGGCCACATCTACGCGATACGGCGCTCACCAAGGCTTTACTGGTGAGATGTCTATTGTAGATACACTCCCGGCCAGTTTACCACCACGGCCTATTCTCCTAATCTCGCCGCAAACTAAGCAGCTTTGCCAAAGCAAGTTAGTCATTTTTTTTGTTTAACATTTTTAGTAAAAACCACGAAACGCAGTATTGAGGACCTCCCATCGCTGCTGGTTAGAAATAAGCGCTGTTTCAAAGGATTTCGGGGCCTCAGTATCACAGCCACAGTTAGCCGTACATCAGCACCCAATAAATACCCGTTTGTCAGTGGCTTGTGCGTCCCCCTGAACCCAATTCCGTTTCATTTGTTCCAGCACAAGACCATAAAACAGTCGGCAAATTCCCTTAAATTAGGCCATTATCCATGTCCGTACACCCCAAGTCACCGAAAATCGGGGCAGGGCTCCAGATTATCCAGGACAAGGCGTCCGCAGACCCCCCAACGGCAAACAAGCCAGACACGGGCAAGTCTGTTTCCAAGGCCCTTGACTCCCCGCGCATCGTCGAGACAGGCACGGGAGTCGACAAGAACAGACCGAGTCTGAGCAGACCCCCTTCGTTCCAGCGGTTCTCGGACGCTGCGCAGAAAGTGGGGGACTACTTCTCCATGTCCATGGCAAATCTACACAGTGCGCAATACCCCACCGACTCGCTCAGCTGCTCGCGCAGCAGCTCCACTGCGTCGCTCGGTAAGCTCATCGAGACCCTGCACGGCCACAAGAAGAACACTAACCTGCCCCTGAGTCCGTCAAAGGACAATCTGGCTTTTCTCAACAGGGCCCGGCGCAGCTCGTTGCGACTGGAAGAGCTCGACAGGCTCGAGGACACGCCGTCGCCCCTGCCACAGGTCAAGGAAACAAACTATGTCAAGGTCGAGTACGACCCGATCACGCGCAAGCGGATCCTCAACACGTACGAGATCCTCAAAGATCTCGGTAGCGGCCAGCATGGAAAGGTCAAGTTGGCCAAAGATTTGCATACAAACGAGCTCGTTGCCATTAAGATTGTCGACAGGGCGTCCAAGCCCAAGCTTGGCCGGCTCACGAGGCCCGGCTCGTCCCAGGAAGATAAGATCCGCCGCGAGATCGCGATCATGAAGAAGTGCTCGCATCCGCACGTTGTCAAGCTGCTCGAGGTGCTGGACGCAGAGAGCTCTCGCAAGATCTACATGGTGCTGGAGTACCTTGAGAAAGGCGAGATCCAATGGCAGAAGGACGACGACGAGACAGATTGTCGGCCAGAGCCGCTGCTTTCGCTTTCGGAAGCGAAAAACGTGTTCAGAGACGTTGTCAGCGGACTGGAGTACCTGCACAACCAGGGAATCATCCACAGAGACATCAAGCCGTCGAATCTGCTGGTTTCCAAAGACTACGTGGTCAAGATCTCGGACTTTGGAGTTTCCTTTGCTGCCAGTCTGGACGGCAACAACGAGCTCGAACTGGCCAAGACGGCCGGCACCCCGGCTTTTCTTGCGCCCGAGCTCTGCAACACCAACGGTTCGTGCGACAAAGTTACCTACAAGATCGATATCTGGGCACTGGGCGTGACGCTTTACTGCCTCATCTTTGGGTGTCTTCCTTTCAACGGCGAGACCGAATTTGCACTATTTGACAACATAAACACTAAACCGCTCAGTTTTCCAGACACTTCGCAATGGAAGTGCTCGCCACCAATTCCCGACTATGACCTTGCGCAGGTGACGGACCTGCTAGACCGTTTGCTTCAAAAAAACCCCGACCACCGGATCGAGATCGCCCAGATCAAAGAGCACCCGTTCTTCCTGGAAGGTCTGTCGCGAGCACAGACCAGAAAGTACGTGTCCAACTGGAACAACGAGATGAAGATCGCCGTCAGCACCAAGGAGGTGGACGAGGCCGTGGTGGGGATTGGCAACCGGATCCGCAAGAAGATCTCGGACGTGTTCAGGCTGACCGGCCTGGCCTCGCCAAAACCAAAGCAATCGCTATACGTGCAATCGCTCAAGGGCCTGATGACGCCGTCCGAGTCGGACTCGTCGTCGAACTCGTCCTCCAGCCAAACAGACCCCTCGTACCTGCTGTCCGAGTCACCGGGTTTCCCGCGCGGTGCGCTGAAGAACAGCAACTCGCTCTCGTCGCCGCTGATCCAGACGATCTCCATGTCGCCGCCCAAGCTCGTGACGCGCATGAGCGACTACCAAAGGGGGACGCGCAACTCGATCGCGCTGTCAATCGAGTCTGGCACAACAGAGTCGGAAACAAAACACAACGTGGACGCAGACTCGCTCATAATGCCCAACCACCGCGGCTCGTCTGCCATGTCGCAGCTGTCAGAGATCATCAACACCAGAAGCAACCCGGACTCGTCGAACGTGCCAATCACAGAGAGCGAGCTCACTCTCACCTCCGACGCAAGCGAGTCCGAGTCGATCAACACATCGCGCAGCTTCGAGCTCGAAGAGAAGCCCGAGCCACTGTCTGGCAACAAGACCTCCTTGCCCATGGTGCCCAGCTTTGCTTCCCTCGACAGCTTCTATGACAGCTCTGCTGCCTCCGCGTACGAGACCTCCATATACACGGGGATCCCGTCGCAACGGATGCCAACCACCCTCGGCAGCAGAAACACGTCGGGCGGCACGCTGGGCGCACAGCCGCGCACGTCGCCCGTGGCTACCAGAGCTCCCCCAATAGGAGTTCCTCTGCACACGCTGGACTCGGCCATTTCCGTGCCCGAGTCGCTGCGGCCAGACATGGACTCAATTTCTCCGGCCGTCACGCACGAGTCCACCAGCAGCAGGCGGAACCCAGCAGGCACTCTGGCCCAGGCCGCGCGCGAAAGACCGCGCCGCAACTCGCGCAAGGTGGTGTTCAACAACGAGTCCGAAAATTCGTCTGCCGACGAGTCTGTGGCCAGTCGGCCTGTTGCTGCCCCTGTTGCTGCCCCTCGTCACCATCTGTACGGCAAACGGCTGGCCACCGCGTCGGCTCAGCAGGAGTCCGAGTCCGAGTCAGACTCCGACTCCGACAACTCGGCAGAGCTCACGCTTTCGTTCGGCGCAAACAGATCCAGACCAGCACAGCCACGGTCCACAAGCTTTGCCGGCCTTGCGTTTTCAGACACCATCCACGACGTTCCTTTGAACCTCGTCCCTGCAGACCCGCAAACCGAACACCACCAGTTGATTCCCGAGATTGGCGGAATCGACCTCAACAGCAAATGAGCATTATATATTCCATGTTGGTATAAACATCGATTCACTTCTATGCGCTAGATCACCATCCGTTGGAACAGACCCAGATTAGCACAGTTAGTAACTCCGTTGAGAATGGCGCTCTCTGTCACGTCCTCGTTGCACAGCCGCACCAGCTGCGTGTGGATCTTGACGGGGCTCGTGAAACTGAGCACCTGGTCCACAGCAAAGTTCACCTCCAAACTGTACTTGTCCGCCTTTGCAACCGTGAACGCAAATCGGTCCTCAAATTGGCGGAACTGGTAGTAAAGACTCACAATCTTGAGCTCCTTGACCAGAACACTGAACTGTCGGTACGACTCCGTCACCAGCGAAAGATACTCTCTCAACGATGAGCCTGTCATGGCTTCCAGTGTAGACACGTACTTCTTGTGAAGCCCGGAAAACTCGCTGTTGGACGACCGCAGAGCAACCGTTCTGTTTCCCGTAGAGAGATCGATTCCAATTTCAAACTCGTTGCCAAGCTGTAGTTCAAGTCTTGTGTCCGTCAAGTTTACCAGTTTCAGTCCGACTGACTGCTGAATGCTGGAAAACTGCTGATGAAGCCGTTCCAGCTCTGTCTCTGACGGCAGTCTGATTGCAGCCAGCTCTTCCTTCAACTTGCGGTCCTCCTCAGTGGTTTCAAGCAGGGTCGATGAAACCACTTTCAGATTAGCACCTTCCTCCGAGATCTCACGGTCCAGCACCTCTTTCCGCTCCTTCAATGCAGCATTGCGTGCCTGCGCAGCTTCCAGCTGGACCTTCAGCTCCTCCAGCCGGTTCGTATCCACATTCGCCAGGTTCTTCTGTTTATCCTGCAACAGAGCAAGCGTCTTGCTCAACTCGGCTCTCCGTTTAACGCATTTCTGGTGCTCCTCGCTGAACGCTTCGCGAATGTCCTCCATGTCCGCAAACTGCGAGTTCACAGACATCTTGCGGTTCTCATACGATTTAAGCAGTCCTTCCAACGAGCTCGTCATAAACACCAAGTTCCCATGCTCGGCAATACTCCGTGCCAAGCTCGCCAGCGCCTGGTAGTTGACTTTAAGGTCTTTCTGCACCTCGTCGTTGCTTTCGTAGAACTCCCGCACCGACGTTGGGTTGTTGTTCACCACACCTTCGGTGAAGTCCTTGATGGTTTTCTGCGAGCGATCAATGCCCGACTTGCGCTGTGCAATTAGATGGTAGAAATAGTCAAAGTTCGGGAACTCTGTCACGGCATCCACATACTTGTGAAGACCCTGAGACCCAGATCCTTCACTGGTGACCGTGAGTTCCCGTTCAGAAGGACCAATATGGTCGTAAAACTGGACCTGCACTTGGTTCAAGAACTGCGGAAGCGTCACATGCACATAATCATCGTCCTCGTCGTCGTAGTTTGCTTCGTCATCGTCGTTTTCCGAGTCCATCGTGACCTCGGCCAAAGGCACTTTCTCTGCAATTATTATTGACTCGTCAACTGCGCTCGTGTCAACAGAAGTGTTGGCCTCTTTGTGTTCTTCTTCCTCCTCTTCCAACTGTTTCAAACTCTCAACAATATCTTTTGGCTTCGAGAGTCCGGTGAACTCCAGCACAGAGTTCTTGGACGCACTCTGCGGCGAGCCGTACTCGTCTGTGCGTATTTTCTGCGAGCGTGCGCTCGATCCCGGCGTTGAATTTGCTGTTTTCGTTTGGCGTGGCGGAGTAGCCTCGACTGTGGGCGAGAATGGCTTGACAAACTCGCGGATCGGCTGCGTGAACTCCATCTGTTCCTGCGAGTCAGGTTCTGGAACAGAAAATGCCTTAACAGGAGCTCTAACTTCCTGGCGAATCGGCTGGGTAAACTCCATTCCTGTGTCTGCCTCCTCATCTCTTTTCACTGGCTGTGTGAGCTCCATCGACTCGTCCACCGGGTCGGCTGCTCTGATCGGCTGCGTAAACTCCATTGGCTGCGAGTTCTCGATCTCCTCCTCTGGTTCGACCGTCTGTTTCGGCACCGGCTGTGTGAATTCCATGGTATCTTCCTCGTCAATCTGACTAAACGTAGCAGCCAGGTCGGGAACATCAGGCTGCTCCAACGTCTCATACCCGTAGTTCTCCCGAACCATCTGACGAACCTCCTGGTTCAACTCCACAGACATTTCCATTGGCTGACTCAAATTATCCTCCTCCACGCTACTCGCAGAAACTTTCTGAACCACCTGCGAGAAATCGTCCGCCTCGTCGTCAACAATCTGCGGACTCTGACTATGCCCCACCAACGAGAACCTTCTTGGTTGCAACTGTAACGAGTCTCGTCTCCGCGGACGAAACCCGCTCGGCTCTGCATACCCGTCCTTCTCGTACGTTCTATGGATAATACTGCGCACATCGACATCCGTAGCAAAGGAAACCCGCCGCTTCTTGGTCTTGTTCTTAGGGATGATAGCTATTGTCTGGTTTTCGTCCAAGCTCGTCTTCAATATGCTCCGTGGAGCAACAGGAAGCAGCGTGTGGCGCCGATTGGGTTTGCGCACTTTGTACGGAAACTGCCGCGGAGCAACGTTCTCCTTGTCGGCCGGCTGCTCAGACATGATTGATCTTTGTTTATCTATTTGTTTATATTTTTTTTCCACTCGCGTACACTAATTATACACACCTCACACCGCGAGAAAGGAAAGCTAGACGTGCTGGAGCTTGAACTGCCAGGTGCCCGAGATGGAGTCGTACGCCACGAACTCGGTGTTTGGGATCATCTGCAGCCGTCTGATGTGTTTCTTGACGATCGGATGGTGCGGGTCGGTGATCGGCTTTTTGGTGTCCTTGGATAGCGGGAAACAGCTCTCGAGAGACACCAGCGCAGGAACATTGAAGCCCTCGCCGATAGGAGGTCTTTGGTTGAGGTCTGGGTAGATCACACACGACTGTTTGTCGAAAATGATGATTTCCGGGATCTTGGCGATCAGCACAGCCGTCAGGTCCACCGGTTTTAGAAACTCTATGGATCCATAGCCAGTACGTCCAACCTTGAACTTGTCCACCGCCTTGAGCTGCACAGGCGTCAGGGCCTCGAGCTCCTTCGCGGACGGCGAGATCCAGTAGTCGTCGGCCCACTCGGTTTTCTCAGAAACAGGTTCTGGCTTCGACTCCGGAGTGGAGGTGGCCTCCTTCTGAACGGTCTGCACAGCCGTGTTCTCCAAAGCAAGCTTGCTTGGCGAGACGTACGGTTTTGGGGTCAGGGGGTTCATTGGGGTTTTCATGGTGATCTGGCGTTTAGGTGTGAGAAGGTTCGAGGTCTTGAGGCCTTCGTACTCGTCTTCCTGGCTTGATTTGTCGATGATCAGTTTGGTGACGTTTCTGGACGGAGCGAAAATGTAGCTCGACAAAATGGCGTCGTCGGTGGCAGAAGGAAGCAGCTTCTCGGACTTGGACCCGTTCACAGAGTCCTCAGAGTCCTCAATAAGAGTCTGTGTAGCGGATTTCGGCGAGTGCACGGATCCTGCGCTGGAAGGAGAAGACGCAGAAACAAGGCTGCCTGGCTTGGCTGCCAACAGGTCGTTTGCAGAGAATAGCGGCCGCGGATTCAGCTTGTACGCAGAGGTGATCGAAGGCTGTTTCTTCACCACAGGCTTAACAGGCACTGCCAATGGAACAGCTGGCTGCTGAACAATTGGAGCCGTGTTGGTTCCAACCGAAGAAAAGAGCGGATTGGTTCCATATGGATCAGAGGCCGCCAGCTGTTGCTGTTGCTGCTGGTTGTTGCCAAAACCGTTTTGTTGCTGGTTGGCGTTATTTCCAAATAATCCACCTGTAGTTCCCGTCGATTGGTTGTTGCCAAATAGTCCTCCAGAGCCGGTGGTGGAGGATTGGTTGTTTCCAAACAGTCCACCAGTAGTGGCAGCAGGCTTGTTGCCAAACAAGCCGCCAGAAGTGTTGTTGGTAGAAGCGTTGTTACCAAACAAACCTCCTGTGGTTGATCCTGCTGGTTTGTTTCCAAAGAGGCCACCGGAGGTGGCTGTGTTGTTGGTGTTATTTCCAAACAATCCACCGCCAGTGGTTCCGGTAGCCGGCTTGTTGCCAAATAGTCCGCCAGAATTGTTGGTAGCACCAAAGCCCGTGGTGGCAGCTGGAGCAGCAGGCTTGTTTCCAAACAGTCCACCAGAAGTGGCAGTGCTGTTGTTGTTATTAGCACCAAAGCCAAATCCTCCAGTAGATCCGGTGTTGGTGTTAGCGTTGTTGTTTCCGAACAATCCTCCTGGGGCAGGTGTAGTGCTCTTGTTACCAAACAGTCCACCAGATTGCTGGTTGTTGGCATTGTTTCCAAATAAACCACCAGAAGTGTTGGTGTTGGCATTGTTGTTACCAAACAGGCCGCCAGACTGTGTGTTATTAGTGGCACCTCCACCAAAGGAGAATCCAGAAGCAGCTGGCTTGTTTGCCTGTCCAAAGAGACCACCCGACTGTTGCTGGTTGTTGTTGTTGCTTCCAAACAAACCACCGGACTGCTGCTGATTATTATTGTTTCCAAACAGTCCACCTGAAGTGTTGTTAGAAGCGCCGAAAGCACCAGTTGTGTTGTTGTTGGCAGTGGCACCAAATCCTCCACCAAAAGCAGGCTTGCTGGCGTTGTTGGAGCCGAAAAAGCCACCGGTGTTGGAAGCACCAGAACTACCAAATGCGCTGGGTTGGGTTGTTGCCGTGTTGTTGGTGTTTCCAAACAGCCCGCCTCCTGTCTGGGTATTTGAGCCGAACGCAGAAGTGTTGTTTTGCTGTCCAAACGGTGAGCTGTTTTGATTATTTGTCGATCCAAAAATGCCGCCCGAGTTTGAGTTTTGCTGTCCGAACGGCGAGCTGCTCGTGGCACCGAACGCTGACGTCTGTTGTTGCTGTGGCTGCTGGCCAAACGGCGAGCTGTTTGTCTGGCCAAAAGGAGCCGAGGACGAGCCAAATGCAGAATTGTTGTTTGAACCAAATGCAGAAGTGCTGGCAGCGTTGTTGGTGTTGGTGGCTCCGAAAAGTCCACCAGCAGCAGGCTTGTTCTGGCCAAACAGACCACCCGAGGTGCTTGTGTTGTTGTTCTGGCCAAACAGTCCTCCAGAAGTGTTGCTTTGTTGACCGAACAATCCACCAGAATTGGTGTTTCCAAAAGCACTTCCGGTGTTATTCGATCCAAACCCAGACGTGGCACCAAAAGCACCTGTTCCTGTGGAACCTGAGGCATTGCCGTACCGTCTGCCGTCGATGTAGTCCTGGACTCTCAGCTCCTCAGCGGAAAACTTGGAGTATTCAGGCATGGCAGAAATGGACTCGTAGTACTGTGTTCCGTTGGTTGGGTCTTTCTCTGTGAACGCTTTGAAAGGAGGAGCGGCTGTTCCCTTATTCTGGACGTTGGCAACTCCAATGGCCGACCCAAATCTTGGAGCAGAAGCCTGTTGACCAAACGGCGAGGTGTTGTTCGCAGCACCAAAAGCAGACCCAGTGTTGCCGGACGCACCGAAAATGCTGTTCGAGGTCGATCTGGCGCCGGTCGAGTTGTTGTTGAAGGCAGACTGACCAAACGGCGAAGACGAGTTATTATTGTTGAAGGTGGATCCAGATCCAAACAGACCGGTGCTGGTCGAACCGGTGTTGGAGGCATTATTGGCCGTGTTGGCACCAAACCCACCCAATCCGGAGCCCGTGTTGGAAGAGGCCCCGAAAAGCCCTCCAGCAGCGGTGTTTGTGTTGTTGGCACCAAATGGAGACGAAGCATTGTTGTTTACAGCGTTGGTTCCAAAAGGAGACGAATTGTTATTGTTCCAGTTGTTATTTGACCCAAACCCGCCAAAACCACTGGTGGTCGACGTGGAGTTCCCAAACATGGTGGATGATGAACAGATTGCTAGCAATGGGATCCAACTGGGAAATGTTTTTCGTTACGAAAACCTGTTCTGCAAAAATTTCCCAGTGAGAAGAAACGACGGGGCCGCCGTCGCGTCGATGTGAATATTTCTTTAGCCATCAAACGCGTTCTTGAAAGATTCAACACGAATGGGGATCAAGGGACTCAACGCGCTGGTTGCGGAGAACGCACCAAAGTCGATCAGATCGAGCGAGATGAAGTCGCTGTTTGGGCGCAAAATCGCCGTCGACGCGTCCATGTGTCTGTACCAGTTTCTCATTGCCGTGCGACAGCAGGACGGAAATCAGCTCACCAACGAGGCCGGAGACACCACGTCGCACCTTATGGGCTTCTTCTACCGTACAATCCGGATGGTGAACAACGGAATCAAGCCGTGCTATGTGTTTGACGGTAAACCTCCTGTCTTGAAGGGAGGAGAGCTTGAGAAACGGCTCAAGAGACGAGAGGAGGCAGAGGCCAAGGCCCTGGAGCTGAAAGAGACAGGAACCGTCGAGGAATTGCAGCGGTTCGAGAAACGACAGGTCAAAGTCACCAGAGAACAGAACGAACAGGCCATGAAACTGCTCAAATTGATGGGAATCCCGTACGTGATAGCACCTTGCGAGGCAGAGGCCCAATGTGCCGAGCTGGCACGCAAAAATAAGGTTTACGCCGCTGCGTCGGAAGATATGGACACTTTGTGCTACCAGCCGCCCTATTTCCTCAGAAACGTCACTGCTGCCGAGTCAAAGAAACTGAAAATCGACGAGTTTAGCATCTCTGCCGTTTTGGAAGGCTTCGATATGGACATCAACACCTTTGTGGACCTGTGTATTCTTCTTGGATGCGACTATTGCGAAACCATCCGTGGAATCGGCCCCGTCACAGCTTTCAAATTAATTAAAGAACACGGCTCCATTGAGAAAATTGTCGAGTTCATCGAGAACGATCCAAAGTGCAAGTACAAGGTGCCTGAGAACTGGCCATACAGCGAGGCTCGTCAGCTGTTTTTGAAGCCAGACGTGCTGGACGGCGACGAGGTGGACTTGAAATGGTCCGAGCCAGACTTGGACGGCCTGATCGAGTTCATGGTCAAGGAAAACGGGTTCAACGAGCAGCGTATTAGGGACGGTGTGGACAAGCTCAAGAAGGGACTTCGAGGAGGAGTGCAAGGCAGACTGGATGGGTTCTTCAAAGTGTCAGTGAAAGCGGAAACCAAGAAACGTACAGTGGTCCAGGACTCGAAGAAGAGCAAACGTGCAAAGAAGAAATGATTTGGTGTATAAGATGAATATAGTGCACCGAGATATCGAACTGGGTGGGAGCCGGCTACTCTGCTGCGATGTCCAACTCGTTTATAGACCCAACGTCTCCTGGCCGCGCGGACACGGCTCCCAGGATGCCCGAAATGATAGAGCCTGTCTCGTTCAGTGCGTTACTGAGCACAGACTCGGATGACTCCTTAATAGCAATTGTCTTGCCCACAAACTTCTTCATGCTGTCGTCGATCCCGGAAAAGTATCTGGCGATCTCGACAACTGGCCAGGGAGCAGCGCGGAAAATGGGCAGGAAGTTACCGTAGAACGGGAGCTTGATTTCTCCTCGTTTACCGAGCTCAATTGCGTTGAACACCGCCTTCGAGACGTCGGTGGGGTCCAGTTCTGGCGCCAACAAGGTGTGTGGGGTTCTGACACCTTCAAACATTCTTGTTTTGAGCTGGCCTGGACAAATAAGCAAAGTTTTAACTCCCGTCAGGTTGAACGATGGAGGACCCAGCTCGTAGGTGAGCGACTCGTGCAACGCTATGAGTCCCGACTTGGTAGCCCCGTACACACTGAGTCTGGCTGGCGACATGTATCCCAAAGTGGAAGCCACCGTGACAATGTACCCTCTTTTGATCTTGAGCATGTGTGGCAGAAACGCCTTGATTGTATAAAAGCTTGAAAGCAGGTTGACTTCGATGGTTTTCTCGATTTCCTCGAAACTGAGGTCTAAAACTGTTTTTCCTGTGGTGATACCTGCGTTATTGATGAGGATGGTTATGGTTCCCACTTCGTCTATGACCTGTGCGCTTTTGTCCAGCACGTCTTTGCGGTTGCTAACGTCGCACTCATAGTAATGGACTCCTGGCAGGGCTTCTTCAGGGTCCGGCAGGTTGAGGTCAAATACCACCACTGGGGCGTGTGCCCTGCTGAAGGTTAGGGCAAGCTCTCTGCCCAGGCCGCCGCAGCCTCCGGTGATGAGCACGATATCGCGGTACGGGTCGAATGTGACGCCCACGAGCAGCTCGCTTAGTTCCCGCAAGCTTCGGTTCAGTCTGTAAAGAAAAGAGGTCAGGGGTCCTGTCATGGGGGAAAAAGGGGAACAAAGGTTTTTTTTTCCTTGCAGGAGAAAAATGATACCGGGCAATTATCGCAGGAAATAAACAAAACAAGTGATCTGATGACTTCAGGACCCCAAATATTGCGAATCAAGCGGAAACGGACCGACGACCCGTTACAGGCGCTACTGGTGGAGAGCCAGGGCTCCAAGCGGAGCAAGAAGGCCGATTTCATGTTCAAATTAGCCCGGACAGACGAGACAAACAACGAGGTGGACGGGTCCAAAGTGCTGGAGCGCGACTCCACCACCGACGGACGGATGGTGTTCAACCTGCCCAAGAAGGACGACGAGTTGGACCCGAATTTGATGGAGATGTTGTCGGAATATCTGCGAACTAGCGATATCAAGGAAGAGCACCACAAGCCTCCGAAACGGCGTCTTTCGAACGCCAACGCGGACCAGGAGATGCCCAAAGCGCAGAACAAGGACGACGGCGACTACGTCTACGACGTTTACTACCGCGACAAGGCGGTGACGGAGCAATGGGAAAAGGACAAGATTGGATACATCCAGTTCAACGAGGACGATATGGCCACAATTGACGAGCAGGACGAGCCGGCGGAACAAACGGACGACGAGGACTCGAACGACGAGAATTTCTACAGAAACGATTATCCAGAGGACGAAGACGGAGGGTACGAGGACACTGACAGTGAGGAGCCGAGCGACGACCAGGACGACGAGTTTGTGATTCTGCATGACCGGCGCCGGTTCAGTACGCAGGACGTTCGCGAAACAGAGGGGCTCACGCAAGACGAGGTGGAGGCGTTGTACCACCGGTTTGACGAGAGCGTTTTGGAGGACGAGTGAAGTGCAAGGATGTGCTCCGCCCAGAAAATAATTAGTGCGTTTTCCTTTAGCATGTCGTTACGAGGAGCCCGCAAGGCGATATACCGCACGCCGCACCAGATCATTGGGCGCAAGAGCGGCGATGACCAGCTGATCAAGAACTGGGAGCACGACCTGCAGTCGGCCGTTGCTGGACTGGAGTTCCTAATTGTGCAGGAGCGCAAGTGGAGCAGGTGTTTTGCCAGCATCCTTGATAATCTGCTGGGGAGCATGAACACGTTCGAAGATATTCATGCGCCGGTGACGATGAAGGCCAAGGACAACGAGGAGGACCTTGTTTACGACGAGAACGAGGATTTCTCGAACGTGACGGTGAACGAGATCCGCCAGGCCAGACGGCTGTTCCGGATCATCTACGACCAGGTCACGCAGCGGATTGAGACCAGCAAGGACACGTTTGTGGAGCAGTGCGAGGAGATGAAGGACCATATCCGGTTGTCGTTGAAACTGATCACGAAGCGCAACCACAAGAAGATCGACTACGACATGTACCACAACTCCGTGGACAAGCTGCTCAAGGCCAACAGCTTCAACGAAAAGGACAAGACCAAGCTGGAGACGTCGAAGGGTCAATTGGACGACAGTCGCACAATCATGTACGATCTGGACGCCAAGGTGAAGCTGATTGTTCCGCAGGTGCTGGAGACGTTGTCGGAGTTTATCCACAAGCTCACGTTGAAGTTTTACTACCAAAATAGAGACATATTCAAGTTTCTGACGCATAACCTGAGCAAATACGCCGAGTTGCAAGGCGTGATTGTGCACAAACAGGAGACAGAGTACGGGAACATCGAAAATAGCTGGCACGAAAAGATCCAGCAGGCCAAACATAAGCTGGAGTCGTTGGACTTACTTAACGACTATAAAAAGTTCCAGGAGAAGAACTTCATCGACAAGACCGGGCAGCAGGTGAACCACTTCACGGGCCAGGTTGTTGGGTCTGCGATCGACTTCACGAGCTCGTTGTACACCAAGACGGTGAATCCGCACCAGCGGCTGAACTTGCGCACGTTCAGCATCGACAACCCGGTGCGTCCTGCGACGCGGGACGGGATCTTTGCGACGGCTGCCGACCCGCTGTTGTACGTGATGGACGAGACCGCGGCGATGGAGGAGGAAACGGACGACGAGGACTCGCACAGCTGGCTTAAGCCGTTGTCGCTGGAGAAGCGACACGAGGGCAGCACGACCCCAGAAAGCGTGCCCGTGACGCCAAGAACGCCCAGCACGGCGCTCACGTCGCCCACGGTCGACCAGACAACAGAAACCGCGCGGTACCTGGCTGTTTCTGTGGAGGCCATGAAGACGCGGGTGCGCGACGCCATCACGAAGCCTGCGCTCGAGGTGGCGCCGGTGACGCGGCTCTCGTCGCCCGACGCGCTCGAGAACCCGCTACGGGAGCTTGTTGGTGCACAATCGTCGCTGGCTGCGGCGCTGATGAGGTAGTCGATAGAATTGCCCGGCACTATTTAGGACGATCTCGTGCTAAACTGCTGCGAAGGCGGTGTGAGCCCGGCCTTGTCGTACACATTGTTGAGGTACTTGCACCGGAAATGGTTACCCCCGTCCGGGAGGATGTGGTTGTCGAGCCATGTCTGTGCTGAGCAGTGGAGGCCACAGTGACACTTGCCCGCGTGCGGCAGCTTGTCGTTGAGGTTATGCAGTTTCCGTACGTTTTGGTTATCGAACCGGAAATGACAGTTGAGTAGGTGTTTCTTGAAATCGTAAGGTCTGTTGAACTGGCCCGTCTTGTGCACACACATGTCGCGCGGGTACACGCACTTGAACCGTGACACGGGCTCATGCGTGCGCAGGTGGCGGGACATGTCTCTGGTTATGCGTTTGTGGCAGACGGGGCATTTGGACGAGCGGGAGTACGAGACTGGGCTGCTGTCCTGGGTGTCTGACGGGGACTGTGTGGGTAATTGGTAAGGGGTATTGTCGATTGCAAGCTCGTAGTTATGCTCTGTGTCAAAGTTATGTTGGTGCGGCAAGTTATTCAGGTTATGTTCCAGGCTGTCTTCGATGCTGGTGTCGAACGAGTCCCAGCCAAACACGTCAGGGGGTTGGCATGCCTGCGCGGGGGCCATCTCGAAGCCAAAACGTGGGGTATCTTCCGCGAAAACGGCTGGCTTGGGAGATTCCGGCGACATAAGGCTTTGAGATAGGATGTTGAGCGATTCCATGGCTGGATATGAAGTTAAAATTGCGAAATAGGCTTGTATAAATGCTGGGGGATCTGCTTTTTCGCCATTTTTGCTTTTTTCCGCACAAGTGTTCCTTAAAATCGATCTGCAATGGTGTATTACTTGGCACCGGCCGGCTGCCACCGCCAGACTGCCGAAACAAGAAGGTGCTACTAAAAGGGGAATGACCCGCATATGGCTGCAGATGCGACTATTGTCCGCCGCGTAATAAAAGCAAGGGGATCTGATCTGCGGTCGTTTTAACGATTGCTCTTTTCTATTTTAAGCTGAAACACTGCAAAATGTTGCTATGGTTAGGTAATCTACTCTACATGTTGGACATCATGCTTCATCTCCACCCATTCTTGGTTGTGCACAGCGACGCGCTGCTGGTGGTAAAGCGGCTCAATTTTCGGAATGTTTTGGCGGAAAACGGCGCGCTGGATCCAGTTGACCAGGTGTCTAGTTTGATAAGCTGCGTGTTTTGGCGCAGGAACGTCAAACACCTCGTCTAGCTCCTCCAACGCGAGTCCCTTTGTTTCTGGAAGCAGCCACAGTGCCATGAAAAATCCAATCATGTTCCACGCCGCATACCAGCCGAACGCTCCTTGCGGCTTGAACTTCTTAAGCATGGACGGCCAGGTGAGCGAAAGAATAAAGTTGAAGAACCAGCAAGTAGCAGTAGCAAACGACATCGTCACGTCACGCACATACAATGCTGCACACTCGGCAGAATACGTGAAAGGCACAGGACCCTCCGATGAGGAGTAAACAGCACTAAACAGATAAATGCCCAGAGCAATGACGCCCACCCTGGCCTTTTCATGCTTAATCCAGAAAGCAAACCCGGTGAGAAGCAAAAAGCCCGCCATTAGCGGGAAAGCAAACAGCAGCAACGACCTGCGGCCGAATTTGTCGATTGTTAAAAACGCAGGCAACGCAAAGATCCAGTTCACCATGCCGTAGCCCCACGAAGCAAGCAGCGCATCTCTTTCGATGAAGCCCGAGTCCAGGAAAATCGACGACGAGTAGTATGCAATAACGTTGATTCCGCAGAACTGTTGCATGAACATCACCACCCACGCTCCAACAGCTCCGTTTCTGTTTCTTCTCACTGTGAACATCTCCTTCACCTTTCTGAAGAACGGCATCTCGTACGAGCTCTCTTCCAGCAGCAGCACGTGCGTGTAGAACGTGTCTCTGGCGGCCTGGATCGGCGTGCCCCGGATCCGGCTGTAAGCTTCAAACGCTTCAACGTGGCGGCCTTTGCCCATGAGCCATCTTGGCGACTCTGGGCAGAACCACACCTGCAGCATCACCAAGAAAGCGGGCAACGAGGCCGACCCCAGCATCAGCCGCCATTGCAGCCCTTTGTGGATCGAGTGCGATGGCACCGTGTAGAACGCCAGCGACATCACGTAGCCAAACATGATACCGAAGGCAGTCCACACCTGCCACATCATCACGAGCGAGCCTCTAATCCGCGCCGGAGCACATTCCGACGAGTAGACCGGGATCGTGGACGACTTGGGGCCAATGCCGAACCCCAGGAAGAACCGCGAGATAAATAGATGGTACCAGTTGTTAGTCAACGCAGACCAGATACACGTCACTGCAGAAATGGTGCAAGTAAGGAAGATGGTTCCTCTTCTGGCCAGCCGCTCGTTCAGCCAGTCGGTCGTCCAGCAGGAAATACACGAACAGCACAGATACGGAGCAGAATTGATCAGCCCGACCAGCCAAGTGTTCCGCTCGGTGTCTGCGTCAAGTCCAAAGTACTTCGGATAGTATAGCTGTGCTCCGTTGATAACCGTCTCGTCCATGCCCTGAACAGCGGCTCCCATGGAAGCCATGATGATGAGCCAGTAAAGTTGCCAAGGAATGCGCCAAGGATGCTCGATCTCCAAGAATAGGGCCTCTTTTTCGTGGTCGGAAAGAAACCCCATGGAGTTGAACCCGGTAGGACGTCTGGCCACGGCTGCCGCCCTGGAAAACAGGTCCGGGTCCATGCCGTACCTCAGAGCATAGTTCCTCCCCATGCTCTGGACCTGGTCTTCCGAATAGTTGCCCAGAACGTTGTTTTCGAGCTCCAGGCCGTTGGTGGCCACGGATTTCTCAGCGTCCCCTGAAGAAGACTCGGACGTCCGGTCTGCGAGAAACGCCGGATGGCTCTCGTGTTGGTCAATGTTGGATATTTGTTCGTCTGACTGCATCTTGTATTATTGAAAATCTTCTCTTTGCCCCTTTATACTCCTAAACAGCAATACTAAATCATAAGTTTGCTACCAGGCTTGAAGGTATAGTAAAAAAACTGCATACGCATGTGACGTCAGAGGGGCTAAAAAAAATAAAATTAACCGAAACTCAACCCCGAACTTACTAATCGACGTGCTCCACGCCCTGTTTAATTTCCTCCCACTCCTTGTTGTGGATGGCAACGCGGTGGGTCTTGTACAATGGCTCCATCTGCGGAACATCTTTGCGGAACACGTGTCTTTGGATCGAGTTCCACAGGTAGTTGGTCTGGTAGCGTGCATGCTCAAGTGCCGGAACGTCAAACACCTCGTCCAGCTCCTCCAACGTCAGGTTCTTGGTCTCCGGAAGCAGCCACAACACAAGGAAGAATCCAACCATGTTCCAGGCCGCGTACCAGCCAAACGCTCCCTGTGGCTTGAAAGCCCGCACCAAGGATGGCCAGGTCAAGGACAGAATGAAGTTGAAGAACCAGCATGTAGCAGTAGCGAACGACATCGTGACATCACGAACGTACAACGCAGCACACTCAGCCGAGTACGTGAACGGAACTGGTCCCTCCGACGCAGAGTAAACGATCGTGAACAGGTAAATACCCAATGCAATGACTCCAACCTTGGCGTCTCTGTCGTGGATCCAGAACGCAAAACCGGCAAGCAGCAGGAAAATGGACATCATAGGGAATGCAAACAGCAGCAGAGTTCTCCGACCGTACTTGTCGATGTTTCTGAAGGCCGGAATGGCAAACACCCAGTTGAGCATACCGAAACCCCACGATGCAACCAAGGAATCCCGCAGCGAGAATCCGGAATCCCTGAAGATCGACGACGAGTAGTACGCAATCACATTCACACCACAGAACTGCTGCATGAACATCACCACCCACGCACCAACAGCTCCGTTTCTGTTTCTTCTCACTGTGATCATCTCCTTCACCTTGGTGAAGAATGGCATCTCGTACGAGCTCTCTTCAAGCAGCAGAACATGCGTATAGAATGTGTCTCTTGCTGCAAGAATAGGATGGTTTCTGATCCGGTTGTAGGCCAGGAACGCGTCCTTGTGTCTCTCCTTACCCATCAACCATCTTGGGGACTCTGGACAGAACCACACTTGCATCATCACCAAGAAAGCTGGCAGCGAAGCCGAACCAAGCATGAGTCTCCACTCGAGACCCTTGTGGATCGAATGCGAAGGCACCTTGTAGAACGCCAGCGACATCACATCTCCTAACATGATACCAAAAGCCGTCCACATCTGCCACATCATCACCAGAGATCCTCTGATTTTAGCCGGCGCACATTCGGAAGAATACACTGGCACAGTGGTACTCTTTGGACCAATACCGAAACCCAGGAAGAAACGGGAAATAAATAGATGGTACCAGTTGTTAGTCAATGCAGACCAGATACATGTCACGGCGGAAATTGTACAGGTGATGAAGATGGTTCCCCTTCTGGAGAACTTTTCGTTGAGCCAGTCAGTGGTCCAGCATGCAAGACACGAACAGCACAGATAAGGAGCCGAATTGATCAATCCCACCAGCCAACTGTTTCTGTCTGTATCTGCTCCCAAACCAAAGTAGTCGGGATAGAACAATTGTGCACCGTTGATGACGGTCTCGTCCATACCTTGCACGGCAGCACCCATAGAGGCCATGAAAATCAGCCAGTACAATTGTTTAGGCAGTTTCCAAGGGTGGTGAATCTCCTCATGAAGGGACGATTTCTCGTCTTCGCTCAAAAAAGGCATCGAGTTGAACATGGAGGGAGCCCTAGCCACTGCTCCGGCTTTTGCAAACAGCTCGGGGTCTAGATCGTATTTGTTTGCATAGTTTCTGGCCATTGACATGACCTGTTCCTCTGAGTAATTACTAAGGATATTGTAATCCTGAGGAGCGGCCTCAGTGTCCGCTGGAGAGTCAAGGATCTTTTCGGAGGACATTGCGAATATTACTACTGCAAAAGGGGGAATTCAGCCCGCTTTTATAGTCATGCCAAGACACTCCCCTCCATGGGGAGAATCTATGACTTGGAGCTGTCAGTTACGTCACAAAACCTTTCGTATGCGAATCGAAATAAACTGAGCAATGTTTTGTTATCCCCATACAAGGTGGGGCCCCACCGCTGAGCCGCACGCCGCCCAAAATTCGCGCAGGACCCTCCCACGGCAAAAAACAATATAATAATTCGCACAAAAACAAATAGCCCTCGCTGCATGCACGCGGCAGCCCACAGATTGCACAAGATGCAACTTACAGGTATGGGGTTCCGTAGATAATCGTTTAAAGTCGCCCTACTTATCATTATTCGATGTGTTTGACCTCCTCCTTCTGGGCCTCCCAGCTGGTGTGGAGAGCCATGCGGTGCTTCTTGTACAGTGGTGCAGGTGGAGGGATGTCTCTGCGCAACAGTCCCCTTTGCAAGTTGGTGACCAGCGCCTTGGTTTGGTAGGCAGCGTGCTCCAAAAGCGGGACGTCGAAAACATCGTCCAGCTCCTCCAGAGTAAGCCCCTTGGTTTCTGGAAGCAGCCACAGAACCATGAAGAATCCCATCATGTTCCAGGCCGCGTACCAGCCAAAGGCTCCCTGTGGCTTGAACGCCTTGAGCATGGCTGGCCAGGTGAGCGAAAGAATAAAGTTGAAGAACCAGCAAGTAGCAGTAGCAAACGACATCGTAACGTCTCTCACTCTCAAAGAGGCACATTCCGCAGAGTACGTGAAGGGAACCGGACCTTCGGACGAGGAGTAGACAATCGTAAAGAGGTAGATACCCAATGCAATAACACCGATTCTGGCGTGTTCGTTGGTCTTTGGAATCCAGAACGCAAAACCGGTCAGCAGTAAAAATGCACACATCAATGGGAAAGCAAATAGCAACAAGGTTCTGCGGCCAAATTTGTCAATCGAGAAAAAGGCCGGCAAGGCAAACACCCAGTTGAGCATACCGAAACCCCACGATGCAATAAGGGAGTCCTTGATGGTGAAACCCGAGTCCAGGAAGATGGAGGACGAATAGTACGCGATGACGTTGATTCCGCAGAACTGCTGCATGAACATGCAGACCCACGCGCCAATGGCACCGTTTCTGTTTCTTCTCACGGTGACCATCTCCTTGAGCTTGGTGAAGAACGAGCCGCTCATTTCTCCCTCCTCGAGCAGCAAAACGTGCGAGTAGAATGCGTCTCTGGCGGCCTGCAACGGGGTGTTTCTCATCTTGACCAGCGAGTCAAACGCATCCCTGTGTCTGCCTTTACCCATGAGCCATCTTGGGGACTCTGGACAGAACGGAATCTGGGCGAGAATCACAAACGAAGGCAGGCACGCAGATCCCAGCATCAGACGCCAGTTCAGACCCTTGTGGATCCCATGGTCAGGAACAGAGTAGAACGCAATACCGAACACGTCTCCCAGCATGATACCAAAAGCGGTCCAGATCTGCCAGTTCATCACAAGCGAACCTCTGATTCTGGCCGGAGCACACTCGGAAGAGTACACAGGCACAGTGGTGGAGTTTGGTCCCACGGCGAAACCAAGGAAGAATCTGGCGATAAACAAATGCCACCAGTTATTCACCAGAGCAGACCAGATACAGCACAAGGCTCCGATGATACAGCACAGGAAGATCACTCCTCTTCTCGACAGCTTGTCGTTCAGCCAATCCGTGCACCACACAGAAACACACGAACAACACAGGTACGGAGCACAGTTGACCAGTCCGTTCAGCCAGGTGTCGTGGTCGGACTTGGAGCCGATTCCCAGACGGGCAGGGTAGTATATGTTTGCACCGTTGATCACGGTCTCATCCATACCCTGCACACAAGCGGCCATGGACGCTGTTCCCACCAGCCAGTACAAAGTCTTTGGCAGTTTCCATGGGTTGTGGATCTCGTCGTACAAGGCGTTCTTCTCCGTTTCGGTTAGAGTCTCCATTGAGTTGAATTCGGAGGGGCTTCTTGCCACAAGGGCAGCCTTGGCAAACAAGTCCTCATCGAGTTCGTGCTGTCTGGCGTAAGCGCGACCCAATTGCTGAACTTCCTCTTCGGTGTACTGACTAAGAACATTTTCGTCAGCGGGACCATGGTTGGCTTCGAATTCCTCGCTACCGGACCCAAGCAGCGCCTTTTCGTTGGGCAAGTCGTCGATTTTGTCGGAAGACATGATACGATAACAAATAATAAGTGAATTTGCCAGGCACTTGTCTTTATATATGGTGGTTTGACTGGAACTTTGCAGATCTCACCCTTGAAAAACGGAGACCTTTTATGGAGAACCATTGTTAAAAAGGATCCGGGCCCCCACAACGTCATAAAGTCGAGCTCCGCATTGTTTGGCGTAGTTGGCGAGCACCAGTAGTCCTTGGTAGCTCAAGGAACACCATCAAGACACACCGTTAGATCCCTGAATGGCCCGCTTCTGCAACTTGGGGCAAACCAAGATCTCGGCTGTAGCTTGGCGCTCCTCTTTGCCCGCTCCCCGACATCTCGGCACCGTGGCTTAAGTTCCTCAGTGCTGCCGTGACACCTCTGCAATCCGGATCAGCCTACCTCAAATTTGGGGGGAAAATGCCAGCCTTCTTGTTCTACGGAATTCCATAAACAATAGCATCACAGGTATCTAGAAAAAAATTATTGTCCCGCATGGTGAAATAACCCTGGTATTTATGGAACTCCGTAGAAATCGGACCTCCATATGGCCCCCCATGACGTCAATAAGGAATTCCGCATAACTAAATCGTCAAACTAGCGCGTACTCTCCTCAAACCCCCACACCCCCGCGTAAATTCACCGCTTTTTCCCATTCAGGTCCCCCAGCTCCTTTTCCATGCGGCTAATCTCGGCTCGGAGCTTCTCATTCACGTGGTGGATCTCCGTGTTCTTCTCGTTGTTTACCCTGATCACCTCGTAGTTCGACAACAGCGCGTTCAGTTTCCGCTCGCTCTCGTTGCGCTTCAGCCGCAACTGCCCGTTGTTCGCCTCCAGCTTCTTGATGGCCGTTTGGTTGCTGAACTTTTCCTCATTCAGCTGCTTGTAATTGTTCAGCAGCTCATTGTACTTTGCATGCTTCTCCTCCAGCTCCTCCTGCAGCCGGTGCAGCTTGTTCTTCTGCCGGCGCAGCTCCTCCGGCTCACGCACCGTTTCTCCCAGCAGCTGGAACTCGTGCGAGAAGAGCACCACGCGGCTGGACACCTCCGCAGACACCCGTGCACCGCAAAGCAGATTCGCAACGTCGCCGGCCAGCGAGTCGAAGCCGTACAGCACAACGCGGTGCAGCAGCACGTCCAGCTCGGCAGCAGTGACCCGCAGCCAGAACTGCTCGCTGCCAACCTCGCGCGCAACGTACTCGTACACGCTCTCGTGCTCGCGCCACCACCTCACCAGCACCGACGCGTCGATCGTCTCGACGATGCGCAGCACCAGGAACACGAGCTGGCGGAGGTTGGTCTGTTCGTACAGTTTAGCGAGCAGAAACGTGATCTGCGGCGACCTGTGCACCGTGTACAGTCTCACGAGCAGCGGCGGCAGAGTTTGCACGGCGAGTTTGCCGCACACGGGCGCCAGCTCGGAGTATGCTGTTTCCTGCTGGACGTTCAACGATTCCAGTTGTTTGGACAGTTCCGGGTTCGGAGCAGACACGGGCGCAAATTTCCGCACCATCGGGCTCTTGAGCACGAGCTCGTACACCGCCACCTTGTCTGGGTTACTGTAGTTGCCCGCTTCGATCTCGCTGCGCAACTCGATCCAGTGGTCTTTGGAGTTGATGCTGGTGAGATACTCGTCCTGGGACAGCTTCAATTCGTCGGGCAGGGAGTCGAGTGTGCGTTTGATGCGCACTGTTTGGCTATCGAGCAGGAACTCGAGGTTGATTTCCTGGAGACTGGCCTCTTTGGACACGGACAACGAGGTGGACCGGGAAACGTGGGACGAGGTGCGCTGGGCAATTGGCGAGCCGAGCGGCGTGTGCACCTCGAAGTCCTCCACGGAGGCGCGCTTCATGCCGTACTTTTTCGCTGGCCGGGGACGCTGGGGCAAAGCGGGACGATCTTCCGGAGTGGGTTTTTGGGGCTCTGTGGATTGTGCCCGGTGGCGCGGCGGCAATGGCGGCGACACCGGGGTGTACGGGTCCAGCAGAGCTAGCTGGTCGGAGGTGTTTTGCCGGCTCAGGTCGGCTGGCTGGTTGTCTGTTGTAGACATGACGTTTCCGATAAGTTTAATATCTGTAAAATACCAGGTGGTGCAAAGATGGTTTTCTTTTTAGGTGAAAAAAAAAAAAAATTGATATATAAATTTTTTAGACACTTTTCCACCATGTCTAACATCATCAACATCGAGCACGACCGCGTCTCGAACACAACGGCCACGGACTTCCCCGGGTACTCTGCAAACGGCGAGCATGCGTGGGACCTGGCCGAGTTCAAACGGCAGTTCAAGCTGGACATCTCGTACATCACGTCCAGAACTGCGAATTTCGACCTTGTGGGTGTGGATTCGTCGGTGGCCAACGCTTTCCGGCGGATCATGATCGCAGAGGTGCCCTCGGTGGCGGCCGAGTACGTGTACATCTTCAACAACACGTCTGTGATCCAGGACGAGGTGTTGGCGCACAGAATCGGGCTTGTGCCTTTAAAGGTGGACCCGGACATGTTGACGTGGATCGACCCGAACGCAGAGGAAGAGGACAAGTTCACCGACGAGAACACCGTGGTGTTGTCGCTGGACGTCGCATGCACCAGAAACCCAGACGCGGTGCCGGGAAACAACGACCCTGAGAACCTGTACCGGAACTCCAACGTCTACGCCAGAGACCTCAAGTTCGAGCCAAACGGCCGCCAGGTGACGCAGTTTGCCAGCACGCCTGTTGTGCCGTGCGACCCGGACATTCTGATCGCCAAGCTGCGGCCAAACCAGGAGATCTCGCTGCGTGTGCACTGTGTTCTGGGCATTGGGGCCGACCACGCCAAGTTCTCGCCAGTGAGCACGGCCTCATACAGACTGCTGCCCACGATCGACATCAAGCAGCCCATCACGGGCGCGGACGCGGTCAAGTTCCAGAAATGCTTCCCGTCCGGCGTGATAGGCATCGACTCGAACGGCTCCGCGTACGTTGCGGACGCCAGAAAGGACACTGTTTCCAGAGAGGTGCTCAGACACAAGGAGTTCGACGGAAAGGTCAAGCTGGGCCGCAAGAGAGACCATTTCATCTTCAACGTGGAGTCCACGGGCGCCATGCCCCCAGAAGAGATTTTTTACAAGTCGATCCGCGTGCTCAAGACCAAGGCCGAGTACCTGCGCAGCTGTCCTATCGGCAATCTGTAGACGTTAATAGAACCCAATCCACGACTAGACTCCTATTCCGGGCATCATCTCCGACAGCGACGGTGCTGGTGTTTCTGTGCGCTCAAACAGCTTCACGTGCTTCACGATCTTGACCACGTCGATCGACGCCACCGTCTCGTCGTCGTCCGCGTCGCACTGGCCCTCCTTGACAAAGTTGAGACTGTACAGGGCGAACTGCATCAGGCACAACACGGCGTCCCACATGAGCAGGTACGCGAGTTTGCGCGGCCACGAGCGGAACTGCAGCTCGCCAATGATGTTCAAAATGTACGCCCCGTAAGAGACACTGTCGCCGAGCCCGTCTCTTGCAGAGAACACAACGTGCACTGCAATCGCCACCATATTGAACCCGATGCCCAGCAAAAGTACCTTCTGCGCTAGCACGCGCTGGATCGACAGCGTCAGCATGCCGCCGACCTCCATGCTGCTTGGCGGGTGGCCCAGCATGAACTGCTGGAACCCTCGAAAAAGGAGAACAAGGATGTTCTCGTCCGCAAGGTACAGCAAGATCAGCACCAAGTAGCATCCGACGTCCAGCCGCGCGGCCAGGCTCTTCTTGTACTCAAGCCGCTGTGCCTTGTTGGTATGTTCGTTGCCCATTGAAAGTTGCCGTTCCAGCTCCGAGCGGATTTTCATAGAACTATGGGGGTTTTAATTAAATATATTTTTTCTACACTCTATTAAGGTCGACCGACTCGACAAGGTCGGAACCCAGGTGGACGATTTGCGCCAGGAGAGCGGCCCGGTTCAGCTGCAGCTGGTCGTCGTCGATGGGCTCGACGTCGTAGCCCAGGTTCACGCGGAACTTCTTCTTGGAGCCGGCCACCACTGGGTTGAGTAAGCCGGCTACCACGTTGGTCTGGCCATTCTGGCTCAAACCGGTGTACTTGCCGCACGAGACGACCAGCACGTTGCCGAACCGCGCACGAAGCTCGCGACAGTACGCGCCCACAGGGTCCTGCTCGCCGCTCGCATCGTCCACAGCAGGAAGCGCGCTCACCAGGTTCTTGAACTTGTTCTCCAGCAACAGCCCCGTCTTGGACGCGTACTCGGTCGGCGTCTTGATCCGCAGCACAAAATCGTAGTCCTTGAGTGCCGGCGTGAACACCAGTTTCAGCGTGCGCGAGTCCAGCGACTTGCTCACGGCATTCACCGCAGCTTTACTGAGAGCAGTAAGTCTGGTTGCTATTGGCAGACTCAGACCCAAAGACCACAGTCTACCAGACAGATCTTCCTTCGACGCCACGAAGAACTGCGTCTTGAGAGCCTGCGGGTCCTCCTTGCGCACCTTGGCGAAATTGCCCAACATGGCCTGGTAGCTCTGCACGGTCAGTTTGTCGGAAATCAGGTCGATGTAGTTACCGGACTTTTCCAGATCTTTGGCCAGGTCCAGCACCAACGGGTCCTCTTTCCAGTTCCATTGGCTTAGGAACTGCAGCGTCCGCAAAAAGCCAGACTCGATGCTCGACGGCACAGAGTACGGAGCAGGGTCCACAAAAACCTTCATCACCAGCAGCTCCACGAGCTCGTCGGAGAAGTGCGAAAGCAGTAGCTGTGCGTCGAGCCACCGCTTGAACAACCTCACCGTCGCTGAGTACAGCGGGAAGTGCGTGCTGAGCGACGCGATCGCGCGGTGGTGTTTCACAGAACCCATGTATTTCTGGTTGAATGCCAAATAAATGTCGCTGACTGTTTTCTTTTGCTTTTCGGAGCTGTTTTCAATTGCACGCAAATACAACACCTCGTCTCTTTCGGTCAGCACGTAGAACCGGAATCCATAGCCATCTGGACTGATGATGTTGAGCGTCTTGATCTGAGAGTTGTACGGCACCGAGGTCTCGTCTTTCTCAAGGTACGACTTGTACTCTGTGTTTTCTGCCAGATGCTGGTTGATCTTGAGCAGGAACGCGGTCTTGGTCTGCTCCAAGGCTAGCAGCTCGTCCGGCCATTTCGTGGACGTCTCAAACTGGATAATGGATTCGTTGAAAAAATCTGGATTTCCAACGGCCAACGGAACAGGCAGGATCGTGGACGTGTTGCGCAAGGCTGGCGACGCAGGCAGAATAGACTTGATAGCCAGTGGTAGCTCAATGTCGTTCAGAACCTTGCATAGCTCGTTATAGGAGGTTTTCAACGACTGGAAGTTGGGTGGAATCAGTTGCACCGCGTTCGACGTTAGCGGAACAGGAAGCATCTTCCAAAACTTGCTGGAGCTGTACTCTAACCGAACGTTTGGGCCGATGTGGAGCTCAAACACGTAGTTCAAGATGGAAACCACCGCCAGCTCGTTGGCTGGCCACAAACAACTGTACTGGATGTTACCGTCCTTGTACCGTCTGACCTGGGCCTTGGACCCCCAGAACGAGCGGAACTTGACCGCGTTCTCCTCATCCTCGTGCAACGGACCCTTGGTGACCTTGTTTTCGCTCTCCGAGGCGTTCAAAAACAGCCCAATCTCCACCGACTTGTCCTCGGGCTCGGGGTGTCTCTTCTGAACACTCCATCTATCCTCTGTGGCAGACACGCTAACAGCCACCTGATTAGCACGCTCGCCCAGCGCCCGAGTGACCAGTCGGTAAATCTTGCTGGTGACGAAGTTTTCGTAGGTTAGGAACATGATACGCTCGATCGAGCCGAACTTGTCGTGCTGGTCCAGAGTCTTGAGCGGCACGGAAACGAGCGTATCGTAATGCAGGTATTTCTGAGTGTTTTTGAGAATGAAGATCTGGCGGAACCGATCCTGGACCACATCGTTGAGCAGGTCCAAAGTCTCTGCTGCCTGTTTCTTGAGCAGCAGGTACGACGAAGGTGTCATTTTCCAAAAGATATTAATTTTCGTGGTCTTGTCGAACAACGTTGGCACATTGAAGCCGCCTTTCTTGTAAACAGAGCTTCCGTCGCCAATGGTGGATGTGAACGATAGATAGCCGTCTTTTAGCAGGTCCTGGGTAGCCAGGTACTTGATTGTTCCTTTGAAAAGCTGGTAGCTGGAGTAACCATGGAGCAGGATCTTGTTCCCAGATTCTCCTCCGCCATTAAGGAGCGCAGACATGAGCATGGCGAGCTCAAAATGACCAAATCCGCCCTTATTGAAATGCGAGCCCAATCCGTGCTGTTTGAGCCAGAGCTTTCCCAGAGCAGTAGCATCTCTAAATGCCTCTGTCGACTTTTTAGTAGCATACAGGTACTTCAAGTAGTACTTGTACGTGGTGGAAGACAAGATGGAAGCGTTGTATAACGGAGTTGGCGGCAGTTCGTCTTCTGTCTGGATACGAATGCAGTTTCTGTCTGGAAGCAGTTTCTTGCTCTCAAACAAGCCGTACTCGAGCCCAACCAAAAGCCGGATCTTAAACTTTGTGTCTTGAAACACCAGATCGTCTGGATGCTTTTTGTCTGGAGAGATGCTGTCTATTCTAATGCTTGGACACAATCTATCGCCGTTGACGTACTCGTACGAGATTCGCACCGGGAGATGGTGTTTTGCGGTCAATGTGATCAATTGGTCAGCCAAGTACGCCACGTAAAATGCTCTTTTGTACAGGGCTTTATAATTAAGGTAATCCTTTGGCTGGAACAAGGACTTTGGCATGGTGACGGCCACGTCGATAGCCATACCGTCTGGCTGCTGGATGCCTGTTTTCAGGCCGAACGAGCCCACAAGCGACACATCCGATGGGGCTTGGTACTGCAGCGCGTAATTAATAGCGGTGGGTTTGGGGTCTGGGAAGGGGATAGCCACCTTGTTTTTGGACTTTGCAAAGTGTTTTTCCGCCTGTTCGAGCGAAAACGCCTCCGATTGCGGAATCTGCTGCACAACCTCGTACAGTCGGTGGAGAACACGCTCGATCAGCTTGCAGTGGGCCTCTTTGAGCCGCAGTTCCTTCACGAGCTCGTCGATCTGGAGTTTGAAGATGTTGGACTTGAACAGCTCTGCAGTCTCCCTGGCGGCCTGGACGTCCTGAGCAAGCAGCTGGACCCGTTTCTGGGGCCGCTTGACCACCTCGACGTTCTGGACGGCCGCATCGACGCCGTCGCTGTCCGACTCCGACTCTCTGTCTCTTTTAACCATATACAAGATTTGTTAAAAATTTTAGAGTAGTGTAATGCACATAATGGGCGGGAGCTGTCACGGGGTGTCTGTGAGAGGGGCACGGAGAACGCCACAAGGTGGGCCAGCGAGATCGAAATGGTGGTGTTAAGACCAAACCATAGTAGCTGTCGCTTATGAAACCCGTTCCGACCCCAGCTGGCCCCAATCACGGGACCCGTTCTTGCCGCCCCCGTTACCGGTGTTAGGTGTGTGCGAGGAAAATGTGTCTCCAAATAAGTTTGCCTAACGATGCTCCGGATGTACGAACCACGACTCGCGGCCAGACGGTACGTGCTGACGAGAACCGCCGTGCGGTTCAACTCCACCGCCCCGAAGCCCACGCTGTGGCACAAGGTCAAGCACGAGGCCCAGCACTACTGGGCAGGCACCAAGCTGTTGGGCCTCGAGATCAAAATCTCGTCCAAACTGGTGCTCAAGTCGGCGTCGGGGTATGAGCTCACGCGCAGAGAGTACAGACAACTGCAGCGGACCACCGCCGACGTGTTGCGGCTGTTTCCGTTTGCGATGTTTGTTTTGGTTCCGTTTGCAGAGCTTTTACTGCCGGTGGCCCTGAAACTGTTCCCTAACCTGCTGCCGTCCACGTACGAGTCCAAGAAGGACAAGGAGAAGAACCTGTTGAAGCTCAGAGACACGCGCACCAAGGTGAGCGAGATCCTCAGAACACAGGCCAAGCCCATCAAATTGCCGTCCACCATCACCGAGGAGCAACGGGCCGACTTTAAGGACTTTTACTCCAAGCTGCGGAGCACCGGGTCCGACTCGATCCCCAAGGAACAGCTTCTGCGTGTGGCCAAGCTGTTCAAAGACGACCTGATTCTGGATAACGTGTCACGGGGCATTCTGATAGCCATTGCCAAGTACATCAATCTGCGGCCGTTTGGAACAGACCAGATCCTGCGGTACCGGATCCGGCACAAGATGCTGAAAATCAAGCAGGACGACAAGCTGATCGAGTACGAGGGGGTCAAGTCGTTGTCGCCGCTCGAGCTGCAGGTGGCCTGTGCCTCGCGCGGGCTGCGTATTGCCGACATCTCGCTTGACAGACAACGGGAGCTGCTACAGTTCTGGCTCAACATGCGGCTAAGAGAGAAGATCCCGTCCACGCTGCTGATTCTGGCCAACGCGTATACGTACGGCGCGCCGGCAGAGTACTCGCAGTACGATGCGTTGAAGTCCGTGCTCAACTCGCTGCCCGAGGAGTTCTACCACGAGCAGGAGCTGCATGTGGACGAGGACAGGGCCACTTTCGAGCAACGGATGAACGTCATCAAGGAGCAGGAGCATCTGATCAAGAGCGAGAATGTCCAGGAGCAGGACCACAAGGTCATTGTCAAGGACAAGCTGAGTCTGGACGACGAGGACAAGCCGCACGGGTCTAAATAGAGTGGATAGATAATTTTCGGCACATTTTTTACTAATGCCCAGGGTCTGGTGCAAGACGTGTTCCAAGGTATGTTTTGAGGACGCTTGACTAACCAGTTTGTTGATGGGAACCAGCAGAAGACGCACGAGGCGAGTGCGGGCCACCGCGCGGCCACTGCGCGCGTGTTGAAGGGCCTGCGCGAGCGACAGCGAGAAAACGACGCTCAGGCCTCGCTGGCCGAGAAAGAGCTGCACAGGATCCGCGAGCGGTCGCCCGTGCGCCGGAAGCCGTGCGTGGAAGCTCAATCTGAGCAGCAAACGGCGGAGAAGGATCAAAAAACGGCGATTCCTCTCGGAGTGTACAGAAAGGCCATTTCGCACTCACAGAAAGAAATACAAGCCTGGTCGGTGCAGGAGAAACCGCTCGAGGACCCGGTGGACGACCCGCTCGACGAGTCCCCCGCCAAACCGCCCACGGCATTCCGCAAACGACGCCCCAAATAACTTACAATATCATACTGTTCTGATTGTATGTACATCGTTTCTCATGTAAACTTCCGAGACCCTCCTCTCACAAACTCCAGGATCTTCCAGCCCTCGGTCTCCGGGTTGTCCACGTCCTCAGGAACACGCGTGATCACCAGGGCGTACGTCGAAAGCATGATGTCTTCCTCGGTACCGGCAACCACCTCGCCCGTCTTGGCCCGTCTGAACAGGTTGATCTCCTGGACACGGGCGCTGATCACAAACACAGGGATCTGGTTAGGCTCGAGCATTCTCGACGAGACAATCTCGACGTTTCTCACGTCCAAAATGCGTCCATCGGAGAAAATGCCCTGGTCTCTAAACTGTTTCTGCTGTGCGGCCAGAATGTTGGCTGGAGCTTCAGAAAGCCACAGTCTCAGCGTCTTTTCGTCGCCGGTGATGTATGCCTCCAAAACCTCCGGCACAATGTACTCTCTCAGCTGTTTGGTGAGGGCCTCTGTGTTGAAGTTTGGATCCAGCTCTCTGAACGCCTTGATCACTCTGGCACCTTCAGTCTCGGCGAAAAAGCTGCCGATCTTGTCCATCACCGTTCTGATCAGAACAAGCAACGGGTTCTCGGCCTCCTCCCATTTTTCTCTCAACATAACAAGCATTCTGCCGATCGCAGAGTTCGGCTTGATCTTGATCTTGTCCTTGATGCTGCTCTCCGACTTGATGTTGGTGGCCACGAGCGCCGTTCCGGCCTCCTCGTCTCTCTTGATGGCCTTTGGTTTGTTTTCCAGCTCTCTTTCCCGACGCAAACGTCTCTGCTCCTTGGTCTCGTACAAACCGTATCTGGAGGCTCCTTCGTCCAGAGTCTGGCTAACCTCCTGGTACGTTTTCGTTTTCCGTATTGGCTCAATCACATGGTCCACGGTTTCTGCAGTTTTCTCCACCGTGGTTCTCACACCCTTACCCACGGGCGACTCCCAGGCCTTGTGCGCCACCTCTCCAACAACATGGGCGGTCTTCTCGACGCCCTTGGCGATCGCACCGGAAGATTTCTGCGCCGCGTTGTACGCATCCTTGGCCCGCTTGAACGCCTCGCTTTCGCCCATCTCGTCTGTCGCCGATCTCAGCTGCTTAATCTGGTCTGAAAGCTCGTTACTCTTCTTCCATTCCCTCCGGAACGTGTCCACGAAAACCTGCATTGGCGACTTCTGTCCCGCCCAACGGGCTCCCCCGCTCGAAAACGCACGGATCCCCACACTGGGTCCACGCACAACGGATGTTTTGTACAAGATGCGGCCGGCTAGCATGGTTGTCCAGGTTATGGAAAAATTTGATATATTTTTTGTTTCTGTCATTTGTTTGTGCAAATTAGTTTAAACAAAACGAAAGGTGTTTCCTTCCTTGCCATTTGCCCATGTTTGACAACGAGCCGCCGTACAAGCGCAAGGCGTTTGGCTCGCTCAACGGCCCGCGGCTCAAGAGTGCGCAGGTGCGGCAGATCAAGCCTTCCGACAGTCTGCTGAGGGCCTCGCCTACCAAGATCACCATTCCCAGACAAATAGAGGTGGACACCAGGGAACGGGGTAGAGGTTCGCAACGCCAGCAGGGCGCCAAGTTCAATCTCCGCCGCGTGCGGTTGTTTACCACCGCGTCCGCAACCCCAAACACCGTCTCGGACCAGATCTGTCTCAACTCCCAGAGCAAACGGCTCACCATCTACAGTCTGCAGGCAAACGACGAGGTGTACTTTGCCATCAATTACCCGCAGATCAAGAGTGTTGATTTCTGCTCGAACCCAGAAAGCAGCTTCCATTTCGTGATCAACCTCGAGCACAGCATCAACGGCACGTATCGCAACAGGAACATCCACATCACCAGGGTCTGGGTGTTTGTGAGTCTGAGCGACGAGTCCGGCTACGAACAGCTGGTCAGAGACCTTGGCGAAGGGGTCACGTGCAACAAGCTTACCGCAGCAGAGATGAATAACGCTTACATGAAGAAAGAGGAGCCCGTGGCGACCGTCAAGAGCCCGACCAGGATCGAGCCGATCGCGCCCAGCACGTTCTACGGGAAAAGCCCGGCCAAGCTGACCCCCTTCAGCTCCGACCTCGACTCGAGCAACATCCTGGACGCCCCGCGCGCGCGCCAGACCCGAAACGCGGCCCAGGTGCAGATTGATGAAGAACTCGACACCCTCGCAGAGTTCCAGGACGAAAACATCGACCGCGACGACCAGATCGTGTTCGACCCGCCGCTCAAGTACCGGTTTGCGTCGCGCAAGTCCATGATCGTCTCCAACAAGGACTTCAACTCGTTGTACAACGGCAACTGGGTCAACGACTCGATCGTCGATTTCTTCATGCAGTACAATTTGCAACGTGCCAGGAAAGCCGGCACTCTGGGTGCATCGCGTATCGAACTGTTCAACTCGTTTTTCTACACGAAACTTACCATGTTCGAGCCCGACACAGACTACTACGCCAACGTGCGGTCGTGGTTCAAGTCCAACGACACGCTATTTGACAACGACTTCGTGGTGATCCCGATCATGAAGGACCTGCACTGGTTCTTCGTGCTGATCACCAACCTGCCACGACTACGCCACTTTGGCAGCACCGACACAGAGCCAGAAGTGCTGGACGGACTGCTCACAGTGAAGAAAAAACCAATAGCCAACATCTTTGTGCTGGACTCGTTGCAGAAACTGCAGCCCAACATCGCGTCGCCCATCAAGAACTTCCTCGTGGCGTACGCAAAGGATAAGTACAACCTGGACATTCCCATCAGCCACATCCGTCGCCAAACGTGCAACATCCCGCAGCAAAAGAACTTCAACGACTGTGGACTGCACGTGATTTACAATGCAAACAAGTTCTTTGAGAACCCGGACGAGTTCAAGGCCAAGATCTTGACAGAGTTCCGCCGCAAGCGGTCCAGCAAGTATTTTGCCAACGCCCTTTTCGATGACGACGAGCGCAAGGTCATCCGAAAACGGCTGCGTGACGAGCTGGTGTCGCTGCTACGGGAGCAGGTTGCCAAAGATGGCGGCGACGTTTCTACAGTCGGTGTAGAGACGTACGGGTCGCGCAAGGCGCGCGGGCTGCGCGAGCCGTCCGAGGAGGCAGAGCTGCCTGGGTCGGACCTCGTTCTCGACGACGAGATCCAGATCGTGAACGAGATCTCGCACGGAGTGCAGTCCAAACAGTTCCGGTCCGAGTCCGAGGAGCTGGAGTCGCAGGAGAGCGACGCGCCGATCCGGCTGGCGTCTTCGGAGTCGGCCGAGCGTGCGCCGCTTGACGAGAAAGTGTCGCTCGTCTTGGACGATAACGGGTCGCTCCAAGAGGTTGTTGAGGTTTCCGACCGCAAACGGGCCAGCAACAAGGAGAACTCTGGCCGCCAAAACGTGCCCGTCGAGGTGGTCGACTCAGACACTTTGGAGCCCTCGCGCCGGCGGCAGTCGATGCGATCGTTCATCAAACTTACATAGGGTAATAAACAATTACGGCAAGCTATTTTAGCACCCAAAAAAAAATTATGGTGCAAGATGATTTTCCTGCAAAAATAAGCACCCAAGGCGGGAGTCGAACCCGCAATCTTTTGATTAGAAGTCAAACGCGTTAACCATTACGCTACCCGGGCGATTTCTACTTGTCAAAGCGACCCAGTCTGGTATGTTGACAAAAATCGTCCGTCGTGCACGGGTGCGACATTTTGCTTTGTAAATTTCGTCTTGTCTTGTTAAACATGTTGTCCTTTGCGTTTTTGCTGCTGTGTGTGCCGGCGTGGACGCTGGAGCTGGTGAACGTTGCCCTCACCGTGGACGGTATTGCTGGCTTGCCCGACGCGGGCGCAATTGCGCTCGACGCCGAGAGCAAGCGCATCGAGCTCGAGTTCGACATGACCGTCGGTGGGAATCCTGTCTCGAGCCCCCCACAGCAGGTGAGCGTTGTGCTCACGGGCGACGGCGTGGACTCGTACCATTACCCCACCGTGAAGGGTGCAGAGGCCAAACTAACCGTGCCGGTGGCAAAACTGTCTCCCTTCATCAAACAAAGCCCCGAGATCGTGGTGAGCGTTCTTACGGGAGACCCAGACACAGAGAAAAACTACTTTGAGCCGGTCGGCAAGCTACAGGCCGGTCTGTCCGCACGGTCGAGACCAGCCAGGTTCGGTGCGAAGGAGGAGATCGTGCACCAGTTTGGCGGGCTGCCGAAACACGTGAATCCTGTTATTTCCATTATATTCATTGGGGGAGTGGTGGCCCTGACGGTGGGGCTTTTTGCCGGGTGGACAGGCGTCAAGGCGGTGAACTTCGACAACCTAGGCAAGCTGCCAGCCGGGTTCACCGTGCAGTTTCTAGCCACGTTGGCTCTGATCGAGCTGATCTTTGTGGACTATTTTCTAGAGGCCTCGATTTTCACCACCATCTTCAGAACGTTTGTTGTTGGTGTTGTGAGCGTGTACCTTGGGTCGAAAGTGCTGCGTGCGCTACACGGGTTGCGCGAGGCGGGCAAGAGATGAGGGTCACTCCTCCACAAACGTGTTTGCGATCCTGCGCGGCACGCTCGTCAACATAGACAGGAACCCGGTCAAGTACCAAGCATAAGTGAGTTTCCCCTCGATCATGGCCAGGGGCACGACCGAGTACGTTCGCGAGTCGAGCGACGCGTTCAGGTTGTCGCCCGTGACCCACACGTGGCCCTCGGGCACGATCACGTAGTTGTCGTAGTTGGACGAGTCGGACGGGTAGATCTCGCGCAGGTCTGATCTGCCGTTGCCCGCTCTGGCCAGCGAGTTTTTCGACGGGTCGATTAAAATGATGTCGCCCGGCATGCCTGTCACCCGCTTGGTGACCAAGCTGGCCGGGTCGGTAGGTTTGCGGGCCACAATCAAGTCGCCCATCTCGATGTTGCGGCCAAACTTGTACCGTTTGTCCACCACGGCGCTGTCGTTGACCACGGCCAGCGTGGGCAGCATGCTCTCGCCCGTGGTGTCGCTCACCTCGACCAGGTGCGACGAGATCACGTGCAACGCGGCCACGGTCCGGACGGTGTACGACAGAATCTTGCCCGCTGAGTATATATGGTTCATTGGAGACAAAATTTATTTGAATAATTTTCTTATGGCGTACGAACAGCGCAAGCAGCTGGAGCAGCTGATGGGCAAGGACGCGCTCGTGCGGCTGCCGCGGGACCACGACGTTCGGCGTGTGCAGCCCACGGACCCGTCGATGCTGGACTCGCCGCGCGTGTGCAAGAGCTTTCTGGTGGGCAAGTGTCCGTACGACCTGTTCCAGGGCACCAAGGAGGACCTGGGGCCTTGCCCGAAGATTCACCAGGAGAAGCTCAAGATCCTGTACGAGACGTGTGTCAAGAACGGCGTCAAGATGCCCAACAACAACTACAGACTGGACTACATGCGCGATTTGGAGCGGGTTGTTGGTGAGTGCAATCGGAAAATACGAGCTGCTGAGAAACGGCTGGAGCTGTCGGCGGAGGAAAAGGAGAAGCTGTCGAGCGTGACGCAGCAGCTGGACGAGCTGGACGAGAAGGTGGGGCTGATGTTGCAGGAGATCGCGCTGCTTGTGGAGAAAGGCGAGCTGGAGCTGGCGTTGGAGTGGAACAAAGAGCTGGCCACGGTGGTGAAAAATCGAGATGGTATTGCAAACCAGTACACAGAAATGGTGGAGAACATCAACCAGTCGGCGCAGCAGAAACTGCAGGTGTGCGAGCAATGTGGGGCGTACCTCTCGCGGCTGGACACAGACCGTCGTTTGGCAGACCATTTTGTGGGGAAGATGCATTTGGCGTACGTTGAGATGCGCCGGGCCCTTGACGAGTTGAAAGGTGGGTGACTGTTTTTTCATTTCTTCACCTCCACCACCCCCACCGATGGGGGGAACATGTCGGCCAAGTAGCTGAGCCAGTCACGGGTGGGGACGTTGTGGGAAAGCACGGTGATGGTGCTGGTGATGCCCAGGTAAACGAGCCCCACGGTCAATGCGGCCGCAGTCACCAGAGACATGCTCACAACAAACACGGGCAGGAACCCGATCGCAGCCCCGACAGCCAGCACAGAAAGCCCTGTGGTGAACAAGAACCCAATAAACGACGTGTACGCAGCCATAATAAGCACAAAGATCAGCACAGGAGGCACAAGGCTGAGAACCAATATAGTAACCGAAACGTTGACAACAAACGAGTTAGACTTGTAGAATGCAAGAAGCTGTTTCCACCCGGTGCTAGCGTTTTTCTTTGTTTGTTCAAGAAAATTGAGGGTGTTCCTAGAAAATGTTAGTTGATCCCTCTTTTTGCGGTTGCGAGCACTTACAAAAACACCAGGTTCCGGTACGTGCTATTTTGTGGGATGAACACGTCGATGAGCCGCGTCAGCAGCAACAGCACGTCGTTGAACAGCTGGATCAGGTTCAGCGACATGCTGGGCTCTGCATGCTCTGCATGCACGGCCTGCCCCGGTTCCTGAGCGTGCGAAAATGGTGGCACCGGCTGCTGGAAAAAATCCACAACCTGGTCGATGCTCTTGGGCTCCGGGGCCGTCCACTGGTACTTGGGCTTTGCCGGCGACGAGTGGCTGGCAAACGAGTTCATCGAGGTCGAAGTGTCTGAGTCGTCCATACTTGAAACAAATACGTTGGCAGGCTAAGTTTGTGGGAACGTGATGTGTGAAACCTGTCACCGCAGCTTGGTGGTGCACGGGTGGCCCAACCTGGCTACACCCGGTCAACCTGGATTGTGATTTCGAACTGGTCACCTGACTGGTCGATCGAGTCGAAATCCGCGTCGAGGTCAAGCGTGTCTGTGTCTGTCTGCGACAACAAGCCACGCACAATTCGTGTGGCGTAGAACCGCAGTTTGGACTCGTCGTCGTCAGATGCCCCAATCATCTGCACATTAAGAATAACCACCACGATCTTGTGGTTGACTTTGGCCACCTTCAGCTCGCTGATCTTGTACGACGACTTGTACACCTCGAGCGACTGGATCTGGTCCACGATCTTGGCGTCGATGTCCGGCTGCGGGTTGCGCAGCAGCAGGATGCCTGCGAGTCGAGAGATCAGCTTCCAGGCAAACGTGAGCACCATGGCCGCGAGGGCCAGACTAGAGACCTCGTTGACCGTGGAGACCAGCTCGGTGTGTGCCACGAGCGGGTAGAGCATGGCAAACAGTGCGTATCCAAACGAAAGCACGCTGGTGTAGTTGGTGAGCTGGTTCTGTGTTTTCTTGAGTTCTGTTTTAATGTCCAGCACGGGCTCCTCTTGCAAAGTAATAGAACTCACGCGTTTGGGGCGTGGCCGTGGCTGCTCGACGATCTTCTTCGGCCTGCCAATGACGCGCGGTGACGCAAAAGTGGTGATGCACACGGCCAGCAAATACGTTTCATAGAAAACAATGTTCATCAAGCCTTTCTCCTTGTGAACATGGTGCGCGTGCATGGTCTCGTCCACGTCACCGATTGCGAGCGCAAGCATGAAGCTCTCAAATAGGTGAGAAAATAGGTCCACTCCCACAAACAGCAGCGACACAGAAAGACCGAACCCGGCCAGAACCTCGATCCGGCCAAGTCCAAACGGATACTTGAGCGACGAGTGGCTCCATATCTCGAAATTTGTCATGATCTGGACGGCCAGCGTCATGAGGCTGCCAATGGAGTCGTACAACACCAAATGCGAGAGCGTTGACAAACACACGTTGCCGTAATGGAACCCGAGTAGGTACGTGACCAGACTCAGGAGAATATGGAAGGTGCAGTATGCGAGTTTCAGTTTCTCGTGCAGTCCAAGCGATCGCACAGTATCCTGCACCGTTGGCAGCGTGTACTGTTGTGGGACAGGCACGGAGGTTCGTTTTGGCGGTTCCTGGAACATGTTCATCGAAACGGACGAGTGCTTGTATCTATGGCCACGTCTATATGAGGCCTTTGGTCCCGAGTTTGGGGTCAATGGGGCCGGATTCAGCGATAGATTATCACTCGAGTTGTTCATTGTAATGGAGCCAAACTTGAACGGCTGGTTTCTCACGGGTGACCCTTTGCGAATGGGCGAGCTTGTTCTTTTGGGCGACCGCGAACGGGAGTATCTGTATGCATTGGTATGGGTGAACGAGGTGTTGGAGCCGTTGGACTGGGTATATAAGCTTGGCTTGTTTTCGTCGATGGTGTCGTCGAACGACTCGTCGACCTTCAAATCGGGGATCCCTGTCAAGGGTAAAGACATTGGGAAAGAAAACAAGACTAAAAAAATTAATTTAATGATTGAGGTTGTTTGTAACGACCGACTGGGTAAAAAAATCAGGGTCAAGTGTCTCCCCACCGACACGGTGGGTGACTTCAAGAAGATCGTGGGGTTGCAAGTGGGGGTTGATTCCAACAAGGTCGTGTTGAAGAAAGGGTATATGATCTTCAAAGACCACATCACGCTGGACGACTACGAGATCCACGACGGAATGAACCTGGAATTGTACTACTCTTGAACCTGGCGGGATGCAATCGGATATTATTACATAAAATACTCAACATACGGAGCTTTTTTCGCGAGCTTGGAGTCATTAAGGGCCAGGAAGTCGTCCTGCACAGAGTCCTCGAACTCGTTCATGTTGACGATGCGGTAGAACTCGCGCTGGCTCTCGGGAGACGCGTCGAACACGTTGAACCGGCTGCTCTGCTCATCGCCGTGGCTGTCGAACATCTCAAGGATGCTGGCCTTGTTGCCGCATCGGTAGCAGTAATTGGGAGCAGACCACACAGTGTTGACTTTGCCCTTCCAAAACACCTGGTACCCCTCGTTGCAGAGCTGGTGCGCCCTGTAGATCTGTTCGAAGTCGTTCACCTGCAGAAACTTGTTCACCACGTTGATTCCAAACTGGTAGCCTGCTCCTCTAGAAGATATGCGGAAGTTGAGCAGCTCCAGATCCGGGTCGCTCCAGACCAGGTCGGCCATGGGCCCGTCGTGAGGGATCTCCTTGAACCTGTCGATCACGAGAATCGAGTCGATCGTCTGCACGTTCGGCGAAAGCCCCCCGTGCACGCAAAACAGGTTGTTGTCGATGATTGCGGCGAGAATTAGGTAATCAAAGATATCGGTGAAGATGGCCCAGATCTGGGAGTTGCTGCCGTATTTCGTGAGACACTCTGTGTAGAACCCGTAGTTGGTGGTGATCTGGCGCGATTCGTGGTTTCCTCTGATGAGGTTGATGCGATTTGGGTACTTTAATTTTAAAACAATAAGCAAACTGATGGTCTCGATGGAATGGAACCCTCTGTCCACGTAATCCCCCAGAAAGAGGTAGTTTGTGTCTGGAGGATACCCTCCAATCTTGAAGATCTCCAACAAGTCGTAAAATTGGCCGTGGATGTCGCCCACTAACGTGACCGGCGATTGAACATGGACTATGTTTGACTCCTTAACCAGAAGCTCCTTCAGCTTGAAACATAGCTGGTCGATCACCGGCTCCGAAAGAAGCTCACCCCGGTACAGCTTCTCTATGCAATGATCCAGATCAACAGAAACTTCGCTTGTTAGTGGCCCAAAAGATGCAGTATACTCACGTCCAGCCATCCGGTACAAATTGAAGTGCGCAAAACAATTTTTTTTTAACAAAAGGCGAAACAAAACCCAGCTTGTATTTCTTCTCCAATTTCAATCACCTTGTTGACTTTCAAGCACGGCATGTCGCCCACCAACAAAGAATTGCCCAACAATGGCGACATGCATCCCGAGGAGTCCGAGACTCTTCGTTCGTTATCGAAATTAAAGCTCCAGGTTCCGTCTCAGGGAGTGCTTCTGTCTCCGCGTGGGACACCTGTTTCGTCCCCGAACAGCACCCGAACGTTCACTGCGGACCAGATGTTGAAGCTACACACTGATTTGAACAACGGTGTCCCTGTGGAGGAAGTGGGCCGTCTGGAAACTACCCCTGAGCAGACCTCCTCCAAGAAACCAGCAAAAACTAGTCCGGAAGAACCTCAACGGATTCCTCTGCTCAAAACCCCGAGCTTCCACTACTTTAGCACCGGAAACGGACAGTCTGGTACTCGTTCGAGCAGGACCATCAGCAACTACCAGAAATTGCGCTCTCTTTTGTCCAATCACAACGGGTCTTCTGGTGCAGTGGAGAGTGTCAGGCCACACAGCTCCATCCTCCGGTCCAACCTCAACACCAAGTATTCCCAGCAGTACCAGCAGCAGGAGATGGTGTATTTGAACGGAATCAATAAGTTCAAAAACAGATACAAGGTCAATGACGATTACTACAACAAGTCGGTCGATATTGACGATGATGATGAGTCCACGGAAGCAACCGCTGACGAGGATCTTGAGGCCGTCAAGTCGCAAGATACTTTCGACCCCTACGAAGCGGAGGAGGAGAGTCTTGATGATAGCAAGGAACTCAAAGCCCTGAGGGCTTTGAGCAAGCAAGTTGGCATGACCGACAACCAATGGGAAAAACCTTCCGAGTACAAGCTGGATTCTTCTGTGCTCCTCGATATCCTTAATCAAAGCGACGACATCCAATTGAAGCATACCGAAGACAACGGCACCATTCTGGAGCGCCTCGAGTGGCACCTTCTGTTACAGTCTGTTCTCACAGGTGACGTGCTTACAGGCGAGAAAACAAAGTTAATCAAACCTTTGGGTGATATGGAAGGTGAGAACTATCTCCGTGTGTCTTACAAAGAAGACCTTTGGCTTGGAATCAGATCTAAGCTTTTTGGAAGAACCGAGGAGGATCAGAAACGGTTGGTTTTATTCCATAGAGGTCTGGTTGATGAAACTTTGGAAAAAATCATGAACTTCCGTTTGGAAATGCCGGAGCACATCCAATCTTCGCCATATTGGACCCAAGTCAAGTTCGCGTTTGACCAAGTGAACGAAATCCTCGAGAAGTTTGAGCGTTGCCAAGAACTCTGGAGAACCCAGAAAGAGATGGAGAACGAAAAGCCACTCTGTGGAACTTTAGAGTTTACTAATCGTCTCCATGCCATGATTGCATGGACCTCTGTCACTTGCGCTATTGAGAGAGAGTCTAACGTTTTGAAGTCGTGGGTCGGAAACGAGGATCTGGATATCCTCCGTCTGCCAACTCCAACTTCAACAGTTAGCGAACAGCAGCATCCCGAGTCTGAGGACCACTCTGAAGACGAGGGTAACTCTCCAAAGGGAAAGAATAGTGTGATATTCAAAGAAGATCGATCATTTGTTGAGCGGATCATGAAAGAAAAGGACATTGAAGATCTTTTCAACAAACGTCTTTTTGCAAGCTGTGCTCACTGGACTTTCAAAGCCAAAGAGTCGTTCCTTGAGTATCAACAGTACTTTGAGAAACTGAACCTGCCAACATACGTCGACTCTTTGTTGGTGCTGGCCATGTTCCCTTCGAAGCTCATGAAGGAGCTTGTCAACACAAGATTGTCGTACGCCAAGAAACTGCGTAATCCAACAATGATGATGATTGATCAGGTTCTAGAAGACTTCAAGCTGTACATCACTTTGGCTTTGGAGATCCGTGCATCGTTTTTGGAGTACTGTTCGCCAAGAGAAGGCTGGATTTCTTTGCCTGACTACCAAGATGCAGACTTTGACAGTGCCATTTTGGAGTGTGTGCATCATTACTTGATCCTCTTGAACAGAAAGCTGTTGGATTCGCCTAAGTCGTCAAAGTCTTTCAGAACTTTCAAAGAGCCAGAAGAATTGGAGAGAGAGTGGTCTTTCTTGCAAAATCTTGGATTCTATATCGAGGGAGGTTCTGCGGAGGTGGCAACCCAGTTCACTATACTCACCTCGAAGCTTGTTGCGAGATTAAACCATTATGTTCAGCAACAATTCCAAGGACCACCGTACGACGGAGCTCCGTTGGATAAACACAAGATGGTCAGATGGTATACTTCAATGATGGAGAACTTTGGTCAGCTCAAGAGAAAGTTCTTCAGATTTCATGCGATCCTTCAATTCCATTTCCAGAACTCTATGCTGTACAATCTGAACGGAGCTCGCATGAAGAAGTTTTTGGATATGTTAAAAGAAAGCAACCACGTTCTCTACCATAGTGAAAGCTTGGCCGAAGAAGGAGTGTACATTTTCGCATCCGAGTCAATCGCAAACAAGCCTCATGAGGTGTCCCGTATACTCAAGAGCACGCATCTTGGTGTCGATTTCAACAAGATTCCAAAACGCCATTTGGAAGCTGTTAGCAACTACAACTATTACGCAGAAGAGATGTACTTGGAAGATCAGTACCAGACCAACGAGGAAGGTGTTTTCGAAGAGAGCTACGACTACGTGTTGGTGGTTTATCCTGCCAAGGCAATGATGTGGGATGGTAATGTCATCCCATTCCAGCTCGATTCTCTTCCAATTGGCAACCTGGATAAAGGAAGGGTTTTACTGATTTCGAAAGGAGGTTCTGTTTCCAAGATTGACGACTGCGCTAATTGGTTTAAAGAGTGTGTTGGAAACTCGATTGGATCCGCGGTGAGCAAACGGTGCTCATTGCCTCGTGTTCAGCGGGAACTTCAGATCATTTCCAAGCAATTTTTCAAGATGTCATGTCACGTTATCGATGCTATGCCCTCTGTTCGGAACCAATGTCGGGGTATAGCCGACTCACAGGAACTCGCAAACACTGTATTCACCTACATTAGGGACTCCGGTCGGGACTTTATGAGATTTTTCGATTCTACTCGCAGGTCCGCTTTAATTTTGAAACTCCTCCAGTTTGCCATTGAGTGGTTGAGTTTTATTGTGGACGATTGTATTCCTACTGATCCGAAAACTTTTAGATGGTCGGTTGCCGCGCTGGAGTTTGCCACAGAGATTACCACAGGCCTTAATATACTCACGTTGGAGAGTGAGAAGTTCTACAGACTCAAGGACAAGGTTGCCGGTTGTATGTCTCTTCTGATTTCACACTTCGACATCATGGGAGCTCGTACCAAGGAGCTTCAAAAGAAACGTATGTTGAACTACCATCTACGGACCGGCAAAGACTTGTTCACGTTGGACGATGAGAGCTTGAGCTCTTTGAGAGAACACATCATGTACCAAGTATCCCGTCTTGAGGAAGATAGAAGACATCTCCAAGTTGAACAGCAGTCTGTGGGACGTGTTCTCGATGACACAGATACAGACAACCAGTTCCTGACTTACCTAGCGTCGTCCTTCTCGTCTGTGTCGATCAGATGGCAGAAAGGAAAGTTCCTGGGTGGTGGAACGTTTGGTTCTGTTTACGCCTCCATCAATCTGGATACTGGTGGAGCGCTGGCCGTGAAGGAGATCCGGTTCCAGGACAGACAGAGCATCAAGTCGATCGTGCCTGCCATCAAGGGCGAGATGACGGTGCTGGAGATGCTGTCTCATCCAAACATTGTGCAATTCTTTGGAGTCGAGGTCCACAGAGACAGGGTCTACATATTCATGGAGTACTGCAGCGGTGGCTCGTTGGCCAGTCTGTTGGAGTACGGCCGCATTGAGGACGAGTCTGTTATTCAACTTTACACTTTACAGATGTTAGAAGGTCTTGCCTATCTACACCAATTTGGAATTGTGCACAGGGATATCAAACCGGAGAATATCTTATTGGACCATATGGGAGTTATTAAGTTTGTGGACTTTGGCTCTGCTAAAGTGATTGCCATGGCCGCACAGGGTGGTAGTGTGTCCACTCCAGGAGGCAATACCACCGCTACAAACAGCGGTAATAGCAGCAACAACAACTCGGGCACGGCTACTTTGAACTCAATTCTCCATTCTGGCCGCAAGACGCAGGCCCTGACAGGCACACCGATGTACATGTCGCCGGAGACTATTAGAGGAGAAGCCATTGGCAGATTCGGCTCGATCGATATCTGGTCCCTGGGATGCTGTTTGTTGGAGATGGCCACCGGAAGACGGCCATGGGCCAATTTGGACAACGAGTTTGCTGTGATGTATCACATTGCTGCGGGACACCTTCCGCAGTTCCCAACCAACGACCAGCTGAGTCCGCAAGGTCAAATGTTCCTTGCCAAGTGTTTGGACATCGACCCGACCAAGAGACACACTGCTGTTGAGCTGTTACAGGACCCATGGATCCAGGCGATCCGGAACGAGGCCTTCAGCGAATCCAGCAACAGCTCGTCGACCGACCTTCCAAGCGGAGAGCAGACTCCGTCGTGATTCAGAACGCAAGCTTAGCCGTGTCGAACTTCTCCTGGTTGAATCTCCAGTGCGAAGCTTCTTCGGCGCCCTGTTCTTTGGAAGAGTCCTGTTTTGTTCCCGAAGGGACATTCTTGTGCGACAGGTTGGCCATCTTGGCCAGCTTGATGTACCCTGTTTCGTCCGTGTCTTCGGTCAGCGATTTGTAATCAATTTCATCAAAGAATTTCTGTTTCCACGTGGTGTTGTCTGCCTGTTCCTTCTTACGTAGCTCACGTTGCTCGTTCTCGATGATTGACTTTTCCTGGTGAATCAGGTTGTAGTCGTTTGCTCTGATTGCGTCGGCGACTTTCTGCCAGGCCCGTCTGCTCTCGAGCGGGCCCTGCTCCTCGATCGGCTTCACAGACAATGGCTGAGCTTTCTGGGCGTTGGCGTCGTAAAACACCTGTGCGTCCGAGGCAAGGGTGTTCCCGCGAGAGATCTTGGACACGCCTGACCATTGGCCGCTGATCGTGTACAAGGCCTTGGTCTTGTCCTGTGCCTCGCGAATGTCCTTGAAGATTCTGGCCTTAAACGAGTTGCTCTTTCCGGAGAAGTAGCCCTTTCCGGAGTACTCTATCACGGCAACGTAGCCAGCCGAAGACTGAATGTACGACTTCTGCTCCAGCTCGACGAACGGAGCGGCCATCAAGATACCTTCGATGTGGAGCGGTGGCAGGGTGATCAGGTACGTTTCTTTCAGGTTCTGGTACTCAAGCAAAGCGTGGCCGTACTGTCTGACGTTCAAGGCTGTGGTGGACATGAAGGCTCTAACTCCGTTGTAGCCCTGCAAAACGGTCTTGTTTGTCTTGTTTTCGATGGCGTATGCGGTGATGGGCGGATGGTGGCTGACCTGCTCGCTCACCAGCAGCGTGTCGCCGTGCTGCTTGGACGCGGACTGGTCGGTCCACTTGCCGAGAAACAGTTCGCCGAGAAATGGGTTCAGGGGCTTCTTCTCGCCGCCCAACGACTCTGCGCGCGAGCAGTACTGGCTCTTGAGAGTGGAGATGAACCACCGCAGCACGGCCACCATGTGCTTGAGCTCCACGGCGTCGATGTCGTTGGCCTCCTGTCTGATGAAGTTTGGGGCCAGAAACAAATCAACGTGTTCTGACCAGTACTGAGGATACTCCACCAGCGAGGTGGGGGAGAGAATGAACGGAGGCGCGGTCAAGGACGAAAGGTCGCCGTTGTACGAGGCAATGCTCTTGATGAAAGAGGTCCAGGTGGCAGAAGTGGAAGACATGGGAAAAGGCAACGGGTGGATTAACAGGAAAATAATTTCCCAGGATACGAAATCTTACCTAAGCCTCGAAGCCAAAGTCATTACTAAATAAATGCTGGTCTATACAATAATTTACCACCAGTCACCTTGGTCCTTCATGGCCTCGGCAACCTTGACGAAACCGGCAACGTTGGCGCCCATGACAAGCGATGGGAGCGAGCCCTTGTTGGTCTCGGCAGTGTAAGCGGTGGCAGTCTCGTAACAGGTGTTGAAGCAGTTGACCATGATGTCCTTGAGCTTCTGGTCGACCTCCTCGGCGGTCCATTGGACTCTCTGGGAGTTCTGGGCCATCTCCAAGCCAGAAACGGCAACACCACCACAGTTGGCAGCCTTACCTGGAGCGTACCAGATAGCGTCACCAATAGAGGAAGCGCTCTTTCTCTCGGCCTCGAACACGTCGATGGCGTCCTGGGTGGATCCCATGTTGGATCCCTCGGCAATGTACTTGCAGCCGGCAGCAACAAGAGCCTTGGCCTCCTCGCCAGAAACCTCGTTCTGGGTGGCAGAAGGAAGAGCAACGTCGACCTTTCCGACATGGACCCAAGGTCTAGCACCCTCGATGTATTGGACCTTGTTGGCGGAGAAAGCAGAGTACTCGCCAACAACCTCCTTCAAGGACTTGAACTTGACCTTGGCGTCGGCAATGGCCTCGATGTGCTCCTTGGTGATTCCGGTTTGGGAAATAATAGCACCCTTGGAGTCGGACAAAGAAACAACAGTTCCGCCAAGCTCGATAACCTTCAAAGCAGCGTACTGGGCAACGTTACCGGAACCAGACACGGCAACTCTTTTGCCAGCAAAAGACTCCTTACCGTTGGTGGCCTTCTCGATCATCTTCTCGACGTAGTACACCAAACCGTAACCGGTGGCCTCTGGTCTGATCAAAGATCCACCCCAGGAAAGACCCTTACCGGTGAGAACTCCCTCCCATTGGTTTTGCATCTGCTTGTAGGCACCGAACATGAAGCCGATCTCACGGCCAGTGGTACCAATGTCACCGGCAGGAACGTCGGTGAACTGGCCAATGTGTCTGGCCAACTGTCTGATGAAAGCGGTACAGAATCTTCTGATCTCGTTGTCGCTCTTACCCTTAGGGTCGAAGTCGGAACCACCCTTACCACCTCCCATGGAGAGACCAGTGAGAGCGTTCTTGAAGATCTGTTCGTAACCAAGGAACTTCAAGATGGAAAGGTTGACACTTGGGTGCAGTCTCAAACCTCCCTTGTATGGGCCGAGAGCAGAGTTGAATTGCACTCTGTAACCTCTGTTAACGTGCATCACTCCCTTGTCATCCTCCCAGGTGACTCTGAACTGGATGATTCTCTCTGGAACAGAAACAACAGGAATGACTCTCTCGTACTCAGGGTGCTTCTTGAACAGAGTGGACTCCTTCAAAGTGGAGTACAGCTCGTTGTAGGCTTGTTCGAATTCTGGCTCTTGTGGTTGGACCATGTTGTTGAATATGAAGACCTGTAATGGCGGAAGAAGGCGTATTTATGTTCTCGAAGCCGCACACCACTGATCTCCGGCGACGGAAATTTAAATGCTGGAATCATTATTCAAATTATCTTTATCTAGAGCCAATCACAGCGCGCGCCCGTTCTTTTTTTCGCCTGGCTGCATGAACAGATTCCTCCAGCATCGCAGTCAGCCGTTCTCTGGAAACCAATTAAAAAGCAACATGTTCGGAATTATCGTTGCCCTGTCCACGGCGCACTTAACGGCGTCGGTCGACCGACAGCTCTGGAACAATTCTGCTATTGTTTCTTTCCCTGCCTATTATTCAACTTGAAGTGAAAAATTTTCCAGGGGAGATGACTTTGTACGTCATACTGCAACACCCTCCCAAACGCACCCACCACCTCTTATCGTTGCTGCTACACAATCGCATCGTGATTGTCTGTCTAATCATAGGGCCCAGAGGCTCATCGCTTCCGGCTTTTGCCCACTCCTGTTTGACATCTTGGCTCCTATATTACGGGCTGTGCTATTTATTTAGTGCACATGCACATTAAGTAAAACGCAAACCTGCCTGACTCGGGCTCCCGACTTCCTCGGGAACCGAAAATAGCTACTCCCCGCCGCGCACCACACCACACCCTCGCACCGCGCTCACAGCTTGGCCCGCTCTGGCCCCACAAACTTGAGCAGCTTCTCCACGTTTGCGGCTTTCATGACGTTGCCCTTGATTTTCAGTTTCCCCGTCATAAACAGTTTCTGCGCGCTTGTTTTCCCGTCGATCAGCCGTCTAAGCGGCACGTCCCCCACTTTGATCTTGATGTCTGCCTCCTCAGCCAATGTTTCTGTCTGCTGCAGCGATCCTTTACTCTTTGCGTCTAGTAGCCAGTAAGTGGGGCCTGATTTTTTGTCCTCCACTTCAAAAGACACCGTAGATCCCAGCGACTTCAACGCCTCTTGTTTCAGCGTCTCGTTGGACTCCAACTGGTCTGCCAGTTTGGTTAGATATTTCGTGGATTTCGTCATTGCTGTCAATTCCTGGCCATACCGGTGTTATATATCGAAAGTACCCCACATTTCATGTGAAATGGGTCTGCCATGTGATAGCAAGTCGGTTTCGGATAAAAACTGGTTCTAAACCACCAACCCTACCGCGCCCTGATTTATCCGATTCTGGCTACCGTCTGCCACAAATTTCTAGAAAATGTAGGCAAAATTAATTAACCATGGGAATCTTTAATCCTTCAGACAACAAGAACACAGACACCGTTGCGGTTCAGCAGGACCGGCCCTTCAACTCGTCGCCATTGGACTCGCTCAATGACTCGCTCGAGACGTTGTTTTCGTCCGCCAATACGCTCACCTCGTCGTCGGTCTCAAACCTGTTTGACTGGTACTCGAAACGGTGGGGCGAGAAGGGCCAGGAGTTCCAGGAGTCGGTGATCGGCGCGGCAGACCAGCTGTTTGACCGGCTGCCGGTGTTCCAGGACCAGCTGTACTCGCATTTCGGGCGCCGGTTCAGAAACGAGCGCACCCCGTACGGTTTATGGGCGTACCCCGTCCCGTCTCCAAACATGTACGAGCAGTGTCAGGAGGTGGAGGGGCTTTCTGTGTGGGACTCCACGGGCTACTGGCGGTGTCTGTTTCCGCGGGCACGCATCCCGCAGGAGTTTGCCTCTGAGCTGTCCAGAGAGGACGTGGAGGCAGACACGGCCCACGAAAAAGGCGTGTTTTTCCAGCAGTACACGGACTTTTTAGGGTTCAAGGCCAAGATGAACAAGCTGGCTCACGAGAAGCGCAAGCAGGACTGGGCCCGGTTCAAGGAGGAACAGAGGGCCAAGTGGGATTTCGTCAACGACAAGAAGGACCCGGACGCAGTTACCAGAACCGGTACCAGCTCCACCACCACGATCCGCACCCTGGAGCAAGGTGACGTGGAGAAAGTGACCGTTCTGAAGGAGTTCTTCAGTGATGGTACGTCCTCTGTCAAGGAGACCAAGGAGGTCCTCAACCCGGCTGGCGAGCGCAAACAGTTCACCGAGGAGACCCCAAAGAGCGGCTGGTTCTGGGACAGCGAGAAAAAATGAAGTTATGAAGTTATATCGGATAATCAGGAGACGGCAACAATTATATATCACCCAAATGCAACTATATTACAGTAGCTCACAATCAGCTCGTCGCCTACGCGGAACAGGTTGTACAAATTCTCAAGCTCCTCGTCCGGGTTTGGGCTCATCGAGTTGTTTAGGTAGCAGTACACTTTGCGTCCCAGCTTGAGTTCCAGAAACTTGATGATGGAAGAGAATTTGGAGCTCTTGCTGATCTTGAACACGGCCGGGCGCACCTGGTTAATCGACCCGATCGACTTGAACCGGATCTGCACCTTGGCCTCTGTGGGCTTCGATACCGTCAGCACGGCCGACGTGGTTTTGGCGGGCAATTTGGACAGCATCATGCTCTGGTTGAGGGTTATCTTTGTTTTCTGGGGGTCTTTCTTGATTGTGCTCTCGTCGTCCAGCGACTCCGAATCCGACCCGCTCGCGGTGTCTCCGGTCTCCTCTGCAATGGATTGCGGTACGTTAGTGGCCCCCACCTTGATGTGAAGCTCCATCAACGAGCTGGTCAGGTCCTGTTCGCTCATAAGATTTAAATTTAATTAAATTAGATTAAATTAAGTGTATAAATTAGTTATGCGGAGTTTGTGTATGCGTCTACAAGATTTTGGAAATGGCTCACCTCGTCGGTGTTGACCTTCTCCGATTGGTCCAAGTCGCCCAGAATCGTCAGCACCAACGCAAAGTTGTTGTACAGGAAGATCTCGCGCTTCTTCGGGTCGAACGACGCGCTCAGCTTCATTAACGTGCTCTCGAACTCGCTCCGCAGCCGCACAATCGAGTTTGTCAGAGGCTCCGAGGTCTCCTGCTCTATTAGGTTGTTGGACAGCTGTAGAAGCGCCAGCAGCACACGGCCAAAGTTCTGCGTCAGCCCCATCGGAATCATGATGTTCTTGGTGACGCTCTTGATCAGCACAGATGACGACACAGCCTTCTTGATACTCATGCAGTTCTGGTCTATTAGGTTCTGGAACTTGGGCCACAGGATGATCAGCTGGTAGTTCAGGTAGTCCTCCATCACAGGGATGCGCCGGTGCTGCAGCTCGTACTCCAGGTGCTGTGTGAGCCGGATCGCGATCAGCACGCCAAAGTAGTCGTACGAGTTTGAAATCAAATACTTGGTGTAGTTGTGGCCCAGCTGGTAAACAGGGTTGAAGATGGTCTTGATAATATCATTCAGCTGCTCGCTGCGTGTGAGCTGGAAGAACTCGTTCAGGAACAGGTACTCCACAGAAACGTTATCCAACAACGCCAGATTGAAGTCGCGGAACACGCTCTCGAGCCAGTGCTTGATGTTCATGGTCTCCGCGATCTGGCTCGGCATCACCGTCTCGTCGCCCTTCGATAGCACCTCCAGGCGTTTCGTCAGGTTGATGAGATATTCGTTCGAGGTGACCTCGAACTTCTGGTTAGCGTAGCCAAATAGCGAGCTAGAATTCGACGACCCGGACTCTTCGTCCAGCGACCCCAGCAGCACGTTCTTGTCCACCTTGTACACCTTTATCCGTTCCAGCGACGACAAGTACTTGACAAAGTTCTGGTGGTAGTACCATCTCATGGTGTAGCAGTACGCCTGACACAGCTCGTTGCTGAGCTTGGGGTTTTTCTTCTGCAAAAACGGGAACACCTCCTTCACCTCAAGCATCTGGTTCTGCACCACCTGGGACGAAGTGTTGGGTTTCCGCAGTTCCTTAATTTGGGTCACCATGAAGTCCCGAACACGTTCAATCACCTTGAGTTCCATCAGATCGAGCAGTTTCACGAGCTCCGGCAGCGACTTTGGCTGGTTCTCGCCCGCGTACTTGGAGTAGATCTCTTTCTTTTCGGCCAAAAAGGTGATATTCTCCACCCACCGCTCGTCCACCTTGTCGGTGACAATTGAGTTGATCACCGAGGGTGGGATAATTAAATCGTTAATCACGGGAGTCAATTTCACGTCCAGCTGCTGTTTACGAGTGATCTGCACATTCAGCAGATCCGACCGTTTCTGCAGAAACTCCATTTCGCGGGACAATTTGTCGAGGTTCTGTTCGAAATCCAGCAAATAATCAAACAAAGGTTTCAAATAGGTTCTTGTGTTTTTAATTGTGGACTGGAGCTCGCTGAACTTGGCGTAATTTGAGTCGTAATCAAGCGTGTCGAGCTGCGGATTGAGCGTGGACAAAAATCGGTACTCCTGGACGGTGTTGACGTTCTCAGAAACAAGCTTGTCCATAAGTAGATCGACTCCGTTGTCGTCTCCCTCGTCGAGCTCGCCACGAACGTCGATCTCCCACTCAGGATTGAGTTTGCGACGGAGCCAGTCTAAAGCGTCCGGATTGTCCTTGAACGGCTGAACATGCTTCGAGATGGACCGCCTGGAAATTCTGTGGGTCAATTGGGGCGTCGTGGCCACCGTCTCACCAGAATGCATTTTTATTCAAATAAATTAAAATCGAATTCCGAATAAGCAACTCCCACCGCAACCCGCGAATTTTCGTATTTATCCCACTCACGAAACACAATTTCACAATACACTGGCAACCTTAATCAACGGGTACCAGACCCCCTCCTGGAAAAGCGCATTTCTCACATCTCGGCAACAATGCCGTATTGTTGCCACTAACTCTCCAACAAGGTGGTGGCAGGGAAAATTTCCCCGCAGTATGACGTCAACACACCAAGAAAAGTTTCCGTAACAATCTTTCAAACATGCACACTTGCGCTCGTCCATGCGGCAAAAAAATGTATGCTGTTGTATCTATAAACTTGGGGTTCAGGTAGAAAGGATAAATAGTGCCAATCTACTCTTTCGGTGTGCGTGTGTTCTGTTTTGCTGCCCACCATGGATAAATTAAGTTCATCAACCATAAAGTCTGGATCCCATCCCCAGGCTACCTCGCCTCTAGTTCCCAACCCTATAACCTTACCGCCAATCCGCAATCCCACTTTTGCTCCGTTACAGAAATCCCATGGGTCCGACTATTCGTCCGTGGTGAAACCGCAATTACCCAAGCTCACTCCGGCCCCGGATTTTAAAGACCCCCAGGAGCTCACCCCTACCAGGGTCCCCAGAAGTTTACCCGACCAGGAAAAACAACCATCCCGTTCCCACAAGGTCTCCAAACGCTCGCGCAAGGGCTGTCTCACGTGTAGGTTCCGCAAGCGCAAGTGCTGCGAGACAAAGCCGATTTGCACAGAGTGCAAGCGACTCGGCATCAAGTGCTCGTGGATCACAAACGGCCTGGAGAACAAGAACAAGTGCAAGAGAAATCCCGACTTTCTCCGAAACGACGAGTGCTACGACGACCTGTTTGGCGTCATCAAGGTCATCAGAGGCAAGATCGACTACAAGATCGACAACGGCGAGTTTGTTGAAGGTAACAGGCCTTCTGACGACGAACTCTACACCGCCGAGTCGAAAACAAATGCCACATGAAAGACTTTAAACTATTTATTTGGTCTTCTTGTCCTCCTCATCCTCACGAAGCGCAATGTCTGCTGCTTGGAAGTCCATGAAGAAGTGTTTCAAAACCAGCTCGATGGCCCAACTGACTCCAAAGTCAAGCACAATGGCTGCCGTCAGCTTGAACTTGAACAGGTCGGTCATCTTGACAAACTGCATGGCCTCGTTCAGCTCCGGCATGAACTCAGTACTTCCAGAAATGCACAGGAAAGTCACACCCAGCAATCCATAGTACATTCCCCTGTTGTCCCTGATGGACTCTCTAAATGGCGGTCCTTGGTAGTTGATGGTGAACGTGGCAACCTGCTGCGACAGCTGGATTAGGAACATGGCCGTGTTCAGTAACGATGGGCTGAACTGCTTCTCCAAATCGACCTGTGGCTCTCTTGGCTCCAAGATATACACCTCTCTGGTGATATAGATCAACGAAATCAGGTGGATAGCAAACTGTCCCAAGATCGAGCCCATGATATAAATGTTGAAGATGCCCGGCTGCGGTCTTTCCTTGGAAAGCTTCTCCAGCGACTTTCCTCTAGAAATCGACAAGAAACAAACACTCAACAACAATCCGGAGACCGTTGCTTGTCCATCACCGAACTTGATACCGGCAAGATAAAGGACAGACAACGAGTAAGCCGAGACCAGACAATTCAACGCTAGGATCTTGTACATTTGGATCGTCGAAACCAATGCGCATCTTCCTTGTCTGATGACGTGCACGACGGCAGAAACGTTGGCAAGTTTCGAGGTGAACGGAGCCGCAACAGAGGCGTCTCCCAGCTTCAAAACTGGTGCCTCTTCCTCGCCGTCCTGGTCCTGGTTCTGCATGCTGGTCAAAATTTGCTCTGCAAAAGTCGACTTCTGAGAAGGAGTGGTTCCCGTTGGGGTAACAGGCGGCAGGGGCTGTCTGTTGGCAAAGTCCACCATCTTTCTCATATCATCAGTGATGGTATGACCCTGTTTCTCCATGGCTGTCAGATAATTTGGATTCAATGGCCCTGGAGGATACAAGTGTGCAATAGCAGGAGGAACTTTTGGAGGGTGGTTTCCCCATCTCTTCATGATCTCAGACTGCTTTTCGTACACCTTCTGCATAGCTTCGATTTTCTTGTTTTCCTGTATCTTTTTCAGTCCGTCTTCTGTACCGTTCAACAAAGCAATTCCAACGTGGGCTTGTTTCAAGGCTCCCACATCGTTGGTTCCGTCACCGCACATCAATGTCTTGTAGCCCAGGTTCTTGTACGAGTTAAGAATGAACTCCTTCTGCGAAGGAGACACTCTCGAGTACACCCAGGTGTGTCTAATGAGCTTGTCGAGCTGCTTGTGCTCGGTCAATTTTGAGAGAGCATAACCAGTGATACAGATATCGTTTTTCTCCAAGAAAGTCTCGTCAAAGTCCTGTGTAGGGTTGAATGGGATGATTCTGGTCTCCTCCACGTTTCTCCAAGCAAGCTCAGAGTCTCCAGGGTAGTGTTTTTCTGGTAAGTCCAGGATCAACACGTCTTTGGTCAAAATAGCAACCTCTTTGGCAACATGGCAGGCGGTCAGCGGGTTGTCTCCGGTGATCATCACACATCTGTGACTGGACTCGTTCAACATCTCGATCGTGGAAACAGCGTCAGACTTCATAGGACAGTGGAAAACAATGAATCCGGCAAACTTCAAGTCGCTCTCAACAGAGTGTCTTTCAACGCTGTCAATGTTCTTGTCGGTATTCAAGTACTTGTAGGCCAAGGCCAGCACTCTGGATCCGGAACGGGTGAACGACTTGAACGTCTCCTCGTAGTTGGAAGGAGCGTCCACCAGCATATCCTTGATCGTTTCTGGAGCACCTTTACAACTGACCAACACCTGATTGTTAACCTTGGAGATGGACGAGGATCTCTTCAATGCAGACGAGAATTGGAATCTTCTCAAGATCTTGACGGTTCTCTTGTGGCCCTCGACGGTGTTCTTGGACTTCTGGGACAGTTTCCAGCCCGAAGCTTTCAAAGTCTCCTTTTCCATTGGGTCACCAACGATTTCTCCATCGTCCAGCTTCACAAGAGCGTGAGCAGAACCCAGAACGTCCAAAGTGACAGCTGGAACAGCAGCGTCGTCGGCACGGAATAGCTGTTTGGCGCTCTCGGACTTGAAACCAGCCAAACCTTCAAAAATAAGATCTTCTCCGGTCAAAGTACCAGTCTTGTCAAAACAGCAGACGTCGATTCTTCCAGCAACCGGAATTCTGAACGGCTCGGTACAGTAGATGTAGAACTTTCCAAGAGCAGCCAGAGACTGATTGACGGCCATGGTGAGCTCCATAGGAAGCTCAGGAGGAACAACAGAGGTGATCACAATAATACAGTCGAGAATCAGCTTGGACTGGACTCTACCCATTTTTGTACCTTCCACCCAAACGTACCAGGAGGCAATGACGGCAAACACAAGCAAGAACAAAATGAAGAAAAAGGCCTCCTTGTTGGCGACCGACATTCTCTCGCTGGAGAAGATCATGACTCTGACCAGCGAACCTTGAGTGGTTTCGAATCCGGTCTTTGCAACCAAAGCCAAAGCACCGTTATCTGGGGCCAATTTAACGAGGGGTTTCTCTGGTGGAGTCACCTGCAAACAGGAGGTACCACCGTGAAGACGCGAGTTCTTGTCCAGTCCATCTGGTTGGTACAAATCAGAATCGTCTCTCAACTTGATCGACTCTTTCAACAGCGGAGTGGATTCTCCAGAAAGCATGGCCTCGTTGACGATACAGGAGCCATCCAAGAGAACAAGATCACACGGGACAGACAGGTCTTCGTGAGGAGTTCTGGTCACAGAGACAATGTCGCCAGGAAGAAGGTCGTCAGTGGATATCTTGGTCCAAGTCTGGTCTCTGTAGCAGTAGATCTCGTACGGCTTGATTCCCATACTCTGGAATTCAGTCATGGTTGTCTTTCTCTGGTAAACACTGGTACTTTCGAAACTGACAAGCATAAAGAGCGAGAACAGAGACAGATACCACATCTCGTCCATACACCACAGGGCGATGGAGAAGAGCTGGAAAACAAAGAACGGAGCAAGAGCGTGCTCGACGAACAGTTCCAAAAACGTTGGGATTGGGATGTCGAACTTGTTCTTGCCGTAGGTGTCTTCGAGAGAGCTAATCTGGCTGGCCTTGAGACCCTTAGATTGCTTGAGTTTGAGGATAGTGAGCGACTCGTCGTCGATGGCAAAGATCGGAGGTGAGAACTTGGACAACTCCTCATTCCAAAAGTACTTTCTCTTCTGGTACAGGAACGAGAGCCGTTTGGCCCTTGAATCAAACCGGATAGGCGAAATCTCGCTGATACCGAAGCTTGGTTTTGCCCTTATGAAAATGTGCGAGGCGTCTTTCAAAGAATTCACGGGAACGTACTTGAAACTGACGTTCAGATTCAAGTTCCATCTTGGGAGCAGCCAAATCAGCGAATGGATCGACAGAAGCGTCAATGTGTAGACAAACGTCCATTCTCTTCCAACAAAGTACTCATCGTAGTGGTTGGTGTACAGGTTGTAGTACACCGGGTAGATGACCAAGAACGGAAGCACATACGGCTTCAGGAGCCACGGCTTAGGCTTGAGCAGCTGCGACGACTCGATGGTGTCGCTGTTGACCAGTTCTTGGGGCATTGGGGAGAGATTAAAAACGTGGAAATTTTCAAGATAGCGAAGCCGGGTAAGAATGGGGGCCGCAATGGGACAGCGGACAAGGTATGTCGTTGTTAGGTCAGAAAACACAACAATGGACTTGTAGTTGTTTCGAAGTCGATGCTACCACTCAGCCAGCAAACTCGCTCAAACCGTCGGTTGTCCTCGTTTTCATGGCGTGCGCCGCCTCGACAACCAATATTCACGGCTGTGCAGACGCGACCACTGAAAAAGTTGATCTCTAACTTGAATATTCTACACCATGAACTATCCGCTGGAACTGGAGCTGCCTTGGTAAGTAATTGCTCCGCTGGACTAACCACTAGGGTTGAGAAGTACCGGCCGTCTGTGCTGGCCGACGTGGTGGGCAACAAGGAGACTGTCGAGTCGCTCAAAAGAATCGCAGAGGAAGGAAACATGCCGCATCTCATCATCTCTGGACTGCCCGGTATTGGTAAGACGACGTCTGTGCTGTGTTTGGCACATGAGCTTCTGCAGGATCAATTCCGTGATGCGGTGCTCGAGCTGAACGCGTCGGACGACCGTGGAATCGACGTGGTGCGGAATAAGATCAAGCAGTTTGCGCAGAAGAAGGTGCAACTTCCACCGGGAAGACACAAGATTGTGATTCTGGATGAGGCCGACTCGATGACCCCGGGCGCGCAGCAGGCTCTTAGACGGACAATGGAGATCTACTCCAACACCACGCGGTTTGCGTTCGCCTGCAACCAGTCGAGCAAGATCATCGAGCCGTTGCAAAGTAGATGTGCGATTCTGCGGTACAACAAGCTCGAGGATGAGGAGATTCTCAAGAAACTGCTGCAGATCATCAAGTTGGAGAACATCGAGTACACGAACGACGGGCTGGAAGCCCTGATTTTCACCGCCGAGGGAGATATGAGACAGGCCATCAACAATCTCCAGAGCACTTTCTACGGGTATGGGTTTGTCAATTCAGACAACGTCTACAAGATTGTGGATTCTCCGCATCCTCTAGTGATAGCCAAGATGCTGAGGCTATGTATCAAGGGCGACCTGGACCAGGGACTGGACATTTTGCGCAGCCTGTGGTCCAAGGGCTACTCTGCTATTGACATTGTGAGTACAAGTTTCAAAGTGCTCAAGGCCATGTACGATATTGACGAGGAGAGCCGTCTACGCGTGATCAAGATTGTTGGTTTTAGCCATATGAGAGTGCTGGAGGGCGTGTCGACCTACTTGCAATTGAGCTGTATGCTGGCCAAGATCTACGAGCTCAACGATACAGTTAAATTGCAGGCCTAAGATAAGTATTTCGCGTAGTGAAAAATTAATTTTCGCGTCATGACCTCTTCCACGTTCACGGCTCCGTTTCTGGTGCGGTTGTTCAAATCGTTAGACACGCTGATCGCGCTTCATTACAGCACCAACTACTTTTCATCGATCGTGCGGCTGTCGAGCATTTCGAAACAGGTTTTGAACCTCACCGAGGAGACGCTCGTGGTGATCAAATCGATCTACCCTGAGTCGTACCACCTTGAGCGCATTACCGACGACGTGACGATCGACGTCTACTCAGAGGAGGCCGAAGATCGCGACCGGCAGCGGTCGCTGCTCATCCAGAACATCGAAACGCGACAGCAAACGTTCAAAAGCTGTCTAGATAGCTGGTTCGACAAGGGGTGTCCTATAACGTTCAAGCTAGCACAGAAAACCACCGCATCCCCACGCAAACCGGCCAAGGTCACAAAACCAGCGAACCCGCGTCTCAAGTACGAATTCCACGAGAAAAAAGTGGACTCTGACCTGCCTCTCCTCGAACGCATCAGACTGAAAAGCTCCATGAAGAAAAACGCATCGCCGCATAAACGCAAACAGGAGTTACTCCAATCGAAACTCATCCCGATCTACAACGTGCTGTACGAGCAGTCACCCAAGTTCGGGGCCGCGAAAACTATAAACTTAAGCATAGCCCGACTGCAACAACTAATAAAGGACTCGCTAAACATGCCGCTATCGGAAACCGAGATCGGCCAGGTCCTGAATGGGCTTCAGGACCGGCTGGGACTCGATGTGGTTGCCATTGGCGACACACAGGTGCTGAAAATCCCCAAACTCAACAGAACAAGCGATCTTGCCAAACTGGCTCCCGAGACGGTTTCGGAATCCTAACCACCCGTGCACCAAATCGGCAGAAAGCTTATTGTTTTTGCTGGAAATTTCTGTGGGATAACTGTGTGGCGCACTACTGAAAAAAAATGACGGCGAAAATTGAAGAAAAACGAGAAACTTTACTTATATATACTTTGTTTTGCCCCCTGTGATTATACACTTCAGGAGACATCATTGAGTGGATAGCAAGTGTTAAAAATTGACAATATGTTGGCAAACATTGCTAGAAACGTGAGAAGCGTGAGTAAAAATACCCCGAAATATCAGTCTTCGCTAACCCCCCAGTCTTCTCTCAAACAAGTGAGATACAACTCTTCCAAGGTCAGTGGTACCGTGATCGGTATTGATTTGGGTACCACCAACTCTGCCGTTGCCGTCATGGAAGGTAAGACTCCAAGAATCATCGAGAATGCCGAGGGTTCCAGAACCACTCCTTCCGTTGTGGCTTTCACCAAGGACGGCGAGAGACTCGTTGGTATTCCAGCCAAGAGACAAGCTGTTGTCAACCCAGAGAACACCTTGTTCGCTACCAAGAGACTGATCGGTAGAAGATTCGAGGACCAAGAGGTCCAGAGAGACCTGAAGCAGGTTCCTTACAAGATCGTCAAGCACTCCAACGGTGACGCCTGGGTTGAGGCTAGAGGCGAGAAATACTCTCCATCCCAGATCGGAGGTTTCGTCCTCAACAAGATGAAGGAGACTGCCGAGGCCTACCTTGGAAAGCCAGCCAAGAACGCCGTCGTTACCGTTCCAGCTTACTTCAACGACTCCCAAAGACAGGCCACCAAGGATGCCGGTGCCATTGTTGGTTTGAACGTTGCCAGAGTTGTCAACGAGCCAACCGCCGCCGCTCTTGCCTACGGTCTTGAGAAGGACGACAGCAACGTCGTTGCCGTCTTCGACTTGGGTGGAGGTACCTTCGATATCTCCATCCTGGACATTGACAACGGTGTTTTCGAGGTCAAGTCCACCAACGGTGACACCCACTTGGGTGGTGAGGATTTCGATATCGCTCTTGTCAGACACATTGTTGACGCCTTCAAGAAGGAGTCTGGTATCGACCTCCAAAACGACAGAATGGCCATCCAGAGAATCAGAGAAGCTGCCGAGAAGGCCAAGATCGAGTTGTCCTCCACTGTGTCCACCGAGATCAACCTTCCTTTCATCACTGCCGATGCTTCTGGTCCAAAGCACATCAACTTGAAGATGTCCAGATCCCAGCTCGAGCAATTGGTTGAGCCATTGATCAAGAAGACCGTCGAGCCTGTCAAGAAGGCTTTGAAGGATGCCGGTTTGTCCACCTCCCAAGTTTCCGAGGTTATTCTTGTTGGTGGTATGACCAGAATGCCAAAGGTTGTCAGCACTGTCAAGTCTCTCTTTGGTAAGGAGCCATCCAAGGCTGTGAACCCAGACGAGGCTGTTGCCATTGGTGCTGCCATTCAGGGTGCTGTCTTGTCCGGTGAGGTCAAGGACGTTTTGCTTTTGGACGTTACTCCATTGTCTCTCGGTATTGAGACCTTGGGTGGTGTCTTCACCAGATTGATCCCAAGAAACACCACTGTCCCAACCAAGAAGTCGCAAGTGTTCTCCACCGCTGCCTCTGGCCAGACCTCTGTCGAGATCAGAGTGTTCCAAGGTGAGAGAGAACTTGTTAGAGACAACAAGCTCATTGGTAACTTCACTCTTTCTGGTATTCCACCAGCTCCAAAGGGTGTTCCACAGATCGAGGTCACCTTTGACATTGACGCTGACGGAATCATCAACGTTTCTGCCAAGGACAAGGCCTCTGGCAAGGACAACTCCATCACTGTTGCCGGTTCTTCTGGACTTTCCGACTCCGAGATCGAGAAGATGATCAACGATGCCGAGAAGTTCAAGGAGCAGGATCAGGCTAGAAAGGAGGCCATCGAACAGGTCAACAAGGCCGACCAGCTCTGTGCCGACACCGAGAAGTCTCTCGAGGAGTTCAAGGAGAAGCTCGACGCCACCGAGGTCGAGAACATCACCAAGCAGATCTCCGAGCTCAGAGAGATCGTTGTCAAGGTCAACGGCGGTGAGACTGTCGACGCTGAGGAAATCAAGACCAAGTTCGACGAGTTGCAGACCAACTCCCTCAAGCTTTTCGAGAAGCTCTACAAGGACGGTAACGCCTCCAGCTCTGGTCCAACCGACGAACAGAAATAAAGTTGTTTATAGTTGACTAATTTGTATATACGAGAGAGTATTAGAAAAAAAAAGTTCAAATTAATTTAATTTGTTTGTGCATCATGTCTACCATGTTCAAGCTGAACCCGCTGAGCAAGCTGATCTTTCTCAGCATCCTTATAGCAATTGGGTTTCTCAACATCATTTTGAGTTGCGCGTTGTTTGACAATTGGCTGCCGTTGATCGACGTGGGGATCTTTCTCATTGCGCCCCTTCCCAATGCGCTAGCCCAATCGCTTTCAAGTGCGTACGAGGCGGACTTTTTGTCGGACTCGAACCCGGAGGCTGCAGTCAAGGAGTTTCTGGAGTACTTGACTGGGTTTCTGGTGATCAGTGGGCTGATCTTCCCGGTGGTGCTGTTCCATAACCATCTCATCAGCCATTGGAGCCTTGTTCTTAGTATCAGCGGCGGATTCATCATTTATCTGAGCATTGTACTATTTATCGTGGGATTCAAAGAAGAGGCCGACGACTACGACTTCTAGGCCTATTTCTGCAGATCAACAATGCACACCTTCTGCGTCTTAGGACCCCCATACAAAATCGCCCATTTCGTGCCCTTGGACGCCTCTTTTGACAGGGCGTTGTATATGTTGGCCACGAACGACCGCGGCGTCGAACTCGACACTCCGCCCACCTTCCGCTTCCATTCGTCGGGTTGGTCCAGCGAGGTGATGCTGATCATCGCCAACACCTCGTCTCTGGCCTCGATCGTGAAAATTGGCGAGCTCTCCAGCACCCGAATTAACGACTCTGCAGACTCGGCCGCCTGGTCCACAATGGCCCACCGCTCCTTTTTGTTGTTCTTGCGGCTGGCTCCCGTCGCATTGTTCGGAACCACAATCACCCGTTGCCGGTTGTCAGCCAGCACCTCTGGGTCCTGAACTGCTGCCCCCGTGTCCACTTCGATCTCCTTCGGCTGCTCGCCCTTGAGCAACGAAACCAAATCGTGCAAGTCCACCTCGGTGTCCACCTTGGACTCCAGGTTCTTGAGCCGCAGCGGCTTGTACTTGTTGCTCTTTAAGTTTCCTCGCAGAGTGTCTAGATTGGTCTGCGCTTTCACCACCAGCAACCACTTGACGCTCGACTCGATGGCTTGATTGGTCATGTCATCGATCGTGGTGCAGTTGTCGACCAGATCGGCGCTGATATCGTTTGACCACAGCACCTGGAGCAGGAACGGAGCAATCTCTTTGAGAATGCCGACCGAAAAAAACCCAATCAGCACGTCGCACTTCTTCATGTTCCACGCAACCTTAAGGTTCTCCTTCTGGAACTTGCGCTTCACGTCCTTGCGTCTTCCAAACATGTCCTGGTACCGTTTCATCGAGTTGAACAGGAAGTCCCAGGCCAGTCTCAGACTTGTGGCCTTTGGCAGGTCTCTTGGCGACTTTGTGCGCGCAAGAGAGCTGATCAGCTCGTCGTACCGGCCACCAGCGCAAATAACCGACTTAAATTTATCCTCATAAACCGCAGAAAACATCATACCTCCCTTGTAGAACGCCGAGTTGTAGCCACTCAGCGGCCGGATCTCTACCGTCAGCCCCACGTTGAACCACTCCAGGTACTTGATGATCTTGTTCAGGTAGTTCAGACAGTTGTCCACACGCACCAGGTACGGACTGTCCATCATGAGTCTGTGCAGCTTGGACTTGGCCTGTGACGTGGTCAGTCCAAAGTCGAACTGGAGCAGGTCGTCCAAAATTGTTGACGAGATGTTCAGGTCCTGTTTCAGGATGGCCTTGACTTCCTTGGCTGTCATGGTGAACCCGAGCTCGGCCAGAATCCGGCTCACCACCACCATTTGTGGACGGTCAATGCCGCAGTACTCCAGCACGGTATCCAGCAGGTTGCAATGGTTGAGCATGATCTTAACGTTGGAATGTTTCAAGAACGGGAACACCGCAATGATCTCGGATGCGACCTTGATGCATTCGGCGTCGAAGAACGGTAGCAGCTCTGGTGGCTCGCCTGGCTGCGAAACAATATCAAAGTCGATCTCTTTGTACTTGGTTGGCCCAGACCCCTCGTCTTTATCGATCGAACGGTACACATCGTCGATACGGTAGAACTTGTGCACGCTAAGGCGTTTGCGGCCCAGCAGACGAGCCAATGGCAGTGTCAGGTCGTACGGAATCTGCAACACAGATCCAGCACGGTCCAGAACCTCGTACAGATGGTACGTCGAGTCGTAGATTGGGTTCTTTGGGAACAGCATCGAGTTGCTGTCGATGAACTCTACCGCACCGTGTCGCACAAAGATCTCAGACACCTTCTCAACCATCTTGGAGTGTATGAGATAGTCCGAGATGGTGTACGACTTCTCAACGTCTCCGAAAAGCAGGTCTCTCACGTAGCTATACGGCTGGGAAAATAAGATATCTCTTGCTTGGTGGTGCCAGGACGAGGACGGGTCGATCAATGCGTTGAGGGCCTCCTTCATTAGATCGTCCTGTTGCTCCACACGGATAAGACCGCTCTGCAACAGCTGTTTGGCGGCTGGCCGTTTGTCGGGGTTATGGTCCAACAACATCTTGATGATCTTCTTCTCGGTAGCCAGTCGACTGTTATCAAAGTCAGCTGGGAACACGATGTCTGCTCCCCGCAGATTGCTGATCACCGTGTATCGCTCCATGGACGTACCCAGCTGGTAAATCATCTCGAAGAAAATGATTCCCAGAGAGTACAAGTCCACCTTCTCGTTGTACACCCCAGACCCGTTCATCACCTCGACAGCAACATACAGTCGTGTGCCGATATCCGAGGTAAGGTCCTCGGCGTTCTCCGACGTATCGACAGCACGCTTTGTCACAGACGGAACGTAATGCACGTTTTTCGCAAGTCCAAAGTCTCCAACCTTGACGTTCTGGTTTTCGTCGATGAAAATGTTCATTGGCTTCAGGTCACGGTGGATAATTCCCTGAGAATGGATGTGGCTCAAGGCCTCCAGCACTTGACGCAGAATCCGCCAGTACGTATCCGAATCCATGAAAAGGCCTTGTCGAATAAGATCAAACAACGTACGGTTCTCACAGTACTCCATCTGAATGAATAACACAGACCGTTTCTTGGATACCTTGGGGCGTCTCACCACAGGAACGTCTTTGTCGGTGTCGGACTCGTTTTCCTTGTCGGTGCCAAAGGTAAACACCTCGCCTTCCTCCGACTCGCTGTCGTCGTCTTCGTCGTCGCTAATGTTGAAATCAATGTCTGGGTTCACAGACGACGAAATGAAGTCGTTGTACGGCTGGCTACCCGTACGTGTGAACTCTGAGGCTCCATCAGTCTCTGTTTCTGACTCCTCTTCCTCCGTCTCTGAGAAAACAGGTCCGTAGCTAAAGTCGTCCTCAAGCCACGCGGCATAGTACCGAACAACGTACTGATGATTCAGCCGCGCAAGAAGCATGACCTCGTTCAGAATCTTGGCCAGCTTGTCCTCAGTGTGTCTAATTTTCTTGATGGCATAGAATCTTCCGTCCAGCTTGTTTCTCACCTTCACAACTTCACCAAACCCTCCCTTGCCAAGATTTCCAACCTCTTCGAAATCCTGAACGTACCGGGAGTACGACTTCATCTCGGCCGCGGTGCCGCTGTTGAACGACTCGCGCTTTCCCCGGCTCTTAGAAACGGCCACCAATGGGGAATCAGAAATATCCGAGAATCCGTTGATTCTTGTTCCTCGTTTTTCTGCAGTGGCCGCACCAATCGAAAGTGTAGGTCCACCGTTGATGCTGAGTCGTAGAAACTTGGACGGGAGCAGCTCCAGCGGGTCAGGCCGTTTCCTCGTGCGGATGTCGAAAATAGCACCCAGAAACTCCATCACAGGTTCTTCCAAATCAGAATAGCTGGAAAGAAAGTCTGCCGGGCTGGCAAAGTCGTAAATTATGTTAGGTCCAAGTGTAAGTTGGACAAAGATGACACCGAGGTCCCAAACGTCGGTCTTCCGCTGCGGCTTGTCAAACAAAGACGAATCGTTCTTCTTGCGCTCGGGAGCTATCCATCCCGGAGTTGAAAATGGGAAAACGTCGTCGTTCTGTCCCTGGTTCGGGTAATTGGACAGCATGTTGAGAATGGTGTATCCGTAGCAGACATTTGCCAGACGAACCTGGCTCTGACCCGTCGAGGACGGACACACTTGGATGGCATCCAAAGTCAAACACTTGTGGATCATGGCCTGTTTATGTAAATACTCCAAACTCTCTAAAAGTTGAATTGTCCATTCTCGAGCAGAATTGATGTTGATGAAAGAGACAATGTTCAGGAGATTGGACAGAGTGTCGTGGTAGCCTGTGAGAATTGCAATCTTCCAAACATCGAACTTCTCGTTGTCCATTGACACCTTCTTCGACACTTTCCTGGCTGCAGAATTGTTCATCGATATGTCTCCGCTGGAAGTCATTTCAAACTTTTCGATATTGAATGCGTAAACTCTGTCCAGATTTTCGTGGCGGATGTTGCTCACTGCTTGGAGTTCTTTCTCCAAAGAAACAATCAGCTTTTTTCCCTGACTCGTACGCCAGAAAGGGTTGGAAAGGTCGATCTCTGTAAATAGAAACTGTAACTTCTCTTTACCCTTGGAAAGCTCTTGGATCATAGGAAGCGACGAAGAGTCTTTATTAACATGCGGTTTCACCAGATACTGCTTGCTGCAGTCCTTGAGGACTCCCACGGGCTCTATGGGGACGAATCCGGAAACAGCTTTAAATTCTAGCCGGTAGTAGTCCAGATGCGTTTCTATGGTCCTGTCAAAAACAAAAATGCGTTCCTCGGAGGAATCTAAGTCCGTCGACTCCAATTTCAAAACGTTCTCCTTTGGAGCTGACAGAGGAGGGGGTGCCTCCGCAGTGATCTTGTTGGACCGTCGCTTAAGCTCTTTGGCAACCATTTGATCGAGCAATTCCTGCTCCTTTTCTCGCTCCAAATTAAGTTGGTCTTGTTGTTCCTTGTCTTTCTGCTCCATGAGCTCTTTTTCCTTCTCGAGTCGCTTGATTCGCTCCTCCTCGAGTGTTTCTGTGCGGGCACTTGTCTGGAACTCGTTCAGATGGTCCAGAATCGATGCGGTGACCGAATACACCATCGGCCCGCCTTTCTCTTGTTTCATGATACTCTCCATTTCCGAGCGCAAAAAGCTGAGCTGCGATGCCAACACGTTCTGCGTCTTCCCAAAAGACACCAATGGTAACGTCTTGGGATACGTCGCTGTGAACTCAACGTTAAGCACAACGGATAATATGGGTTCGTTCTGCGTATCGGAGGAAAGAGTTATCTGAAACTTGGGACACGGCTTCTGACTCCAGGCGCTCTTCTGGGGAGTCTTGTCGACCAAGTCGTCCGCATAGATGGCCTTCAGAACCTCCAGTTCCTCAACCTGCGTGGCATGGTAGTCCTCCATCGGTGTGTCTTATCAAGTTTACCCGGCACACAAATTTTTGCAATGGCAATAAATAATTAAGTCAAAAATGTCATCGGACAAGATGGACGCCGCGTCCCTGATCTCGAGATTGAACCTCAACAAGGAGGACAAGGGCGACAGAGAGGTCACGAAGGATGAGATTGAACAGCCGGCCGTCAAAGAGCCTGTCGAAGAGAAGACACAGCCAGAGCCAGCCGAGAAACCTCAGAGCTCTCTCGTGGACTCAACGTACGAGGTGAAGGTGAAACTTGCTGACTTGCAAGCCGACCCAAACTCGCCGCTGTACTCAGTGAAGTCGTTCGAGGAGCTTGGGCTTCGCGAGGAGCTGCTGAAGGGTCTTTACGCCATGAAGTTCTCCAAGCCTTCCAAGATCCAGGAGAAGGCTCTTCCTCTTCTTATCCAGAACCCACCGCGCAACATGATTGGACAGTCGCAGTCGGGAACGGGTAAAACCGCTGCTTTTTCGCTGGCCATGCTCACCAGGGTCGACGAAAACAACCCTGCCGTGCAGGCATTGTGCCTGTCTCCAGCCAGGGAGCTGGCCAGACAAACCGAGGAAGTTGTTTCTCAGATGAGCAAATACACCAAGGTCAAGGTCAAGTTGGTTGTCCCTGGTGCTCTGCAGAGAGACGAGTCGGTCAATGCGCAGATCGTCATTGCCACACCAGGTGTTATTTTGGATCTGATCAGAAGAAAAAAGATCGACTTGAAGAATCTCAAGGTGTTCGTTTTGGACGAGGCCGACAATATGCTCGATATGCAAGGACTTTCAGACCAGTGTGTGCGTGTGAAGAAGGCGATCCCCAAGACCACTCAGCTGGTTCTGTTTTCTGCTACGTTCCCAGACGACGTGCGGAAGTACTCTGAAACTTTTGTTCCGCATGCCAACTCTTTGGAGCTTAAGCAAGAGGAGCTGAATGTGGACGCCATTAAACAATTGTACATGGATTGCGATTCGGAGCAGCACAAGTTCGAGGTGCTTTGCGAGCTGTACGGACTGCTGACCATTGCGTCGTCTATTATTTTTGTCCAGACCAAGGACACGGCTTCGAAACTGTACACTAGAATGAAGAAAGAGGGACACGCGGTCTCAATTTTGCATGGAGACTTGCAACCGGCAGAGAGAGATAGACTGATCGACGATTTCAGAGAGGGAAGATCCAAGGTACTCATCACTACGAACGTTCTTGCTAGAGGCATTGACATTCCGTCTGTTTCAATGGTGGTGAACTACGACATTCCTCTGGACAAAAAAGGAAATCCAGATCCATCCACCTACCTGCACAGAATCGGTAGAACAGGAAGATTTGGTAGAACTGGTGTGTCAATTTCTTTGATCCACGACAAGAAGTCCTACCAGGACTTGGAGACCATTCGTGCCTACTTCGGTGGCATTGAGATGACAAGATTGCCAACAGACGACTGGGATGAGGTCGAGGAGATCGTCAAAAAGGTTATTAAATAAGTGCATATAATAAACTAAAACTAATCAGCCCAAGGGGTGTCTCACGAAATCAAATATGTACTCATACCAACGGCCGGTGTAGTCTTCCTTTTGTGAGCCTTCAACTGCATTCTGGGTGTCTCCGAGGTAGTAGTTAGTTTGCAAGAAGGCGGCGAGGAAGCACGCCCCTCCAACGCCCAAAGCCCCGCAGAACAGTAGATAGTTAAGCTCTTGGTACGCCTTGATACACGCAAGTCTATCACTGGATCCCCAAGGCAACGCATAAATAGTCGAGATGTCTTCAAAGTAGGTATATGCAGCAGTTGGATCTTGAATGTGCTGAACAAGTTTTTTTGGTAGCTGCGAGATCCAAATACTGGCAGCAATAGCCTGTCCAACCGCTCCGCCTATGGAACTGAAGAGGTCGAGAATTGAAATGGTAAAGGCCATGTTTTTGTGGGGGACAGATGCCTGACCTGCTAGTTGGGTAGCCATCTGGGTAGATGCGTCGCCAAAGGATATCAGAACTGCTCCTGCTACCAAAATCCCCAAAGATGGTGGCTTATCCATTTTACTAGCTTTCACCAGCAGGCCAATTCCAATCATTCTAATTGCAGTCCCCATCACCTGGAACACCTTGTACCGGCGGAACACCCAAAACACAAGTCCCCACATCACTCCAAAGAAGCAAACACCCATGGTTTCTGTGTTGTTAAAGTACGTCCAGTGTTTATAGGAAAGGTTCAGAGTGACCAGTGTGTAAGAGCTGAAGTAGAGAACCCAAAGACAAGCACTGAACTGATAGCAGAAATCAATGAATGCAGAGCACACAAACGTTCTGTTGAGCAGCACAGCTTTTGGTAGCAGCGGAAAAGGCGCGTAACTAATTTCGTAGACCGCATAAGTGATCAGCAAAACTCCACCAACTACCTCCATAGCAATCATTGAAGGGTTCTTCCATCCGCCATTAGCGTATGCGTAGAGAGAGCAGGGTAGCAATATCAAGGAGAATGCGAACCCGAGCAAAACAAGACCCAGTGCGTCAATCTCCACTAGTGCCTCCCTGACCTGCTTCCAAGATACTTTTGGTGGCTTGAACAGTTGCTCACCATTGCCGTTGACTCGGTGATCAATCACAAAGATGATGGTCACAGCTGACGTAAGGACCACTGGAGTGATTATGGCAAACATACCGTAGCCCCACCTCCAGTTGGTTTTCAGTATATCTTCCACGATATAGCCAGATATCCAGGTAGTGCACAAGTACGGAGTGAGCAGCATGCTAGCCACGGCAGTTCTCCACTTTAGCGGCGTCATATCTGCGACGATAACGTTGTTCATCAAGTCAACACCCGATTCTCCAATTGAGATAAAGACGCACCCGACAACGTACGAGGAAATGCTCTGCGAGCAAGCTGCAATGATGAAACCCATCACGTAGAGCACGAGAATAAGCAGATAGGCATATGCACGGGACGTCATGTCGGAAAACTTGGCGACAAAGGGCTTGGAGACTGCAGATATCACAGTGGTTGCAATGTCCAGAGACGAAATCATCGAGTGTCTGTGGAACTCGGAGGTGGCGTAGGGCTGGTAGCTCGTGGTGGTGGTGAAGTCAAGCGCAAGTGTCCACGAACAGAGATAGACGGAAAAAGCAAAAAGGAGCAGGTACCGTTTGTCGATGTTCTTGTCCAGGTTTTCTATGCGCGTGACTCCTCTAGGAGCGTCGGTGACCAACTCCAGAGTTTCATCTGTTTTCTCTACTTGGCTCATGGGTGAGTGGTTTCGGTGCAGAGTATTTATATTATGGATATTTGCTCATCGGAGGTGAATAGTTATGTGCGATCTTACGTCGAGAAGATCGCTTGATTTTCGCAGATCTGACCTAATCTTGGCACGAGTGGCTGAAATGTTTGAACATAGCACCCAACACTTCTCAAGGAACTTGGTTTTAGCGGTCCATCATTGTCACATCCGATTGGTCTCACCTGAATATACCTTATTTTTTTCGCTCTGGAGACCTACTCCGGTGTGTACTCGAAACAACCTTTATTTGCTCGTCTGCATATAGAAAGGTCCCAAAAAGTACTTAAGAAACTTAGCACGTGACCATAAAAGAAGTTAGATTTCAGTCTATTTAAATGGACTCTTGAAAAAGTCTAGCACAGTGATATACCACTTCCCTGACTCTGGAAGGTTCTCCTCTCCCTCAACAGCATTCTGCTCATTTCCCAGGTAGAAGTTGGAGAGGAACATGCTTCCGATTATACAGACTGTATTGATACCGATTGCAATACAGAAGAGCACGTAGTAAATGTCCTGGTACGCCTTGATACAGGCGAACCGGTCGTGGGAGCCCCATGGCAGCTTATATATTGCCGAAACCTCGTCAAAGTAGCGCAAGGCCTTCTTTGGATCTCCAACGTAGTTAGTCAGCTTTTCAGGCAAGTGCGTGTTCCAAATGGCAGCTGCAATTGCCTGGCCTACGCTGCCCCCAATTGAACTGAACAGAGAAAGAATGGAGATCGTCGACGCCATATCCTTGTGAGGAACACACGCCTGGCCGGCTATCTGGGTTCCCATAATATCTGCAGCGTCTCCAAAGGATATAATTATGTTGCCCGCGAGGATGAAGCCAAGAGTGGGCCCGTTGAGCTGTTTTGCAGAGTGAATCAACAATCCGAGTCCGACATCACGTATCATGGTTCCCCCGACCTGAAAGATTTTGTACCGACGAGTGATTCTAAACAGAAGACCAATCAGAACACTGAATGCACAGTAGCCAACCGTTTCTGTGTTGCTCAAATACGTCCAGTCTCTGTAGGAAAGATTTAAAACAACCATCGTGTACGAACTGAAGTAGACAACCCACATATACGAGTTCATCTCGTGGAAGAAGTCGACGATGGCACAGAACACAAACGTTTTGTTGAGAAGCACTCGTCTAGGCAGAAGCGGATACGGGGCAAACCATATGTCGTAGACAATGTAGGTGATTAGCAGCACTCCTCCAACGCATTCCATGGCAATCATTGACGGATTGCTCCACCCACCACTCGCATATGTGTAAAGAGAACATGGGAGCAGAATCAGAGAGAATGCGAAGCCAATAAGCAGCAATCCCAGAGCGTCGATTTCCAGCAGTGCAGTGTGTAGGTCTCTGATTCCAACCCGGAGCGGCTTTCTGGTTGTATCATCATCCTTATCGAGTCGGTGCTCGATCCAAAATATAATCAAGATCGCTGGAATAACGGCTACCGGGGTGATTATTGCAAACATCCCGTAGCCCCATCTCCAGTTCGCGTCAATGATGTTTTGCACGATAATCCCAGAAACCCAGGTTGTACACAGCGAGGGTGTCATCAGCAAACTCAAAACAGCAGATCTCCACTTTAATGGAGTCATGTCTGCAACCAGAATGGTGTTGAGTAGGTTTATTCCCGACTCTCCAATTGCTATAAAAACAGAGCCAATCACATAGGCAGAGATCGTTGGAGAACAGGCCGCCACAATGAACCCTATCACATACAACACAAGAACAACACTGTATGCCATTCCTCGAGAGGTCAAATCTGAGAACTTGGCTACAAACGGCTTGCAAACTGCAGATATCACGGTGGTTGCAATTGTCAGTGTAGAGAGCATAGAGTGTCTGTTAAAATGGGACGTTGCATACGGCTTGTAGCTGCGTATAGTGGATCGATCCAGTGAAATGGCCCAGGAACACAGATACACAGAGACGATAAGCACCGATAGGTACTTGCTATTCATCTGTTTTTCCACCCTCTCGATTCTTTGAACTCCCCTAGGAGTCCTCTCAATCGAGTCGTACGAAACGGTGGTTTCTGAAGCTGACAGACTTTTCAATTGCGGAGACATTGGCAAAATATGACAAACAAGCGCCAATTTATGTGGCTCTTCCGTGCCAAATTTGCTCGTCTCGTAATGTGCTCTTCCATCGCTCGAGCTCAAAGTCGGGTCAATTCAACGCTTACGTCAGCAGGGGAGAATAACTTTTCAGCCGGGTGTTGGGAGTGAGTAGACCGGCATTTCCAAATTAGCGCATTCTGGCTAAACCGAAAAAAGAAAAAACCAGTGAGAAACGGCACTTCGGGGTACGGAGGCGAGGGCCGTCCGACTGCGCGACGGTGTGAATTCGACTTACCAGACTGGATCCCAGCAGCGGTTGTTCATTATAATGTGGCTATCCCAGATTCATTAGGCCTGGGTTTGACAGCCTCCGAGTCGCTGTAGCCAATCAGTCCCAATTACGCTCGGCATTGAGTTTCCGCAGGAGAGGATGATATTACCTAAAACAAAAAAAATATTAGAGGACCCTTAAATTCAACGGGTATTGTTGAGCGTATATGTATGTAGAAAATTTATGCACGAGTTTTTTTACTAGCCCACAAAAGCCTCTCATCGGAACAATTATCGGAGGTAAAAAACTAATTAATTCAAAATATACTGAACGTATATAGTATCCATTAGTGGAATGGATGTTTGACGAAGTCGATGACGTAGTTGTACCATTTCTTGGTGTAGTCCTCTTTTTGCTCGCCCTCAACAGCGTTTTGGGTGTCACCCAGGTAGAAGTTGGTTTGCAGCAAAGTAGCAACGAAGCAGGCACCGCTGATTCCCAAGGCACCGCAGAATAGCAAGTAGTTGACGTCCTGGTAGGCATGAATACATGCAACTCTGTCAGAGGAGCCCCATGGAAGGTTGTAGATGTTGGTGATGTCCTCGAAGTAGGTGTAAGCGGTGGTGGCATCGCCAACGTACTCGACAAGCTTAGCTGGCAAGTGGGTGGACCAGATCGCAGCAGTGACTGCCTGTCCAACACCGGCACCAATAGAGCTGTACAACGAGAGAACAGAAATGGTGGAGGCCATGTCCTTGTGGGGAACACAGGCCTGGGCAGCGACCTGGGTTCCCATAACAATAACAGAGTCACCAATAGAAACGATAACGTAACCGGCAACTATGATTCCAAGCGATGGTCCATTCTCCATCTGGGTGGACTTAACCATCAATCCAAGAGCGATCAATCTCATAATAGTACCAGTCACTTGGAAAACCTTGTAACGGTGAGTCCATCTGAAGAACAGACCCCAGATAACACCAAAGGCACACAGACCCATGGTCTCGGTGTTGCTCAAGTAGGTCCAGTCTCTGTAGGAAAGGTTCAATGCAATCATAGTGTACGAGCTGAAGTAAAGTAGCCACATGTAACCACCCATCTGGTACAAGAAATCAATGAAAACACAGCAGATGAAAGTTCTGTTGATGAGCACACGCTTTGGCAGCAATGGGTAAGGAGCAAACCAGATGTCATAAACAATGTAGGTGATGAGCAAAACACCACCAACAACTTCCATGGCAATCATGGAAGGGTTGTTCCATCCTCCGTTGGCGTAGGAGTAAAGGGAACATGGGAGCAGCATCAAGGAGAAAGCGAAACCGATGAGGAGGAGCCCGAAAGCGTCGATCTCAATCAGAGCAGTCTTGATCTGACTAAGACCGATCTTTGGAGCAGCAATAAGTTTCTTGCCATCTCCGTTGATACGGTAGTCGACCCAGAAAATCAGGGCAATAGCTGGCAACAAAGCTGCTGGGGTGATGATTGCAAACATACCGTAACCCCATCTCCAGTTGGCAGTGACAATGTTCTGGACAATATAACCGGAAACCCAGGTAGTACAGAGGTAAGGAGTGGAAAGCAGACCAAGGACGGTAGATCTCCATTTCAAAGGAGTCATGTCTGCCACCAAAATACTGTTCATTAAATCGATACCGGATTGACCAATGGCGATGAAAACGGAACCGATAACGAAGGCAGAAATGGTTGGGGAGCATGCGGCGACAATGAAACCAATCACGTACAGCAAAAGAATGACCATGTAGGCAATAGCTCTGGAAGTCAAGTCGGACAGTTTAGCGATGAACGGCTTACAAACGGCACCAATGACGGAGGTTGCAATACTCAAGGTGGACAACATGGAGTGACGGTTGAACTGCGAGGTAGCATAAGGCTGGTAGTTGTAGGTGGTGGAACTATCCAGAGAGTAGGTCCAAGAACACAGGTAGATGGAGAGAACAAAAATTGTCAAGTATTTCCATCCCATGGTTCTTTTCACGTTCTCAATTCTAGCCACACCCCGTGGGAGCCCTTCTTCAACTCCATGGTCATCGACCAATTCGGAGCCAGAGCTGTTTTTCAGTTCCTCACTCATTTGTTTCTTGATATTACTTTCTAATTGGTAGTAGGTTATCTGAAAATGATAATTTTTACTGTATATATCCAGCCTTATATATTATCCCCGATACAAACAATATGCATTGAAAAAAAATTTAACAATTATCAGTTTCATCAACGCGTGCGTGACTCAAGAATTTTTTCCTTTACTGCCTGAAATCCGTGTGCATCTTTTTGGTTGGAGCAAAGATCCGACAATGCACTAACGCCACTTATGTTATGAAGCTGCATGTACTTTTCAATTAATGCCACTGCTTCCAGCCGGGGATCTGCATCATTCCATTCGGATAGCTCATTAGCAACAGACTCGATCAAATAAGCTACCCTTTTCAGACGATTGTAATAGGTTGTTTCTGTAGACTTCCAAGTTGGGTAAGAAGAAATAATTTGACGCACCGACGGCTGTCCATTTTCGGCAGACCCAATGTACCAAATCTTGTATAATTCTCGCACGCTGAGGCTCTTGTTGGAACGCGGCCCTCTGGGAAGTTTAAAATTTACAATATGCATCGGCAAATTTTCAGTCCCCGGTAAATGCATGCTGCCTGACCCTACTTGCTTGACGCGAACTTCTCTTTGTTCGGGCAATAAAGCGTCTCCAATAGAAAGAATAGGATCAATAGAACTGCTCTGATTGGATTTTTTCGTCCCAGGCTCGTCCGAGTAGGACGAACGCTTCACCCCACTGGCTGTTTCCACTAAACTGTCAACTTCTTTTTCTAATTGTTCGATTTTTTCGCATAATGAGGCTTCTATCTGCCTGAACACCAGAGCCTCGAGGTCTCTTTGTGCGTCTTCCGCCTCGTCTATTTGTTTGATGATAGGGTCTACGAGATTCCGCCCAGATATCTTTTCTGTTAACTTTGAGACAATCAGGTCACACGCGCTCTGGATCGTATCATTGTCTTCAGATGCAAATTTTTCCAGTGGCTCGGTACTCAGCAATTGGTTTACCTGGTTTAGTTGACCTTCCATTTGGTTTCCTACACCAACGTCCATATCTATCGCTTTCAAGTTTATAAATTAATTTTTATCGCACAAATTCCGACAGCACGTGATCAGGCGCGCATGACCAACAAAAGCGCGATTATCTTTAATCTTTGGTTTGAATAACCTCTAGATAATGAGTTCTTCCGGAGAAGAAGAGGCGCTTCAGGTGCCCAAGCCGGTGGATTATGGTAGTATCAGCGCTCCCGAGTTGCCCTCCCCGGCCGATGAAAAACTGCCTCGCAGCGTGTTCTTGATCATCCTCATCTCTCTGTTCATCTATGTATTTTTATCAGCTCTGGATTCAACCATGGTTGCGACCTTGTTGGGCGTTATTGCAAGCGACATGAACGAGCTTGAAAATGTTTCATGGGTGGCAGCCAGCTATCTGCTTTCGTGTGCCGCTTTCCAGCCGTTGTTTGGTAAGATTTCAGACATTTTTGGCCGAAAGCCAATCGTCCAAATCTGTGCCATTCTGTTTGCTATAGGATGTGCCATGTGCGGAATAACAACCAGTTTCTGGTCTCTGGTGGCGGGAAGATTCATAACTGGAATTGGCGGCGGTGGACTAAACGCAATGGCCTCTATCACTGTTTCCGACATCGTTTCTAAACGGCAACGGGGACTCTATCAAGGGTATCTGAACATCTTTTTCCATTGTGGAGCTGCCAGTGGTGGAGTCATTGCAGGTGTCTTTGAGAGACTGTTTGGTTGGAGAAGTGCGTTCTTGGTACAGGTCCCAGTCTGTCTGATTTGTATTTTCCTCACCCAGCTGTACTTCCAGCTACCAAAGAGCTCTGTTGGAAACGGAATGCAAGGCCATGGATACTGGAAGAAACTTGCTCATATTGACTACACTGGATCGTTCATTTTGGTGTCGGCATTACTTGCCCTGATGCTGGCTGCGTCGTTTGCAGGACAGGAGCAGGACTCCAGTCCGCTGCTATTCCGAGGCCTGGTTCTTTACAGTGTGTTTGGCTTGGTGTCTTTCTACTACTACGATCTCAAGGTAGCCAGTCAGCCAATCATTCCAATTAGGCTGTTGCACAACCGCACAGTTTTGGCATCATCGCTCTGTTGCTGGTTCATCTCGATGAACCTGTTTACATGTCTGTTTTATCTTCCGTTCTACTGGAGCGCCGTGAAAAACCTCTCGCCGCTGGAGTGTGGAATGCGGTTGATTCTTGGAAGCTTTGCCGCTTCTGTCTCGTCCATGGTGGCAGGATACATTATCCGCCAGAGCGGACGTTACTGGAGACAGCAGCTCTACACGGGGATCGTTGTCGTTCTTGGAAGTTTGCTTGTTTTCTCGTCCCGAAGAAACGACTCGGTGATTCTGGACTCACTGGTGAATGTTCCACTTAGATACGGAACGTCTAGCGTTATCACCATTCTTTTGATAGCCATGATTTCCTCGGTTAAGTCAAATGAACAAGCTCTGGTGACCTCAATCCAGTACGGTTTCAGATCTACCGGTTCGACGTTGGGAGTGTCGCTTGCGTCGGCGCTTTTACAGTTTTCGTTGCGGGGCCAATTGAATTCGAGGTTTGCAAAGCTGTCGGATATTCCTGAAAAATGGGTCGGAAAACTCGATTTGATCAAGAACTCTGCACTGGCTGATCCCAGCTACACGTTCACGGGGGCGCCACAGTTTGCACGCAATGCCATCCTGGACAGCTACGACTACTCCTGCCACATTGTATTTGGGTTCCTTATTGTCACTGGACTGCTGTCCCTTGTGAGTATCTGCTTCATTGAGGACCACGACCTCGAATCCGACAAATAGACTGGTGTATAGATGTTTTAGATAACATAGATAAAAAAATTAACGGGAAACCACTTCCTAACCTCACAATGTTTAGAGAAAACGGTGCTCGGTATCTCGCTTTGGGGCTTCTGGTAGCCATTGGACTATATTTTGGCTTATACACGGGAGGTGGTGTGACTAGGTACGAGAGTCAATGCCCTTCCACGAAGACTCACCGGCCAGCTGCTTTTGAATCGCACAAGCATGTGCTCGATAGGATATTGCATGACCCGGACTTCAGGAACGAGTCGGTCACCAAGCTCCAAAAAGCCATTCAGATCAGAACAGAGGTGCATGATGACGACACAGAATTGGTGGAAGATGATTTCGAGTACTGGTCCAAGTTTGATAAGTTCGAGGAGTACCTGAATTCAACTTTTCCGCTGTTTTATAGTCATGTGACTCTGCACAAGGTCAATTACCATGGGCTGGTATACATATGGCAGGGAAGCAATCAAAACTTGAAACCGTTGTTGCTAATGGCTCATCAGGATACCGTTCCGGTTTCTGAAGACAGTCTTTCGCAATGGGAGCACGATCCGTTTGCTGGCTACTATGACGGTACAAATCTCCATGGTAGAGGAATTGCTGATTGTAAAGACCAGCTTGTTGGATTATTTGAAAGTGCCGAAGAACTGATCAAAACAGGGTTTGCTCCTAAGAGAACCATCATCTACTCGTTTGGCTTTGACGAAGAAGTTATGGGTAACCGTAATAAAAATGCAAAGTGGATTGAACAGCAATATGGAGCAGACTCTATTTATGCGGTTGTTGATGAAGGAGGAGTCAACCTGGACACCATTGAGGGAGTGAAGATGTCCGTTCCTGGAACGGCAGAAAAGGGGTACGTGGATCTGAAAGTGATTATCGAGACGCCTGGTGGACATTCATCAATTCCACCTCCTCATACTTCGATTGGAATGATGGGTGAAATGATCGTTGCTATTGAAAACCTAGATATTCCCACCTACTTTACACCAGCAAATCCAGCTTACTGGGAATACGTCTGTGTTGCAGAGCACTCTCCTCAGATCACTCCAAAGGCAAAGAAGAGTATTTTGAACTCGCGCTTTGACAAAGCATCCAATAAGGATGCTCGCAAGTATATTGACATTGATCTGCACAAAGGGTTTGTGGTCAAGTCAACGCAGGCTTTGGATATTGTTTTTGGAGGCGTCAAGGCCAATGCTCTTCCTGAGTACGTGGAGCTGACTATCAACGTGCGGATTGCCATGGAAGAAACGGTGGAGATAGTTTCCAGAAGGATACTCGGAGCTGTTGAACCAGTTGCAGAAAAATACGGACTAGGTCTCACATTCCGTCTAAACGGAGACGAAAAGATCCTTGATCCAAAATCCCAAGGTCACTGCCTGGTGAATGTTGTCTCGTTGCTGGAACCTGCTCCAGTAACACCGATCAACGATGAAGAATGGGACATTTTTGCAGGCACTATCAAGCACGTCTACGAAGACCTGGTTGCGCCAAATCAGACTCTTGTGGTTGCACCGGGAATTGGTTCTGGAAACACAGATACCAAGTGGTACTGGAATCTTACTAGGCACATCTACCGCTACAGACCTGGTCAGCTTCCTGGGGTTTATTCTAAAGAGCACGGTGTTAACGAGTTCATTCCAGTCGACTCGCATCTACATCTCATTGCATTCTTTTACGAGTACATTTTGAGTGTGGATGAAGCAGAAGATACCACTGAGTTTTCAAGCCCATTATTTCAGATAGAAAACTAAGTATTTTATTCAAGAAGTACAGTAGTCAACCAAAGTCTCGGCGTTTTCACCGATCATGGACTCAATGTAGTCAACCAATTTTTCAAGGGGTATCATGTCGATGGTTCCCAATGGACCAGTGGTCTCCAGAACCTGGCCACCATATAACGTTCTAACGTACCATTTGGAGTCCTTCAGTCCTTCGTACAGCTCAAACACCACCTCAGATCCCATTCCAGGCCATCTGAGGTAGTTGATCTGGAGGAATCCCAGCATTCCGCTAATAGAGCCGTCGTGAATCACGTTGTGTGAGTACTTCAAAGCAGAAGCACCCGTGGTCTTGTCAACCAATCTATGTTTCAGCTCGTTGAAGTAGGCACCATAATCGGTAGCAGCATACAGAGTGGAGTTCTCGTTGATTCTCCAGGTATAGTTGTACTCGTAGTCGCCTAATCTGAAGATCTGTTCTGCCTGGTCTTCCGTCATACACAGAGACGAGTTGTCAGCGTTGCAAGCCAGATCATACCCGTGGCAGAGTCTGAAAGCAGTGTTGTCGAAATAGTGGTCAAATGAAACGTGCCATCCAGATGCCTTTGGATCCACGCCGGTGATGTTGTCAAGCTCGCTGTACAAATCAGAGGCGTTTTTAAGGTGCTGCTCCCATTCAGGAGTCGATCTGATCTCGCTGTACAAGTCGTCTGCAAAATCACAACTGTATGACGGTTCGAGCGCGTCGAATCCATCAACCTCGATCTTCACGTCAATTCCCGTCTCTTCTGGGTAAAGAGCCTTGATCAAAGCACTTGCAACCTGTGAAGTAATCACGTTGTTGGTAACTCTAAAGTTAACATGCTCGGAGTTATAAGTTTCAGGCAGAAAATCCAATAGCTTTCCGTAAACACCATAGATGTCCAGTCCGTGCTGATAAGAATCTTCCAATCCTGCGTAGGAAATCTGCGGGAACTGGCAGGTCCCGTTGTAACCATTATCGATGTAGTTGAATGGATTGTTAGGGTTCTGGTAGTTTGCCCACGAGATCTTTAAAGTATCATTGGATTCCCGCTGAGTTCTGAACTCAGAGTAATAGTTATTCAAAGCATCATCGCAGTACAGAACCAAAGCTTCTTTTGGGTAGCAATTCGTGGCATACGGAGTTCTCTTGTGGTGACGGTGAGAAACCTCGACAAACTGCAATTTGTATTTACTTGTATCAACTTGCGGATAATGATCTTTTCTCACATGGGGCATATTGCAAAAGTTGTAAATTCCATACTCTTCGTCAGGAACGTCCGAGGAGTTGTAGACTCCCCCGTTGGTACCTCTCGAAGCATTGAAAACCTGCTCTAAAGAAGAAAACTCGTTGTCGACCGGGGCATGGTGAACAATCTCGGCTCCTGTAAGAGCCGCGAAAAGGAAAACAGATCTCATTACTCGAGATCTGGGTTCCTGGAGCTCTATTTATTTTATCGCGAGCCGCACACGTGCACTTTAATCTCGAAGCGAGTCCGGGGTGCAATTTACCGAATCAGGCAATTCTCGAGGAACCGTTGCCAAATTAGTCCACTTCTCCAGTGCGAGAGTGCCCCGAAAGAAACGTGGAGGTTACAAGTAGATTGAGTTGGCTAATTGGGTAATTACCATAGTCGTATTTCGTCTACCAATTTTGAATCAAATCATTTACCCATAAGCTAGTTCCTAAATACAGTTCTTAACGGAAAAGGTGTGGGAGTTTTCTTGGCAAGTATGGTTCTTCCAAGTACTTAAGCTCCTCTTCTGTTAGGTTAATCTTGATAGCCTGCAAAGCATCATCGATTCTGGAAGGCTTTGAAAGTCCCAAAATCGGGTAGTGCTGCCTGGCAATGCACCATGCAGACGAAATGGCAGCCATTGAAACATTGTATTTCTTGGCGAGCTCCTCGACACGATTGATGATTGCCTTGTCTCCCTCGTTTAATGTGGAAAGACCGTACATTGCAGCAATGAATGGATCGCTCGAACGATCTGTAGAATTGTAGGCCTTATCCAAAGGTCTAGCAAGCACGCCACCAGCCAACGGAGACCATGGGATCAATCCGACACCAGTCTTCTTGCAGTAAGCAATCAATTCGTCTTCCTCATCTCTGTAAAGAAGAGAGTAGTAGCCCTGCATGGAGATGAACTTAGTCCATCCTTTGGCTTCTGCAACAGACTGCATTTGCACGAACTGGTAAGCCCTCATGGTGGAAGCACCGATGTAACGGACCTTTCCGGACTTAACAACGTCGTGCAGAGCCTCCATGGTCTCCTCAATTGGAGTGTTTGGGTCAAACCGGTGAATCTGGAGAACGTCAATGTGAGTGCCCAGTCTCTCAACACTTCCTTCAACAGAGTCGATGATATTTCTTCTGGAAAGACCGGTTCTGTTGCGGTACTCATGACCTGGCTCGTTATTAGGCAGGATCAGATTTCCCCCTTCTGGGTTGTCAGTTGATGGATAGTAGCACTTGCTCAAAATAACAATTGATCTTCTGTCAATGTTGTATTTCTTCAAGAACAGTCCAATGAATCTCTCAGAGTCACCATTGGAGTAGTTGCATGCAGTATCAAATGTTCTGATACCACTGTCGTAAGCTTTCTTCATCATCTCCATCACCTCGTCTTCTTGGTCGAGGATGAATGGGAACCATGTCTTATTACCGTAAGACATACATCCCAAGATAATCTTGGAGATTTCCAATCCCGAATTGCCGAGTCTGGTGTATAGTTCTTTGGGGACCTTATCCCAGTTGAATTTGTCAGTCATTTGCAGCTGTTTTGATGAAGGACAACTCGGAAACTCGTGCCCCTTATATACTGCCACCAGTACACAGCCTTGAGCGGCTCGGGAGTTGAAAATTAAATCCACAAGGATATAACGAAATAACAGTGGACTTAAATGTTAAATCCGTGGAGCTTCACACAGCAATCTGCCTATACGATCAGAGCTGCAAACTAAAACAATGAATTGCAGATACATACGAGGTGTCCAATTCCAAGTATTCGTAAATCTGTGGCCAAGAAGCGCGCTTCTGACAGGGACTTGCTGGTTAATGCAGACTAACGAGTAGCAACCTGTTGATATCTGGCTCTGCCAGAATTAGTCGTGACTAACTGAGGTATCATTTGTTTTGACGAAGTGGTGATGACGTTTCCATATTATCTGTCGCCTTCCGGCCTTCCCCGCTAGCTTGGACTCGAGCACTAGCAATTGCAATAACAATCTCTTCTGTACCTGGCTACATATTTGTGCGGCTCTTCGAGAATTTGATACCATTGGTCAGCATGCGCGTATCCCAAGCTTATAGTTCTACAGCTCACAAAATGCCTCGTTTTCCGAAGTATGTGGACGTCGAGTCTAAACGCTGCTCCCATTTTTTGAGACCCTTATCTCGTCCAGTAACTTAGCACAGCCAATTTTGAAAAAGTTGGCCGCATTAATTGCAAACCATGTTCAACGCTTTCAACGTCACAGATCTGGCTCTAGTCGACCAGAAGCCCGCATCTGCAGCGCGTAGGTCTCTTCCCGATTTTCAGTTGATGCTGAACACACCGGACAACTCCGGTCGTGCTGGCAGATCTCGTTCTGGATGCAACGAATGCCGCAGACGAAAGTAAGTAATGCAAATCTTAATACTAACTTTAGAAAACGATGCGACGAGACGAAACCCGTGTGCAAGCTTTGCGACAGGCTGGGGATCACATGTGTTTGGAGAGACCCAGACCAGATTCGTAATAAAAACAAGAAGCGCAAGACGAATAAAGAGATTCCACCCGAAACTGCACCCGAATCGACTGATCAGATGCTGATCAAGACTCCAACGCACTTCACAGCTGTTTCGTCCCCTGGAAGTCCGGCACATTCGTTGATAGATATGCTTAAGGGCCATGTTCAGTTCATTCCAGATGTCTTATCTCCTCAGAAAAGTTTGTTTTCGCTGCCTATGATGCAAAGTCTCAACCAAACGGAAAACGAGTACCTCGATTACTACGTTAACTGCGTTTCCAAGACAGTGTCGATCCTCCCCGAGGAAACTAATTTTTTCCTCAGCTTGTACATTCCTTTGGCTGCCAAGAACACATCTATTCTTCACGCACTGCTTGGCTGGGGAGGACTGTTCCTGGCTGGATCAAAGGAAAACAGTACACCTTTGAAGTACATCAAGAGTTCTTTGAATCTGTGCAGTGATAAGCTAAAGGCTCCATTTCTTACCGATAATGACAAGCTAGAACTTGTCTCGGTTTACACCATTTTATGTGCGGCGGAAATCTGTGCCGGCGACGTTAAGGACTGGTATAAATATTTCCGCAAGCTTCACGAGTTCATCGTTGACGAATCCAAAGGTAACTTGCGAGCCTTGGTTCAGCTTCTTGGCCGCTCAGAGGACGCCAAATGGCTGATTTCTAATTTCTTGTACCACGACGTTCTGAGCAGCACTAGCCACCAAACGGGTACAATTTTCACGAGTGAACAATACTGCGAGGCTTTGGATATCGGATCGAGTAGTATGCGACTACTTGATTCGGGAAGCGTTTGTGACCCGCTGCAAGGATGTGTGAGACCGCTATACGTTCTTCTGGGTGAGATTGCAAACACTCGAACCATGCTGGTTTCGATGGAAGAGGAACTCGAACAAATCACAGACAAGGAGGAGTACGACAAGAAACGACTTGATTACCTCACTCTACTCGATCTCAGCTACAAGGATCTAGACATCAGAATCAGGAACACAGAGCCGCATACACGATCGCTGCTTTTCCTGAAAAACGATGAAGAATTGGAGCACCATCATACGCTTTTCGAAACCTACAAGCTTAGTTTGCAGATCTATTTGCGGATGATGATAAGAAAGACTCCTCCCGCGCTTCCTGAAATCCAACTGCTGCTGCTAGAGTTGAAACCGTGTCTGGATATTGTGCTCAACACGTCTGTTCAGGCTGCTCTTTGCTTCCCCTTCTTGGTTGCTGGTTGCGCTTCAGTAACCAAGGAAGATCGCAAAGAGATGTCTGGTAAGCTTCACCAGATATCGTCCAAGTTTCCGGTCAAAAACTTTGAGCGGATCTTGGTGGTGATTCGCAAAGTCTGGAAGAACAATAACGGAGGATGGAAATGCGTCTACTGGTTTGATGTTGCTGAGAGTATGGGCTGGACTTTGTCCTTAGCATAAATTAATTAATTACTAATCTCCTTTTTTTTTGCAATGATCTTGGTGGCAAGATCCACCAGTCCAGTAGCTAAGATGTCTGGCTCTCCAAAGATCTCCACGCACGGATCGTACTCGTGAACACTGCTCCAAGCAGTAATAAATCCAGCCTGCTTGGCAGCACAGGAGTCCCACATGTGGGCAGCAGCAAAGAATGCTTTCGAGCTCTCTGATGGGATCTTGTTGGCAATGAAGTCGTAGACCTCCTTTTCTGGCTTACCAGCACCGATGGAATCACATGAGATCAGGTTTTCGGATGGCATCTCCACGCCAGACCGTTTGAAGTAACCAGCAACTCTTTCGTGAGAGGCATCAGTCAAACACCAGATGGTGAAGCCGTTGTCTCTCAGGAGCTTGAACATCTCCTTGAGTTCGGGTCTACCTTCCAATTTGAACCACTCTCCGTAAATGAATTCCAAATCGTCATCATTAGCGTAGGTGTGTGGGTCCTTGATTCCGGCAAAAAACAGGGATCTGTAGAATGTGGACTTGAAGACCTTTTGGAAAGGCTGATAGTGGCCTGCCTGGGAAAGGTACGAGTAATCACGCTCGCATCCCGCCAACCAGAAGAAAAAGAATAACCGGGTGTCAATGTTGGACTCTTTGAATCTGGCTCCGAGACGGCTCTCAATTCCCTCGATGACTTTCTCGTACGAAATACAGGTTCCGACAATGTCGAAGATGATATCAGGCATGGTGTGTGTTAATGACCATCAGGGGCCGGAGAAATATTTATACTCAGAAATACCTTTATTATCAGGATCAATATTTAGGGTTCCTCGAAATAATCTTGCATTGTCGCTACTGTCGCATAAATTTTTTTTAGTTAGAGCTTTGCCTCGGGTGTTCCCAAAGATTGTAAGATGCGATTATTCGTTTGCTTCAATCTTTGTTCGCTTAATTTGAATGCGGATGGAATTGCAAGATTCTTATCTTTGCCCAAAACAGCTTTGGCGAGAGCCTTTGAAGATAACAACACTCTTGGCATGCCGTGTCCGTGGAACCCTGCAATAACAAATTTACCCTCCTCATGAGGCATTTCTCCGACATACGGGAAAGAGTCGTCAGTGTAACCCAAAATTCCGCTCCAAACATAATCAGTTGTAGCTTTGGTGGTATCCCAGGTATGGAACCGCTTCATGTAGCCGTCAAAGTATCGCTCGCTTCCAGGAACCAGAGTGCTGTCATCGACCACATTGTAGAAGAGATTCTTGAACGGGAAAATGTGCTTCTTCGCACCTCCGACAATAACGGATCCGTCAGGGCGGTTGATCAGGTAATCTTGATCTGCTCCATCGTACCGGATTCCGTAGGTATTATTCAAATGAGCTGGACGGTTCTCCGGGGTAATGTGGCTACACATACCTTTGATTGGAACAATCTTGTTCTCAAATTTTGGCTCCACGGAAGCAGTGTAGGCATTGGTGGCAAAAACAACCTTCTTTGCCAGAATCGTTCCTCTAGAGGTTTTGACAAGCCATTTTCCGGCGCGCTTTTCAGTTCCCAGCACAGGAGTGTTGGTCTGAAGATTTAAACCCTTTTCCAGACATTTTCTTAGTAGAGAGGTCATCAGTTTGTAAGGCCACAGTTGACCAGCAGTAAACGTAACGCACACGTTTGAGTCAACGACGTGGGAGATGTTTTTTGCTGCCTCGCCGAAGAGAATTTGGGTGTCGTGCTTGCAGGTGATGTATGGGTTCCTCATCATATCGTAGTAATTGTCGATACAATCTTGCTCGGCAGTTTTTGTAAGGTGGACATCGCATGAACGAGTCAAAACAAAATCACAGTCAATCTTTTCTTGTTCAATGATTTCTTTGACAGCCTTGAGGTGAGCATGCTCGAAGTTCACAATCTCAGCTGCTCCCTTTTCGCCGTAGCGATGTTTCCAGGACTTGTGCGAATAATAAAGACTTGGTTTCAGATGACCACCATTACGAGCTGTTGCTCCTGTGCACACGTCTCTAGCTTCCAACATCACCATTGATCCACTAAATTGTTCTTGCATCAGGTAGTATGCCATAGTGGATCCGGCATATCCTGATCCCACTATGACAATATCAGCTTCAGCTGGGAGCTCTTCTGTCGATCTGAGATCTTTGAAATCGACCTCAGCCGTTAGCCAAAACGATTTGACCGGATTGGAGGCTGGTAGATACTTTGATGACATTACTTGTCTGAAACTTTAGTGTCGTGATCTAATTTATTAAATATTTCTAATCTCGCATTCCTTATCGGGATTATGCGACACGCTAAAAATGGAAATCTCCGTCTTGTTTTGAAGGGTTTGCATATCGAGGAGATAGATAGATAGTGCTAAAAAACCCATATCGGGATTGCCGAAGGCCCACTATAAATATATCCACTTGAACGCTTAAATAGTTTCAATGATTGAGGAACTCAAGTCTTCAGCAGATAGCCAAGTCAGTAGCGACAAGCATGAGAAGTCTGTTGATCAGCATGTTGCTGTGAACGGTGTGCTGTCCCCCGAGGGAGAGCAGGAGATCAGAGACAAAGCGTTTGGCCTTCTGAAAGACCATATCGATGAAACTCTGGATCCGGAGGAAGATCGCCGCGTTAGAAGAAAACTCGACTGGAGATTTATGCCGATCCTGACCTTTTTGTACGGTTTGAACTACGTGGACAAGGCCTCCTTGTCGTGGGCCGTGCTGATGAACTTCAGAGAGGATACCCATCTGGTCGGCAACGACTACTCTTGGGTGTCATCTATTTTCTACTTTGGATACTTGGGAGCTGAATACCCTGCTAACGTGCTGGTCCACAAATATCCAATTCCTAAGATCATCACAGGTGTTTGTATTTCATGGGGAATTCTTATGTTGGCTCATCTTGGGGCCAAGAACTACGCAGGAATTCTGGTTATCCGATTCCTGCTTGGAGTCAGCGAGGCTCCCGTTTCTGCAGCCTTGATGACCTACGTTGGTAACTGGTGGAAGAAGTCTGAACAGCCAATCCGTTATCTGTGTTTCAACTCTGGTCAAGGTGGTACTTACATCATCTTCAGTTTAGTTGCATATGGATTTGGACACGCGGGTGGTGCCCTTGCTCACTGGAAGTATATCTACCTTGTGCTTGGACTGCTTTCTTTTATCCTTGGTGGTGTTGTTTCCTTCTTCCTTCCTGCTCTGCCTCAGGACGCACACTTCTTGTCCGATCACGAGAAGACCGTGGCAGCAAAGCGTGTCTCTTCAAACATGACTGGTATCAAGACCATTCAATGGCAAAACTACCAGATGTGGCATGCTATCAAAGATCCAAAGACTTACTTCCTGATCTTGTACATGTTCTTCTCCATGATTCCAAATGGTGGACTGACCAATTTCAACACCCTGGTCTTGGAGTCCTTTGACTTTGACAAATACACCACGCTTCTTGTCAATCTTCCGTTCTCGGTTTCGTCTGCTGGTCAGATGTGGGTTTGGGTTTTTGCAGGTCGCTACTTCAAGAACTTAAGAATTGCTGGTTTAACAATTCCGATGGTGATCGCCATTATCGGTATGGCTATTGTCTACGGAACTGAAAATGGAGGTGCCAACAAGTGGGGACGTGTGTTTAGTTACTGGATGATCAACTCGTGTTCTGCGTCTTTCCCGTTCGCAATCAACATGACAGGACAGCTGGTCAGTGGTCACACTAAACAATCGTTCACAAACGCTTTGGTTTTGATCGCATTTGCAGTTGGAAACATCGTTGGTCCGTTTGCTTTCCACTCCAGTGACGCTCCTAAGTACACTCATGCTCTTGCTACCATCATGGGTACTTTTGCGGCATGTATTGCTATTGGTTGCGGTCTTGGAGTGTACATCTTCTTTGAGAATCGCAGAAGAAACAGACTTTATGGAAACCCTGAGGAAAACGAAGAACTTCAGATCGAAGGTGTTCTCGATGGTCTGAAAGATAAGACTGATCTGGAAAACAAGAATTTCAGATTTGTCTACTAATGGATCAACGTGCTCTACGTTTTCACAATACATATTATCACTGTTTGAGCTCGGAGCAGGCTTGCTACTTATTTTCATTGATACATATTTTTTAATAATCTAGTATTCATTTCAAGGTCTACTAATGTGATTTTAACTCACCTTCAAAATAGCCAGTTTTTTTCAAGTAATCGATCTCAATCTCGATGTCTTCCCAGAATTCCTTGTCGGAAGATTTCTTCGGTTCCCAGCCAATTTGTTTCCCTAGGTCTGCATCGGTCTTTGCATTGGATCCCCAGAAGAGTGCTGGAAGTCCAAACACCTTTTGAACTTGATCTGGGTTCAATTGCTCGATTTTGTCGGAGGAAATCAATTTTTTCTCCACCAAAAGCTTTGAGACTGCAACCGAAACGTCTTTCCATGAATGAGGAGTCCCGCCAGCAGCGAAATAGTATCCCTTGTATCCTGATGGGAAGTCTTGCTGTTTCAAAAACTTTTCAATAATCAAGACATAAAGGTCTCCCAAGTCCGAAATGTGAACATGGCTCCAGTAAGTGTCCCCCTTGTAAACTGTAAATGAATAGCCAACCTTGGTGATAGCTTTGGCAAGCAATGGAATTTGCACAGATGTCTTGTGGTCAAAACCGTTACTGACTCCAAATATGGTTGGTGGAGATATAATTGCTGTTTCAACAACTTTAGAGCTTTCTTTGAACGTCTGAACCAGTTTGTCGGCAAGACGATGAGGTTGTGAGTCTGGTAACGAGTTTATTTCATCAATATCCTTGACATCTGAGTAAACTTTGTTTGGATTCTGCTTAGTAGGATCAGTGGAGTCCGCTATGACACCAGCACCAGATGTTTGGATGAATAAGGTCCTGGTCTTCTTTGCAATGAGCGAAGTTTTGATCGCCTCCAGGCTTGGAAGATGGTTATTGGATGCTGCATTAATAACGATGTCTGCCTTTGCAACGTTTTCCTCGATGACATCCAGGCTATTTAAGTCTCCAATGACCGTTTCCAGATTCCCGTTGATTGCCTGCTTGAGCAAATCTGCCTTGGCTTGAGTTCTCACCAACGCGATAACATGAGCATCTGGGTATTGCAGCAGGAATTTATGTAAAACTTCACCCCCGATATATCCAGTTGCACCAAGAATAAAGAGCTTTGTTGTGGTCATTTTGAGTTATTCTTTGAACCAGAATTTTGGACTGCTCGAGCTATTTATGTCATGGTGCTACATTTTTTTTATCGCGGAGATTTCCTTATTAAGACACTGTGGAGAGATGAAAATGTAAACTGATGGCGTAATTTGAATGAGTTTAGCTGTGGTTTAAATTAGTCAGTCAGGGGCTCCCAAGTGTGATCGGCACTGCCAGGGGTCTACCTGTCTGACCATTGCTAAAATCTATCAAACACTTTAAATCACGATGTTCGTGTGCTTATTACATTTGTAGTTATTGCCAACCCAGAGAAGCTAAATCAAGTTTCCTGTAAGATATAAGATCATCACCTTCGCATTTGAAAGATTCGTAAATCCTATCGAAATCACCACCACCCGACTCTTCAGACTCCTCCAAAATTTTAATTAGGTGTCAAAATTAATTACACCTATAAAACCATATTTAGAATGGGATGTCAGTTTGATCATCGACCCTGATAAATCTACCAGATTTGATGTTCGAATTGATGGCCGCAATAATGTAGGTTGCACTTTGTGCAGGAGTCAGACTCAATGCAAGGAAAGCCTTCTTTGCATCCTCATCCTCCATCATTGCGTCCAGTGGATTCATGACAAGCTCGGTGGGAACAAGACCAGGGTGGAACATCACAAAAGTAATCTCCGGGATCTCGTCAGTAAGCTCTTTCACAGCAAAGTTCAAAGCCGCTTTGGATGTACCGTATGCTGCTATAGGGAACGAAATGTAGTTTTGGATTGAGCCTGCCGCACTTGAAGTGAAGTAAACCTTACGGATCGTTGACTTTAAAACGAGCTCACGAATCTGTTTGAAAACAGCAATTGGACCCAAAGTGTTGGTAACAAAGTGCTGAATCCATGCGTCACGTGGAGTGTCGATGACGGAAGCATAGTTTTTCCCGATTCCAGCGTTGAGGACAGCAACATCAATGACCGATGTGAGCTTCTCCAATTTGGAAGACAACAGGTCAACGGATTTTTCATCATCCACATCGAGATCGACAAGGTCGACGTTCTTCTGTTTAGACAGCTCGAATAGGTCTTGAGCAGTGTTTTTAGACCGGTAGCTAGCGATCACGTGATTGCTTTGGGTGCTGCTCAGTTGTCTTACAACTTCCAGACCAATTCCTCTTGAAGCTCCTGCGATAAAATAGACAGTCATGTTTGATTTTGTTTGTGCTCTACATACGACATTGCTTGTGGTATTTATAGGTGACTGGAGGTCTCTACAACGATTAGTAACATGCCTCTTCGATTCCGAAAACGTAGAAAATGTAACCGAATTCGAGCTACGATTTGTAATATTTTGAAAGTAAATTTCGGCGATAGCTTATAGCCGAAAACTCATATGTCAGGGATTATAAATCAAAGCTGCCATAGCCAGAGTTTGGTGTTAGTGTCGGCCTTTATCAATGGTACAGAATACGTGGTCGTAATTTCGAGTTCTAAACACATATGCACATTATCTGCCCTGCGGTAGATTGTAATTAATTCATAGCTACAGTCAACATGTTTGAGGAACTCTCTGGTCAAATTCGTCAAGAATAGATCCCGTATACGGTTGTCTAATCTCCAGCCAACCAAGGCGCATATCATTCTGAGGTTCCTCGATTGTAACCTCATTAGCTTCAGCAAACTGGTTCAACATTCTCAAATATTCCAATGATCCTTTCCATTTCAAACCGTTTATTTCCAAGGCTTTGAAACAACTCTTGCAACGGACTAATATGCTTCGTTGTTTTTGAGATAGCACAATGTATAATGAAAGATGCACCGTGGCCGCCAAATAACAAATGAACCCAAAGTGGTATGATGTCATATAGATCTGACCGGAGTCAAACAATTCCTCAATAAGCCTTGAGATTTCATTTGCTGCCAGTATACATTTCCTTGAACCAGTCACTGGAAATTGTTTGACGAAAGTGCTTTCAAGTAAGATCAAGCAAGCGAAATGGCACATGTGGTAATAAATAACGGAGGGATCTTCAGGGATATTGCGTTTCTTTAATAGCGGTGGTAGCAAAGACTTTATGTCCTTAAAACAAAGCTCTGCTGTATCATGTAGTTTGACATGCTCCTGTGAGTCTCCCACATCGTGTTGCGAGGCAAAGATCTGATCCTGAAACCTATCAAGGATGTACCATAACCGCGTCGTGTAACTAAACGAGAGTTCGCAAATATACGATTTTCCGTCTGCAGCAGATCCTTGAACTTGATAAAATGGTGTTGCAACTCGCTTATAATGAAGACATGCTGGAAGACCCAATTTTGTGGAGATGATTCTGTCTTGCAAGCATACGGACCAAAACAATGCGGAATCGAGATTTGCGGCCTCATTGTTTTTGGAACTTGAGCTATCACTTTGAGCATGGTAACCCATATGTTCTAAGATATTACATGCCATAGAACTGTACATGTAAGACGATCTGTCAGAACCCATTCCCATTTCATAAGATGACAAAAGTAGTAACCCTTGAACAAGAAACCTGTCTGGTTCGAGCATGAATGCCTGTCTAGCAATGTTGGCTGCTTGATTGATGAATATTTTGCTGAACTTGTGCGCATTTGACAAATCGGAATAGAGAGCAGCGATTCCAAACATTGAACATATGACCAGCCGATGCGAAGGTATGAAATCAGCCATAAAATCCCACTCCTCTATCTCAGACAAAGAAAGTCGGAGGACATAAGGCACTTGGAAGCTGTTATCGCGAGTTAGTTCAATCAATCCGAATTTGAAACTATTTGCAACGTGCAAAACCTCCAGGTCCGAGAAGCCATACTCGAATTCTTCTTTCGATAGAAGGTCTCTAGAAGCGCTGTCATGGCGACCCTTGAACTCCAAACATTCACCGAATATTTTAGCAAAAACTGACTCATTTGCTGATTGATCTATTTTGTTCAGCTTCTTTCTGTATTTTGCCGGATTTTCGGGAGGAGGAGTAAGTTCGTCACATAAGGTGTGTTGGGTTGATAACGAAAGATGGCTTTCTAACTTGTTGACCTTTTCTTGCAGCTGGAAAATGTAACTTGCTTGGTATTTTCGACGTCTTCTATCGGCCTCAACTTTGTAGCAGCATGGCTGTAAAACCTGAACACAGTTAGAACACGAGGGGGATGTTCCGTCACAGTCTCGTTTTCCCAGTCCTTTACAGCTGACGCATATTTTCGATATGGAAGGACTCATTTTGTCTGCTGGAAAGAACCGTAATAGCCAGACGAAGCGATAATTTATTTTTCTACCACCCTGCAGGCCCGCACCACTACTCAAAAATATTTGGGTCTAAGAATCTACGGAGCTACAGTGACCTCTGGAGTAAAAGAAGATATAGACGTACAAGGAGACCCTTCGCGGCATCATCAGATCGCAAAGCGATTACACTGACTCTTTCTGTCGGTTGAAGGCTTCGGAAAATGCTTTCGAGCAAGTCAACTTCCGCTAGTCCTATAAATTGAGATATTCTCCGCTAGTAGAAATATTATTTAAAATCAATGGAGTTGGAGCAAATGAGCTAAATCATTTAGCTAGGCAAGCTGTAAAACTTTTCAAAGAATCGATTGTGTAACCCATGATGTCTGCATTTGATGAGTTGATGGAACTCAGAGGTAAACCAGCCGAAAACGGTGAGGTCGAAATACTTGGTCATGATCCAGTCTACAAAACTCCATTTAAACTTGGGGAGACAACTGCTCAGGTTTTAGCTGCATGCGGCGTCGCTGCAACCGATCTATGGGAACTCAAGACAGGCCACCGTCAAAAAGTCACAATATCTGTGGATGCTGCTGCCGCAAGTTTGGCTGACACGAAATACAGTTTCAAGAAAGAAGCCGACGGGAACTATTATGCAATTCCAGGGTCCGACGCAATGAAACACATGGTGAGTCTTACTCAACCATGGGAAACAAAGGACGGAAAGTACTTTCTACCTCACACCAATTTGAAACATTTAGAGGCAAGAGTGTTGAAAGTGCTCGATTGCAAGAGTGAGGTAGAATCAGTCAAGGCAGCCATCCGTGAACGAGAATCCCAAGAACTTGAAGATTCCATTGCTGCTGCTAGAGCATGCGGAGGAATTGTGCGTACACCTGAAGAGTGGCTTGAACATCCTCAAGGAAAATATCTTGCTTCAAGACCGGTTGTCGAGATAGCCAAGATTGGAGATTCTCCACCAGAGCCTCTTCCAAAGGGAAATAAACCATTGTCTGGAATCAGGGTTCTTGACTTGACCCGAATTTTAGCCGGACCTGTTTGTGGCCTAACTCTAGCCGAACTTGGAGCCGACGTTTTGATGGTGACTGCCCCACACTTGCCTCAGGTGTTCGAATTTGTTCGTGATACCAGTCATGGAAAAAGGAGCTGTTTTCTCGATTTGAACAAGGAGGAAGATTCTGAGAAACTGAAAGAGCTGGCTTCAACTTGTGATATATTTATTGACGGATACAGACCAGGAAGAGTTGCAGAGCACTTTTTGTCAATTGCAGAGCTTGCAAAACTTAGACCTGGAGTGATTCATATATCTGTGAATTGCTTCGGTTCGGGTGGTCCGTTTGGGGATCGTGCGGGTTGGGATCAAGTTGCTCAGGCTGTCACAGGAATGTGTCATACTCAAGGAAATGCCACGAACAATGGAATACCACAGCTGACTCCCGTTTACGCTTGTGACTATATTTGTGGTAGATTGGGAGCTTATGGAGCACTTATTGCCCTTAAATATCGCTACAAAACCGGTGGAAGCTACTCAGTCAAAGTTTCGTTATGCCAGGCTGCCATGTTATGTCAGAGACAAGGTTATCTAGACAATTTTGGGCGGGCAACAGGTGTACTGCCCAAGGAACTTTTTGAGAAGTATCAAGTTTTTGAAGATGATACTTCATATGGGGATCTGAATGTTCTAGGTCCGGTTATTGGACTCTCCGAGACGCCATGTGAATGGTCTCGGAAGACTCCACAGCTAGGCCAAGATTCTCCCGAATGGCTTTGAAAACAATTCTTTAGATCATTAGCAAAAATACGATCTTTTTCTAATATTACATCTAGCGTTTTTCAATATAGACTATATCATATATATAAAGTCGTCGGAATTGTCACCTCTTTTTGATGAATCAACTTCTCCGGACTCTCGTCTTTTTTGTTTTTTCTTGTTTTGACTGTTCAAATACCAGGCTTGGCAGATATAGCTGATTATCGCAAATGAAATGCAACCTAAGGAAAAACCATGTCCAAGAATAAACATCGGGAAGTCATTCGATCTATAAATTTGACCAATAACGACTCCCGCAACGTTTGCAATAGAAAGTTGAATCCCAACTGATGACGCCCGTTTCAAGTGACCAGCAGTGTTATTGTTGATCCAGCTCAAATTTAAGCCTGGACCAGCAAACGCACCGATTGTGAGAACGTAGACTCCGCCCATTTTGGCGTCATTACCATCGGCAGACAGAAGAATAATATATCCCACTATTGGAAATATAGCAGCTCCAACAAGAAATGGTAGTCTTCTCTTGGTATAGTCAGATGCAGCTGCAATCAGAATGAAACTTATTGCTCCCACGACGTAAACAGGAACCGTGAGAGCCTGGGTGCTTAAAGTGGAGTGCCCCATTGCCTTGATGATTTGAGGAAGGAACGTGGAAAATCCATAAAAAACAACTTCAGCGCAGAACTGGCTAACAGCCGAAAGATACACCTTTGGGTCCTTGAATGCTAACTTCACATCCTCAAATGATTCTTCATCCTCCTTGAAGATTTTCTCCGATTCTTCCTTCCGTCTAATGAAGTATAGCCTCTCCTGCTTGTTCAGAAACCAAGCTGTGTCCATGCGGTTAGGCAAGCCACCAATCACGAAAATCGCACCTGTGAAAGAGATACATCCCTCGATAATAAATAACCAACGCCAGCCTTCCTTTCCATGTATACCGTCCATCTTCAGGAGCCCGTAAGCAAGAAGACCACCAATTGCCCCAGCTAGTGCAGCTGCTGCAAAAAGATATGACATACGGTACGCCAATTCCTCTCGTTTATAAACTGTTGCAAGATAGAGAGCCAAACATGGAAAAAGTCCACCTTCAATAGCTCCGAGTAAGAGACGAATAACAACCAATCCCGCAAAATTATTGACGAATCCCGCAAACAGCCCAACTAGTGACCAAGCCGCAGCCAGAATAGCAAGCACTAGTGATGGTCGTGTTTTCTTGAAGACAATTGTACACGGAGTTTCAACCAGAATGTAAGTCACATAAAAGAGACTCACAGCTGCACTGTACTGCGAAGAAGAAAGACCCAAGCTCTCTGATAGACCCGCAGATTGTGCATTTCCGATATTGGATCGATCAAGGTATGCGATCAGGTAAACCCAGGCAACAACGGGAAGAATGACCATGTCCATTTTCCGAAGCATTCTTTTTTCAAGCTTTGTTTCATCATCGTGCGTAACAACGGACGACAAAACCAAATCTTCTTCGCACGACACTCTAACAGAAGCTGCTTTATCCATGATGCTCAATAAACGAAATGGATACTATTCTGAAGGCCAGTTATTGGGATCAACATATTTTATAATAGTGTTAGATATCTTGTTTCGAGTTTTTGATAACGCAGTGGAAATTGAATATTCTCCGCTGAACCAAAACCTTATCAGAAAAGTTTTTCGACGATAAGATAACAAATTCAATTCAAGTTCCTCGAGAGAACAATATTTTACTAGTAGAAATATTACACCTCTCTCCAACGACATTTTTGCAAGGATTAACATAAAAATTAATTTCCTGAGCCAGAATATGAATCCTGGACCGAAATCTAATCGTTGCGCGTACCAGATTCAGTGCTTACCGTTGATTCCAGATCAAGATCGCCAAACAAAGACTGATAAAATTCATTTTCTTTAGAGCTTCTCTCAGAACCAAAATCTAGTGAACCAGGTTGAGGAATATCACTGAGCGGATCTGTTTCGCGCCAAAAGTCTTCATTGCTTGCAAACAAAAAGAGCGAATCGTATTGAACCAGATCGTTCAAACTAGGATCATTGAGTTGAGGGTTGAAAGACCCCTTAGATTTTTTCCGCAGCTCGTCCAGTGAGGTCATTCTGACATTCCACCTCTCAGCTAGCAGTCCCAGAATCTGAACGTTATTCAATCCTCTCGACCACGTATCAGCAAATTCGCTCAATGCTGTGAGATACTTGTTAAATCTAGTCTTTGCATCTTCATGGAGCGACTCATCACGAAGTGTTAGAAGGAATAATTCAAGTATAGCGCATTGGAACAGCAGATACCCCGACCACCATGGCGAGCGATTGAATCCATGAGCTGTACTAAAACGATCCACAATATCTACAGCAGATGAAGATAAGCGGATCATGATATTGACGACTTCTTTTCCAGTCTCAATGAATGAGCGATAAAGAACGATCGAAACAACATAGTATGATAGATGTAGCAATAAAATGCGGCGATCTGAAGTGGACAGTCTTATCTGAATCAAGTCTGGAAATGTCTGCAGTAGTTGCTTCAAAGCAGTCGTAGCAGCCTTGAGCAGCGAGAGCTTGTGAGATCGGTGGATGTAATGGGATTTCGAGGAATATAGCTGTTGAATTGCCCGATCGTAGATGTACCACATCTTCGACTGAAACGAGAATGTGAGATCACCAACATATCGATAGTCTGAGATATTGTTCTCGGAAGGTTTTGGAGCAGTATAAAACGGCGTAGTTATTCTAGAGTAATGAATGCGACTACCTCTTCCAAATATTGTAGCCATGAGCCTATCTTGTAGCACGATAGACCAGAAAACAGCCTTCCTGCTGTCACCACTGCCACGAGATGAGTATGGTTCGGTTGAATGTTGGGGTTTTTCTGAAACAGGGAGCGAGTGAAACCTTGTAGCAAAAACTCTCGAACAGCACGAACCATGAAGCATCCAAGCCTCATAATCGTGCGATAATCCCAATTGACAAGAAGACAAAACCATCAATCCTAGAATGAGCCGATTTTGGTCGGCGGTATCAGGACCATTCAGTAGCGCCTTTTTAGCTTCTTTCAGAAATAAGCTTGTCAGGGGCTTTTGTTCATCGCTATAAGCAGATGCATAAGCGAGAATTGAGCAAAGTAGAAACCGTTCAGATTTATTTTCTTCAGAGAGCTCGACTGACTTCAACCGTAGTAGTTGACTGATGGAGTAAGGGAAATATGACAGGAACGTGTTTTCAAAAATGTCCAGCAGATATTGCACGAGGCTCTGAGAAATCCGATCATTACTAATTTGATTGAATATGTCATTCAGACTAACATCACCTTTATTTGATACATCAAGAACTGGTGTTAGCGAGCGCCCAGAAGTGGGCCCATAGAATGAGTCGGTCCCATCAACACGTTCTATTCTGCCATACGAAGATGTGATATCGTCAAGTGCGGACGCATTCAAAAACATTTCATTCGTTACCTGAGCTTGAGCCATATCAGATGGCTCTTCAGGAGGAGAAGAAAGTTTTAAGGCCTCGTCCAAACGAGGATCGTCATTCTCAAAACTAATTGCTAATTGATGTAACAAATCGGCCTTGATTTCAAGGTAGTCCATTTGGGTAGAATCTAATTTTTTCTTCCGGTGATCACTATCTAGCCTATACTCACAACCGTCCCTGTTTTTGAAGCGGATACATGTTTCGCACGGATGTCCCCCATCACATTTTCTTTTCCGACGCTGACAAAAAAGACACGCGTGAGAAGACAAGCCTTGTCTTGGATTTGGAGATGTGCCCAGAGTCATTGATGCAAATTGTGAGCTATCGTATAAGCAATGAAAACCAAGAATATCGTCTTTTGAGTAGAAGTCTACGGGCCTTCATCTGTGCCTCCAATTTAAATCAGATAGAGAAAAAAAAGTAGATATTCTCCACCTTCCGAATATTACGTCATATAAATTTTTGCTTGATTGATAAGCAAAATTTAAGGTTGAATTAAAGAAGAATCGGTATTAAACGGTGGAGGTCAAACTGAAGAAGAAAGACCTGATATACAGTATAGCAAGAGCAATGCTCATCAAGCAACAGGGAACTTATTCCCGAAGACTACTGCTGTAGTTCTCTAAAAGTGCGCGCAGATCGGATACTCACCCGAGCCGAAAACCATAAATGGATGCCATTACCCTGTTATTTTCGACGAACATAACATAAGCGTGCTGGAAGTCAATAAACTTTTCAGTATGTACAATCATGCTGCTCCCCTAAATCTAATGAACCCCACAATTTCGGATTTTGGGGAAGCGAAAAAACTGAAAATAAAGAACAATCGACGATTGTAAATTTCTAGAAACTCTAGTAATGCCCAGGAAACAGGGTCCCCGGAAGAAGCAGTCTATTTCGTAAGTCTTTGCAAAACACACAAGGATCTAACACTCCCAGCTGTTTTGGATGCAGACTCGCAAAGGTAAGTTTGGTTGTTAAAGCTAAACTGAAACCTGTACTAACAATCAGCGTCGATGCGACGGAGAGAATCCTTGCAACTATTGCCAAAAACGCACAATACACTGTGAATATACCAAAAAAGACAAGAGAAGCAAGACCCTTGCCCCCACTTACGTGAATGCCCTCGAGCTAGCAAACACGAAAATGATCAGGGCGATTCAACAAGTAAAAGAGAATGTTACAGATCCAGTGAAATTGAAAGAGATTATTGAACAAACAAGTATAGATTTTCAAATCATCGAAGATACAAGATTCAATTTTGACCGATTCGACGACGACAAAAGCTCCAAAACCGTGAAAAGCTCGGAAAGCGATTCAAGATTCAATCATGTGTTGGTGACACAAGACACTGGGTCTTCTTTAGTACTCGGTCCCACAAGCGTGTACGGCGACATGTTCACAGCTAAAAATGAGCCCATGGATAACCCGATTATGCCCACCAGTCAAAGTCTTTTACCGACACAGCTTGAAGACTTGGAAAATTTCAGACTGAAGTATGGCCATCAAGGATTCAGTTTGTTTTACTTCAAACCCAAGAGTAAACTGAAATATTTGCCGATCGTCACTGAATGCATATCTCTATTTTTCAAATGGATATACTCATGCTCGTTCTTCTTCATCCACAGAGAATCTTTCCTTTATTTTTTTCTCAACAACGAATCAGATTCCGAGTTTGTTTCGCCAGAACTAATTAATGCGATCTGCGCTCTGGGTGCCAAGTTTTCACGCAAGGAAACCATAAGATCACAAGCAGACTCATTTTATCATCTTGCAAAGTCAGGAATATTCGAGAACGGTGACAACTGCTTCATTCATGAATCACAAATTTCGAAGTTGCAGACATTGCTCTGTCTGGCGATGTACGATTTAGGGAAAGGTGATTTCACTAGCTGCTGGCTTCTATCTGGATTGGCCTTTCGGATGGGTTTCGAGCTTGGATTCGAGCTTGATCCAAAACATTGGAATGTTTCGGTGACAAACAAGCCCGCGATGTACAATAAAGAGAAGCTTTCAAACAAAACGGTAGCACGACAAGAATTGTATGACAGCTACCCTTTTGACATTCAACAAGTTAGAAGCCGCATATTCTGGGGCTCTTTTGTGGTGGATAGATTCATATGTCTAGTGATGGGTCGCCCATCAACTCTCAAACTCGGTGACACCTCAATCCCCGATTCACAGGATATAGGTGATCTGACACATATCGAAAACTTTATTTATTATGATACGAAGTCGGACAAACAATACGTGTGCAGAGGATTTCATTGTTTAAAGGCTTGCATCTCTCTATACCAAATCTCTGATGAAGTTTCCAATAGTCTCTTACGACCAGCTTCAGAGCTCGGAAAATTAGCAAGATTGGACGTGCTTTCCGAATGCAACCTGAAGCTATTACGATGGAAGCAACATCTCGGAACTGGAATGTATTGGAACAAAAGCATACTTAAATCAACTGCCCACAATGAGCTTTGCATGAGCCACAGATATACCTACTTTATTATCGTTCTTTCTCTCAACAGGCCGTTTATATCTGCTGCTATGCTCAAAAATTCCACCAGCATTGATATCAGCTCTTCCCTTTCCATATGCGACGATATCATAGACGATTTGTTAATTGTGATCACAGTTCTTCTTACTCAAAAAGCCAAGGATGGAGTTTTTATGCCTCATATTCTATCGGTCTACTCAGCTATTCTGGCAATAAGTTGCTCATTTTGGGTATATCAGTTTACCCCGGATTCCGACCAAAAGAAGAAAATTAAATCTCGGATTCGTAAATGTGTCAATTTCCTTACAGAGTGCAGTCATATCTGGTCATTAGCCTCCAAACCCGCAATAATTTTCAAGAAACGATTAGACGAGTTAAAAGACGGTATCATTTCTACTCATCCTCAAGACAAAAAAACCATGGAAAAATCGGACCTCAGTACCAATTTTAATACTGAGACTACTCAAAATAATAATGAAAATCCAAAAGAAACGCAGACTCCTGTATGGACTGGAGAAGAGCACAGAGTACATGGAAGGGATACACCAAATGGAACATTCAGACCACCATCCCCATATCATGATACACTCAGTCCAGAGTTTGACCAAATTTTCGACTCACTGTTGAATCAATCTGGACTGCATCCGTTTCTCTTGCGTTCGGATCTTTCTGATGCATCATGGGATATGGCATTCTACGAGAAATATTACTCTATGAATCATGATTTTCAAAATTCATGATTGAGGTGTCAAGGCTTCGCCAGCCCACAGATACTCAAATGCTGACTTCTTATTTTTTGACCGGTATTTTTTATGGCAACTAAACCGGTTTACTAAAAGCTTTGACTCACACACTATTTGTCCTACAAAAAAAGTAAAGATGCCCGAGATCTCATGAGAATATGATATTGTACTACCACGCGTCAGTAGCACCGTGAACCTTAATGTCAACACCAGATGTGAAGCTAGATGCATCGGACAAGAAGTAAACGTAGGTACCAGCCAGTTCTCTTGGTTCACCAAGTCTATGAAGGCCTCCCCAAATTCCAAGCTTGTAATCCCACATATCATCAGTGAGATGGTATGTTGTGAGAGCTGTTTGGATGTAACCCGGAGAAACGCAATTGATTCTGATTCCTTGAGGACCGAATTCTGCAGCAAAACCTCTCACAACTCCGAGAATCGCAGATTTAGTGGCTTGATAAGGAAGAGATGGTGCCGATTTGTTGGTTCCATGAGACACCATCGATGCTGTAACAACTATACTGCCTGGTTTTCTCAACGATAGAAACGTGTCAACAGCCACATTACATGTGTTCACAACGCCTTTGAGGTTAACGTTGATGATGAAGTCCCATTCTTCCGGGGTGTACTCAAGAGCCCCTTTACGGATTGTGACGCCCGCATTAGCAACAACCCCGTCAATTGTCTCTTCCTTCTCTAGAACGGTAGCAAATGCTTTTTGTAGAGTTTCGATCTTAGTCACATCGCCGTTCAAATAGAAAGCTTGTCCAGGATATTCAGCCTGAACAGTCACAAATTCATTGGTACCGGATGGTTCTTTGAGATCAAGCGAGTACACTGATTTGGCTCCTGCATCTAAGCACCCTTTGGCTATTGCAGCACCAATTCCTGTATTGGCACCGGTGATAAGAATCACCTTCCCGGGGAGGCCAGTTTCCAGCTTTCTGCTGGTGGGCAACGTTGAGTTGGTTGAGTAATCAATTTTTTCTTTTCCTAGCATGTCTGGGACTTGATGAGCTACTGACACATACCGATCCTGCTATTTATATACAATTTAACAGGCTTGGTTGTAGTTTTTCACTAACCCCAGATTTTGGAACATTTCCGCATAAGGTGGGGTATGCGGCTTGTGAAAAAAATAATGCGGAAATGTTCCAAATTTGGGAAAGAGTGGTAGAGATCGGAGATACGTGATGAAGACTGAGAACCAAAAAATATACAAGAAGCTTGACTTTATTCTTTTGTTGCAAAAATCTAAATCATGAACTGGAAAGACTCTAACACTACTCTTCAGATACTGAAGAATGCGGAAAATGGAAAATACGGTGTTCTTGCAACTATTGCTTACACCTTGGATCATGTTATTGCAATGGTTCAGGCAGCTGAAAACAAGAGATCCCCGTTGATAATCCAGTTTTTTCCGTGGGCCATCACTCACTCCAAGGGGAACTTAATCAAAGCTGCTAAGGTTGTTGCAGAGAACGCATCAGTTCCAGTTGCATTACATCTGGATCACTGCCAAAACGAAGAGATCGTCAAATTTGCGGCATCAGAGCTTCCGTTTGATTCTATTATGGTGGATATGTCTCACTACGAGAAAGAGGAAAATTTGCGGAAAACCAAGGATCTGGTCAAGTTCTGCAATGATCACAGAAAGGCCACTGAAGCAGAACCTGGAAGGATCGAGGGTGGGGAAGATGGAATCATGGATACTGAGGAGCTAGAAGGAATTTTGACCACGCCTGATGAAGCGGATCTGTTCCTACAAGCGGGTATTGATATTCTTTCTCCGGCTATCGGTAACTTCCATGGCGATTATCCGCCGGCTGGTCCCCAACTAAGGTTTGAACTTTTGGAAGCATTGGAATCGTATACCAGAGCAAGAGACGTTCGATTATGCTTACATGGTACTAATGATTTCACCCCCAAATTGCTACAGGACAACATTGATAGAGGTGTTTCCAAAATAAATGTCAATAAGCTTGTCCTGGACACACATTTGGAGTTCTTCCAAAAAAATGCTAACCGGATCTCTTTAACCACCTTATTTGACGACTCTAACAAAATACTAGTTGAGAGAATGGAGTACTGGATAGAGCAGTGTAGATCTGCAGGTAGAGCAAAATAAGTATCACTTACAAATCAATCTTCAAAACCCACGTATATAATATGGTAGTATAGAAGAACATCAGCATGTCAAGTCCCCACATTTTAACAATACCCCCCACTTTTTTCTCCGATATTTTTCAGTTTCCGCATTGAATTCAAGGGGAGCGTCTTGGGCTTGTAAAGTTTGGGAACATTTCCGCAAGAGGTTTTAGGTGTGCGTCTGATCACAATCGTACCCCAGACAAAAAATGAGTCGGAGCTAAGTCAGGATTTAGTACGATGACGGGGCTTCCATTGGGCCTATTTAAGCGAAGCTTATTCGCTTGGTCATGTCAAGGTTACAAGGCAAACCGAAATCTGGATCTCTCGTTAGTAATGACCAGAACCAATTCATTCAACATTAAGGCAGAAAACATGCATTTAGAAGATGCTGAGATAGGAGATCTACCGCTGAGCATTAAGGACGAAGCAGAAGATGATGGATACTTGGATTTCACTCATCAAGAAGAGCAAAAGATGGTTCGCAAGGTAGATGCGTATCTTTTGACCACCATTTTTGCAATGTATCTCCTGTCTTACATGGATCGCACTAATATCGCCAATGCAAAAGTTGCAGGCCTGATGGAAGATCTAAAGATGGATTCTGGAAATTACTCAATATCATTGATTGTGTTCTTTGTTTTCTATGTCATTTTCGAAGTGCCAGCAAACCTGATCATGGTTAAGGTAGGGCCTATCAAGTTTGTTCCCACAATCATGGTTATCTGGGGGGTCTTAACGTGCTGTTTTAGTGCTGTAAAAACATACGGACAATTGGTTGCCCTCAGATGTTTAGTTGGTATTTTTGAGGCCGGATTTGCTCCATCGATCCTTTTAATTCTTTCCTCTTGGTACAAAAAGGAGGAGCAATCCAAGAGATTTGCTATTTATATCTCAGCTGCTATCCTAAGCGGTGCATTTGGAGGTATTATTGCCGGGGTCATCACAGATCATCTCGAGAATGTTAGAGGTATTGCCGGTTGGAGATGGCTCTTTATTATCGAGGGTGCGGGAACGATCTTTGTTGCTTTAGTAGCATTCGTTACTTTACTTCCCTTTCCACATGATATGAAACCTTCCAAAGGATTCACCCAACGAGATATAGATATTGCAGTTGCTCGATTGAAGATGAACAACGTTGATAATTCGGCAGGTTCCGACATTTCTGCTTCAAGAGCAGTTTGGCTGAATTTTATGAGTTTGAGGTTCAACCTGCTTGTCTTGGGATACATGGTCATTGTGGGATCCTCTACGCTCTCATACTTTTATCCCACTCTGGTCAAAGGGCTAGGATATTCCGGATCCATGGTGCAGTATATGACTATCCCGATCTATGCAGCAGCATTTGTTCTAAATCTCATCATTGCATACATTTCCGATAGGTATCAAAACCTGCGACCAGTCTTGTTGACCGTACTATTATTTTGTTCGGGAGTGTTTTCACTGGTTGTCGTGCTGGTATATGGGTATACAGAGCGTTATGCTATGCTGGTGCTCATGGCCTCTTGTCTTTGGTCGGCGAATGCCCTTGCGCTATCGTATTCTTCTATCGGACTTTCTCACAAAGACTCTAAAACAAGAGGTGTTGGACTTGCACTTATCAATGCTTTTGGTAATCTTGCTCAAATTTACGGATCATATCTGTTTCCCTCCGACGATTCACCAAAATACATTATGGGATTCGGTGTCATAACAGGGATGTGCTTTTTTGGTTTCCTTACTTATGGATGCATGGCGCTTTACCCCCAGTTAATGAGGCTTTTGAAAGGTAAAGCTTTCGCTTCAGAAGAGCTTCAAATTGAGAACCCCATGTAAGAATTTATATAACATTGCGAACCAATGTTACGTTTGAAATTTTAGAAGTAGGAAACTGAAAATGCCAAGAATATTCGCCGCATGCGAATGATAAGGTGTAGTGTCATCCGATGACGTTCAGATATAACTGTAGTGGCTGGCAAGCCAACTGGCACACCAGGCTAAGGAGCGTTAAGTTGAGACAATATAGGTACTCATACAGCAATAGTAAGTATCAGCAGTATTGCTTGAGCACTGTGAGCTACCAAACAAATAAATATGATGCCTGCAGGCAAAACCCGTAAGACTACATAGTATGTGCCGGATTTAATTATGCGGAGCATATGCTCCTAACTTTTGCTATATTGCCGGTTGGATTATCAATCACCCTATTGACAGTTGACTAAAATGACTACCATCACAAAGTTAGCTCTCATTGGTACATGTTGGTAAGAATGTAGTGTTTTTTTGAAAGCTTAATCGCTACGCCAAGTAACTAATTTATCTCCTTAACTCCGGTGCGGCTGTAGCATATTAAGGACCGCTGAGTAATATTCATCCTCGACGCTGACAAAAATTATGACTCCCTCCAGGATATATTTAACCTCAGAGATCAGCACATTTGCGGGCTAAAATGGATCGTAAGAAGCTTGCGTTTGCTCTTGTGATGTGTGGTCTCACACTGGACAACTTGAGCGTTAGTGCAGGTTTCACGATGACTGACAGTTTGGAGGAGAAGCTACATGAAGATTACGCAACAGTGTCATGGGTTATCTCGTCATACTCGCTAACTATGGGAGCTTTCGTCATTCTTACCGGTAAACTAGGTGATATTGTTGGTCTCCACGTTGTGTATATTACTGGGCTTGTTGTGATGGGTGTTACTGGGCTAATTGTAGCCCTTGTCCCCAAAGCTATCCCTCTAATAATCTTTCGGGCAATCCAAGGAATTGGTGGAGCTGCACTGGTGCCAACATCATTTGCATTAACCGCATCCTATTTTCAGGGCAAGGAAATGGCTTCTGCCTTTAGATACCTTGTGCTGTCGCGTACCGCATCGTTTGGTCTGGGGACGATACTTGGGGGTGCATTTTCCGAAACCAGCATTGGGTATAAATCCTACTTTTACTTCCACTTTGCGGTCTCAGTGGCGTGTCTTGCAGGCTTGACATTCTTCGTCGTCAAGGTCCCACCGCATAAAGTTGTCAAACTTCGAGACCTGGATTATGCTGGAAGCATATTTCTCGTCGCCGGGCTGCTTCTAATAATTCTTGGTTTCACAGAAGCAGGAACACGATGGGATTCCCCCAAAGTGTATGTTACAATCCCTGTTGGAGTTATAGTGGTGGTTGGAGTTGCAATTTACGAGCTCGTTATAATCGAACGGCTTAAAGCAAAATGGCCAGATGGTGCATTTGGTCGTATGGCTGTGATGTTCCCGTCAGAACTCGGTACAGTTGAGCTCTACATTGCTTCTTGTGTGAGTGGTTTATTTGTGTACTGCGCCTACGCCACAACTATCCTCTCACTTCTCCAGTTTCACATGGATGATGGCGATTCGCCCCTCATTGCCTCTCTGAGAGTGTTTCCCTCCTCGGTGGGTATCATTCTTTGTGGACTTGCTTGGAGACCGCATTATACCAAAGGAATGGATCCGAGACTGGTTGTCGTTATTAGCACACTTATTTGTCTGGGAATGTCTATATGGACCTGGAGATTCCGCGACGGCGAGTATTGGCGCTATGAGCTGGTGAGTTTGTTTATACAGGGTTTTTCCTTGAGTGTTTTCTTCCAGACAACATTCTTGATAATGCTTCAAAAAGTGCCAATGCATCTCCAGGCAAATGCAAATGGTATATTTCAAACTTTTGGTCAAGTTGGCATTTCTTTAGGGAGCGCCGTTATTGTCTCTATCATTGGGCAAGACGCATCCAAATTGGTTACCAACGTGAAACGGTGTTTCTATCTTGCATTCGCTTCTTATGCTGCTGTGATTGTAATGTTTGCTATTGATATAGCATGGGACTTTTGGCGAGGAAAGACCGAACTCAAGCAAGAACCCAAAGCAGAAACTGAGGTTTAGCACTTTGGTAGATAGCCCCAGATAATCTTGATAAGCTGATCAGGTGATTTGCAGTACGTATGGTTAACTCACATCTCCAATAAATGACTTTGATTAATTGCTAATCAATTGTAGGGTAGGTCTGGTACCGTATGGTTGCAGAACAAATGACGGAAAATAAAGCGAATGCTCTGAGATTCTGGATGAGCTTTGTATCTTTAAAGGTTCAATTAAGTAAGCAAGATTAATTAGAGATCCAGATTAATTAAGCTATGATTGTCAGTGATACAACTGGAATCGAGATACATAGTTAACATCCAGACACGCATCATCTCTTCGACAATATCCATGGCCTTTCGGAAGCGAGAAGGTAAGAAACCGGATTATACCACATTGGGAAATGATAACGATAAATAAATTTTCTGATTAGAATTCCTTCAGGGATGAAACCGTCGCGAAGGAATTACTTAATTCCGCTTACGGAAAGAGACAAAAATGACAATGAGGATCGCAAATACTTGAGCCATATTTGTACGAAAAAGTGATCTCCTAAACACGATCAGGTATTCTAGACATCCAACGAAATTTTCAGAGTGTATGAGGCCACAAAAGGAAGACAAACTATAAGGCAAACGTAGTGTGCAATGTATACCAATGCCAAAATATTCATTTGTAGAGTCTGTAATGTATCTGACGGAGAGTAGAATGCAGTAAAATATAGTACCGATGTAGCAGGCGGAAGACAATATGTTATATTTGAAATAAAGTAAAGCAACTTGTCTCCGTAAAACAAACCATCAGAGTGAAGTTTAGAATTGAAAGCACAACCAATAATAGGAAAGATGAATAGCCTGAAACAAACTAGTGCAAGAACGGTTTTCCATATGCCTTGTGGAACTTCGGTGACTTTAAGCCTGCCTATGGTACCACCAAGAAGCAACAGTCCTAGTGGAACCTGAGCCTGCCCGAGATATTCGACAAAATCCATCAAAAATTTCAGCGGTGGTTGACCATCTGGAGCGGAATGAATATGGGCTTGGTGCGTTGTGACAAATATTGCCTTCACCCAAGGTATCATGCTGACAACAAGACTCAGTACTGTACTAATAGAAGCTGGTGTTGTCGCGTTTGAGATAAAAGTTGACATAAATTCGCTCAGGTAATGCTTATAGCTGTTCTCATGAGCTGTACTGACCGTACTCGACGGTTCAATCTTTTTATCAGTATTGTCGTTAAACTTGGAATACACTTTGACAATGTCGTTCAGTCCTTCTTTTGATACATTTTTGTCTCTATTGTGATATATTGAATCGATCACACTTTTTGTGCGGTGAACACCACGAAGAGGTGATTCTATGCAATCTGGTTGAATGCTAGCATTATCTTCATTTGAATCCAAACTTTCAATAGCGTGGCTTCGCAATGAATCAGTTTCTTCCCGCCCATTAGTACCTGCAGTTGAGCAAGTAGCAGTAATCGTCGAATTGCCCTTGGAGACGACTTGCTTCTCCGGGTCTGGCCTGAAACCGGACAGATGAGTGTCCGGGAAGTCGAAACCCACAATTCTGTATCCACCGAGGTTGAACTGGATAAGATTCATTACCGCACCATAAATGCAGATATATGCCACACCTAGATCAGTGTTGGAAAAGATGTCTGCTGACGCCAAACTTTGCACGTATGCAATTGGGAGGTCACTAATATTTGGAAGCATTCCACAAAGAAACATGCCTCCCCACCATGCTCTGGGGGATCCCGCGAGAATTCCGAACGCAAATGTTGCTAGTGCTTGTCCAGGAAAAACGAGACAAGAGCTGATTGCAATAGTACCAATTTGTCTGATATAGGAATTATCCAGATATGTCACCACTTTGGCAAAATTCAAGCAAGGTGAGAGAACACTCACAACAATATAACTGATATTTCTGCTTGTATCAATGGTCAAGATGTTCTTTCTTGCCAAGATAAATCCCACAGCTAATATCAAATATATTTTGATGATAGGCCTGAATGCTATGAAAATAATTGCTCCCAGGGACCTCATAATGAACACCTTTTAGTCAAAGTGAACCGCTCCAGCAAATCCCTCAACATTATTGACAGCAATGTTTTTATTGAAAAAAATCCAGAGCCAGGTCCTCACAGGTATAATCTTCAATCACGTGAAATGGAACTATAATGCAGGAGGTCGCGATCTGAGATTTTTTGGACGTAAAGTATATACATTCACAATTTTATGGTGTCTGGGGGTTGGGAGGAATAGCAACAGGCAGACTAAAGTGAATCTATTGTGATTGAAGAAATTTTGGAGTATCCGCCCATAACAGGGTTTGATTTAAACTCTATTGCGAGCTCCACAATCAGCTAGATTTTTGGTATTCGGAAGTGATCCACTAAATTTCTTATGGATCTAATTCTGTTAGACCAATTCATGCCATAGCATATAGTATAGTCACCCATCCCGAATGCCACTAGCCCGCAAATAGCAAGATGCGAGGCTTGCGATGTAGAAATTAGACAGAGACTTGCGCCAGTTACAGAAAAATGCATAGTTTCCCGTTTTCTTGACATTTCTCAATCGGGCCTAATCCGTAGACATTTCTCATCAGGTAAATCATTCGAAACCTGCTACCAATCAGTTCGCACTGAATGTATATGAATAACACTTTCGCAGCAGATATCACTGATTAACAATCTTCAAACCGTATTTTGAGCAAGGAAGACACTGTGTTGATTATAGCTGTCTTTCCTGGAAATCTTCTGCTCTAACCGTCGTGTTTGTATCGTCTACATGGGTTGCAGTAGATTATTGGTCATACAATCAAGGTGAAAAGCTGTCAAACGATTCCTTTTAGTTAAAGATGTTTATAAGTCCGGACGATTTGCATAAGCATAATAAGGTTGACAAGTGTTGGATCTCGGTTCACCTAAAGGTTTATGATGTTACCAAATTCTCTCCACAACATCCAGGGGGAGGTGTCAATGATCATGCGTTATGATGGATCTGATACTACCTGGGAGTTCTCAGCGATACATTCACCCAGACGTTTAGAGACCCATCTTATTGATTATTCCCTGAGGGATATTGATCCTACTGCTTTTCAGAAAAATATCTTCACACCACAAATCAAAGGCAAACATCACTAATTACAACACTTCTCTTGCCCCGCTTGGTTTTGTTCTCTCAATTAAAGTGTTTCAGGTAATTGCAACCAAAGACTTGAACCAGGCCAGTACCATTTACTTGTCTTTAAAGGATAGCCATATACAGTTACAGCAAATCGGAGAGCAAGACTTTGCCAAAACTCTTCTTAATCCATAATCTCTGGTTGATTGAAGGATATCGACCTAGATACTAAATTTTGGGGGACACTTCCTTCATTTCTACTCTACATCAATCCCTTCGCTAATAGCAAATTGGTCCTGCTGGACATGGAAATACAATAAATCTTTCAGGTGGTGAGCATGGTCTTGCCCATGTAATTTCGAAATCTAGTTCTCAGTCCCTGGACATAGTCATGTGTTTGCCGATGACGTAAGATAATCTTCCCAAGACTGTGAGTATATTCTGAAAAGGATTCTGAAGTGGGTGATATTATTTTAGATGCATCTCCACCTTCAAATGGCAATATTCAGAATTTATCACGGCCGCATTCAAGCTGGAAAGATTTGGGGTTTGTCAAATCACCTCCAACTATTCGAACTGTGCTTAAAGGCGTCCTTGAAACGGACGATATTGTTAAGGCTTACAATCTAGGACTCAAACGAGTTACAATAAGGGGAAATCGGAGCTAGATTGATTGCTTTCACCCTATTCAAATATTGAGTGAGCCAAAGAAGTTGATGAAAAACAAGAATCTCAAATCAGGAACGAATTCTAATATTTTCTTAGAGAGAGCATTGAAAACTGGATCCAAATTTACGAACGCCTCGTGCTAACAGATGCAAAGGTGTTACTTGGTGATAAATCTTCACCCAGTACAATATACGGTCAGCAAGGGGTCGAACATGCAGTCAACAATTTGAGTAACGGAATTCTTAGAGGTTTGAAGTCTTTGGGAGCTAATCCGTATCAGATCTCAATGTAAGTTTTTCAAAGTCAGAAAATTTGGAAACGAAATACAATTCAGACAACGGAGTATGAGGTTAAATCTTAATTCTCTCCAGATCCAAAAGTTCATATTTTCTGTAGCAAGTACACACTTCGGATGAAACCCCTCTGGAGTAACTGGCTTTTATATAACATCAGCTATGATACATACACGTTGATGACAAACTTTAGCTCGGGTTGAAAGCTTTCAGCATAGAAGTAAGGAAACTCCGCTTCTGCGTAGGAGTTTGCCTGGAGACCCGACCCTTATCACTCGAAAGCACGTTTTGCAGCCAATTTTCAAAATCACTTTTAAACTCTGGTCTGTACGGTCAGAACGCAGGGGAAGGCATATTTCTTTGCCCTATAATTGGAGTTTTCCTGCTACTTTCTTGTCACTATTAGTAGAAGCAGAAAAAGACCTCACACTGTACTATTAGTTCGTTGTGGACACTCAAACGCTTCGCGCTTTAAACTTTCCGCACATTTATGGGTTCTGTGTGCAGTAGAAGGGGTTCATCGCGAATCTGGAGCTCTTCGACCTTCTAGAGGTCATAGAGGCTAACGGGGTGTCTGCTCAACCTTAGTATGGGTCGGGAACTCCTCAGGCGCGTGAACGTGAAAAGACATACGTGTACGACACTCCGTTGAACTCTCTGACATGCATACAGATGTACAAGTCCATTATTAGTAAAAAAGGTGAAGGCGACGAAGACGGGAAGTATCAAAGTGAAATTAAAAAGATGGGAAAATAAAAGATGGGGGGAGAAGCCGAGGAGAGGGGGAGGGAAGTGGAAAAGGAAGGAAGAAGAGAAGGAAGAAGAGAAGGAAGGATGGAACTGGTGAGAGTGTTATGGAAGTGAAGTGGGAGTTAGAAGCAGTGGAGAGGAGAAGGACTGGGTGGAGGGTGGAGAAGGAAGAGGAAGCGTGTGGAGACCGGGTAACCTTTGCCCCTGGGTGGCGGGTGGCGGGTGGCGGGTGGCGGGTGGCGGGTGGCGGGTGGCGGGTG